GGGGGGGCTGCGAGGATAGACGAAGAGGGTCAGGGATCCGGAGCAGTAGCGGCGCGCGTCTGACGCCACTAGTGAGGATGCTTACTTTTAGGCCGCACGTGGGAATATATGGTGTGAGGGGAGTAAAAAAGGTGAAGTTGATGAAAGAAAGAGATGGTCGTCTGTTCACGGACAGATAACTGGGAAACCCCGCACTTTTTATTCTCGGGAACTGATAGAGGGGAGCTATTTAGGGTGGTCCGGTGTGCAGATGACAGTGATCAGCCCTGAAATGGATTGGAGTCGGAGATGGTCAGTTCTTGGGTCTGTCTGAAGAATATTTTGATTGGACTGCCAAAGGAGGGGATGCAACTCAAGCTAGGTGGGAATGGAGTGGAGGCGCAGACGACGTACCTGTAGTGCGACAGTCATGATGTTTTAACTTGGCGACAAAGAGGCAGGACAAGCCGTATGCAAGGGGAGAGCAGGTAAGAAACAAGCAAATGATGCACTGCAGGTGATACAGAAAAGGAAGCTGACGGGGGAAAAGCAAGAAAGCGAGAGAGTTAAAAAAAAAAGAAAAGAAAAGAAAGAAAAGCCAAAAGCAGGATGGAAGTCAATTGCGATGGCGATTGATTGATTGATTGATAGATAAAAAAGATAAAAAAGAGGGACCCGCCGGAGGAACCATTGGCCCGGTAAGTCGAGGTCGAGACTCCTCCATTTCTCACCTCGGCCTGACTATGACTATTGTCCAAGTGATACAAGCACAAGAAAAAGGTATCTCTCCTTCAGGTTCCCCTCCTCCTATTCTTCTTCCGAGAGTCAAGGCCTCGGTTGCTCTCACTGTCACCAAGTTGCACGGATAGAAACGGGCCAATTCCTCCCTTGGCAGCAGACATTTTGTCCGAAAAGACCAGTCACTTGCTTGTTCGCTTGCGCTTCTCACGAACTATTCTCCCTCAACTTTAGTTTAACGTTAATTCAACCTCAGCAGGGAGTGACTCACCCAGGATTGTCCCTAGCGAACCATCCGATGTCGGAATCAGAGAAGCCGATCCAAGGAGGATCTTCACCAACTCAGCATTCATACTCAAGGAATCTCTTGTCCGGCTACAATCGGTGACTGAATCCATCAGGCCGGTGAAAAAGCAAACTGGTCAGCCATCGCCGTTTGTTCCCACCTGTTGAGCGCGGCAAATATTCCCCCCCAGTGAGGCCCACCAGTGGATGTCCCAACATCCCCACAATCGTAGCAGTTCTTGACTGACTGAGTTCATCTTAAACTTTCACTCTCAACAATCAGCAGCCACAACAACTTTACCTCTGCAGGCGGAGGACGCTTCCGCTGGACTGAAGATATATGGTCGGGTACTAAGATACCAAGGAATTCTTTCCCGGTCTCAGCTACGGCATCGCAACACTATCTACCGTAGACGCCAAGAGATTTGTCTTACAATGATTACTTTCAAGCAACTCAACTTTGAACAGCAGAAAAGCAAAAGCATGTATGAAGAAAAATCTTCTTCAGAATGGCAGCTTCGAATAGTGACGATAAATTAGGAATAATCTTAAGCATATCCCACCCTGGCCAGGACAAGCGCCGCCTACTAAGGTGTTGCAACTCATTCCAAGGGGATAACAGGAAGGTGATAAGCAAATTTGTTGTATGGGTCATACTCAGCCTTGAGAGCCCGTAACTTCTCCAGACGCCACGGCTCATACCCGTAAATCTGCTCGAGAGGCTCAATGCCGAGTGCATAACTAACATGTGCACTGGGAAGCCGATTTGGCTGGCCATCAATGAACAGATCACGAACTGCTATGGCGAGCTGCAGAGCAGGGGCGTCAAGTTTGGGATTCGGATGGTACGTTATTTGAACGACTCTATGAAGTGTTGCTATTAACTTGCTGGACGAACCTCGACAAAGCAGGGACACTGAAAACACATACACGTTGATATAGTCATTACGGTGTGGAAAAGCCGAAGCCGCTGGGTCAATGGCCTTGACGGCCTCAACGGAATACCCCTCGAATAGGATCACAGATGTGCTCAAGCCTGGGTATGCCTTGAGGGTAGCACTGAAAAGGTCATAGACTTGGCGACATGCTGTCGCGTTGTAGACTTGTAGGCCTATCGTAGCCCACTGCTTTGGAAAGCCTTTCGCACAGGTCTTGTCGAGGTTTCCATTCCTCGAGGCTATAGTGATGTCAGGGAAAGGCACATTCCCATCCGTGACGTTAATCGGGCCGAGAGCATCGAACGGAGCCAAGTACTTCTCTGCCTCTTTCTGTGGACCGGCGTACTGAAAAGTCCAGAAGAGAACAACCTGAGAAGCATCAGCAAGCGCCTCAAGAGGGTTCGTGGGTACACGCTAACCTCCTTAACACTGATCATAGGATTGAACTCGTAATGGCCAAAGAAGACATCCATCCCCACCGGCTGCGTACCGTTACCCGCCAAGTTATTCAATTTCTCGAAAAGGGGCTCAAGCTTATCTTGCGTAAACACGTAGTTTCGGAAATACCAAGTGTCCTCCTCATGCGGATGGATCCTCATCTCGAAGCTCGTCACTACACCAAAGTTCTGCCCGGCACCCTTCATGGCCCAGAACAAGTCCTCGTGGCTGTCCTCGGAGATTGCGATCGTAGTTCCATTCGCCAGCACGACATTCAATTGAACAATATTATCGATCATCAAGCCATAGCGCGTCTTGTACCTTCCGTGGCCGGCACCCAGTGCCTGACCGACCATACCCGTGCACGAGGCGGCTCCAGTGGCTGGGAGCACGGATCAGCAACATAGCAAACAGGTATGTAACTCCGGTATCACTGACTCGTAACATAACCCTCTGCCCAGAGTGCATCAATGACGCCCTGCTTGGTTGCTCCAGCGGAGATAAGCGCAATGTTCCGTTTTCGATCCACGATCACGTCGGTCAAGAGCTGAACATCAAGCCCGATTCCCTTGAACTTGCCCTGCGAAATTGGCACCGCGTAGCCTCGATTGACCGTGTAGAAGGGAATGCTGTTTTGGAAGGCGTACTCGATCTTTCTCTTCTGCTCAGCCCAGATTGAGAGCCAGGGGCCAGAGTACTGACCACAGTAGAGATGTCGTCCGCACACCCAATCCGAACTATCAAGAGGAATTTCGGGGGCAGATACTCTTGGAATCTAAGACTCGCCTGCGGATATCGAGGATCTTCCGGTCCGAAGATATAGGAGGCGCCGCAAAGCCGTGGGCCGAGCTCTAGATGGACTTGGAAAGGGGTCAGATTCACACGGGTCATACCACAAAAACCATTGAGGCAGCCGGTCAGCGACGACGCTTGCCCGAATGACTGCCATAGCATAACAACTACTGCGAGTTGGGCAATAAAGTGTAACATGTTGGCTGTTGGGCGTTGGCCGATTCAATATGGCATAGAAGCGATACGTCAAGAGCAAGTAACAAAGAGCGTGTGATTTGGAAAATATCCGAGCAGACAAGAGGTTAAGAAGCAGACGAAGATCGTGTGATGCACCCTCATAGGGAAGGTGCACCAGCTCACGGGCACTTGTGGCAGGTTAAATGATCGACTCCCTTATTTAAGATGACTTTCATCTGTTCCATGACTGACAGGAGGAATTTCGAGAGAAGCTTTGAAGGCCTGTCTTCAAAGCGACAATCACACTTGATCGGGTACCAGCATCGAGATTTACCTTGCTTGCGCAGAAAAAAAACCACCACCCTGCTCACTGAGAAAAGCTGTAGGCCTGGAGAAGGGACAAGATAGCCTCACAGACCTTCTGTCTACTGTCAATCCATTCTCGAAGTATCAGACAGAACGCATTGGTGTCACAGCCATCGGCGAATCTATAGGCCGACTGTATAGGGGGCTTATGTTGAACTGCGATGCTGTCGCCTATAAGACCAGGAATGGGTTCCTAAGCGCGGTGTGTGCGTTAAACTAGAGCACTAATGAGTAACTTGTCCTTTCTCCCTTTCATTTTGAGATTCGAAGACTGGTTTCAGGGATTATTGATGGAATCATTCAACGTTGAGAAGTGGCAGAGTGTAGCATCTTTCACTTATTATGGTTGTGGTTGAACAAGTTTGACCATGTTAGATTAAGTTGCTACTAGTATCTTGCGTAAGACATATTCCCTCCTAGCTATGTAGTAGAGAGAGAAGCCGACCCTCTCACGAGGTGCCAATAAAACTCGGGCGGTGATACTTTGTAGTAGGACGACCACACCCAGATTGGCCAGGCTCACCCACTCACTCACTTGGGTACACCGGAGCAAAACAGCAAACCCATATTCTATCCAGCTCGGGAAAAGGGAAACAGCCTCGGGCCCGGTCTATCCCCGCACTGAGGGGGTCATAAACCAGAAGCAAGAAGGCAATGACGTCATAAGCACTGACAACACCCATCAGAAGAAAGATGAGCCTGATGCAGTGTGCAATCAACGACTAGCCGGGAAAATTCCGTATTCCTCACGGAATGGTTAAAACGTCTGGAAGCTTTCCACGGAGGATTTTCCTCACGCCACTTAACTCGGTGGCTGACCTAGCCGAAGGGAATCCTGCCAATGGATCTGACCACGGGAAAGTTTATCGTGACCTCCTTCATGTGCATAATACAACAGATAGTGCATGTAGCATAAGGTGCTATAGGTTGATCACGAGGATTGATGAGTCCTCGACCATTCTGCTTTGACCGATCCTTGTTCATATACTGATTCTTAGTTAATGATCGCAAATTGCGAACTTGACCAACACGAAGGGGTAAATCGGAGCCAAGACCAATAGTTAGCCAAGCGCCAGAGAATTGGGACCTTGGCGTTGCTCCACCTGAGGCTTTTCGGGCTGCTGCGTATGTGGGATGGATGGCGTGGGTGTTCTATCGTACGCGTTTGACTACGGGGTCGGTGAATGTACAGCCAAGGAGCGAAAGAATCCCGAATGCTGAAGCGAAAGGCTGCTGGCTTGAGAGCTACCAGCAATTCAGAATCGGGCTAAATAGATACAGGTTTGCTGTTTGAATTGAATTACTGTATGGCTTCTATAGCGAAGTAGCAATCAGTCATGCGATGTCGCTATCCGCTCATGCATGATGGCTTAATGATACGTACGTATATGCAATATTGGTATTTCAAGTTGGCTTCTTGGCTTGGTCTATCACGGCGGACGACATTGTCTGAACCGTATCCTTGGGTCATTGTCGGGAACGGATAAGGGCAGTCGTTTGAAGTCAGTGGCCCAATGCTAAATCACTTGTTGGTTACTTGATACTAGGTGAATGCCGATGCTTGGTTAGTTACTCAACAACTAAATCATAGTGACTAATCATGCTTATTTATGCCCTGCCACAAAAGTAGTATCCATGAGAAGGATGGTGACGCAGGGCGAGGAAAGGATTGAGGATGCATGACAGATGGATGGTCAGTAGCAGCTGACTCCAGATGGGCTGCGTAAGATGCGGAGTAAGACAAACACCACTTCACTTCATGGAGGGGTGAGGGAGTCGTTGCGGTTATCCCCAGGTTTCGGGATTTCCTAATCGGGATAAGCCGCGGCAACACTGGGCACTCGCTGGCTCGGCCACAACCGAATGGTTCGACTGCGGAGAAAGAAAGTGCCCTGACCGCGGCCTCGCTTGGCAAATTAACTCGAGTTGGCTAAACTGGGGCCATACACAATTGGCCCCTCTGGAGTCTGCGTCTTTTCATGCAACTTCAACGAGCAGAGGAAGCAAACCTGGAATGGTGGCTTGTGCCTATCGTCACGGTGGGCCAGTCAGAAGCGCGGGTTGCTAACGCTTACTTGCCCGTCTCTCCCGCGGTCGAGTCGGCGGTTGGCGACGGCCGATTGATTTTGGGGCACCCTACAACAATGGGGCCGGTTTCATTCCCTCGAGTTTGGAAGTATGATAAACATTACATAGCTGGAATGCGCGGCAGGGTAAAATTGAAGTCATTGTTCGAGAGACTCGCAGGTGCCGTGGCACTGATCTTGCATCAAGTTTGGCCGATATTTCGGGGGCGGGCTCTCGGCCCCGGCCATCTGGGCAGCCACTCCAGCATCTTTGGCAGGACCTCGGACGGTCACAATTGAAGGACCTGCCCTTCCTCAACGAAGACCCGTCTGACTCAATCGGCCCTAGCCTTACCTTCCTTATTCATAATATCACACGAGAGACGTTGTTGGCTGATTCGGGCTTAATCCATCACCGGCTGAGCAGGCGACGAAAGACTCTGATTAAGCGGCTTCCCGCGTCCTGGGTGGCCCCGGTGGAGAACCGTCTTCAGTGCGATTGGAGGGCAATGGAGTTGACGAATGTAACAGAATGGCTGATGCTGGACGATATTTCGCCGACCAAGTCGACAAGAGAGACAGTCTAGTCTGGAGAAGGTCGAAAGGAGACTAGTGAGTTGTGAGACGGGCCCCAAAAGCTCCGTCGACGATAATATTACGGGACTCCGGCGAGACGGCGGCCTGCATGAGCCTCAGTCGCATATCAAATGCTTTGCCATCGCTTGTGGTCACTTTTTGAATCCAGGGGGAAAGAGTGGTTCTAGGCCATCAATCAATATTTGCCGCCTCCTTGGTGGGAATTCAAGAGACAGCATTTGGGAAGAGAGATGTAAGGCAAGGGATGGGGAGGAGAGCCGGGAAGGGATCAGAAATCGACAGCCACGAGGCGGATCGAGCCGAGGCCCTGCTGGATCCTTCCCCGAAGCAGTAAAGTGAGAGAGGTCCACCGACCCTCCGTCTCTCAGGGCTTTGCGGAGGTTCTCCAGACCCCCGGATTCTGAATCAGCAGTCCCGGAATTCGGATCCAGGAGGAGAAGTTCCATGGTGGATATCATGGCACCGTAGCATTATACTGAGTACTAAGCACCACACAGGTTAACTGAGCCAGGCAGGAAATGACGATTAGACCCTCCCTTTCTCCATCCTTCGGGCTCCCTTCGATCGTTGCCTATTCCTGCTTTTCAGACCACGCGAGAGTCAGCCACACGAATGAAAAAAAATCGAGAGAAGATGTGACACCGTGACACTGTTTCCGATCGGCCTTGCTGCATCGCAGCCTTCGATTCTGTTTCTCTCCTTTCCTAGATCCTGAGAGGATTAATCGGCAATGCAACGTGTACTCGTAGTCGGTCGCCAAAGCTGTGTCTTGACAGTGCCTGCCAATAAATCAGCTAAGTTGTTAACATACTAAGTAAACATGGCATGGCAGTCGGTCGGTCGGTGGCATCTCGCCCGATTGTTGCTTTGGAAGTAAACCCACGGCGGTCCCGAAGCTGAACCTGTTCGGATTGACCAAAAGCAGCTAGACAATGACGGCATCTTCGCAGTCTCCCAACTGGCTAAATTCCCTCCTGGGCCGACACTAACCAAGCCTTCCCCGCCGATCTCTGCACCGCCCGCGCAACATAATCGTTGTCGTGGCTAGAAACCACCCACTGATATGGAATGATCCAATTTGAGTCTGTGAGTCTGTCTTTGCCTTTTGAGAGGAGGCACAAGGGGAATGGCATGGATTGAAAGACACAGACGGACGGACAGACAGACAGACAGACAGACAGACAATCAATCATGGCAGCTGGTGGAGAAAATCGAATGCACCTCTTCCCAGGCGTAAGAACCCATCCATGTTGGCCCAGACCAATCACTCTCCGCTCTTGCATACCAGCATCTTGATCGTTTCCGTCCGTCGAAATCAGTCCTCCCCGCCCCCCACACCTCTTAAGTGGACTGACAATGAATGGATGGATGTCTGACTTCAATGGGAGGTGAGACTTCCCCCCCAGTTGCCATGACTGGCGAATGGTCATGGTGCATCTGACCTTCAATCAGCCCGGATCCACTCTTCCCCAGGAGCGACTTCCTGCATACTTCACTTATTGTTGTCTTAACAGTGCAACTCGAAGTACCACGTTACCCAATGATTTCTCGGATGGGAAACTACCGGTACCTCCAGGCACTACCAAGACGAGTCATTCCTGAGGTATTGACTGTGTCTATCCCAAATGTTAGGTTTAATTTTTCCATGCGCCGGTAATCATGACCGCAGCCCGTCAGAGCCAATTTCTCCCCGTCTCTGTTGCTTGTTTAAATACCCCATCCATCTCCCCTGCAACCACCAGGACGATCTCTTATGTTCTATATTCCTTTCACTCATACCCTTTCCCCTCCTCCTATACTTCCGCCCCGCTGTCCAATGAATTCCAGCACTTCACTGAATTAGAGACTTGGCCTCGATTCTTCCTTCAACCCACACAACATAAAATCATCCGCTTCTGGAAGGTTGTCGGCAATTGAGATTCCGTTTCACTCAAGATGGCGCGCAGCTACTTGGGTCTCACCGGAGGCAAATTGCAGATCGCGATCAGTCTAATCGCTGGTTTGGATTTCCTGCTCTTCGGATATGATCAGGGTGTCACCGGTGGTCTCTTGACGCTAGATTCGTTCATCAAATACTTCCCTACCATATCGACCAATGGACCCTACTATAATAGCCTGGAGGGATCCCAGAAACATGCTCAGTCGACTCGCCAAGGTAAGTGCGCGCTAGAATTCCTGACTGCCCGCAGAGAGAAGAGAAAAGAATCTATCCCCTGACCTATCATAGGTATTGTGGTTGCGGCTTACAACCTGGGATGCTTTGCGGGTTCGATCCCGACAATCTGGATTGGTAATTGGCTAGGTCGGCGGAAGACGATCTTCGTCGGATCGGCGATTATGGTCGTTGGTGCTCTGCTCCAATGTACCTCGTACGATCTGGCGCAGTTCATCGTCGGACGCCTGGTGACTGGCTTCGGTAGGCCATGAGCCAACATTTGCAGGTGAAGCAATGAAGGGAAAGCTGACTCTTATATCCAAATAGGGAATGGTATGAACACGTCGACGGTGCCTACCTGGCAATCCGAATGTTGTAAATCCAACCACCGTGGCCAGCTCGTCATGATCGAAGGCGCCATGATCACTTGCGGCATCACGATCAGCTACTGGATTGATTTTGGCCTTTTGTTCGCCGATCCCAGCGAAGTGGCGTGGCGGTTCCCTCTCGCCTTCCAGATCTTTTTCGCCCTGATCATTCTGGCCTTCGTTTTGTTCCTCCCCGAGTCACCCCGCTGGCTTATCTTGAAGGGTCGCGAAGATGAGGCACGCGAAGTGCTTTACTCCTTGAATGGCAAGAACGACGTGACCTTCATTGAGACTGAATTTGCCGAAATCAAAGCCACTGTTCTGGAGATGGCTAAGGGTTCGTTCCGCGATATGTTTACGATGACGGAAGACCGTCACTTCCACCGCGTGGTTCTGGCCTACGTCAACCAAATGTTCCAGCAAATAACCGGTATGCTCTTGGAAATCCTCAATCTCGCAGTGCATCTCTCTAACTATCTGGCAGGCATCAACTTGATCACTTACTATTGTTCTATCGTCCTCGAAAACCAGCTAGGAATGAGTCTAGAAATGTCTCGATTGATCGCAGCCTGCAACGGAACGGAGTACTTCCTTGCTTCGTGGATTGCCGTCTTCACCATCGAGAAGTTCGGCCGTCGGCAGCTGATGCTGTTCGGTGCGGCAGGCATGTCCATCTCCATGGTCATTTTAGCCGTCTGTGCCAGTCTTGACACGAACGGGGCCAAAGTGACAGTCGTCGTGTTCTTGTTCATCTTCAACACTTTCTTCGCCATCGGTTGGTTGGGCATGACCTGGTTGTATCCGGCCGAGGTGGTGCCTCTGAAGATCCGGGCTCCGGCCAACGCGCTGGCTACGTCGTCCAACTGGATCTTCAACTTCATGGTGGTGATGATTACCCCGGTGGCATTCGACAACATCGGGTACCAAACCTACATTATCTTCGCTGTCATGTAAGTGGATCTCTTTGCCGCCACCTACGCGTCTCTGAGTTAATAGACTGACCGGCTGACTCGTAATTAGCAACGCGTTCATCTTCCCCGTGGTCCTCTTCTTCTACCCCGAGACCGCGTGCCGGTCCCTCGAGGAGATGGACCGCATCTTCCGCAAGACCAAGAGTATCTTCCAAGTGGTGAAGGTCGCCAACGAGGAGCCCCACATGTACGGCCGCCACGGTGAGCTGCTGCGGACGCCAGGCGATGTGGAGGACGAGGCGGTGCGTCGCACGAGCGTGCTGAACCACTCCGTTAAGGATGCCGATGGAGTGAGCGACGATGTCGCAAGTACCGAGAAAATCTAGAAGTTGATCGGTCATCCGATCTGCGGAGATTGCTCTTTGCTTGTTATGTCCTGTAAAGCGCCTTGACGAGCGCAGGATGTGATTTGCTTTTATGTTATGTCTGGGCTATCGACGCCCTATTGATGATTATTGATTATACCCCGTGATGAACGATGCTGTGTGATTAGATGTGATGCACTCTAATGAAGGATGACTGGGCTCTGTCCCGTTGCAAGATGATGTTCGATGTTTGATGTAGAAATTGTAGTTTCCGTGTACGACTGTTTACCCCGCTGGTCTTGGGTCTGGACTTCGTCAGATCTCTTTTACTAGTTGCGATAAGTACTCTAGGCCTAGACGACCAGAGTGGGTGACTCGTGATCGCTAATTTCACCCCTTGCTGCCCACGCCGAGCCTGGCTTTGGGAATGCTAGTGTGGTTGAGCGCTCGGGTTCGCCACAGCCTGCAAGGGGCGTGGTTTCTCCTGTTCTATCTCGGGTCTGCCATGTGGCATCGATACAGCAGAGTTGTGCAGCTGCCAAGGAGGTGGAGCTGTAGGTTGGATTCTAGACTCTCATGGACTATTGGGCCAAGGGTGCTCGCTTGGCGGAGGGAATGGTTCATGATAACCATGTAGGCCGTTCTCTACTGAGCATTTCTGTCTGATGGTCTTGCCACGATGAAAGACATGGCAAAATTACCGCTTCAAAGAGTTCGGAGAACAGAACTTGCGCTGGTACTAACTAGAACTGACTCAATGCTTGCAAATTACCTTTTCCTAGCTGTCCAGTTATCATGGTAAGCCAACAAAACATGAATAAGCAAATCCTTCAGGCATCAATCGTGACATTAACCCCATGCCACATGAAAACATTGGTCACTTGCTACCCTCCTTGTTCTTCTTGTGATTCTTCCAGATTTCATCGAGATTTCTCAAGATCGCCTGCCGGGCCCGCAAGGCGTCTGAACTCTCATACCCCTGCAGTTTGGTGCACAGGCTTCCCCAGTCGATATCCTCCCGCGTGATGGCCCTCATCTCGTAGTATAATTTGAAAGATATCTTAGAACGCCAGAAGACGCTGCCAAGACGAAGATCTAGGGCTTTCTCCAAGCTGCTCGCATCCTGCACGGGAAGATATTTGGCAATCATGTAGACTAGCTCCAGTGGAACTCCACAGATCCCAGTCTCTTTGCTTGGCTTGAGCGCAGGTCGTTTGTTTTCTCCCTGCACGCCCTGCTTTCTCCTCAACTCCGCTTGACCTATCTCAGAGTATATGGCGTCAAAGACGGTCGCCGTAAAATAAGGATCGGCTGTGGTCATGGATCAAATCACTCAGTCATCGGTAGTTCAGCAAAGTCACAGGAGAGTACTATACCGTCCTCACACGCGTGCGAGATTGGTGGCATCGGAGGATATTTGAAAATGGCAGCCAACAACGCAACCAGGTCTGTCTCGGCGAGAGTCCGCAACTTGTGGGTCTTGAGCAGCTCCCAACAGCAAGAATGAACCCCGTAGCTCAGAGAAGTTATCCGAGCCTTTAGTCGTAGGTACTCTGCACGGCGCTTGATTGTCTCCCAAAGTATGACTTTCTTGAACATATGGAGGGCATTGGAAGGAAACGTGCGCTGGGGGCTGACGTGAGCTGTCTTAACGTCCGAGAGGTAAGCTCTACGACTGTGGGATTTTTTGATGACTAGATGTGCATGCGGTCCAGTTAGCACTTTCGGGATATCTGTGTCTTGGTGGAGCAACTCACTCAATCGATATTCTTCCGTCCAGCTCGGCTCCTTTGAGTGAGGATCCTTGCCATGCTTGACCTGGCTTTTGTTGGTAGTAGACTGGCGGTAGCGGATGTAATGCCCGCATATGTAGCATACAATGTTGCAGAAGTACAGACTGGGATCCCTTATTCCCCACTCGATTGCTGGTTGCGAACTCCGCTTGGATTTGGTGACCATCATGCGATGAGGGGATACAGAATAACAGATGATCATGCCTAGCTCGGGACAGTGGGGGAATAATCGATGAAAGAGAGGGACTGCAGGTAGATGTGACATCGACGAGGAGTGAATTCGCGGGATGTGTTTCCGCAATCCCATGTGAACCTCTTCCGGATGAATCGATAAGACATAAATCAGCCTCCCATCTGGGATTGTTACCTCTCTCGCGCTGCATTCTGTCCAAGCTGCAGTATTCCAACCTATACATGAAAGATCCAAGAGTACCGGAAGTAGTAGACTGCCCGAAGATGTTCTGCGTATACGCATGAAGCATATCGAGACACCGATGTCCGATTTTGAGGGACCCTAGAATATCATATGAGACAATGGAATCATGCTGGGAGAAGTGATCAATCAGTTCAAGGGCTCTGGTAGCGAATTCAGATGTGTCTCAAACTCCATCAGAGAGATTCCATCGAGAGCTGGAGCTGACTCAGCCATCAGCCTGCCCGTCACCAAGTGACTACCAACTTGGGGCTGCTCATCCATTCTGGAGCTCTTACACTCTCAAAGGATACGTCCTCACGCCAACCCGTTCCATCCCCCTTTCTTCACCTCGACATCCAAGCATGGTAGCGAAACGATAGACGACTACTCGCCTCGTTTCCTAAATGTTACTAGCACATTGCTATCCCCATAGCGTGGCCGATCCCGCAATGGATCCTAACCAACACTTGACGATCCGCTCTTCGGCTCACGCACACTTGCTTTTTCCGGACACTTTGGAGCCCATGGAACTGAAGATAAGCGACTATACTGCACGATAGGATTCAAGTTTTGGTCGGTACGAGAACGAGCATCTGTCGATCTCTGTCTTCTCAGCACCGGTTGCTTGTACTCGCGGCGAGACCCCTCTGTCTCTACGTCTCTGTACGGAACATGATGGAAAGAAAGTCATTTCCGCTTAATCATCGCCATGTTCCCAATGCGAGAAGCTGAGCCCTACTTCTGCATCTGTGATTCATGGTTCACGGATAAAAAATCGATCGGCTGTGCTGCTTTCCGTCTCCCGGGTCTGGACTTTCCATCGCTCACCCAGCAAACGGTCCGACGGATCCGCTTATGATGGGTCGGTTGTGCAGCTTTCCGCCTTCCGGGCCCATATTGTGATATCATCTAGCAACGACTTGCTTTTCCGGGACCCATAGTCCATCCTTCCAGGATGCTGATGTCAAACGGTTTCTTACGACTGGCCACTATCGCCCCGGCCAGAGCAGATTGGCCTGCCCTGAGCTCTGCGATTATAGGTTCGGCTAGGATTCAGGGGAGATCCCGAACGTCCTCAGAATATTAAGTTTGGTTCCGCTTTTCTTGTAAGGCATATACTGTCAGATTAATGCATTCTGTGATTTGAAAAGTATAAGGGCAATTGAGCCTGACTGCTTATCTCGTCCTTTAATCCAGGTTCTGTTCCGCTCTACTGTTTGTCTCAATTTACTGCCGCATGTTGAAAATCATTCAGGCTCAACATGTCGAGAGAGAAAGAACCACTTGGGTCCGAGCTACATGCTGACGACCATGGAAGGGCTCTCTATGAATCACAATCACAATCATGGTCTTCCGCTCCTATGCCCGTATCTGCATCTGAACGAAGAGAGACCGATTCTTCTCACTCTCATTCGACCTCCTCCACGAGCTCCACTCTCGATGCCGAGATCGAACACCACCGACTCCCCACGAATATCCGCCGTGCATCACTGAACCCTAACGACGAGACCTATCTCACTCAACTTGCCAGCGCAGACCACAACATCTCTCGCGTTAGCACCCTCGCTAATATCTCTACGAACGACCCTGTGCTCAACCCGGACAGCAAAGATCTCGATCTATATAAATGGCTGCGAAAGATTGTACATCAGCTGAATGAGGGAGGGATTCCGCAGAAGAAAGCCGCCATCTACTTTGAGAACCTCCGTGTTTCAGGCTCTGGGTCGGCACTGCAGCTTCAACAAACAGTGTCTGACCTACTTACGGCGCCTTTTAGACCTCGTGAGACTTTCAATCTTGGTTCCAAAACTCCCAAGCAGATTCTTCGAGGCTTTGATGGAGTGTTGGACAGTGGCGAGTTGCTCCTCGTGCTGGGCCGCCCTGGCTCAGGATGCAGTACATTTCTCAAGACGCTCTGTGGTGAGTTGAATGGGTTGGATCTAGATCCCGCATCAGTGATTCACTATAGCGGCATTCCCCAGAAAACAATGATCAAGGAATTCAAGGGTGAAGTACTATACAACCAGGAAGGAGACAAGCATTTCCCCCATCTTACCGTGGGGCAGACATTGGAATTCGCTGCATCTGTCCGAACCCCGTCAAAGCGTCTACAGGGCATGTCACGGAAAGAATATGCAAAGATGATGACGAAGGTAGTCATGGCTGTGTTTGGCCTGAGCCATACCTACAACACCAAGGTTGGAAGCGATCATATCCGGGGTGTGTCCGGCGGAGAGCGCAAGCGCGTCAGTATTGCAGAAATGGCTGTGTCAGGGGCCCCCATCGCTGCGTGGGATAACTCAACCCGCGGCCTTGACTCCGCCACCGCACTGAAGTTTGTGCAGTCATTACGATTGGCTGCAGATTTAGGATCATCGTCTCATGCGGTGGCTGCCTACCAAGCCAGTCAAGCTATATATGATCTGTTCGACAAGACTGTACTGCTCTACGAAGGACGCCAGATCTACTACGGATCGGCCAATAAAGCGAAAGCGTTCTTCGAACGTCAGGGATGGTTCTGTCCTCCACGCCAAACGACTGGCGATTTCCTGACCTCTGTTACCAATCCGGTCGAAAGACAGCCAATTGCTGGTATGGAGGCCCAAGTGCCGCGTACTCCGGATGAGTTTGAAGCATACTGGCGTCAATCGTCTGAGTATCAAGAGCTTCAAAAAGAAATGGCTGCTCATCAGCAACTTGTTGCTTCGCAGTCAAATGAAAAATTGCTGGAATTACAACAACAAAAGCGTCAAGAACAGGCTAACCACACGCGGGCTGCTTCACCTTATCTCCTCAGCATTCCCATGCAGATTAAACTTAACACCATTCGAGCCTATCAGCGAGTCTGGAATGAACGAACTTCGACACTAACAACTGTGATCGGAAACTGTGTGTTGGCTCTCATTATCGGTTCGGTCTTCTATGGCTCCCCTGCAACAACCTCAGGGTTTTTCGCCAAGGGCGCTGTGCTTTTCTATGCTGTGCTCCTTAACGCTCTCACGGCAATGACAGAAATCAACAGCTTGTACTCTCAGCGCCCGATTGTGGAGAAGCATGCATCTTTCGCTTTCTATCACCCAGCAACGGAAGCTATTGCAGGTGTTCTAAGCGATATACCGGTCAAGTTTCTGCTGGCAGTGGTCTTCAACATCATCTTATACTTCTTGAGTAACCTGCGCAGGGAGCCATCGCAGTTCTTCATATACTTCCTCATCAATTTCATTGTTATGTTTGTGATGAGTGCTGTATTCCGGACTATGGCGGCAATCACCAAAACCGTCTCACAAGCAATGACCTTGGCCGGTATCCTGATTCTTGCCTTAGTCATTTACACAGGATTCGTGGTTCCAGTGCCTAAAATGCATCCCTGGTTTGGTTGGATTCACTACCTCAATCCTATCTACTACGCGTTCGAGATCCTGGTTGCCAACGAGTTCCACGGACGGGAGTTTGCTTGTTCCCAATTCGTTCCCTCCTACCCCAATCTCCAAGGAGACTCTTTCGTGTGCTCAGCAACAGGCGCCGTGGCCGGTCGTCGGACTGTCAGCGGCGATGACTATATCTGGGCTTCGTACAGATATACTTACAGTCACGTATGGAGGAACTTCGGTATCCTCGTCGCATTCCTCATCGGTTTCTTAGCCATATATTTCCTCGCGACCGAGCTCAATTCGTCCGCCACCAGCACAGCTGAAGTTCTGCTGTTTCGTCGAGGGCACGAGCCTGCCTACCTCAAGCAGGGACAAAGTGCTAACGCCGATGAGGAGTCTGGCAAGCCCGCAGCGACTTCGGCGCATGACAATACCCAGGACAATGCGCGTGGCAAGCAAGAGAACGGCCTCTTCTCCATCCCACCTCAACAAGACGTTTTTACGTGGAACAACGTCGTCTACGATATTGAGATCAAGGGCGAACCACGTCGACTCCTAGATCATGTCGCCGGCTGGGTCAAGCCAGGGACATTGACTGCATTGATGGGAGTTAGTGGTGCTGGAAAAACTACTCTCCTTGATGTCTTGGCTCATCGCACTACGATGGGCGTTATCACCGGTGACATGTTTGTCAGTGGTCGCCCGTTGGACTCGAGTTTCCCCCGGAAGACTGGTTATGTGCAACAACAAGATTTGCACCTGGAAACTGCGACCGTTCGCGAGAGCTTGAGGTTTAGTGCCATGTTACGACAGCCAGACTCGGTACCGGTAGAGGAAAAGCATGCTTATGTTGAGGAGGTCATCAAGATGCTCAACATGGAGGACTTTGCCGAAGCTGTTGTTGGTGTTCTCGGCGAAGGTCTCAATGTTGAGCAACGCAAGCTGTTGACGATTGGGGTGGAGCTAGCGGCCAAACCGAAGCTCCTGTTGTTCTTGGACGAGCCAACCAGGTACGGTACACCCAAAACTTTTCTCCCTTGACACATATATCTGACAACCGATACAGTGGTCTCGACTCGCAGAGTTCTTGGGCTATTTGCAGCTTCCTTCGTAAATTGGCTGATGCCGGACAAGCAATCCTCTGCACTATCCATCAACCCAGCGCTATACTTTTCCAGCAGTTCGACCAACTATTGTTCCTTGCTCGTGGTGGGAAAACAGTGTACTTTGGACCGATCGGAAAGAATTCACGAACGCTTCTAGATTATTTCGAAGCCAATGGAGCCCCGCGCCCATGTGATGACGAGGAAAATCCCGCTGAGTATATGCTCGAAATTGTCAACGCTGTTAGCAACAAACACGGCGAGGACTGGTTCGACGTGTGGAAAAGAAGCAAGGAAGCGGCTGCGGTGCAAGAAGAGATCAACCGCATCCATGCAAGTCGTCAGGAACAGCCGGGAGGACAAGAAGACCCCCGGGAGCATGACGAATTCGCCATGCCGCTGATGAAACAATTGCCTATTGTGATGCGTCGAGTCTTCCAACAATACTGGCGCACGCCAATGTATATCGTCGCTAAGATGCTTCTTGGAATCTGCTCGGGCTTGTTCATTGGATTCTCCTTCTTCAAAGTGGACAGCTCCACACAGGGCCTCCAGGACGCCATTCTCTCGGTCTTCATGCTTTGCGCCATCTTCTCCTCCCTTGTCCAGCAGATCATTCCTATGTTCATTATCCAGCGTTCCCTGTACGAGGTGCGCGAGCGGCCTAGCAAGACCTACTCCTGGAAGGCGTTCATGTTTGCCAGCATCTTCGTCGAGATCCCCTATCAGATCTTCATGGGCATCCTGGTCTACGCCTGTTACTACTACGCCGTCGACGGCGTGCAGTCCTCGTCTCGCCAGGGCCTGATCCTCCTGTTCTGCATGCAGTTCTTCATCTACGCCAGCACCTTCGCAGACCTCTGCATCGCCGCCCTGCCCGACGCCGAGACCGCCGGCGCCATCGTCACCCTCCTCTTCTCCATGGCCCTCACCTTCAACGGCGTCATGCAGGCCCCCTCCGCCCTCCCGGGCTTCTGGATCTTCATGTACCGCGTCTCCCCGTTCACATACTGGGTTGGTGGAGTAACAGCCACCCAGCTGCACGGCCGCCCCGTTCAATGCAGCAGCACCGAGATGTCCATCTTTAATCCCCCGGCAGGCCAGACCTGCGGGAACTATCTGAGCGACTACCTCCAGACCGCGATCGGCTACCTCAACAACCCTAACGCCACCGCCAACTGCGAGTACTGCTCTATGTCCGTCGCCGATCAATATCTGGCCGGCGTTAATATCTCCTATAGCGAGCGGTGGCGCAACTTCGGCATCTTCTGGGCCTATATCGTGTTCGATATCGCTGCTGCGGTCCTCTTGTACTATGTTTTCCGGGTCAAGAAGTGGAGCTTGGCTTCCCTCAGGAAGGGAAAGAAGGATTGAGCTGAGTCGAGGTCTTCGTATAGAATCTTCTTTCTTTCTTTTCAATTCTCCTTCTAGCCTTTCTCTTCCTTTGCTTTCCCTTTTTCTAATTCACCCTTTCTATCCCTTTTCTACCTTTGTTTGCTGCAGCCTCCGGACGTTTGGTTTGCTCTCTTCCTATAATGACCCGGTGATCGCTTGAAGTGTTCTAGATATAGATTAGACTCACATCACGTCTGGATATATTCTTAATATGCTTAGAATACAAATGCACATATAACAATCTTGCTGCACCCTTTTAAAAACTGTTACCTGTTACCAAGATACACTACACTATGTTGAAGAGTATTCAGCATGGAACTGACATGATATTTCTGAAAGTCAACACCACAGGCCATTCAACACGATAGATCCTCCTCTCATCAAGTCATAGAAGACAAAAGGTGGTTCCCTCCTGCGAACACAAACCCGAAAGTAAATCGACCTTACTTGTTCTTCCTTTTTCTTGATTATTTAAATTCCGAAATCAACCATCCGAGTCCCCAGCGAGTCAGTGCCAGAGAAAACATGCACAAATAGTGGATAGATGATCAGCGTTAACAGTTATCAAGAACAGACAGACGTCAAGTCCGAGGTCGACCGAGCGAAAACGAGGCTCATCAACCAGACCTTAACACCCATTCTCATCGACAACCAGTTGCACACCATCATCGTCACAGTTATGGGACATCGAACAACTTCTCTGACGAATGCCTGGGCTCGTTGGTTTTCCCTCACGTATCAACGTGGGCAGAGCCATTGTCGAAGTATGGGAGGGCTTGGCCCTACCAGCCTCCACCACCGCCACTACCCCAGTTGTTGTTGTCCTCTTCGATGGGCGCGGGCGCGTCGTTGTCATCACCCCCGGCACCAGAGACCCAGGGCTCGGGCTCGCCTGAGTCGTTGTTATCGTGAGTTTTATCGAACGATTCTTCGGCTGGAGCGGTAGGGCAGCGTCTGATGGTATGGCCCACTTATTTAGGAAGGAGAGTTAGGAAGTGGTTCATTATCGTGAATAGAACATTAGAAGGAGAGAGACTTACTCTCACCGCAGTTGCGGCACTGGACTCGAGAGTAATCGCGCTTCTTGGTGCAGTCCCGGCTAAAGTGACCGACTGGGGTATAATATTAGCTAACGTGTACTGCGGAGATTATGAGGCGTACATGCCTTCATCACAGTTGCGGCAGGTAACAGTAGAAACATCCCGGGGTTTGTCACAGTCGCGCGCAATGTGGTCCTCGGATCTGCTACAATTAGCATACTTTTGACTCAAGGTAACGAGGAAAGAAGTGTTGCTGCTTACCCGCAGTTGCGACAGGTTCTAGGCTCGGGTTTCTGAGGACAATCTTTCGCGAAATGTCCGACTGGTACCTTAGATTAGCAGATGAATGGAGAGATCAGGGGCGTCGATTTACCTTCGTTGCAACGCTTGCATTCCACGCCCTCCGCTGAGCGTGGGTTAGGACAATCAGCAGCTTTGTGCTCAGAAGAACTTTGCAAATGTCAGTGTCTCGATTCTGTGAGTTCAATGATAGACGACATACCCGCAATTGCGACAGGCGAATTTGTCACGACGGGGCTCAGTGCAATCACGAGCACGGTGACCAAGAGCGCCGCAGTTGACGCATTTCACTTCAACCCGCTCGATCTCGACCCGTTCTTGCGTGCAGCCACGGGCAGTATGACCCATTTCTTTGACATATTAGAGATTATTCCTTGAGTCGGCAATGAACTTACCGCCACAGTTGCCGCACTTCGGGATCTGACGGTCATAGGGCAAGCCGGCATCCTCAAGACGTTCGTAGTTCTCTTCAACGCTAGATGGCCAACGCGCTCGGAGATGCGCGCGCTGCGGCTTAGGGCTGTAGAAAAATCCCACCACGTAAGTGCAGTTCAGCTTGCCTTGGAGGTTGATGAAGCTGATACAATCATTTGCTTCTCCCTCCTGTATCACTCAGTTAGATCTTCTAGGCTCCGTCCTGAAAGAGCAAAAGAAGGATATACAAACCAAAGCGATGATATAGAACTGGAGGTCCTCCTCACGCATTTTCTTCTCGATATCGACGAAAGTGGCCTCAGGAACCGCCTTCGAGTAGATCTTTATGGCCTATTTTGTGTCAGCTTGATGACGATGGCCAGTCATACGCGAAGATAACGGGCCGTGATGTAAGGGATTATCCTACTTTGCGGAAATCTTCAAGATCTCTCTCTTGGCTAGCCTTTCTCAGAAGCAGCCAAGCCTCCTCGGGCATCAAGTCAGCAACATCATTCAGGTCGAACTTGCGATTTTCCTTGCATTCAATGGCGCGATGACCTAAGGGTGTCAGTATATTCTGCTTGTGTATCTGACATAGGGGAATACTGCTGCGCCATACCTTCCATCTTGCAGTTTTTACAGACATCAGGAGGTCTTTCAGGACACTCGGCAGCAGGATGACCTTCCTGGTTGCAGATGCGACAGGTTCCCTTGAAGACACGCGGCTTGGTACAGTCGGCCTTCGAGTGACTATTTGTATCACGTTAGCCAGCCAGCAAAACAACACTCGGTATCTTTGGCTTACCCTTCCTCGCCACAGTTGAAGCAAGCCCCCATGGACTTGCGAGGCTCAGGACACATACGCGCGAAGTGATCATCGGCCCCACAGCTGTAAGACTTGTGGTTAGATACTATAAAGCGTCTGGGTTTTGTATTGTGAGCACGTACTTGCGGCATCTGTTGTCCTCCTGTCCTTCGGCAGCAGACGCAGGGCCATAGTCATCGCCTCCATGAGGAGCAGAATCGAAATCCCCGGGTCGGGCATTCTCATCGTTTCCGTAGCCTGACGCATGGTTAATAGCGCTTTGAGTTGAGCTTCAGTGATGTTGGTGAGCTCGAAGACGAGCTCATCTCGAGATCTGCGGGTGGGAAAGCTCTCATTCTCGAGAAGGATCACGAACCAGTGTCACGCCCCTCGTCGTTCCAATCCGTAGTAGTATTCCAGCCAGACATCTTTTCTATGCAGTCGAGCTGCTAACAGGCAAGGAGGAACTGCAAAATACTTACATCATTAGTCTTTAGAGGTAAGAACAGACTCTGTCTTGATGAAGGGGGAGCTATGTGGGGTGAGACCTGATGTCAGAAGGGAGCCTTGAGTCTCCAACAGAGAAGAACAGATTCTGGAGAGTGCAATGGAAGAGCCTCTCATGAATTTGCTTTTTATCTGGGTCTCTGTAGATGAAATCCACTCACCTGTGGTACTGGCCCCAAGATCGTTGGGAAGTGGGAAGTGTTTGGGAAACACACGGGTGATGGAGATGAAATCCACGCTTAGCAAACAGAAATTTAGATGATAGACAATGAGGACAGAGAAATGAAGAAAACGAAGGAGAAGAGGGAAAGACGGGGGGAAAGGAGAGGTGATGGAAGAAGAGGGGAGGGAGAGAGAGACACGAGAGTGGGAACACAGACAAACGAACCATAAACAACACGGCCAGAGATTCCCTGCTGTCACCATACACTTTTGTACGTGACCCCACCTGGAGCTCATCTCTCTTCACTGCATGCCTAACTGCTCGCTTCCTTACGTGTTCGAATTCTAGACGTAGATTGTGATCAAGGGCCTTTATTGCTGGTCTTGTAGCTCGTCATATTAGACATGTTCCACTGACCATGCTTTACCCACACCCCATCTTTCGTAGACCATATTCAATAATGATAAAAACTTGAAAATAGAACAATAATGCGTCGCTTCTTTGCAAAACCGAGCAAGTTTCAACACAGTTGATGCAAGAAATGAATAATCCCACTACACAAGCGAGCTCACTTCGAGGGACGGAAATTGTCAAATATCTGCTCGACTTGCGACCTGAGCTTCGCGCAATTCTCACAGTCTCCTGGGGTGGTTTCCTTCGCGCCTGCTCTCTCAGTTTTGACTTGAAGAAGCTCGGCCTTTAGATCGTCCACCTGCTCCCTCAGCCCGTCCATGTCCACCTTATATTGACATTCCTTCGTCAGGTTTTCCATAGTCAAACCTCTGAGCTCTTTCTCAACTTCATCGAGCTTGCTCTTCTGCTCGACTAATTTCTGCTGCAATTCCATGTATTCGTTGATGATAGTCTGCAGAGACTGCATGCCTTCCGGTAGCTTGGGCAGGGTGAGTGCCTCAACGGCTGCTGGCGTGCTATCTTTTATAGCCTTGGTGACATTTTTCTCGGCAGCTTGAGTCTGGTGATGAGACAGCAGAACATTTAGCACGCTAGATCCTGGTCTAGATAATGATTGCAGGATGCTGACCTTCATGTATGAGTTCTCTTCCACAAACAACTGATTCGATGTCTCATCATCAGAAGAATCGCTGTTATCCTCGTCACTATGATGATCACTGCCTGCTTTAGAGAGGCTCTCATACTCGAACCCACAAACGGTCCTCTGCTTTTTGGTCTCGATTTGGATTTCTGGACTGTATGATTTAGTAGGGGGACGTTTGCTGCCCTTGCTGGGCGCCATGTTGCAGTCTGCTTGGGCTCCCTAGAGGTAGCGATTACTTTTAGTACTACGAAGACAGCCCGGGTAAAGTGGTGTAGCTGGGAAATACCATCTGTTTTGATGCAGCTCTTTCTCCTCGGCAAAATATCTTCTTTGATGGTTAGCAGGAACTCTTGCTATGATAAACCATTGCGGATGCGTTACAAAATAAGCCCCACGGACTGAGGCGAGGGTCCGGTCAGGAAAGTGTCGCTATGAAACGCGTCAGTGAATGGTTTCTGGAGTCATGGATGACATTCCAAACTGTACCTTGTGAAATTCAGCCCAGGACAAGTCGCTGTCTAGCTTCCTTTGCTCTACCAGGCGACGCTTTTCCGCCGCGGACCACGGACGGGGTTGGGGCTTCTTGGTAGAACTTGGGGACTGCATCCGGAAGATTCACAATGCTTGAATTTCAAACTTGCGTATGGAGTGAAACAGTTCGAGGGTAAGATAGGAGTAGCTCGTGGCTACGCGTGAAGAGTGGATCGGGCTGGGGACCATCCACTTCACACTATGTGGTTGTCAGGGAATGAATGGTGACAGGTGGGTGGGTAGGATGTAGACACATAGGAGGTTTTTGCGTCAGCGGGACTCTTTGTAGGTGCTGGTAGACAGAGATAAGAATGAGGCAGTGAGTGAACAGTCCAGCCAGCAAGTTTTGGGTTGTCTTGTGGTATGGAATATTTGTTGATCCACGCAGGCACACAATCCATATACCTTATATTGGTTGACAAGTATCAGCCTTGAACTTAAGGGAATCTCTGGGATAGCTTGAGAGTATACGAAGATCCAAGGCTTCTCACATGTAATCTGCAAGATGCCTATCAGAGCGCGTGACAACAAATGAGCCAACTCTGGATGTCAAATTGACGTAGAAGCCAAAGGTGACCCGTAGCCTGATACAAACTTGACTCTCTGTAAGTGCCTTGTGTCTGTCTTACACATTCTCACATGTGTCATAGAAACATACGACATCCGTATATGCTTATCATCCTAGGATGGTTATGCGAAGACAACTTGCCAGATATAAAATCAAGTCCAGTCGACAAGTAGAGATGTAAATCATATTCGGATCATATCCTCACTTTCAACTTCATATAAATCAATCAAGTACATCTAACAGAAAGAGATCTAGTTTCTTACGTCTGGAGTTGCTCATATTGCTCTCCCTCAGATGTCGGAGAAATGAAGTGATTTGTGGCAATATACGCGCAATTCGAGAGATTGACGAGTACAAGAGCAGAGAACACTCTAACAGCAACAGTCTACAGACTCTTCGGGTCTTCTTTTGATAAGCATGCCTCCTTATATAGACTAAGCTATATGTGCAAGCGAAAGCTTTGGTATGGGTCAGTTCATTTACAGCTGAATAATTCTGGAAAGTGTAACCGAAGTGATTCGAAATTTCAGCATGCAGAGACATCATAAAGCAATTTTTCTGATGATGTGACTATAGCAATATAGTCTAGCCCCAAAGTAATAGTAAGGTTTCAATTTCCCATTATCTGCTCATACTTAGATCAAGCCTCAACTCAAGCAGACGGTTTTGATCACTTCTGGCAGTGGCGCGGACATGCCGTAGCTGCAATCATCCAGCCAGACAACACTCTAAGAAGTTTACTTGCGGACATATGGCGCAAGAAGCCGATCCTGGGAGTTCTACTATGAAACGCACCGCTGCTCAAGCCGATGTAAAGGCTACAGCAGCTGGTATCAACCATATTTTGAATTGACTATCGAAACTTGCTACACTCTGATCTGCGGATTGAGAATTGCATACACGTCGAGACCAGTAACAATGGAATGCAAAAAGACAGACGAAAATCATACCCAGTATGAAACGCGCCAAATTACTTGAAGAGCCTGCCCAGCAGTCCTCCCGCAAGGTTACTCACGATGCCCCCAGAAAGCGCGCTGTTAGCGAAAGTAGACGCCTGGCTGAAGCGATCACAGCGGGAGAAAGCGAGCGTGTTCGTGATAGTCAAGACCAAAGCGATGGCTACAGCGAGTCAGTCAGTAATTAGACCTTGGACGCTGGAAACGAAGGGTTGCACACTTACCAACCAGACTCAACCAGATCACGCTGCTCAAGCGAACGATAGCCAGTACGGCCAGACCAACCCACAGCGCAGGTGTCACGTACAAGCTGAGCCAGAAGAACCGTTTGTCTGTCGCGGCAATCGTACGGGTGGTGGGATCCGAGGATTCGAAGACCCAGTGGGAGTCGCCGCTCGAGGTGTTGACCTCGTTCCACCAACGCAGTCCAACAAGTCGGCGTCCGGCGATGTTTTTGAGGTAGTAGAAATCCGCGGAGAGGAGGAGGAGCGTAAGGATGAAAACCAAGACACTATGCGAATGAGATCAGTCAGATAAGCTCGGACAATTGTTTGCATGCTCCACCAAAGGGAAGATATCCCGGGTGCAGGTGAGATTCTATTGCAGGGCTGACTTGAAGCCTAGCAGAAACAGAGACAATCAAAACATACAAGTTCTTGATGAAGAGGACGCCGAAGAGGTACATCAAAAGGGCGCTAATGCGGAAGCCCAGGAAGAACAACAAGGTGATCGGATGGGCGCTCAGGCGCCAGTTCAGATCTCCCTGCTGCGGTTGTAGGGGTTGTTGTTCCATGATGGCCGAGGTGGAGACTCCAGAGTCAAGCAGCTCTTCAGATACTCAGAGGGGGGAGACAAGGCAAGTAGGTTGGACAACAGTCAAGCTGTTTGACACGCAACATGAAGCAGGAATGCGTTGATGCGTTGATGCAGCGTGTCTCCATTTCCGGGCGGTGGAGACTGGCAGAATGCGGAGCCACCGCCGGCTATATAAACGGTTGTTATTCTTTTTCCTGCCAGACTTACGTGTAACTGTTTGCGCTTGATTGAAATTCCGTTACAATGGCAGTAGAAGCCAACTCTTCTCCAGCTCATTCCTAATCACATGTGAGGATGCTGGAAAAACGCTGGCAGAGGACAGATGCTCTTGACGGTGAACCGTGCATGACCGATCCACCCTGATGGGATGAGGTCATTGGACTGATAGTTCCTGACGGCGGGAGAAGCCTTTATGCGCCGCGACCAGCAACCCGAGGATGTCCATCAGTCTAGGCTCACCTCCTCCTTACATCTCTCTCTCATCCACCAGAAGGAAAATACACTGCTCAGTCTAACTCAATCATAGCAAGAAGACTCGAGCAAGCTCCGACACCGTGGCAATGGCAGCCCGCAACACGCTCCGTCGAGCTCTTCTCTACAGTATGTCTCGATCTGGCACTTATCGCTGACCCCCGGGCCACACAAGCTCTCCCCGCATTTTCCCTCCATCCACGCCCCGAAGCTGCCCACACCAGCACAGTCCACCCCAACACCAAACACAACACTGACGCTTATCCAATGTAATTAAAAAATAGTCCCCGGGTCCTCGCAACGCTTCATTGACAAATCCCGCACCCTAACCGCCGACTGCGTGGCCTATGACCTCGAAGACAGCGTGACTCCGCACAAGAAAGCGGAAGCCCGCACACTGGTGCGGAGGGCCCTCGACCAGCCGACACCAGAGGGCATCCGCGAGCGAGCGGTGCGCATCAACTCGGTCGACAGCGGTCTTGCCCTAGGCGATCTCACCGAAGTAGTCAGTCACCTCCGCATCGCCTACATCCATCCATCATTATCTACACCCGCAAACCCAAACTAACCCCAACTCAAAACAAAAAGCTGCAATCCCCGAACCTGACCACAATCGTAATCCCCAAGGTCAACAGCGCCTCGGACCTAACCTTCGTAACGGACGTAATCAACCACACGATATCGCAGCAACCGCACCAACTCCCCCGGACCCCAATCTCGCTGCTCGCGCTGATCGAATCCGCGAAATCCCTCACAAACCTGACCCAGATCTGCGGCGCCACGCCATTACTGCAGGGCCTGATCTTCGCGGCGGAGGACTTCGCGCTGGACCTCAGCCTGACGCGCACCCCGTCACTGACGGAGTTCCTGTTCGCGCGGTCCATGATCGCGACGGCGGCGCGGGCGGCCGAACTCCCCTCCACGATCGATCTGGTGTGCACGGCCTACAAGTCGAGTAGTAGTGGTAAGGGTGGGAGCGATGGGTCGTCATCGTCGCCTCCGGCGGTTCTGGAGGAGGAGTGTCGGGATGGTCGGCGATTGGGGTTCAATGGGAAGCAATGTATCCATCCGTCTCAGGTGGAGACAGCGCAGCGGATCTTCGGGCCCGATCCTGAGGAGGTGCAGTGGGCGGTGAGGGTGTGTATCGCCGATGAGAAGGCTGCTAGGGCCGGACGCGGGGCGTGGACGCTGGATGGGAAGATGATTGATGTGCCGGTTGCGGAGAAGGCGAGGGCCGTGGTCAAGAAGGCTGAGGCCTGTGGGTTTAATGTGCGGGAGTTGAGGGAGAAGTGGAAGGGTCAGGAGCCTGAGTGAATTGGTCCGCTTCGAAAAGCCGGATCATATCTGCGGAGAACCCATCACGAGATTGAGGAGCGTTGTTACTCAGTTAGATGCATCTATGTATGCTTAAAAGGTATATACATGTTAGTATTCTTCCATATCTGGCATAGCCTACCCCGGCCGGCGTAAGGTCGGATTTATCTGCATGGTGAGAATGGTAAAAGAAATGCACGCTATGATGGGTAGCTGAACGCTCTACATGAGTAAAAGTGAAGGGGACGGTCTAATCTAACTCGCCCATGAATCTCCGAAACCCCCATAGTCTCCGCTCGCGAGGAGGTCACAGATAGGCTTCGAGCCCGCTTGCTGATCTTCGAAGAATATTCGGGCGTTCTATCACGACAATTGAACCCTCCGACGTATTTTGCGTGGGCGATCGTCGGAAAGAGCTGGGAAGCGAATAAGGGGCGTAGGTTTAAGGTAGAGGAGAAGTCCGGCGCGCACTCCAGCAAGAATGGAGACACGGGACCAGAAGCTGATGAATGATTATGGCTTCGACTCCAGGTCTTCGCGTTTCAACAGCTGGATTTTGCCCATCGTCATGACAGGCGGTGTAGTGTTGGCGTCCGATTTCCCTTCGGCGCTCTCTTCAACACTCTTGGCCAGACTTTTGTCATAGCTCGTGGGGTCAATGCCCAAGATGCCGCCAACATACCCACCTCTTTCTCCAGGAACGCTGAACTCACGGAAGAGATACTTCCACTCATTCAACCAGGCCTTGACAGCTTTGCCAATCTTGTCCTTGCCGTTCTTGGAATGATGACCCGTGCCAGTGATGGCATAAACCACCCTCCGGCCCTCCCGAGCATGCTTCAACAAAATCTTCTCTAAGTATTCGATGGCCTCTTCTGGGTGCAAGCCGTGCAGATCAACATATAGCTCCTCTGAGGAGTCCTCTAAGCCAGCATGAGACAGATGTTTGTTCCGCTCTTCATAAAGTTGCCGGGCTGCTTCACGATGGCACTTCCTCATTGCTTCGTTCTCTGCCTGCCCCCGTAGAGACAATGCCTTGGCTGCCCTAGCATCATTTCGATTCCAGGCTTGGGCCGCACTATGACAAATTAGCTTCCATGCTTCGAATTCGCAAACCCGGTGAACTTACCCTTGAAGGAATTTATTCCTTACCGTACCGTGACCGATCGCTTTGGTCCGGTATTTGATATACTGTTCGTTGGCGCGTGCCCCGGTCTCAAGCCAAGGGATATTCTGCGGCGCTGGAATAGACTGGGCAGCAGCACTAAACTCTCGACCCCTGGCGGCGTCTTTGCCATTCTTTGACGTAGATTTCCCTTTTCCTGGGACGGGTGATGGAGACATGCGAACGACGTCGGCCAACGAAGCGGGAGGATTCTCCTTGCTGGGATTATTTTCGCGATTATGCGCGCCTCGTTTCCCATGATGTTTCTTTCCACTATTTCTCGCGCTCATAGCGGCCAAAGTAGGAAATGCATCGGGATCATCCACGGACAGAGCAGCTGGATTGAGCTCCCTGTGCTGATGTCGACTCCCTGGTCGGGAGTGAGGGCGTGAGAGGCTCTGCATGCTTCCGCTTCGTTTTCCCATGACATATTGCATAGCGTGCGGCGAGTGCTTCCCACCCGAAAGACCCGATAGGTGGCCGGGATACTTTCCAATGTATTGACCACTCCATTGGTCTCCGCCTCCTGCCTGGAGAGGGGGGAACGCCTCCGACACATTCTCAATGTGAAGCTGTGGACCGGTGGGGATGGTTTGATTCTCGTCTCCCAAGCTCATGCTTGCGACCAAGGCGGACGGATCATGAGAAAACGGACAACCGTCGCCGGCAAGGCAATTGCCCATCACCCAGTATCTGTGTTGTGTCAGTGACGAGGACCTATTGAATCGACCACCATGGCAATCTCAACTCACTTGCAAAGGTGATTGGTGAGGTCGTGACTAAACCAACAGTCGGCACGGAGACATTGCCCAGTGGATAACCAGTATTTGCAGACCACCGGACTGCGACTCTGCAGCGACGGACTGGCGGATTTCGACTGCTCCATGGACATCGATTTCCCCACCACGACATGGCCATCATCCGATTGATGTAACAAAGTCTCTCCGTCAGAAAATTGCGAAAGCGATGCGATAGTCGCGCCGAGATCGTAACTGTTTGCTTCCAAAGCCGCTTCAATCTCATCATTCGTCCGTTTGTCTCCAAGGACAGTGCGCAGGATATCGTGCGGGCTCATGTCGGGAACAAATTCCGGAGCAGTGGCACTCAATGCCGCCGTAATGCTCGGCGTCCCTAAGGATGAAGCGACACTATTGGCATCATCCGCGACTAACCAGTCGACATTGCTATCACTGCCGAAATCTCCATAGAAGTCCGACACATGGCTCTGGTCGGAGAATTCGTACGCATTCAAATTCGGAGAATGGGGAATGGGTTGAGCCAGGGCCAGCCGAGGTGACGGACGCGGTGAGGTGAATGGTGATACAGTCGAGGAAAGCGGGGGACGCGGATAACCCCCTCGGGAGCTTTGGAGCCAGGAAGTGCTTCCAGGGCTGGTGCCTAAGTTGGAATGGGGCGACAAGGGCGTGGCTGAACGGGCCATCTGCCAGGGAGCAGGAGACGAGCGACGGATGACCGTATGGCGAGGAGGTGGTGGGGAGGAGTCGGGCAGGGTGCGGTTTCGATGGCGCCAGAGGACGTCCAGGACGGCATTTTCGAGCGCTGGACCGGATAAGGAGGTCTTTTCGCGAATGAAGTCTTCAATCTTCTCCGCCTGATCCTCCTCATCTAGAGCTTCATTCTGGAGGATCTGCAGACACTCCTCCAGGAGATCTTCTGCAATCATGATGAAAGAGGGCGTTGTGTTGGCTAGTGCAGCTGGAAAGCAATGGAAACACGGCGCGAAGGAGAGATGTGGGGTAACCGATGATTGCGAGGCTGGGACCGTTGAGCGGGAAAGCGTGGAATAGCTGGAAGGAGTGTTGCAGGATTCACAGAACAGTATCCATTATCATGTTTTGAGTCCCAGATGGTTCTTTGTCGACTATATATGAGAGACTTGAGAGACGGAAGGAAGTTAGCAATGTTGGTAGGCGACAGGACAGCAAGCTTGCGGTTCCACGGGTGATTACATCGCATCTGCCCTCACCATAGGATCGTCGACGATAAGGAAGACGGAAAACAATAAAAGCAATCCCCAAAAAGAACAAAAGAGAAGGTTCGACCAGCCGAAGCTTGTTTGTGGAAGCCCGAGAGGGAGGATGAAAGAGGGGTAGAAAGAGAGGGGAGGAGGAAATAAAGAGGAGAAAGAGGATGGGGGTTGGAGGAGGAGGAGAAGGAGGAGGAGGAGGGAGATGGAGATTCCAGTGTCAGTTCGGGGGGGGAAGAGGGGAGGGGAGGGGAGGGAGGAGACTTGACTGATTGGGAATGAGATGAGAGAGTGAGTGAGCGGGAAGCCGCCGGAGAGATTAATCCAGCCAACAAACAGTACTAAGGCTTGTACCTACCTTAAGGTAGTTCAACTGGTCCGGCCATTTCCTTTCTCCAACTAAAATGCCACCACCCCTGATCCCTTGTTGTATTGACAGATAGATGGTTCTCCCAATCACATCCCAGTTGTCAAGCTGGTCCGTTTGTTTTTCTTTATCTCAACTGACTTAACTTTCCCTGGATTCTGGATTGCTGTCAGGCTGTCAGGCTGTCAGGCTGTCAATCTTCGCCTGGACCAACTTCCTCCTCCTCACCCCCCTTTTTCATTCTGACACCTAGATCATCTGGCTGGTCTGATTGATGAAGAGACCAACGGCTATGTGGGGAATTCTAGACTAATCACATACAGTGGTAGTTAGTGGCAGCAGATCTACCGATGTGTGATGGGCAGCAATTTCTCCCCATCACATGAATAGCAGAGAGACCTCGAGGCAATTCTTAGCTCTCCTGAAGATTGAGGAATTAGTATCTTAGGATCATCTCATCTTTCCCTGATCTAGATCTGTTTCTGAACGCTTCAATCATCAAGAAGACAATAAGATGGTATCCGGTAATCATCTATACCAGTATTGTAATTTTCTGCGGGCAGTTTGTCTTGTCTGACTAAGGCCAGCAGCAGCTCCGAGACCTCCAGGCAGCCAGCTTCAACGGACCTGTCTGTAGCTGCCGTCAATAATTGATCATTCAGGAGAAGGAAGAAGAAGAAGAAGGTTCTTTGCACTGCTGGACAGCTCTTTCCTCTCTTTCTAACCTGGTCCTTTTGGCATGAGATATCTTGCTACATTAACTTGATCTTTCACCAAGTCTTCTTGCATCCATTACTGCTTCTTCCTCCTGCGCCTGCACACCTCATCATCGCATCACCCGTGGACGAACTCTTCCGCCATCCCCCGCTCATGTACCATTCCTAGTCGAGGGCTTAGAGACGCCCTCCTTTTTGAGAAACACATTGAGAAACTGTTGGGAATTGGCAATTGGGAATCCATTGGGCATAACACGTGCTGCGACCAAATCCCCAAGAAGAAAACCCTGAGAAGACGTCGAGTTCACTGGTTTGCGCCCGTTTCGTCATTCTGCCTATTCAGGCCTCCGCTCCACTTTCGGCTGTCGATCCTGTGGCCTTTACTCGGGATAGCTAAATCGAAGCCCCATACTCCAACTTTCCCGACTTCTTCAAGTTTGCCTGCCCGTATTCCCAAAAAAAAAAAAAAAGAAAAAATGCCTGCGGGTTATACATCCACAGCGCGGGCTCTCGCCGTCTCCCCAACGTCGCCAGAAGCTTTTTCCCCGTCTGACGAGGGCGTCTTCCCGCCATGGAGTCAACGAGCGTCTGCTCAACGAAACTCCCCAGGTTCCTCTAGCCGCACTCCGACGACGTTGCGCGAGCAGGCCATCGACCGAGCGACCCAAATGTCGCGACGAATTCGAGCAGCATGGCGAAAGATGACTTTCTGGCAGAGAGTGGGCGCAGTAGGTGCTTTTGTCTTGGCTAACCTGCTGGGACTGGCATTTTTGTTCTTTACCGGAAAGGTGTTCATTTGGATCCGGCCCATGGCAGCTCAGTGGGAGAAGTCTCGTTTGGCCTTTTTCATCCTCTGGCTATGTGTCTTCTTTGTTTCTTTTCCTCCGTTGGTAGGATGGTCGACATTCGGAACAGTATCTGGCTATCTTTTCGGGGTGTGGAAAGGGTGAATTTGGTCCCATTCGATTCGTGTATAATGCTTTTAGGGCTAACATTCCAGCTAGTTGGCTCCTCTACGCCTCGGCAACGGTGCTCGGGTCGACCGCATCATTCATCGTTTCGCGGACAGTCTTGTCTAAATTCGTGCATCGGTTGATTGAGCGCGATAAACGATTCGCAGCCCTCTCGCTGACCTTGAAGTACGATGGTCTTAAGTTGCTATGCATGATTCGTTTATGTCCACTACCCTACTCCGCGTGCAATGGGGCTGTCTCAACCTTCCCGACCGTTCATCCGTTGATGTATGGACTCGCCACCGCACTGGTGTCTCCTAAGCTACTAGTGCCCGCCTTTATCGGCAGCAGGCTCCGGGTCCTGTCAGAGAACAACGAAAAGATGAGCGCCGGTTCGAAGGCTGTGAACATTTGTAGTATTATCTTCACGATCGCCGTCGGCGTCTTCACCGGACTGTATATATACAAAAGGTACTGCACTCGGATAACCCTACCTACATCCTCCAGCTAATGGGCTTCGTTTAGAACTCTGGCTCGAGCCAAGGAATTGGAAGCCAAAGAACGTGAGGATATTCGACGGACTCTGCAAGCGGACCACGCCGCTCATCGTTCACACCAGAGCTTCTCGGAGGACCCGGACGTCGATGCGGCCGCCCGCACTCTTGCCCGTGATGAGGAGGAACAGATCGGTTTCACGGATTTGGACGATGACCACGTGGAATTGGCTATCGACGATGAAAGTAGCAGTGAGAACTTGGGCGGCCAGGGCAAGTCGTCGCGCTATCGGGATGAATTCACCGATAATGACTCGGATGCCTTCCGGGAGGAAGATGGTGCGCATGAGGAGACATATACTTTGCATACCCATGTGCGCCGGGACTGAAGCTTCTAGGAACGCCGGAATCCGACTCAGACCGCACAGCATATACATCGGACCCTTTGTACTTGATTAGAGTCTTCGCTCATGAGTGACGTCTTGTATTCTATAAAGAAAGAGAGCCAAAGATGAATATGACGGTTTACGAAGCCGGACCAACAGGCTTGGTGCTGTTTAGATCCCGAACCATGGGAGATCATTCGAGCGCGCGACGTTCAGGTAGTGTCACTACACTACCCGGGAGTTTCCTGTCTCCTTTTCTCTTTTTCTTTCTGTAATTCATTCTTAGCGGAGAAACCAGATTGGCGAGTGGCTTGTCTAAGGGCAGGATGAGTTAGCAATCATCAACCATATCCATATATGTAAAGAAGATGGGGCAGCGGACTGCTGCTGCCAGAGAGGGTGGGAAGGAAGGGAGTGAGTGAGTACTTGCCTTCCTCCCTTCGCGGGGTTCCGGCCGAACAAACCGCCGATCCAAAAAAGGGCATTCCCAATCTTGCCTTACGTTGAACGCTCCCTTCAGGTCCTCCTTTCCGCCTTCCGCATTTCCTCACGTTGCCCCTTGATTCGCCCCCCTCTCGTAGGTGAGAGAGAGGACCTTGTTGCATATGTTTAGTGCGAGTTTCTAGGTTGGTATATCGCTGAATTTGTCCCTTTCGATGCTTGCGCTTGTGGGGACTCTGGGGCGTCATGGGCTTGGCTGATAAGGATCTTCCGATTGAACACCCTCTTAGCCTAGATGTATATGGTGTCTAATAAGAGTAAGTCACCTGCTCCTCCAGTCAGACTTCCTGGTTTCCTCCGTCAAATCCGCGATGTACGAAGTGTCTTCTAACCCTATTTAAAGGAGACCTAACACATCCTCAAGCCAAGCCGTTTGCTTCCCGCAGTCAAGGATTTCTCTTGGTGGCGCCTAGCATGTGTCGATAGAGGGATATTCAACTAGTATGAAAACCGCAGCCTCTGTTGGGGCTCAGGGCCCGAATGGGCACACTTCCCATATCAACCCGTTCAGTCAATACCTGCCTACAGGTCTCGGGGCTATGGCCAGCGCTGGGGGACAATTCTCCATGTTCTCGGCTCGCCAAGTTTTTCCTGAGAGCAGTCAGCCGGCACGGCTACCGGCAGTAATACAGTCGGGTAATGTAGCTGCCGACAGGCTTCTAGGTGCGAGTGGCGCCATAGCCTCGACCGCGATTTCGACCTTAAATGGTAGTGCGATGCAGCCCTCTGTCATAGGGGGCTCGAGTGCCCTGCAGAGGTTAAGTGGACAGTCTGCGGATACTGCGACCACCAGCATCGCCACGCTACATGCACCCAATGGTGGTGCGACTGTATCCCGCGATCATATCCCTGACTTGACGACGAGCTCATACTCTATGCCCTCGTCCGGCTCCAGTCAGACCAAGTCCGACTCGCCGTCTACAACTCTGACCGGCGCTCTGTCCTCGGGGTCCACTTCTATCACGACCGATCCCCCACCCCAGAGCCGATCGGAGCATGTTCCAATCCCCATCAAGTATCGCCCGCGATCATCGATTCCATCGCGAATGCCGCCAGCAGTGTATGCTCAGCAGTGTGTGGCGGCCGCGTATGCCTCTCGGCTCAATCCTTACTCCTTGCACAAGAAGGAGCAAGAGGCGCTCCAGGACCATCTCTGTCATTTACATGTCACTGTGTATCTGAACATCCGGAATGGCATCTTGCGATTGTGGACGCGAAACCCAATGGTGAGCGTCACCAAAGAGGAAGCGCTAGGATGTACGAAAGATTATCGCTGGGTGAATCTTGCCACATTCGCTTATGACTGGCTCATAAGGAATGGATACATCAATTTTGGGTGTGTGGAAATCCCCACCGCCCTGGTACCCCCTAGGAAGGGGCGCCGGAAGGATGGCCCGGTGATCGTGGTTATCGGAGCAGGCGTAGCGGGCTTGGGGTGTGCGCGGCAACTGGAGGGACTTTTCCACCATTACCGCGATGCGGACTCGCCCCCGCGGGTAATTGTCCTGGAAGGGAGACGCAGGATCGGCGGTCGTATTTACTCGCATCCGCTACGCAGCCTGGAGTCTTCGAAACTAGCCCCAGGGATGGTTCCCAAGGCTGAAATGGGCGCTCAGATTATCGTGGGTTTTGAGCATGGCAATCCGTTAGATCAGATCGTTCGCGGCCAGCTAGCTCTCCCCTATCACCTGTTACGTGATATTTCAACCATCTATGATATCGATGGCTCAGCGGTAGACGAAGCTCGGGATGCAACAGCTGAGATGCTGTACAATGATGTCCTGGACCGGTCAGGCCTCTACCGTCACAAATCCGTGATAGTTCCTACGGCAGAAGGTGATCGAGACTTGATCGATAATGGTCGGGACATCGTGACCAACGATGGACTCACTGTCAGGCAGTATGAAGAGGCGAGGGCTGCCGGCACCATTGGACTCCTGTTTCCTGCCAAAAAGATCCGTAGAGGTGTGGGTCACAAGACAGCAGAAATCAAACCAGTCGGTGTCCCGTTAGCCGTCGACAGCAACGAAGAGAATCCAACCAAGCTCGCTTGTCAGACAATGGGTTGGAGCCTGAAACCGGGGGTTTCAGAAACCGAAAAGGTCAATCTAGATCCTACAGCGAAGGCCTCTCGGCATCAGACTCTGGGGGCCGTCTTAGACGAAGGGGTCCGGCAGTACCAGCGCATGCTGCCGCTGACCCCTAAGGATATGCGATTAATGAACTGGCACATGGCCAATCTAGAATACGCGAACGCTGCTAATGTTGGCAAGCTCAGTCTCTCCGGCTGGGACCAGGATATGGGCAACGAGTTTGAAGGGGAGCACTCGCAGGTGATCGGCGGATACCAGCAGCTTCCCTACGGCCTATGGTCGTTGCCTACCAAGCTTGACGTTCGTCCTAACAAAGTTGTTTGCAACATCGCTTATGATCAGACTGGGCGCGGCAAACAGAAAGCCGTGGTCCAATGTGAAGATGGTGAAACCTTCATGGCGGACAAGGTGGTCTTCACAGGGTCACTGGGCGTCTTAAAGTACCGGAACATCCAGTTTTCTCCTCCTCTTCCGGAATGGAAGCTGGGGTCCATTGACCGGCTAGGCTTTGGGGTCATGAACAAGGTGATTCTTGTATTCGATGAACCCTTCTGGGACACGGAACGCGACATGTTCGGTTTGTTGCGCGAGCCGCAGAACCGCGACAGTATGAGACAGGAAGACTATTCCGCCCATCGAGGCCGCTTCTACCTCTTTTGGAATTGCATGCGAACAACCGGCCTGCCTGTACTCATAGCTCTGATGGCCGGTGACGCCGCCCACCAAGCTGAATGCACTCCGGACGCCGAAATCATCGCCGAAGTAACCAGCCAGCTCCGCAACGTGTTCAAGCACGTTGCTGTGCCAGACCCTCTGGAGACAATCATCACCCGCTGGGCCAGCGACAAATTCACCCGTGGGAGCTATTCCTTCGTCGCCGCGCACTCCCTCCCCGGCGACTACGACCTGATGGCTCGGTCAGTGGGCAACCTGCACTTTGCCGGTGAAGCCACATGTGGCACCCATCCAGCCACTGTTCACGGCGCATATCTCTCTGGTCTGCGCGCAGCCTCGGAGATAATCGAGACAACCCTCGGACCCATCGAGGTACCCATCCCCCTCGTCCCGGAAAAGGGCACCAAGGTCGTCCCAGCGGCGGAGTTCCTCAACACTCCGCCGACGACGACTGCAGCCACCGGCCGAAAGCGCAAGCAACAACACCTTCACCCTTCCACAACGTCCATGATCCCATTGCCCAACCAACAACCCTCTAACCCGGACAACCCCAACCCCTCTCCCGAATCTCTCGCCCGCGCAGCCTACGACAAAGCGATGTGGGCCTCCATCTACTCCGAACTCGGCCCTCCCGTGCCCCGTCCGGCCCGGACAGTGCTCAACCCGTTCCTCCTCTATCAGAAGGACGTCTGGGCCCGGTGCCGCGCCCAGTGCGACGAGGCCCGTCGCGCAGCCACGAACGACCCCACCGCCAAAGCGGCCCGCGACGAAATTCGTCAAGCGCTGGGGCGGATGTGGCGCCAGGCCAACGAGGCAGAGAAGCGGCCCTACCTCGAGCAAATCGAGGTAAACCGGCAGACCAACACCTCAATTCAGGAACAGTGGCGGCGGGAGTTGACTGCGTGGGAGAAACTAGCCCAGCAGGTCCGGGAGCGGTGGTGCAACGATAATCCGTTCGAGGCATGGGCAGAAAGAGAGTTCGGCGTTCGTCCGGGGACTGGTCATTCTGGTGGCGGTGGTGATGGCAGCGGTGAGGGGGGTGTGCTTCTGAATGGACTCGCGCACGCAAGTAGTAACGGCAGTCAGGACAACGGCCATCTGACACCGATTGCTGCTGTTGACACACCTGCGTCTGCATCTGCACGGGCTACTGTTCCCCCTGCTGATCAGCAGCAACCGAACGGTTTGTCCCATCCTTAAGTGACTAGACCATGTTACTGGTAGTATTTAGTTATACTAGTCTTGTTTGCGAAAGATGAAATTCATCATCACCTCTATTCTATTCTATCTTGTTGTAATGTATTCACAATCAGAGATCCAGTCATGGGTCCGACTCATATAGAACCCCACTGTCTAAGCCGTGCATGTATCACTTATATCACAAACATGATATCAAAACATGAGAAAGTAAAAAAAAAAAAAAGATAAAAAAAACGCTAAGTCTAAGATATAACCCATAACAAGATAAGTCACGAGAAGATGGCGGCAGGGGGCGGTAATTTCAAAGGCGAAAAGACAGACAACATCAACTTCTATGCATCATGCTCATGCTCATGCAAGATCGGGGTGACAATGGTGTGTATGTCTAGTTTAGTGTGAAAAAAGACCTTATCAATGCGATAGAAGGCAAATATAAAGGCCGAGGGTGGCTAGATATGGGATTGGGAGGTGGTGAATGGTAGAGGGAAGGAGCGGCGGGTTGGAGTCGCTTAGAGAAGAGGGTTGGACTTGTACTCGGCGGCAGAACCCTCGGCTTCCTTCTTGACCTCGCCGTCGACCTCCTGGGTGGCGGGCTTGACGGTGGACTTCTCGATGGTGGAAACGGGCTCCTTGTCGTTGGACTCCTTCTCGGCAATGTACTTCTCGGCTTCGAGGGCAGCAATGCAGCCGGATCCTGAGGGGTGAATTGTCAGTAAGCATGATTGTTTAAGGGAGATACATTTACAACATACCGGCACTGGTGATGGCCTGGCGGTAGCGCTTGTCCTGGACGTCACCGCAGGCAAAGACACCCTCCACGCTGGTGTAGCTGGTGCCGGGCTGAGTGACGATGTAGCCATCCTCATCGAGCTTGATCTGACCCTTAACCAGAGCGGTGGCGGGGTCGTGGCCGACGGCGTAGAAGAGACCGTTGGCGTCGACGACCTCCTCCTCGCCGGAGACGACGTTCTTGACGCGCAGGTGGGTCATCAAGCCCATGGGCTTCTCCTCACCGAGGACCTCGGTGGCGACGGTGTTGAAGCGGACCGTGACCTTGGGGTGGGACAGCAGACGCTGGGCCATGGTCTTACTGGCACGGAGCTTGTCCTTGCGGACGAGCACGGTCACGCTGCTGCCGTACTTGGCAAGGAACATGGCCTCCTCGGCGGCGGAGTCACCACCGCCGATGACGAAGAGGGGCTTGTTGCGGAAGATCGGCACGGCACCGTCGCAGACAGCGCAGGCGGAGATGCCGTTCTGCCAGTACTTCTCCTCACCAGGGAGGTCGAGACGGCGGGCGTTGGCACCGGTAGCGATGATGACGGCGTCGGCGGTGTGAGCGGGCTCGTTGTCGGGGCCATCGTTCCATTCGGTCCAGAGCTTGAACGGGCGCTGGGACAAGTCCACCTTGGAGATGGTCTCCGTGATCACCTCGGTGCCGAACCGGACGGACTGCTTGCGCATGTTCTCCATCAACTCCGCACCGCCGATACCATCGGGGAAACCGGGGAAGTTCTCGATGTCGGTGGTAGTGGTGAGCTGACCGCCAGCGGCGGTGCCGTTCGCCAGCATACCCTCATAGAGGACGGGCTTGAGTTCGGCGCGGGAGAGGTAGATGGCCGCGGTGTGCGCAGCGGGGCCGGAGCCGATGACTACAAGCAAAAATGGTTAAGGCCCACTCCTGGCAACCCAATTGAGCGGATGCATAGTACTTACTGACGACGTTAGTGTGAACCATTCTGGAGGCTGGAGGATTGACGCGCAGTGGCGTCGAAAGGGGATTAGGGAAAGCGGAGGTAGCCGGTGAGGATTTTTGGTGGAGCGAGGAAGTAGCCGCGGCAGTCAATCCAAGAGATGCACGCAGGGAGGAGAAGGGAAACCGACGAAAGGCGGAGGAGAACAGATTGGCGGTGTTTTAAGGGGTTGAAGGGAAGAGTGAAATGAAAAGTTAAGTTGAAGGTAAGTGGGAGAGAGAGAGTGGGTGGGAAGTGGAGGAAGAAGAATGAATTAATAGTGATGGGAAAGACTGAACGGAGGGGCAGCGAATCCACCAGAAAGTTGGGCTGGCCGGGGCGAGATTAGCTAAGAGTTCAAGTCCACTATAGAGCAGAAGATCCACCGACCACTGGATTTTATCAATTGGATCCAGAGTGGCAGAATTGAAATGTTAGTCAGACAAACGTATGAACGTACGCAGAAGCAAATCCAGATTGCACAATCCAAGAAGCAATTGAAGATCCAAAGATAAAGAAACAATCAAGGGAAATTCTCACAAATCATCGGCGGCGAGACTCTGGTCACGTGCTGTGCTTATAAAGCGCCGCCTGGCCGAGACCGCCTTTGATTATCGATCAGATTATCTATCTACAGTACTCAGTAGTAACATTGTTACACTCCAAGTCACTTACGTATACGTATACCTCCGTCCGTCGTTATGCTCGTTCATCAGTCATCATCAAGTATCGGTCGTCAAGTCGTCACGCCTCATTCGCCCCTTCCCCTCACTTGGATCGTCCAAACCATTTCTTCCGCTTGGAAGGTGTAGTCTCCTCCTTATCACCCTCCTCCCCCTCCACATCCTCAGCGCTTGCGCCCACCAGCCCGGCCGGTCCTATTCCATTACTCTCCCTCACTACCCCACCATATATCATCTCTCGAGGATTTTCAAAGTTATCATCACCTTCGTCGTCCTCCTCCTCATCACTCAGCCCATCCCCATCCTCTACCTCTGTATCCTCCGCCGGCAGTTTCTCTCGCTTTGCTCCCCGCACTCCCAACCATTTCTTCCATCCCTTGGCGACTGGGGCCGCTGGTAGGTCAAAGTCCATCCCCTCGTAGCGGAGCGGGGGTACCAGAAGCTTGTATGGGGCGGTGATACCAGCTGGATCTTTCGGGTTGAGCTCCAGGTTAAGCGTAATAGCCAGTCCCTCTTCCATGTCGATAAATGTATCCATGCCACGATTGCCCGCCTTCTGGCTCAGATTCGTGGGCCGGCGTTGTAAAGGTCCAGGCTGGAATTCCTTCGACTGGAAATAGCCATCCCCAGTTTCAATCGAGGGGAAGGTTCCATCCATGCTCATACGCCGGCCTACCGGGGCCTCGCCTAGATTGAAATCCCTCGTAGGTGGTGGGCCGCGACCAGAAAGACGGCGGAACAGGCCTCCGCTGGGAGGCTTATCCCCCCGCGTCAACGATAAGGTCCTCTTCAATTTACGCGGACGAGGCTCTTCCACGCCTGGTCTCAATGCAGGTCGCGGTGTTCCTGGTGGTATAGAGCCTATAGTATTGTTAGCAAGGACCACTTGCTGTTAGCTTTGGCTGACTGAGGGATGGCTGACCTGGCTGATATTGACGGATGGAGCACCAGTTCCGCCGGGGTAAAAGCCTCTTATTGTTACGGGGCTTGTTGTTCACATCGTGAGTGAAAATCGGGACCATGTCTTCGTCCGTATTGGTATCCATGTGATGCACTCGGTTGCGTTTGTTTAGCATGTCGGAGATCATCTCCGTCTCGGGTAGGTCCGCAATGGCGGAGGAGATGACGTTAGGCATATATCGGTAGTCCTTGTCCTTGGGGATGTTCAACTTCGGATTCGAGTAGAATTGGCCGACGGCGGCCAGATGGACATCACCACTATAGCACAGACCAGTCAGCTGCGAGATCGATTAGGGACTTGGGGCTATGGGCTTACCTCAGAATAGTCACTCGGACTGACTTCTCGGCGGCCAGATCTTGGAGATCCTCAATTAGATACGTCCGCTCTGACTTGTGGTGTTTAGCCGTCCAATGGTCGTCAAAGATCTCCACTTTGCCGCCAGTTTTGTTTACCAAGCCGCCCAAAAGTCCGGCTTTACCCAGAGACTTGCGGCTATTGAGGATGTTTTTGACCATTGCCTTGATCTTTATCAGCGAGCTTGTACAAGTAGAGAATTGCATCCATCACATACCACTCTTGGGTACGCTATCGGGATAGACAAAGAGACGATGAGGTGCTTGGTCTCGCCTCGTGATATCTCGCGGTGACATCGGTCCCAGATTAAATCGCACGTTTGCTCGCTAAGGATTTCATCTGTCTACAGCACCAAAATTGTTAGTGCGCACAAGATCAGCACTCGAGGTTCATCAGCTTACCATCCGCTCCGTGCGGCAGTCCAGTCCAAGGAAGGCTACGCCGTCACCCAAGGACATGAAAAGATGTCGACTCCTTTGGTTGATGTACGGCCCTGGTTGGGCTCCAAGAAGCCAACTCGGTTCCTCCGCTTCGGTTTCTTCCGGGACACTGTGATGTTGGAATAGGAGATAATACTTGAACGCAATGTTACCGAGACCCGAAATGACAGCGCTGTTCATAAACTCCTCCGGGTAGGAGCCGAATCCCTCAATGATCTCATGGTCGTTCCACATGTTCACCATGGGAATCTGAGAGCTGGCTAGGGAGAAGAGTCCTTGGGAGAACCATGCAGAGTAGTTTCCAAGATAGAAGTCATCAAGCTCGGCTCGAAATTCGGCCGTGAATGATGCATCATACTTCTCTCCCAAGCTCTTTATCTTTACCCATTCCTGGAAATGGGCTGTCTCTGCGATGACCTTATCATTAAAGATCTGGTCACCTCCACCAATCATAACGTGGAAGGGCTGGGTCTGATGCTCATTCAAGATATCACGCCATAACGGATCAGGCCCGCACAGTTTGTTGGAGTCGACGGCTGGGCTGAAGCCGTTACCCGTATGGAACATGATATTCATTGGTTGCCCACGTGCTGGCACCCAGAAACCAATGGCAGGGCCCTGGTTTAGTCGATAAGCGATCCGCTGCTGAGTAGGACCTAATTCGACCTCAATGTTAAACCTCCAGAACGTCACATCCCGCCCAGGGTCCGCGTAGAGGCGAGCTCCGGCAACCTCGGTGTAACTTCCAGCGGCTTCTCCATCCACGGAGTGAACTCTATTGGCAGGGACTGGCTGTTTGACACCTTCACTGCTGTAGTCAACCATGCTTGCGGACATCTCGTATAGGCCATCATCATTCTCAATAAGTGATAGGTCTGTCTCTTCCTTGATATGATCCACTGGTTTGACATAAAGAGCGCGGCCATCTCGCCCTAGCTTCATGAGTCCTGCTGTGGGGTCAACGTACTCAGGTGCGAGTCGAGCTTCTTCTCCGTCTACTTGAAATGGTGGAGGGGGGAGCAGATCCATGGGTTGCGAAAATAATCTCAGTGTCGGGCATGGCTCGTAAGATGAGCGCGAATCTTGCGTCACAATAAGAATACTACCTCTCCATGTCTCCTTGTTGAACGGCCCATTGGGTCCATCAATGCGAATGCGCTTCAATCCGCCATACCTGAGCAGGGGTCCGCATTTCAGGAATATCGGCGGCTGAAAGCGCTTGCTGCCTATATGACAATGTTTGTTAACACCCGAAGACGAACTCAAACTTGATGCCGTCGAACTGCTTACCTGTTGATTTTTGAGTCGGTGTTCCCTGCGGAAAGTCACTAGGCAATGCCCTACTACGTCGACGATTATTGCTCGTTCCGCCTTCCCACCAAGCCTTGCTTCGATCGGCGTCTAGTCGCTGGAAGTCAAAGTCGGATGCTCCTAGTCGAGCTACTTGTGCAGTCTTCCACTCCGATAGAGGAGGCGGGGTAGGTGGTGGTACATTGAACGAGACCTTGGGTTTTGACGGCGCACTCGTTGTCGTTCCAACAGTTTCTCGGCTCAGGTCGGCGCTCAGATCAGCACCCAATGGGATGGACAGCTCGGGTGCAACGCCACCAAGATTTTTCGCAGGATCCCGCTGTAGCATCGTCTTCGATATCTGGGGGCCCGCGTCTGGGACAGCTTGTGGCAGTGGTCTACCTTGTTGGGTCGTCGAGTCATACTGCGCGTGCGCCCCTGGTTTGCCAGATTCCATCTGATTCGGTACATTCTTCCTGGTGGGCGGCACCATCCTATCTTGTTTTGGGGGCGCCGAATCAAATGTTCTTGCCTCAAGGGCTCGCGAGTCTTGGTGACCGCTCGTGTTCATCGCTCGTGGGCCCATAGGAGGTCCCCCGGTTCTGTGGCTCACGGTCACTGTTCGTCTGGGGGCGGTGCCTCTGCTTACCACCGCCGCACTCGATTTTCCCACACCGGAGTACGGGCCCTCATCAGGAGAGTATGCCAGCGGATTTGGAAGGGATGGAGCACTGGTGCGCGAAGCTCTGGGCTTCTCGTATGGATTTTGTTCCAAGGGGCCATACTCTGCTCGATTTTCAGAAGCAAGCCGTCGATGACCCGGCCGTCTGGTACCTTGTGTAGCCGGCTGGTTATGTCTGGTGGTCTGCTCACTCATATCTCGTGGAACATCCTCGCGGCCTGCTACTCTCGGGTCAGCCCGGTTTGATGGTTGTGAAGATGCCGCTCCTCGACCTTCGGCCTCCTTTTGCATCCGTTCTTTCAACCTCATTTCAGCCTCCAACACTCGTGCCCTCTTCTTCTCTTTCAAGGACACCTCTAGCAGTTGGAGAGGCGAGCGATCCGAGGCCAAGGGCCGCCCACGGTCCGCTGTGGAGCGTCGAGTATTCGACCGGCTCAAGGGAGAATTTTGGCTGTTCGACGTTGAAGCCTTGGGGCCACCATCTCCGTGTTTCCTTGCGCTGGTTGCCTGTAGCGGCTCATTCTCCTCGGACCACAAGGATGGTTCTAACGACGGTAGCTTGTCCGTTCGCCCCATGATCTCTTCCGGATGGTTTTTACCTCGGCCTCTGCTTTTTGTAGAACCAGAGCGAGATGAACGGTGGCCATGTGGTCTCTCGGGATTGCTATTGTAAGGTACAAGAGGTGTGTCGAGGTTCTTCATGTCCACGGTGTAGTTCTCATTGTCATGATCGTAATCGGCAGTGGACCATCCTTGAGAAGGCTGTCGCCGGTGCGATGTAACTGGGCGCGGAGCATTGGTGGACACTTGGTCGGAAGACATAGAATCCCCTGTCTCGATGGCTTGAGTGCTTTCTGTGGCCATTGTTGGGCAGATTGGGTTGGAGAAATGTCATGCGCAGAAGCACAGATCCGCCCTCGACAACTGTGCAAGGATGAGTCGTGGCTGGGGTCTCGCAGAACCGAGGAAGCTAATACTGCATATGTGGGTTTCCCTACTATGCGATTCAACCAGATTAATATGATCGCATAGTTGTCAATGATTAGGGGCGACCTCTGATATGGTCAAACTCGCAATGCGACCTCGGTAGGCAATATTCCGGCGCGGAGTATACGAGCGGGCAAGTATACACTTCCCTTTGGCGCAGTGTTACACCAACCACGAGATGGAGGCTATGGTGGGGTTGGCTTGTGACAGTAGTCAATGAAGGCAAGACAGAGACTCGGTAGATGCGATGAATGGAGGGGCGATATGGGGCAGAATTAGCAGAGTGTCGGCGAAAAATCCAGGTGGAGGAGGAGGGGAGAATTGAAATGCCATGATGGATTGGGAGCGTGGGGAGCAATAATAAGATAAACGGGTGGCTGGCAGACCAGCCCTGCCTCCTCTTCGTCGTTTTCCTGCTCCTGCGTCCGGCGGGGCTGCACCACGAGCACTGCCAGCTACATATCAGGCTTCCGTGTTTTCCTCTTCTTGGTTTTTCTTGGGTTTCTTTTTATGGTCATTTTGAGTATGAAGTCCCAATTGCTTACCCCGTGTGTCCGCCTTGCCCCATCTGATTCGCGCACTTGATCCTCGCCAAATCATCAGGCTAAACGTTGTCTTCCTCACCGATTGTCGATCGATTTTTCAACTCGCTGCTGGCGGCGCAGTTGTCAATCCGGCCCAATGCCCAGGGTAAACTGCAGGAATTTGATTTCATTTTGTGTGGTTTCGTCCATTTTCGGATCTGGTTACTTGGGGGGTTCAGTATGGAAATAATCCCTGTGGGAACGCACGGCCCCAGCTCCGATGACGACGACGAAATAAGACCTGTGAAGTTGACCTATCAATAGCATTAGGCTATACTAGTGCAGCTGCCACTACTTTTCTGCGTCGTCGCTTAGCATGAAACACTCTATCGAGGCCAACAATGCTGGGGAATCAGGGCCCCAATCGACGTGCGTCAATCTGGCAAGGAAGTCGGGATGATTCGGGCCAATGGGGTAAGTGAGGTACCTGGTAGATGTACTCATACTTTGGGCTTGATGTAGCTTCGGGAGATGTGGTACGTAGCTACGCAAACTACACAGGTGTCAGGCTGGTTTGGTATACCTATGCGTAACATGGTATGCGCTGGTGGATTGAGAGCTACTGGTACGTGGGACAATTCGGGATGGGGGACAAGGACTGCTTCTCCCTTTCAGGACTCGACTTGCTGGTGACAGTCTTGTGGGAATCGTCAGAAGGGCACGAGCTTACGAGTCTATGTCTAATGCGAGAGATTCAAGGTTGCGAGATCGAGTCCTCGCTGATGAGAACAAAAAGGGGCGAAAAAAAGAAAACGACACCTGTGAGATTCGAACTCACGCGGGCGAACCCACTGGCTTAGCAGGCCAGCACCTTAACCACTCGGTCAAAGTGTCTAATTGCTGGTATATATGAACTGAGTCCAAATAATATAGCATTTTTCCTGCGCACACTTATCCCTGTACTGACTAGAGCAGCGGTCCAGCCTTCCTCTAGAGCTGCGCTGCTTTCGCTTATCCGTGCGGCTTGCTTGGAGATCCTCGTGCGCCTTTCATCTCTCTGAAACACCACTATCTGTTTCTGTACGCATGTTCGCTCGTATCTCTTCTTGGGGCTTGCTGCACGTCATCGTGATCAACCGGAAGGGCCCGTGACCTCCGAGGTCGAAGGGCGGGGCCGTACACCACCCATGCCTGTCAATGGTGGTCTATAGAACTTGGTTTCAATGTTCGCCATCTGTCGTATACTTCAAAAGATGTGTGAGGTTTCTGCGTGTGTCGATGATTACATTGGTCGTCTCTGTCTAACTCACATGAAAGCTCTTTACCGTTGTTATGGCTGCCGCCCATTCAGCGTTTGTGTGCTAGCCAACCACTGCTAACTTATTATGGCACGCCGGCTCGTCTCACCGTGTATTCCTTTGCTGCGGTGTCAGTGTATGTGTACATTATATGGCTCGGAGTGGTGGGGGCAGAGCTGCCTTGTCCAAGTATAGTGATTAGCTGGTGTGTATGTTTAGGGTACACAAGTAGTGTTCGGATCTACGGCCTGCGCCTTGCTTCGTTTTGTTTTGATCTCTCGCCCTCTATTCCTTCAAGCTCTGTCTCGACCCTCCTCTCACCCTCTTCTTCTGTCCTGGTTTTTTTTTTTTTTTTTTTTTTTTTCTCTTCTTTTTTCCCGCTTCCCGCCGTCGGGGTTGCTGGCTTACTGGACGTGCGTCTAATAAGTGGCATCCCCCGCGCCATGATATATTTCCGGATGGAACAACGAAACTTATAAGGAGTGCGCTAGAACAAAGACAACATCCAGCAGCAATGCCACAATCAAACCAACATACACCCAATAAACTTACACCAACACACGCGATACCAATACCAAAACAGATGCTACTCGCATACATCAGCGAGACTGAATCATAGTTCTAGGATCACACGTTAGTGGATTGTCTTAACCGACATACTATAACCGACACAATCGAGATAAATTGAGTCCACGTGGCATCGCGAACTACTAAACCAGAACATAAGATCCTTAACCATATAGTTCAGAAGTGAAGGTCATATCTACATCAGTAGTGCCACGGAGTTAGTGACCACGGACAATCCTCTGGCATAGCTTGCTACTTTACAGTCCGGTTGGAGGTGACATAGCTTGGAGGCTGAGATTTTGAGTTGATTCATTATGCAGAAGGTTGCTGACGTTATCAACAATTGGACACTTTGACCGAGTGGTTAAGGTGCTGGCCTGCTAAGCCAGTGGGTTCGCCCGCGTGAGTTCGAATCTCACAGGTGTCGGTTTCTTTTTTGATTTCGACAAAAGCTATTCATATCATCTGGATCTGCGGGTCATAGACAACCAGCCCCGCTAGTTAATCAAGCAATTGGACACTTTGACCGAGTGGTTAAGGTGCTGGCCTGCTAAGCCAGTGGGTTCGCCCGCGTGAGTTCGAATCTCACAGGTGTCGCGTATCTCTTTTTGTCGAATCATCCACCATGCCCTGCTATCTCTAGACCGTCTTGTTCAACTTCTTACTCTGCCCAATTTGCTCCCTACGACCGCGGTTTGTTCTGTGTCGTCCGTGGTGCTGAGTCTGATATTACCCCACACAGCGGCTCGGATGGCCCGATCCATGGATGCCAAGGACACGGGATGCCGAACCCTCGCACTGGGATCCGACGGGAAATGATATCCGCATCTTGCCCTGTGTCCCAGTGGAACAGAACCATGCCCCCCCCCTCCTATTGACGTGCATGACATTCCGTTGCAGACCGCTTCTCATCCCTCCACCAGTCGATTATGCCCGTTATTAGAACCAGCACAATGCCCCTAGCTCACTATAAGGCATCGGCGTCGTGAACCTCACAAACCTTCTGATCTCCATACTTCCAGGGGTGAGACTGAGGTTTCACTCTTCAGTACCTAGCCATACCACGTGCTTGCTCGTGCGCCGGTAAATAGACACACTACGAGCCAGACGCTGCTCGCATTGGCTTCCCAACGTCTAACTAAATGGCTGGTTAGCCGAATATGACCGACTTGACACCGGGAGATCAAACTTGGGTTATCGTGATTTTCATTTCCCTCGCTCATTGACCTGACTATCAGCACTCGCACTGCCAACCTTCGCTTGCTTTCGTAGAAGCGTTCGAGCCCATACACTGCCCAAGCTAGCTCGGCGCAATGATCGTTGTTCGCACATAGCGTCGCCAGCAAGATGTCCGTGAATTTCTACACCAACGTCACAAGTATTGATGAGCTGATCCCTAGGATGGAAGGTATCCAACTTGAAAGTATGTCCATCTACTTCCTGATACCTTGCTGCTTGATTGACACCCCACCGAAGACAGAGATGTGGAAAGACTACTCTTTTGGCACCACATGATCGCGAAAGAGGATTGCACTAGACACTGGCCAAAAGAGGAGGATAAATTAGGGAGGTCTTCTATTGCCTCACCTTCTACTGTACCGAGTTGCACGAGCCAGACCGAGCAGCAATTGGTCTTTGTGGTTCTTGCGTCTATATCTCGCACGGCCTGTTTACAGCTAGGAAGGTTTCTAGTGTGCATTTGAAGGGCTTCGCAGAGGACGAGTGTTTCCAATTGAGATTCTCAAGGGGATATGATCTGTGCTCGAAGGAGGATTGACTGGAAGCCATGCATGCGTTCTCGCGATTGTTCCGTTATCGCTTGAGTGGGAAGGCAAGGGTTGGTGCTATTCGAGTCCATGGAAGCTCTAGCACATATAAATGCAGTTTGTACAAGTTCTAGAGTCGAAGCTCGTGGCGTATACAGTAACTAGTCAGTAACTTTATGTCTCACGTAGACTTGTGCCAGAGGATTGTAGTGGGATATTTCGAGGCTCTTTCGAGGCAAGATGCTTTAAGGCATGACAGTCTGCGCATTCGACATACTCAGCTGGGGAAATGGCTCAAACGAATAGCAGAGCAGCAGAACTACGACTACGAGCGGGCCGTAGCACTGTCAGGCTATCTCCGCACGAGGGACAGTCCTCTCTTCAAATTAGGTATGCTTCTACCAAATTGAAGTCTCTTGCCCTTGGGCAGTTGTCTACATATTTGTTAGCACTGTACCGGTAAGGGTGAACCCTTTTTTCCAATTTGACATTATATTTAGTATTTGCCACCTATTCAACAATTGGACACTTTGACCGAGTGGTTAAGGTGCTGGCCTGCTAAGCCAGTGGGTTCGCCCGCGTGAGTTCGAATCTCACAGGTGTCGTTTCTTTTTTTCTGCTTTCATCATTGTCCCCCACCACCCCCGAGGCGCCTCTTTGATGCTCGCACTGTCTTAAACCAATCGACTAATGTCCACTTGATAATACCGCAGTAGCATGCACTTATTACGCCAGGGAACAAGATTCGCTCACCAGGAACATACCCCGCCGTGTCCCTTGCTTTTGACTGGGAAGAAGACGCATGCTTCTTGGAGGACGAACCCCGAGAACTTGCCGGTGTAGAGTCGATTACCTTGCGTGGTAGGTCTCATAAGTCGTTATGCACCTTCGAACAGAGGCGAGCAATTGAGAGCCGTGGCGACCTCATGATGCTGCTAGTGACAAAGCTGGACAAAATCTTGCGGGCAACAACAAACCTATTACATAGACTCTTCAAGCGGTAGTTGAGTGTCCGCCATTACTGTTCCTTTGACACAGTAGACACCCCGACCTGCGCCTTTCCCAGCTTTATGTTGTAGTGCATTGATGCTCTCCATGTTGCGCTTGAGATTGCGCGACTGGGATGACAATATCCCAGTGATTCCGCTCGCATGGCTTAGATGGTAAAGCGCAGCACTAGTAATGCTGAGATCCTCGGTTCGAGTCCGAGTGTGAGCATAGTATCTCTTTTTGCCTAACAACACTGCCTCCTCGATTCCTTCTCCAATGACACTGAGATATTTTTGCCTTCTGCAGCAAATATGCGGCTGTACTACCGTACTATTGCCCACTAATACTGTCACCTTCCGAAAGGCCCAACATGTCTCTCACCCACAGAGTCCTCCTAAGAATAATTACCCCTTTTCGGCCATCATGTTTCGCCAAGAAGACCAGTTTTATTCCGCCCAGTCGATCACGCAAGATCGGGGCTGCTGACGAACCGTCTGGGGATAGCGTCTTTGTCGTAACTTCTAGCGAGCTGGGACTTCTGGAGTTGGTGGCACTTGAACGATGAGTTCTAGCTTCAGTAGCATATGGATGTCTGTCTCTGGTTTTGTCTACCATTAGCCTGCACGAGTTATAGAATTATCATTTTCCTTTGATCTAGTTCAAGAAGGCTGACTGACTCAGCCTTCCCACGTCAGGGCCAGGCGCCAAGAAGCTATCGGGCTGTCTCTAAGCCCAGCCGGGTTAGAGTGCAGGATGGGCTCCAAGAAAGGACCACGGGTGCCCGGGGTGCGGCAGCGCGATGGCTCATCCGCATCTTTGCCAGTAATTCCCCCCCCGTCTTTGTCTCCAGCCACGGCAAGCCTGTCGCTGCTATCTTAGTATTCCTTTGCCGCGTTGAGGCGCAACCCCTACCACCGTTATTGAGAACACGTTCCTTTAATTCATTTCTCAGAATTTGGGGTCTAATAGATCTTTTCCCCTTCGCATCCCCTTCACTCAATCCACATCAAACGCATCCTTTCTCTCGATTGTTGCCACCCAAGCTCCGTCACACCGACTCCCTGGTCGATCGTTAACCCGTTGCGAGATAGATACCTTTGGTGTTCATGGCAATCACCATATTACCTGGCCCAGTCTTTTTTACCATTGAATAGACATTTTGTCTGGCTTGCCGTGCTCCTACCATGCGTCTTTCTGGTGGTGCTGCCGTGGCACTAGGCTTTCTCTGCGCCTCTGCTTCTGCCTCCCTCCATCCTCACCGATCCTACGAGACACGCGATTACTTCGCTTTACACCTAGACGAGTCCGCATCTCCTGCCGATATCGCACAGCAACTGGGTGCTCGTCACGAAGGCCCCGTCGGCCAACTGCGGCAACACCACACCTTTTCCATACCTAAAGAGAGCAGTGATGAGGTCAGTACGTTGTTGGACCAGTTGCGGGATCGCAGAAGCTTGCGGAGCCGCTCCGGGGGTTCTGCTGCAGGACTCCCAACCCTGAGCAGGAGAGGGAAAGAGCTTGACGGCATTCTCTGGTCGGAGAAGTTGGCTCCCAAAAAGAGATTCCAGAAACGAATCCCGCAACCAGTAAACGTCCACCGGTCGCCCGCTGGCTCTAAGGAGGACCCGGTAGCTGTTCAGGCTCAACAGCAAATTACGACTTCTCTGGGAATCGCAGACCCTATTTTCAACGGACAATGGCATCTCTACAATACTGTCCAGGTTGGAAATGATCTGAACGTGACCGGGCTCTGGCTGGAGGGCATCACCGGAGAAGGAGTGACTACCGCTGTGGTCGATGATGGATTAGACATGTACAGCAATGACCTCAAACCCAACTACTTCCCCGAGGGTTCGTACGACTACAATGACAAGGGTCCCGAACCGCGGCCGCGGCTCAGTGATGATCACCACGGTACCAGATGTGCAGGGGAGATCGCTGCGGCAAGAAACGATGTTTGCGGCGTGGGTGTGGCGTACGACAGTCGCATTGCGGGCATTCGGATCCTATCTGCACCCATCGACGACACCGACGAAGCAGCAGCCATCAACTACGCTTATCAAGAGAACGATATTTACTCGTGCTCTTGGGGTCCGTTCGACGATGGTGCTACCATGGAGGCACCTGGTGTTCTGATCAAGCGCGCTATGGTCAACGGCATTCAGAACGGTCGGGGTGGGAAAGGTTCGATCTTCGTCTTCGCGGCCGGTAACGGGGCAAACTATGGCGACAACTGCAACTTTGATGGTTATACCAACAGCATTTACAGTATCACCGTGGGTGCGATCGATCGCGAGAACAAACATCCGAGCTACTCCGAGTCGTGCTCCGCCCAGCTGGTTGTCGCTTATAGCAGTGGCTCGGCGGATGCGATCCACACCACCGATGTGGGAACGGACAAATGCTCCTCATCGCATGGAGGTACGTCTGCTGCTGGCCCGTTGGCTGCTGGTACCGTCGCCCTCGCCCTCAGCGTGCGGCCCGAGCTCACCTGGCGCGATGCCCAGTACTTGATGGTTGAATCAGCAGTCCCTGTCCACGAAAATGACGGGAGCTGGCAGAACACGAAGAATGGCAGGAAATTCAGTCACGATTGGGGCTTTGGCAGAGTCGACGCCTATACGATGGTGCAGAAAGCAAAGACTTGGGACCTAGTGAAGCCCCAAGCATGGTTCCACTCCCCTTGGCTGCGAGTACATCACGAGGTCCCACAGGGCGATAAGGGGCTGACCAGCTCGTATGAGGTGACCCGAGCGATGATGGATGAGGCCAATCTCGAACGTCTAGAGCATGTGACTGTGACGATGAATGTCAATCATACGCGCCGTGGGGATTTGAGCGTCGAATTACGCAGCCCGGAAGGACTGGTTAGTCATCTCAGTACGGCCAGAGAACCCGATAACGAGAAGGAGGGCTACGTCGATTGGACCTTCATGAGTGTCGCGCACTGGTAAGCAATTGGCATTCTTTTTTCTCTCTGGCATTCAGCCTCTTTTGACCTCGGCTAATCTTTGCATAGGGGTGAGTCTGGTGTTGGCACATGGACGGTGATCGTTAAGGATACCCTTGTCAACGAGCACAGCGGGCAATTTGTCGACTGGCGTCTCAACCTTTGGGGCGAGGCCATTAATGGCACCAACCAACCTTTGCACCCCATGCCTACGGAACATGATGATGACCACAGTTATGAAGATACCAACGTGGCTACGACGAGCATTGATCCTGGCCCAGCCAAGACGCAGCCCCCGACTCAACCTACTGATGTCGTTGATCGTCCGGTGAACGTCAAGCCCACCACAACGGCGGTGCCGACCGAAACCTCGGATAAGGTGGTCTCTCCTACCGAGAGTAGTGTGGCTGCATCGCCTTCTGCCGCCTCCGACAGTTTCCTGCCATCCTTCTTCCCAACATTTGGCGCGTCGAAGCGGACGCAGGCCTGGATCTATGCCGCCATTGGCTCGATCATTGTCTTCTGCATTGGACTTGGTGTCTACTTCCACGTCCAGCGCCGCAAGCGCCTTCGCAACGATAGCCGGGACGACTATGACTTCGAGATGGTAGAAGATGAGGATGAGCTACAGGCCATGAATGGACGGTCGGGACGCACTCGTCGCCGTGGTGGTGAATTGTACAATGCTTTTGCTGGCGAGAGTGACGAAGAGCCTCTTTTCAGCGATGAAGATGATGAGCCGTATAGGGACCGGGGTATTAGCGAAGAACATGATCGCGATAGTGCCATTGGAGGACACCATCAGAGAGCAGCGGACGAATAGACTTGCTGGTCACGGATTTGTCACTTATTCTCATGTTGCTTGATCTTTGGGATGACGAGCATTCTCATTGGGCCTTTGCTTTTTTTTGCTTCTTGAAAACGTCCCTTGTGACTATGTGCGTGAAAGAGAGAAGCTGTGTATATAATTGAGAAGGCTAGAACCTCGTAATATGAGGAAGGTGAAGCTTAAAGATAAGATAGCTTGAAGATAAGGAGAAACTGAGGGTAACTGCCGTACCTCGTATACAGTCTAGTGCGGGTGGTCTTGGCAATGACGGCAGCTGCCCCAACCGTCAACGGAACTTCACCTCCACTTCATGCGACCTGAAGCTGCTCTTCTCCGCATTACAACACCCCACCCCACTTCGTCGTCTGCTCGCCTCCTACCGCGCACTTGACAAATCAATATATAAGCTTTCAATCACTGCTCAGGCGCGTAGCCCCAACACATCGCAGATATATCCCGCCGGCTCTCACCGGCAACCAACCCCTCGATGGATCACCACGACGACTTCGATAGCGTCTCGTGGCGCCACGAACCAGACAGCGATGTTTCACGACCTACGACTTCCGGAACAGACGCAGAGGAGGAACCACATGGATATGGTCACGATGTCAATGGCAAGCGACGGATGAGTTCCGCCCAAGAGAACACCCAAGCTGGACCCATGGCCGATGCTGTCGATCTAGCTGGGATCGGAGACGGCGTGCTCGAATGCCGGGTCGACTCGCCTTTGAAGGAGAATGACGGCACAAAAGATGCATATATCTCTTACTTGGTCACGACACAGGTGAGTTGCTCCAGTCCGAGGGTTGTCTTTCGCTGCCAGACTGGCGGCTGCCTAGCCGCCGGGGATAATCGTGAGACGAGTGAGACGAGTGAGACTCAATTCTAATGTACAAGCTCGCTACCAGACCGATTTCAAGTCCTTTCAGAAGCCCGAGTTCACCGTGCGACGACGATTCACCGACTTCTACTTCCTCTACAAGACGCTCTACCGCGAATATCCCGCCTGCGCGGTCCCGCCGCTGCCGGATAAGCATAAGATGGAGTATGTCCGGGGCGATCGGTTCGGACCAGAGTTCACTACACGGCGCGCGTGGTCTTTACATCGGTTCTTGAAGCGCCTGACATTGCACCCTGTGCTGCGTCGGGCCCCGTTGCTGGCGATCTTCCTGGAGTCGCCCGACTGGAACGCACACATGCGTCTGCGGTCTTCCCGCAACTCAACTAGCACGTCTGATGGTGGTGGGGTGCCGGGTCTGTTCGACAACTTCACCGATACGTTCGTCAACGCATTCACCAAAGTGCACAAGCCCGACCGCCGGTTCATTGAGGTACGGGAGAAGGCCGATAAGCTGGACGAGGACTTGAACCACGTGGAGAAGATCGTGGCCCGGGTGGCACGTCGGGAGTCGGATCTTGAAGCGGATTACAATGACTTGGCGACGCAGTTCCGCAAGTTGACGCCGCTCGAGCCGGAGGTAGAAGTGCCGCTACAGGTGTTTGCGGCTTCGGTGGAGGAGACCGGCCGTGGGCTGAAGACGCTCAAGGACCACACCGATCAGAACTACCTAGGCTCGCTGCGGGACATGGAGGCGTATATTGTATCGCTCAAGTCGTTGCTCAAGACGCGCGAGCAGAAGCAGCTCGACTTCGAGGCTTTGGTTGACTACCGGAACAAAGCGGTGGCCGAGCGGGATTCGCTCGCCTCGAATCCCTCGTCTTACTATGCTTCGAATCCGTTGACCTCGTCCCCAGCCTCGTTCATTCGGTCCAAAATGGAGGACATGCGGGGTGTCGACCACGAGCAGTCGCGCCGCGAACGGGTGCGAAAGCTGGAGCTCCGGATCGACGAACTGACGCGGGAGGTAGAGTCCGCCAAGACGACGTCGGAAATGTTTGACGAGGAAGTGGTGCGTGAAGTCGCCGACTTTGAGCGAATTAAGGCGGCCGAATTCAAAGACACCCTGGGAGCGTTGGCAGAGAAGCACATCGATTTCTACCAGGGGGTGTTGAATACCTGGGAACGGTTTGTCGCCGAGATGGAGGGCGACCTGGACGAGAACCCAGGCGATTCCGCGACTGCCGAGGGTCGGTAGAGCTTCGTGCTCATGATCTTGTGCTTTTCAAATTCCTTTAGGTATACTCTCTATTGTTATATCGGACTAGCCTGTTTTATTTTAATTTCCCTTTTGCTGCTGTGGTGCCTGCTTGTATCCCTTTCACTCATCCATCTAAGGTCAATTCCTATACAACTGAATGGGGAAAATAACTATGGCTAAGTTTATGAATGATCTCGACGACTCATCAAGTTAATGTCTCACAAATGTCTCACCTCTGCCCAGGCTTCCCATCTCCCTCCTAGATCTCGTCCAGGACATCGACGGAGAGAAAGCTGCCACCTCCTCGCGACAGTATAAATGTACAGCCCCCGAATCTCTTCTTCTCCCACCTCGTTCTCTCTCCCTTTCACCTGAAAGTCAACCCAGAAAACCCCAATTTAACCCCCTACCAACCGATCCCGAACCCTCAAGCTCTCCGCCCACTCCAAATCCACCGGACTCGGATTCTGCTGCCCGACGGGATCCAGCACCGCCAGATCCAGAGCACGAGTAGTTTGCCTCCGGACGAGCTTCTGTAATACCGGTACTCTCCTCATTAGTTTCTCTACCACCACCCTCTTCATAATCAAAAGCAAGGGAACCCTGGAGAGGGGGGAATGCGGGGGGGGGGACTGCTCACCTCGCGATAGATCTGATTCGGAGTTTTCGTGGAGTTCTCGCCGGCGATCAGCCGGAGGTAGACTTCATGGTCGTAGTCGACCTGGTGGGACTGCGGGGAGGCGAAGTTTGCGCTGAGATGCGGGGAGGAGCTGGAGGGTGGACTGGGCGTTGAGCTTCGGGGGTTTTGGGCTGGCGATGATGGGGAGCTCGTGTATGTTGATGCTGTGGAGCTTGAGCTTGGGGATTGAGGTTTTGATATAGATGATTTTGTAGATGAGGGCGAAGAGGGCGAAGGAGGGTGTTGTGGTGGAGTATTGGATGCCATTTCGACTTTGTGTTATGGTAGTAGTAGGAGTAGTAGGATTCTCTCGATCTTCATAATCCTCTCTATATTCTTCGTATTATAGACAGTTGGATTACTGTGTGAGAAAAGCGCTGGAATAGGGGGAAAAGGTTGCGCATTTTTAGTTCTGAGGACGCGCATACTTTCTATTCGTCTTCATGTGTCTTACGGATTGTGGCGGAGTGAGTGCATGAGGTGGCTGTGGACGCGTACAGTTCTGACTTGCCGATGGAAAATTACTGGCTAACATGGTATGCGTGCGCATGGGGAAAGGGGAGTTGTTTCAAATCTGCGACTGTCATTGAGTAGGGCAATTTTGTTTGTCCTTGTTGCTTGCCACTTGGATCGGATTGTTGGGCATTGATGCGAGTATGCGGAGAGAGGAGGAATGTTTCAAGTGCTCGCTCGGGGTTTGAATGTGATGTATGCATTGGAGATGGATGTGTAGTTTGGGGGTGTTTCAGGGGGAGCTAAATCATAAAAGAGTAGGGTGAGATCACTCCTGCTAAGCATATGAGGAGTGTTGTGACACATTGCAAAACAGAAATCTGGTCTCGTATCCTTGTGTATCGACATAATCTTCAGGAACGATGTCAGTTGAGATAATGGCAGAATGACAGCAATGTTAGATAGCAATCGATAGGATGTGCTGCTCTTTTCTGCCACCGCCTAAAACGAACAGTTTCCCCCACCGTTTTTCGCCGGCTGTTGGCTGCCATTTGCGCAGTTTTCAGTGGCATGAGCGGTCAGAAGACAAAACCCGCCGCCTTACTTCCTTTCTGCCACCGCTCTTTTTCAACAGTTTTTACGTCCGAATTTTGGCCGCCGTTCGTTCTTAAATCCGCTTAAATCCGTGGTTTTCGCAGCGAGGTCGCGAGCATTCTGCCGCCTGAGGCGGTGACCTGGGCGGTATACTTCACATCAGCGACTGTTTGCCTGATTTGCAACTGATCAGCCAACCTTCAACCGATACTTGGATTCTCTCCGATCCAATTGAGGACCGCGACATTTCCTGTTCGACATTCAAATCACCATGCGTTCTCTTGTACGATCGGCCGCGCGGCCGTATGTCTGCCCGTCGTGCCAATTGAGTCGTCTCCCCGCTCGTCGGAGGTTCGCATCCCACTCTACGCCGAGTAGCGCATCGCCCGAGATCTACGATGTCGTCTGTGTCGGCGGTGGTCCTGCAGGCCTAGGCCTGCTCGCAGCTCTGCGTATGCAATTCGAACAACCTATATGCTACCGGAAACGAGTTAACAAATATCAGGAGCTTCTCCCGCTACCTCCAAGCTCAAGGTCGCCCTCGTGGAGACCCAAGACCTGCAGAAGGCCGGCTCATGGTCCCTCGATGCGCAGCACTACTCCAACCGCGTTAGCAGCTTGACACCCTCCTCCGTGTCCTTCCTCCAGAAAATCGGTGTCTGGGATCATGTCGACACTGCGCGTGTTCAGCCCTATCAAGAAATGCAGGTCTGGGATGGTGAAACCGGCTCTCGCATAACATTCGACTGGTCCATGGAGACCTCGCCTTTCGAGGACCTGCGCACCGTCGCAACCATGACTGAGAACTCCAACCTCGTGCGCGCCCTACTCTCGCGCATCGCCGAGTCCGGAGACGAGAACCTCTCTATATTTTCCAATACCACCGTCTCCTCCATCGCCAACGGTTCCGAGATCCCCGACGGACCCGATCTCTCCGCCTGGCCCGTCCTCTCCCTCGCTCCCACGACCTCCTCTCCCGCACAACCGCCCAAGCAAATCGCCGCTCGCCTCCTCGTCGGTGCCGACGGTATCAACAGCCCCGTCCGGCGCTTCGCCGATATCTCGACCTCGGGCTGGGACTACGACCGCCATGGCGTGGTCGCGACGCTCTCTCTATCCGACCTGGACCCGGTGCACTTCCCTTTGAACATGAAGACGGCGTACCAGCGGTTCCTCCCCGCGCTCGGCGGGCCCATCGCGCTCCTCCCTCTCCCGAACAACAATGCCAGTCTCGTCTGGTCGACGACCGTCGCCAACGCCGCATACCTGAAATCCCTGCCGCCGCGCGCCTTCATCGCAATGGTGAACGCCGCCTTCCGTCTCTCCATGACCGACCTATCCTACATGCTCCGCATGGAACGTCCTTCCACAACCTCCTCTCCCGCCTCCTCCACCTCCACCCCCACCCCCACCCTCGACCCCCACGAAGACGAACTCACCTGGCGCCTCCAACACACGCCGCAACCCCGCAAACCGAGCCAGCTGCCCCCGGTAGTCAACGGCGTGCAAGAAGGCACGGTAGCCTCGTTCCCGCTCCGCTTCCGCCACGCCTCCAGCTACATCTCGCCGCGAGTCGCCCTGGTCGGCGACGCCGCCCACGTCATCCACCCGCTCGCCGGGCAAGGCCTGAACCTGGGCCTCGGCGACGTGGCCGCCCTGGCCAGGACGGTCCAGTACGCCGCCACCCACGGCATGGACGTCGGCGATATCCTGACCCTGGAGCGCTACGCCGGCGACCGCTTCGCGACCAACGCTAAGATCGGCGCCGCCTGCGACGTCCTGCATAAGCTGTATAATGTCCCCGGTAACGGGCCCGTGGCGTGGGCGCGGAGCTTCGGGCTGGATGTTATCGATAAGGTGCCGTTTGTGAAGGGGTTGTTGATGAAGGGGGTGGAGTGATCTCAGCTTCGCTCTTCTTTTTCTCATGTAACTATATCTCTTTCTATCTTCGACTATATATCTGGTTAGGTCTCTTTGCGATTGTTGTATGATTATAAGTACCTACGATGTACAGTTCGTATGTGCTGTAGCTGTAGCGTGTATTAAGCTTTCTTTATCAGTGGAGAAAAGAAGATAGATCGACCAGCGCGAAGTACTATACACTCCCAACACAAGGATATACGAAATGCTTCCACGCTTTCAATTCGACTGCAATCTAAAACTGGGTATTTCGGAACGTCTTTCAGGGTTCCCCCTCCTAATTTTTGGTAATTTTGGCGTATTCTGGTCATATATTTCTTGTCCTTCCCTCTTTTTTGTTGATTTATTCCAAAAAGCAGAAACTAGGCCTCGACCTTGGTAGCCTCCAACTGCTCCGTGATGCTCTGCACGCTCTGGCCGCGCTTGTTCGCCACGCGGGTCTTGATCTCGGCCGGCAGGGCGGTCAGGTCGACTAGCACGCCCTCCTTCTCCGGGTGGCCCTCCTCAAGACCCATCTCCTTGATGCGGACCTTCCCGGCCGCAAGCTCGTCCTCACCGAGGATGACGGCGAAAGGGACGCCGGCTTGTTCGGCGGCCTTGAATTGTTGGGGGAGCTTGGGCTTGACCTTGTACGAGAATTCGGCCTGCGAGGAGGTTGGTAGGTTGGTTAGTGAGATTCTTCGGAGGACTATATGTGAAAGGAAGGGGGGTAGTGGTGGAGTTTACCTTGACACCGGCGTTCCACAGCGACTGACACACGCTCATGCGCTCCTTCAACATGCCGGTGAAACCCTTGCCACCGAAGGCCATGACGTAGGCATCGACCTCGCTGCTGCGCAGGGCCTCGGCGCTCTTTTCGCGCTCGATCCGCGCCTTGGTGATGGAGAAGATACGGTCGACACCGAAGGAGACACCCACGCAGGGAATCTGCGCCTTGGGCAGGAACATGCCCACCAAGTTGTCGTAGCGGCCACCGGCGGCGACACTGCCCACGCCCAGCGTCGGGTCGTTGGACCGGTCGTCATCTTCCAGGTTCTTGGACTTGTCCTTCTTGGCTTTCTTCTGCACGACCTGGGCCTCCTCGGAGCCCTTCTGCACGGCGGGGGCAGAGCCCTCGGTGACAACCTCGTAGATCACACCGGTGTAGTAGTCCAGACCACGGGCGAGACTCAAGTCGAAGGAGATGCGGTCCAGCACGCCGAAGGCCTCGAGGTAATCCATCAACAGCGCCATGTCTTCCACACCGGCCTTGGCGGAGGCATTGGCCAACAGGGTCTCGTCCTGGAGGAGGCTGTCCAGCAGATCGCGACCGCCCTTCTTCTGAGCGTAGGTCCAGATCTTGTCGGCCACGGCGCCGTCCAGACCCTTCTCGTCGACCATCTCCTTGCGCACATCCTCCCAGGACATCTTATCCAGCTTGTCGACGGCGCTCGAGATGGGGCGGATCTTGTCGGCGGGGACACCGCAGACCTCGAAGAGGCCATCGAGGATCTTGCGGTGGTTGATCTTGATGTTATAGCGGCCCTTCCAGCCGAGCTCCTCGAAGACCTCAGTGACGATGCGCAGGATCTCCGCGTCGGGCACCATGGGGTCGAAGGTGCCGGCAATGTCGAAGTCGCACTGGTAGAACTCGCGCATGCGACCCTTGCTGACGGCGGGCTGGTCGCGACGGTACACCTTGGCGATGTGGTAGCGCTTCATGCTGCGGACGTCCGGGTTCATGGCCAGCCAGCGGGCGAAGGGCACGGTCAAGTCGTAGCGGAGCGAGCAGATCTCACCACCCTGATCCTGGAGGTCGTAGATGAGCTTCGAATCCTCGCCATATTTGCCGGCCAGAATCTCGCGAAGTTCGAAAACGGGAGTGTCGAGCGCGGTACCGCCGTGGCGCTTGAAGACGTCGGCGATGGTGGAGAAGATGCGGTCGCGGAGGAGGGCGTCGGAGCCGGACCAGTCCTTCGTACCCTTGGGGGTCTTCAGGTTGAAGGAGATCTTGGATTCCTTGTCCTTAGGCATTGTGTATTCGGAAGGGGAGGACGAGGAAGAGGGGGATATAGAGGAGGAGATCGAGGAGTGAGTGGAAGATGGGAAGGCCGGAGGGGTCAGAGAAGAGAAAGAAGAAGAACAAGACTTGGAATGGTGGGGGATAGTGGGGGCTTGACTGATTGGGCGGACAACTGGCCGGCCGCCGCTGTCGCTGTTGCGGTTCCTGCTGCTGCTAATGCTGCGAAGGCTACTGCGGACAACACTGAGGCGATTCAGTTCCCGCGCTGCACCAATTGCTCGTCGGGAGCAGCGAAAAGACACGAACTGCAGTGGGGAGAGCATTCAAATGAGAAGGAAAAGAGTAAGGTAGTTAGTTGGTTAATCTCATTGATGATGGATCGGGAAAGAAAGTCGCCCCCTTCACGGCTCGACCCGGCCATTCCTCGGCTTTCAGTTTCTCCGCTCTTCTCCCAATTCGGAACTTAGGGCAGGCTACTAGGGCATAGATGTAGCATTTGGCTTTATCTAGGTAAGTATAGAAGTAACACGAAGTAGGTAAATTGATTCACATCCCTTGTGTAAATTTGGTTTGATCCCTCAAGACCTGTCGACGCTTATCAACGCGCTATGCTCCAGCATGCTCCAGTTTCCAAACTCCCCCGAATGCCCTTAACGCCAGCCAGGTGTCAATGCCTTAGCGACCAAAGAAACAACGAAACGAGTTACTCGTAGAGTTAGAAGGTTAACTTGTTGAGATTGTGTAGTGTCTGTCACTAAATCCTCTGACGGTAATGGGAAAGCACTGAGGATAACACTTCACAATAGCACACCTCAAGCCTGTGGGCCTTGTGTATTCACTGGCAGTTTCGCAGTTAATGCCAGTTGAGCAACACAGGAGCCGAAGTTTAAGGAAAGATTATTATTCAACGGCGTATTCATTTCTAAAGCAGCGGAAAATAGCCCTGGAGCCAAACTTATGCACTTGATGTAGAGTGAGTGACCTTCAGGTATCAAGCCCGAGCTTTGGTCTCAAACCTACTGGAATAAGTCTTCTATGAGGTGCATCTCTTCTCCATTCAATCATTGTAACAATTACTGTTGTTTATACGATTCAGGCGAAAAAGTGTATGGACTATAGACAAGGCCTGTGGCGGTCGAGCTGGCTCAGAAGTGAATGACAGTCTGCGTTCATCTCACAGCCTAAGTGAGGTAAACACTTTGTCCCGGGCCCCGTTCCGCCTGATATAATTTTAAAGGACAACCCCCACGCGTCATCTCCTCAACAGTTTCCTTGACACCCCAGCATCACCCTGCCATCGTACGGGAGCTTCAATCATCATGAGCCCAATAGTACGTGTCCGCCAAACTGCACATCTCACTCTGTTACACAGAAGCTTGACCCGACAAATCCCAGTGATTGCTTCATCTCGAAGCCACCCCATAAAGAGCTGCTTTCGACAAGCACACGCTCTCGTTAAACCCATCATGCAATCCTTGAGATGGACATCTGAACTCAAAGATTTCCCCGCTTCTGGATTTGAATTGATCGAGACAACAACCAAGATCGAAGAGGAAACCTTACCGGGATACACACCGGAGACATTTTACCCAGTCCAACAAGGTGAAATAATGAACGATCAATATCAAGTGAATTCCAAAATTGGCTACGGTGCTACCTCAACCGTTTGGTTGGCTCGCGACTTGATGTAAGTCAATGGGAAGTAGCCACTCCCTACAGCGTTGACCATTTGACTAATGACATGGACACCAAGCGAATCCAAGTACGTCACCATCAAGGTCTATGCGAGGAATAAGGGAAAAGAGCATGAAATCAACGTCTACAACCATATGCAAACCATCGAGACGGACCACCCCGGCAAGCAGCACGTTCGCAAACTGCTCAATCATTTCGTCATCCAAGGCCCCAACGGTCGTCACGTCTGCCTAGTTTATGAGCCTCTAGGAATGAGCTTGTACGAATTAGAATGCATTAGCAAGAATCTAGGGGTAGTCGAGCCCATACCCAGACTTGAAGATGCGAAGCCAGTCATCCGAAGACTCTTGAGCGCTTTGGATTACCTGCATCAGGTGCCCGGACTCATCCACGCTGGTAATGTTGACCCCGTTTCGGAGTTCAATTTGTCCTTAAGTTAGAGAACTAACATTAGTCTTTCGTCAGACCTTCACATGCGGAACCTGCTTATGCCTGGGCCGTCCTCAGACAGAATCTCTGAGTACGAGAAACGTGTTATTGATTACCCGTTAGCCAGGAAGGTCCTTGACGACCGTACTATCTACTCTACGAGAATGTTCCCTACAGGACGAGGGCTCCCTGTGCTGTGCGATCTCGGCGAAGCACAATTCGGCAACAAGGAGAACAATGGAAGGATCATGATAGACCAGCACCGTGCCCCCGAAGTAATCCTGTGGTGTGAAAACTGGGACTACAAGGTTGACATCTGGGGCGTTGCTATGCTGGTAAGTTGTTTGGACCTTGTGTTTCCCGGCTCCTTGGTATGGGCCTGCGTCTGACCACTTAATTATATGGGATCATGAAACAGGCTTGGGATCTTGCTAGCACTCGCCGCTTGATACAGGATCACGAGATCGAAGGCATTTGGAATGATGGCGGCCACATCGCGGAATTGAATGCTCTCCTTGGACCACCACCACTGGAGTTCGTCAAACAGTACCACATGAGTTGGATCTTCTGGGACGAAAGTGGCACTTGGACTAACCGAGTCCCGATCCCGGACAGAACCCTCGAACAAGCCGCGGCCGATGTTGAGGGCGAAGACGTGGAGGATATCTTGCGATGGTTGCGTCGAGCGCTACAGTGGAATCCGAGAGATCGTGCCACGCCCATGGAGTTGCTGTTCGACCCGTGGCTGATGAAGGGGATGAAGCTGAAAAGAGGCTGCCAGGCGCCGAAAGAATATCCGCATCTCATTGGGGTCGTTGAGGTCGTGGACTGATCCAGATATTGAACCATCTCTGCTCTTTTGAGTCGTGGGTTGAGACGTGTGTGGTGTTGCTTCTTTTCTGTATTGTTGTGAGAGAACCCCCCCCATAGTTATATGTTCCCAGTGATTGCTCTTGCCATGTATGCATCTGCTCTTGAAAATTTTAGAAACTCGCTACTCAATTCTTCTTCGGCGATTGACTTGTCACAAAGCTATCATGAACTGTACACTTTGCAAACCCAGGTATACACCAAAATCGTGGTAAGCCTACATCTCGTTCCGGGGGAAAGCCTCATCGATATCGTTCGCCATGTTTTCAAACCGGCGCGGCTGATTGCCGAACTCGAGGTGTTGTCCGGAAATCAAGTCCTAGCAGAAGTGCATTCGGTATTAGAAGAGCCAGGGTGACTGTGATGCAATCCTCCATAGATCTGAGCCTATACCCTTACCATTTGGTAACGGCTCTTCCAGATGTTGTTATAGAGGATATAGAAGCCATCTTGTCGTGTTCTACTCTGACGTAGACTCACAGCATCACCATCATCCCCATTGGTATGGAAGTCTCGTGCTTTTCCCCAACTTTTGTGGGCGAGAAAATGGGACCGTAAGCTTCATTGGCGGGATGGAAGAGGGGCGCGGGTGCCGCATGGGGTGATGCGGTGACTGACTCTGACGATACTACATGTAACTACGGAGTCAAAACCGAAGTCAGGTACCTGTTCCTTCCTGTATTGTAAGAGAAGACAGATTTTGCGGGGCTGGATTAGGATTCCACCCCGATTGGTTCAGTGCTGCTCCAGCCTGAGTGGGGTCGACATGACGGATTTCATAGAATTCCATTGATGCGGACTTGCTTATCAGTGAGTGCTTTCTCTTCTTATACAGTAAGCATCAAGTATCGACTCTCTACAAGCTGTGTGACACTGCTGTCAAACAAGCTGAAACAGCGGGAGCCCCCAAGGGTGAAACTCGGGCAAGTCTCGTGGGCAAATTCGCATCGGATAGAGAAGCCTGATCGGATTTGAGTTTGCCATAAGGATGCAACCGGCCATGCAACCCCCATGCATTTATCCATCCTGGCAGGGCACACTTTCCATCATCATACTGAGTGATCAGTCCAAAGCGGTAACAGACACGAGTGGCTGGTCGGGAGTGGAGGGAGAGAGGAGAGAGAGAACTTAGGTAAGTACAGTAGGTAACTTACCTCATGCTATACGAGGTTCCCCCTCAGCGTGGTATGACGCTAGTATCTCAAATGCTGGGGTGATGGGGAAAGGTGGGGGGCTGCAATGAACTCGATTGGTTTCCTGACTCTCTGATGATCCTTGTGTTTCCACGTGGTTCTGCTGTAGCGTGATACAGTACCATACCATTCCACATGACGGTAAGGTATGACGTGGTAAAGGCTCCTTATCCATCCAATTCTCCCCTTTGGCGGTCGGAGGAGGGAGGGGAAAGCTGAGCTGAGAAGGGAAGGAGATCCTTGAGATTCTTATCTCATCCGTGGTGATAGGGTGCGACCACCCCTTGTCGTCCAGGTTCCAGTGCTTTCACACTGGTCCGAAATACTCAAGCCCCGTCCTGGTGCCTCTTGTCCTCCCTTCCCTTGTCATTCCTGGGACCATCCTTGAGGCGTCGAGTCACCTTCGCCGAAAGACAACTGCTGAGAGTGACCACCAGCACCGGAGCCGCCGCCAAGGACGCCCGCCAGGACAGGCCGCCTAAGGAGGTAAAATCACGCACTGCATTTCGTCCCGCTGCTTAAGGGGAAATCTCATGGCCCGTCATTCCGTGGTCAATCTTCCGATCCCCTCTCCCTTCTTTTGTTCGTCTGCAGCAAACCGGCGGAGGTCGTGGCAGGGTAGGCCCCCGATCTTGTTTGGGTGCTCATACGTGCAGCTGCAGGTCAATCGCTCGGCCGGGCTGTATCTTGATCCCTACTTGATAGCATCCTGGCAGTTAGGAAGGTTCATTGGCGAGCTAAGCCATGCCAATGGGCTGGCAACAAATCAGAGCCTGGGGATGGCGAGGCCGATGCAACCCCGGCCGCAACCTTTGGCTGCGCCTGATGATGCGTGCGTGCTATATTATCCGAAGGATTGCTTCGCCCGGCTCTAGAAGGTCACCCTCTCTTTCTGGTTGCTTTGCTTTGATTTTGTTTTTGCGTACTGCCCCAATGGCCTTCATGGAGCATACCCACGATGTCCTGATCGAAGGCAGATGTAACACAACATCAAGCCGTTATAAAACGTTTGTAGGCCCGTGTAGCCCGTGTAGCCCGTGATTAATGAATTACTGTTGGGCGGAGGGGCCAGTCCGACCGGGTGGATGTGCTCCAGAGATGTTTGCCTGTGGCCATTGAGATTGGGCCTCGCGCACGTCCATGTTTCATTGTCTGGTGGAGGAGCTTAAACCAAGTCCTTAGTTGACTGACGTAGAGAGCGCGCGCGACGCGAATGTCCCGGGCCACATCCTCGTAGCAATCCGGTTCTTCCCCTCTTCGGAGAGAGAACCCAGAAATCAAGAAACATTGGAATGAGGGGAATGGTCGGGATTCTTCTTCTCTGTCTCAAGAGGAGGCCAAATTAGTCAGACTCTTAGTCTTACGCTGATTGTCAATCGCAGCAACCCTCAAGTTGGTGAATCTATCGGTGAAAGGACGGAGTTAAGCTGGGGAATGGAAGATACCGACAGAACCGACAGATGCCGGAAAACCGAACTCAGATTTACCGACAGCTACTCTCTAGGCTCTCATCATGGCTCCATTCCTATCTAATTGTCCATAATGAACGAAGGAAGGGGATGGCAAAATGCATGAGAGGTTTGGAAATCATCTTTTTCCATCGAGGCTCTCTCCTCAATTCCCCCCTCATTGCTCCCCAAAGTATGACCGCTCAGGCCCGCCAGCATGCGTGTGTGTGTGTAGTATTACTGGGTAGGACAGCCACACAGGGGACAGACGGTACCGATACCCGGTGCATACCATACATACGGTACGACCAGGCAAAAGAGTTCCTCTTACTAACTTAAGTTATACTACGGGTTGTTACAAGGGAAGGGTTCCTAACAGACAAGCCTGGGGATTCCCGCCAAACTTCAACTCTCACGCTGCCTTGCCTGCTTGTCTTTCCCATTTCCTCTCTCACTCTCGCCATTTCCCACGATCCTCTCTCACTCCCACTCCCACTCTCACTCCCGCTCTCGCTCTCATTCTTGCCCCTGCTTCTCTGACCATATTCTCCTCCAACTAATCTATAGCCCACCTCAATTTCATAATCCAATCTCTTGCGCTATTCTCGGTCTCTTCTTCTCCGACTCGGACCGCAGCCTTTCTCCACCTTTTCTCGAATCCGCCGCCCGTTCACGTTTCCGCCCCATTCCACGCTCTCCCATCCAGGTCTCCAGGCCCTAGTCCTGCGATAACTCCGTCGTTCTCGCGCACTTCTAATTCTCCTACCGGGTTCCTGTCCACAATCAATCCTCGAATCACGCATCGCGACTCTTTACCAGAAGCTCTGCCTGCCTTTTTCGCCCCCGATCGCATCCTGCTGACTCGCCGTTTCGCACGTGGTCCGAAGAACTTACTCATCGCCGCTCTCTTTTCTGGTCCTGGTGTCGGCTTCGGTTTCCACCCGCCAGTTGCCCGATGAGGCTGAATTAGGATTCACGGAATTGTGCGATAATCATGGGGTCTTTTCTGAGGAGTTTCCGGAGAGATGTGGTGAGTCTCTATTCCGGTCAACCTGGCTTTCTGGATTGTTCCCAACCCATCGTCTTCCATCTTCCCGTGCCTGGCCGGTTCAATATACCTCTCCTGTGGCGCAATCGCTTTGTTTGGACATTGGATAATCGCTCTTGCCTCACTTTGGAAACGAGTGCACACAACGGCTGGGATCAGACGGAGGAATTATTGGATCTGAAGCCTCTTTCTATCGTCGATGTCGAATGACGAATGCTAACCGTCTTGTCCCCAGGGACCCACGCCTTCGGTTGGGGCGCCTCCCACCAAGAAAGAACCCCAGGCGCCGACGATGACCCCGATAGAGAAAATGCTCCAGGACATGGGCTCCGTTCGAGAAGATGGCAGTGATAAGTTCTTTGCGATGGAGAATGTAAGTCTGGATCTATGACCTTCTGCTCCGGGAACCTCCGCTGATAAACCTTTTCTCGATAAGTTCGGAAATACATGGTGAGTTGTTGGTGTCTGGTCGTTGGTCGACATAGGCAAAGAATTAGCGAAGACCTTCAAGGCCAGTATCACTAATACTCGCAAACAGTTATTGTAACTCGATATTGCAATGTCTCTACTATTCAGTACCATTCCGAGAAGCCGTCATAAACTATCCCACCAGAACGCCGATAGAGAACCTGGAAGCCGCATTGGCCAAAAATCTCCGCTACCAAAATCCAGCCGCAAACCTGGAAGCAGAGGCGCAAGCAGAGAAGCAAAAAGCTGCTACGCCACAACGTGCTGGGGCACCACCCAATCAGCCACAGAAGCCCGAAGACAAAGACTCACCGGAATACAAGAAGAAGATGGCATTGCAGACACTACCTCTCCTAGAAACCACGAACAATTCAGCCAGTTACGGAATGTCGGAGTCGCTATTTACATCGTTGAAGGATATATTCGAGTCCATTGTGGCGAGTCAGGAACGTCTCGGTATAGCTCGGCCGCAACGCTTGTTGGAGCTCCTTCGCCGGGACCATGAGATGTTCAGATCCGCCATGCATCAGGATGCCCATGAGTTTCTGATCATTTTGCTGAATGAGGTGGTGGCAAATGTGGAAGCAGAGGCCATGAAGCATCCCGAGAAAAGCCTGCCACCTGCTGAAAGCATGGATTCTTCTCAACAGTCTCTTAGTTCCGGTTCCAAAACTCCTAATACCACACGATGGGTACACGAGTTGTTTGAAGGGACCTTGACGTCCGAAACACAGTGCTTGACCTGCGAAAACGTTTCCCAGCGAGATGAAATATTCCTAGACTTGTCAGTTGACTTGGAACAGCATTCGTCGGTCACCTCGTGTTTGAGGAAATTCTCCGCAGAAGAGATGCTCTGCGAGCGGAATAAATTCCACTGTGACAACTGTGGCGGTCTGCAGGAGGCAGAAAAGCGGATGAAAATCAAACGTCTTCCCCGCATCTTGGCTCTCCATCTCAAGCGCTTCAAGTACACGGAGGACTTGCAGCGTCTGCAAAAGTTGTTTCATCGAGTCGTCTATCCGTATCACCTACGTCTCTTCAATACCACTGACGATGCAGAAGACCCGGATCGATTGTACGAGCTGTACGCAGTGGTGGTGCACATCGGAGGCGGCCCTTACCACGGTCATTATGTGGCCATTATCAAGACGCAGGATCGCGGATGGCTGCTCTTCGATGATGAGATGGTGGAGCCTGTCGACAAGAACTACGTGCGTAACTTTTTCGGAGACAAACCCGGACTTGCTTGCGCCTACGTTTTGTTCTACCAAGAGACCACTATGGAGGCTGTCATGAAGGAACAAGAACAGGAGAATCTCAACGCTACCATGGCGGATCTGAACCTGAATGAGACTACTGTGAAGCAGAATGGTTTCGCCCCTCCGGTCGGACTGTCTCATGTCCACAGTGCATCGCAAATCCCCTCGCAGGACGAACCTCACCGGCTCACCAGCTTGAAACGCGCCCCGACAGCGCCTCAACTCCCGACCCACACTGAGCATATTAGCGCCGAAGCTGTTCCTCCGCATTCTCCGGCAGCCGTGCCACCTCCGGTGCCTCCGATCCCCGAGGTCCACACGCGGCCGCTTAGCCCAAAGAAGAGTGACGTTCAATCGAAGAAAGAACGGGCTAAGGAAGGGAAGGAACGAAAAGCGGCCGAAAAAGAGCTGGAAAAGCAGCGTCGGAAGGAACAAGAAGCCCGTTTCAAGGAGAACAAAGAGAATCAGCGGCGCGAGGAAGCTGAGATGAAGGCGGCGATCGAAGCCAGCAGAATGTCCAAGGCCGATGAAGACCGACGTAATGATAGTGGCAAAAGTGGTGGGTTGAGTCGACTCAAACGAGGCAGCAAGAGCTTCAGCCAGCGACTGGGCAAGGACAAAGAGAGTCGGGCGTCATCGTCCGGTTCGCCTGCAGTGCCCAACTCCGAAAATTCCAGTTCAAGCAATATGCCACCCGAACCACTCCAACCCTTGTCTCCTCAAAAGATCGCGCCCCCCGAGACACTCCTGGTCCCCCAGGATGATGACCCGGATTCACTCAAGAGTCCTAAAGGCGATCGACAGACCCACGGGAAATGGCGGAGCTTCAGCATTAGAAAGAAGTCCTTCAGTATCCTTTCCTGAAAATCTGATGACCTGTCGCTCGCCACCACGTGTATCAGATCTACACTTCTTGCACATAAAAGATGCATTTCAGTCGTACATATTTTATTCTTCGATGTATCATCACCATTTTCTTCCTGACCGGACTCGTTTTGACTTTCGCGACGTGGCCTATGCCCATCATGCATATTGACCCGGGCTGCGCGTGGACGGAATGGGTCTGGTTTCTGTTTTACTTCATCTGCCGGCTCCAGCCTGCCTGCATTTTTTTGGTGCGTCCCACCGCGGTCTGCATGTTGTTTTAGCCTTTTTCTCATTTCTCACTTTCTTGTTTCCATGTCATCCCCCTGTGATACCCATGCCTGGGGTCACACCACTGGGCAAATGAGGCGTTTGGTGAAAGTGTTTTTTCTTGTTCTAGCTGTTCACTCGGGTGAGATGACACCAGGGAGTGGATGCTCGATTTGTGTTATCACAGAGTTTGTGGGAGGGCTACTCGCTGGCCCTTCGATGAGCAGCCAGGCGATCGCATCATGTTTCCCCGCCTTGAAGACTTGAGTGGCAATGGCACACAGTGCTTACGCTCTACCTCGACTGGACATCTCATGCGGAACCTCGCGTGAGTGAGTCTTGCGAGTATACGCGCGGTATATAGATCTTGATACCAATGTGATATGTATGCGAAGAGTGCCGTTTCAATCTCCCCATAGGCAATGTCACTTCCTAATCCCCACCTCCCTACGACTTCTGTATCCTCAGGGCTTCTATTATCGAATTCGAAATATTTATATCGCACACCTAATGATATTCGTACAGACGTCATTTCCATTTCGTAAGACCATCCATTTTATACCACTCAGTTCTTCGGAGACGGTAGAAATTAAAACACCTCGTAAATCGCTGATGCGTACGTATATGAATATGTGGAGTAGACAAGGTATACAGAAGATCGATCGGATCCGGATTTCGGAAGAAGCGAACGCCAAGAGAACATAAAACGAATCGAGTGATTTAGCCCAGGATAAGCTCGTAGATGATGACAATCGTGTTGATGACGATTAAGGGTACTGCGTAGGGGTAGAAGGATACGTTAGTTTTATGTACGTACTGGAAGGAGAAGCGGGACGCTGTCCTAGGCTCGGGGGGTGGGGGCATAGGTAACATGATGAAACAAGGAGGAAGGGCCTTTGAATGCGAGATAGATAGATGTGTTGGGGGAAAAACGTACTTCGCATTACGGTCCGGACACTGGCGATCAAATTGATGGTCTTGGCCTTCACGCTCGTGTTGTCGTAGGTTGCGCCGAAGGCGGGATCGGCTTGCATGCGGCCCCAGCCGACTGTTGAGATAGATTTTAGTACAGGTTGATACTTGGAGTTGTGGAGACAGGCGAGACGTACTTCGAGCGAGGAAACGGTCCTCCGAGAGGATGGCGAGGGAGTTGATGAAGAGGATGATGACTGCGGAGAAACGCGAAGCGGAAGAGGTTAGTTTCGGAGGTCCGGTTGGGTGTGCTTCAATGGGTGGTGGAATGGGGGGGAGTGAGCGAGGTACCGTAGAAGAGTTTCCCGAGGCCGAAGAAGAACATCTTGGCGGGGTTATTGAAAGGTTAAGCGGGTGGTGAGAGAAGATGATGGTGGAGGTTAGAGAGGAAGTCAGAGAGAGCTGGAGATGTTGATGACGGCGGCGGAGAGGAAAGGCAGGTGGAAGTGCGGGAAGGCCACCACCACTCATGTGATTTGACCATCTGTCTTCATACTTCGTCTCTCGTTCGCTTCTTATGTATCAACGCAACAGTTCTAGCGCAACCTGGAATCAATAGTGTCATTATGGGTGGGAGAGATGCTGGTAACTTTTTAATTAAGTGTTTGACAAGAGTAATGACTGACCACTGTCTAGTTTACGTGCTGCTCCTCGCCGCAGTGCCCGCCCTCATTCTCCTCCATTTGGTCGTTGCGCCGTACACCAAGGTAGAGGAGTCTTTCCACATCCAGGCTATTCATGATATCCTGTTGTATGGGATCCCGACGCGCAATGTCAGCGAAACCTTCCGTGCGGACTATGATCATTTTACCTTCCCTGGAGCTGTTCCTCGGACATTTGTCGGCGCCGCGCTGCTGGCCGGTCTCGCGCGGCCTTTCGTCTGGTTACAGCACAATGTCGATAGACAATTGCTTGGTAAGTAGCCCGACAGTTTCTTTCTCAATGCCAATCTGTGGCTAAGCTTTGAACTTTGCAGTCCGAGCTATCCTAGGTCTATTCAATGCCGTCTCGTTGCAGTCATTTGCGTCCGGCCTGCGACGTACTGCGGGCAAGACAACGGCCATTTGGTACCTTTTGTTTCAAAGCAGCCAGTTTCATGTTTTGTACTATGCATCGAGGACGCTCTCGAACATGTTTGCATTTGGCATGACCACGCTAGCTCTGCGCTACCTTCTTCCGGAGCCATCGCTATCTACCGCAGCATATCGAAGACGCTCTCGGCTTTCTCTGTGCCTGTTGACAGTCGCCGGTATCATCTTTCGCTCTGAGCTTGCCATCTTCCTCGCGACAAACACCATCTTCCTCTTCGCAACCCGCCGTATTAGCATCTTACATGAAATTATCCCTGCGGGGATTGTCGGTCTTCTCATCGGCCTGACCACGACTGTCGCCGTGGATTCCTTCTTCTGGCAGCAATTCCCGCTCTGGCCTGAATTCGAGGCCTTCAAGTTTAATGTCCTTCACGGCCAAGCCTCAGCCTGGGGTATCGACCCGTGGTACTTCTACTTTGTCAATGCGCTTCCTCGTCTCCTTCTCAACCCTCTCACCTATCTTTTTGGAATCCCGGTCTCACTATTACAACCTGCTACCCGCCCTCTGGCGACATTCATCCTCGTCCCCTCTCTCTTCTTCCTAGCGATCTACAGCGTCCAACCGCACAAAGAATGGCGATTCATCATCTACACCATCCCCACTCTCACCGCAGCCGCAGCTCAGGGCGCCTCCTACATCTGGACACACCGCGCCAAATCGATAGTCTATCGTCTTCTCTCCCTCGCCCTTCTAGCCTCAACCCTAGCTTCCTTCGTCGTCTCCACCTTTGTTCTTCTCCCCGCCTCCTCCGCCAACTACCCCGGCGCCCACGCCCTCCACGCCCTCCACAACCACGCCAACATCCATCCTAACAACAAATCCAGTGTATCAGTCTATTTGGGTAATCTAGCCTGCCAAACCGGCGTCACCCGATTCCTCCAAATCCCTACCAATCTATCCGACTCCTCAGCCTGGCACTACGACAAAACCGAGTCCCCCGTCGCCAAATCCGACCCCACCTTCTGGTCCCAATTCGACTATGCCCTTGTCGAGCCCGGCGAGGAAGCTGAACTTGTTCTGTCTTCTACCTCTGGAACTGGGAACTGGCATCCCATCGATGCTGTCTCCGGTTTTGCAGGGCTTCGTGTTCTTCGACCTGGTGATGAAGCTGTCGGTACCGTCGAAGAGAGTCTTATCGCGTACATTGCTGGGGAAAAAGGTGCGGGGATCTGGACGAAGGGCCGAGAGCTCGCTAGACGGGTGGCCACTCGTGGATGGTGGGCGGAAGTGAGGATGGAGAGTAAGATCTTGGTGCTGGGGAGGGATGAAGCTGGACATGTTTGAGATATCTGGATCGCTCTTTTGCCTTCCAAGGTGGATGTATGTATCTCATGTAAAATAAATTTGGTTTTAGCGAACCTTAGGAAATGGATATCATTAGACAAGATTCAGAGCTTCACAGGATGCATAGGGTTGACTATGTTCTCACGTGACTGGTAGGATTATGATTCTCCCATATGAAGCTGCAATGTTCATCAATTCACATCATCCCTCACCATCCGAGCTTAGAGCTATCGCCAGGTCTAGACTTGATAACATCAAGCCCATATCTCTCCAGATCACGCCACAGACAGCCACATATCGATGAATCTCGATTGTCCTTCGGAATCTGTGCCTTCCGATCACTGTTCCTTCCCATGATTGGCGAAAGAAGCTCGATTCGTTTGATAAGAAGCTGATAACGATGTCGATATTCACCTCAGAACATTAAATATCAGTGGTAGCGAGTCCATCTCATCTCCTTCTTCTTTGTTCAAGTCTAAGATCTCTTGGTAGCGAGTTGGGGTAATCTTAATGTGCTCCACGCGATGAGACCCCATGGGGCATAAATATACCCTCCTCCCCCCTTCGATATCTCTTCTTTTCCTCATCATCCGTTCCTTTCTCACAGTCTCTCATTTCTACGAAAACACCTCACAGAACCTCTCCTTTCCTGAGCTGTTTTGCACAATCCCTCACCCACATCCGTTCTCGATGTTTCGCCTCAAGAGGCTCCTTGTTTTCCTTTTGATCTTCTGTTTGTTTATGCAGACTGCCTTTGGTGATCCTCCCAGTCCCACTTCCACTGATATCGGTCATCTCGACAGCACCCCTGCTGGTGGTGTGGTTGGCGGCGAGGGCGTTACCACTGACCTTGCCAACTCCACTGATGTCAAGACCCCCACCGAAGACGTGAACGATGACGATTTGGACTCTTTCGAAGACAACGGCATGGAGAAGCCAGACACTCAGGCCGATGACATCGATGCACTAGACCCCGAACTCGATGAAGACTTGAATGAGGACGAGATTGGCGATCACAACGACAAGTCCAACAAAGGCAAGGACATCATCGACAAGCCCATGGGTGGCGATCCCCATCACCACTGGCCTCGCCCTAAGGTAAGCAGAAAGCTCCTCGATCATCTTCTTTCGGTCCTTACCGTTGCTAACTTTGTCTGTCCTCTCCAGCCCCGGCACTGCACTGGCATCTGTGACAGTTCACTCACCTGCCACTGCAGGAAATATGGAGTGGGTCGCTGCCGCTGTGTGCACCCCGGCCTCAAGTGCAGGTGCATCAACCATCGCAAGGCTCGTAACGAGGGCACTGATTTCGATAATTCCAATTCCACTGATGCTTCGCGCTTCGTTGACGAGTTGAGCACCCCTGTCGATCTCAGTGCCGCCGATGACCTGAAGGCCGATGATCTCCATGCCGATGATTCGAACACTGCCGAGGACTTGAACTCCACTGCCGTTCGGAAAACCACCACCAATCTGATCACTGCTGAAGATGTCTCAGACACGGAGGAAAATCAGGAATCTTCTAGCCCCAGCAAAAAGGTAAGACCACCAACCAACCCTTGACCCGCCCCGCCTCTCACGGACAATCGCCTAGATCGCGTACAAGTGCAGCAGCATCTGTAACAAGCGAAAGAGATGCCCGTGTCCCTACAGGGGCCAGAACATGTCCTGTCATTGCGATAGCCCTGGCGACAAGTGCAGATGCAAGAACCTCTATCCTACCCACCCGGATCGCCTCGTCGACGGAGAGGATCTGAACACAATCGACGACGCGACCACAACCGCGGACCTGGGCTCAGCTAACACTGCGAACACACCTAAGCGTCGAAGCACGGAGGAGATTTTGGTAGCCCCAGAGGAACCTGTCAACACCCCAGAGGAATCTGCGGATGCGAACGAGGACACCGGCAAATCGAAGACCATCCTGCCTATCCCGGTGAGTTCAATCCAAATCATGCTGCCCTTTGAAATCCATCCGCTGACTTTTTTTTATCCACAAGCCCCCGATCCACTGCAGAGGCATTTGCAACATGCACCGGAAATGCAACTGCATGGACAAAGAAGAACCCTCTCATTGCCGTTGCAGGTTGCCCGGATTCCCTTGCTCGTGCACCACGTACATCACGGATCGTGCTGTGGAAACCGTTGGACCTTCTTCGGATACAGATAAGAACCTGGACAGCACTGAGGAGCCGGAAGCCAACGAAAAGTCGGAAAACATCGCCCGTAATCCTTTTGCTCTAGCGGTAAGTCTGAATTGTTACTTTACTTCGTTCTTTGGAGCTGACTTCTTTCCTCTCAGCCTCGCCAGCCTTGCAGTGGACGCTGTACCGGTCACGGAAAATGCATGTGTGGAGGGTTGCTCAACTGTCGTTGCCGGCGCCCTGGGAAGTATTGCTCGTGTGTGAACTAAGCTGTCTCGATTCTCTTGGTTGCTTATTGGCATGTTGGGGAAGATTGAGTGATTGAAATTGCTTTGGAGATTGGTTGTTACAGCCTTGGAACTGCGTTTCATTGCCAAAAGTTGTTGTCGTTGGATTATGTATCTATCATGACATCCTTCGCAAGAACTGCCACCTGTACCATAAAAATTGACTTTGATTTGCTTCTGAACAGAGCTTTCAGGGAGTCTCTGTAGGGGAGTAGAGCAAACGCACAAACTAGGACCCGCCTGCAGCACTCTCCTTAGGTACTGTTGCATGTCTGCAAAGGTTTCAGCGGTCCCAGCGTGTAGGCTGTCTTGACAGAGCCTCGAAAGTCCGTAGAAGGGATTGCAAGTGAGATGTGCTTAGTAGAATGTCAGCGCGCGGCATCAGACTTCCGCCTCTGCGAGCCGTTTGGGGATGTTGCGCGGCGCGTTGCCTTTTGTCTAGCCATGAACTACTCCTTTTTCAGACTATCTCCCCAAAATTGTCCAGACAACACGATACTGGAAGACGATATGTCTGACGCGTTGATGATGCAGTGCAGTTCTAGTGGGAGTCAGTGCGTCCTTTCTCGGAACTGCCATCTCCTCGACATAAAATGCAAACGATTTCACTCCCACACTTCTCCTCCCTAGCCAAGCGACCATATTTCTCCACAGACTACTACTTCGACAGAGTCAAAAAGCAGTAAGCAGCGCTTTTCGGTCCAAGTCGTATAACTTCCCCGAGTCCAACGCTCCGCATGATCTCAGTGTGGGTACGCCAATGCCAGTGACGCAATAGAATAGTCTCCTTTATCGGAGCCATCAGATTCCTTAGCATCTCCATCAGTCACACGGATTCCTGTGTCTTGTCCTCGCCCCTTTCCCAGACGATATCTGCGCTGTCATGCCCGACGATGCATATTATCTGTTGTCGTGGTGGGCGCTACAGACGCCATTTCCTCTACAGTAAGGAGAACCGTACCGGCTCAGCTGCCGGGTCGCCTAGAAGCACGAGATGCAGTTGATAGGTCGATTTTCGGCGGAGAAACAAAGCGTTGAACCATGTGCGGCATTTTGGGGGTGGTCGATACGAGCGGGTCTTTACTCTTTACTGGGTTTGCTCTGAGCTATGAGGCTTTCTTGAGTGAACTCGAGACGGAATCATTCTGAGAGTGATGGGATCGTGAAGTCAGTTTGATCATGTTTTGCTGGCTGATCCTTCTTTTGACTGCGGCTGTGGGGCTGCATAGATAGATTAGTAGATAGATAGAAAGATAGATAGGCTTGGGATTGGCCGCGGAGTTGGTTTTGGAAAAGATTATGCATCACCTTAGCTAATTTAGACTCTGCTAGTAGCAGGAAGGTTGCAGACGGATATGACAGGCGTAGAACGGCTATAGGTCTGAGCGATCCGCTATCAGGCTTGCGGTTACCGTGTCTCTGCGATACCCCGCGAGGAAGATATTCTTAGAAGTTGGATGGGACTGGACTGTCACCAATGCACGTCCCTCGCGGACGGGGACGAAGATCCGAGGAAGACAGTGCTCGACTGCGCTGGTCCTGGATGATCACTAGGTCCCCGAGATCATCGAGCTTAGCTTGTGCTGCTATGGCTGGGAGTATTTAAGCTTTGCATGAGCTCCTAAGTCGCAATCGCGCCGCATAGACTAAAAGAATATGAGTTCATTCAGAGAGTTGATGAGTTGATGAGATCTAACAACAAGAACGAAACAGCCAATCACCATCTAGTCACCAGCTGATCCACCGCTGGTGGGGTCGTAGACAGCCAATGACCAATAAGAGACTGCCCGGGTCTGGGAGGGAATTGACAGCTCGCAAGCAAACAGGCCAAACGCGATGGAGTCTCGCCCTCAAGAGCGAGACCGATGAACATCGGCTGAACACTTCCATCTCTCGTTCCTTTCCCCCATCTTCTCTCCTGCCTCCCCGAAGTTGTGAAAGTATGGACCTGGATCATCCCCGGGGGTTGGCGCAGAACCAAGCTCCAGCATACGGACATCGTCAGCCACCATCCCAGCAAAACTCAAAACCACCCGATCAGCTGCCAGACCCCCGATATAGCGTCATGGATGCGCGGAGCATCCCACGCTCGCTCGGCCCAGCAGCCTCCTCCTCCTCCTCCTCCCCCACCTCCACCCCGGGCATCAGCCTCCTCCAGCAACCGCCCCAGCAGCATTCAACATCAGCCTCCTCAACAACAACACCGTCCGCCACCCCTACCAACGGAGCCACATCGCCCCCCGTGGCCGCAACAGGGACCGCAGCAGTCCACGCCGCCGCCGCCGCCGCCGCGGCAGCTGGCAGCGCCGAACTCAGCCAGCAGTCCGCCGAATCACTGGCCAACGGCAACGGCGACAGCAATGCCAACGGCGAGAACTGGGCTTCGCGGGTCCTTCGGGAAATGAGGGATCTGACGCTGCTCCTCAACCCCGAAGGCCGCGTTCTCTATGCATCGCCTTCATGCCCTGAGATCACAGGCTTCGAGGCTGAATCGCTCGAGCACACCAACTTTTTCCGCTTCGTGCACGAGGACGACAAGTCCTTTCTCACCCAGGAACTGAAAGAGTGTATTGAGTCCGGTCGGCTGCTGCGCTGCCATTTCCGCTTCTGTAAGCCCGACAGCAACTTCTGTCTGCTCGAGGCGCACGGCCATGCACACGTCGCCGCCTCGGATCCCACATCCATGCCCAGTGGTGCGGGTGCTGGGAATGGTGGTCACAGCGGTAGCAGTGGTAGTCGTGAGAGTAGCAGCAGCGGCAGTAACGGCGATGTCAGCAGCAACGGCAACCGCAGCAATAGCAATGATAGTAACATGAGTGGCATCGGCACGATACCTGGCCCAAATGGTCACAGGGCAATCCTGCACCCGCTATCCCCGTCGCCCCCTCAGCAGCCACAACAGCTGAAGCCGGACCCCGAAAAGAAATGCCGAGGAATCTTCCTCGTCTGTCGCCCGTATCCCACGAAGGGAGCCAACCTCCTGAATTCCTTCCTCGAACATAAGATCGAGAACATCCGCCTCAACCAGCGGATTGCGCAGCTCAAGGAAGAAGAGGAGGAAGAACTCAACGCGACGCAGCAATCGTTCAGCAGCAGTAGCGGTCACAACGACGGCAAAGACGACACCGCGACCCACGTTGTCCACACTTCGACCACCACGACCCGCCAGACCTACATCACCACTACCGAAACCGTTACCAAGTCCTCCACCTCCACCACCAACCGCGCGGCGGCCCGCGATACCCCCTCCACGACCTCAGGCGAGGAGAACGAGTCCTCCGACACGGTGACCAGCAGCACCGACGACGCGGACTCGCGCTCGTTCCCCGGCATGGAAGGCGTGGTGGACCGCCTGCCGACGGTGGACGACATGTCGCATATCGAGGGCATCGAGGTCATGACGGGTCTGTATTACGGGCAGGGCGAGCGGTCGCAGGGCTTGAGTACCGGCCAGAAACACGGTCGGTTGGTCCACTGCTCGGACAGCGGTAACGAGTCCTCCGGGAACGATCCCCAGGGCAGTCGAGCCGTCGGCGATGGGGATCGCAGGAAACGGCTCAAGGGCGAGTATATGTGTACGGACTGCGGAACCAGTGATTCGCCCGAGTGGCGCAAGGGCCCCGAGGGTCCCAAGACGTTGTGTAATGCTTGTGGATGTGAGTTGTCTCTCTCTCTCTCTCTGTTTCTTCCGTCTCTCCCCGTTTCCACTTATCTCTCTCCTTGGCTTTGTGCTGCCGGCTTCTTACATACGGAGTTATTCTTGCCTCCTACTTGTTCGATTGTGGACTAATCTCCCACTCAACTATCAGTACGTTGGGCGAAGAAGGAGAAGAAACGTCAGGACCCCTGATCATCAAACTTCTTTCTTCCCTGATCTTGTCTCTGCTCTGCAAGATAAGTATTATGAACCCAAACGACATTGACGCGATGTTTGTTTCGATTGTTACAGTAGTACTACCTGCATTAGTTGCCACTCTGGGGTAGGCTTGGACCCCTTGCGAGGATACCCCTGCTTTTGAACTTTTTTTGGTGTTTCCGTTTCTTATGGACGGGTCTTTCTGTGTGCGTTGTTGCAGCAGTTCATGTGACCTTCGTTCTATCATGACTTGTCTATCACGGTACGATTCTATGTGGGATGTGTATCTTCCGTCTTGATTTAAAACGATTTGGTGTCTCTGGCCGGGGCTACGCGACCAACGAAACTGTTTCTTCTGTCGCTGGACTGAGCTATGTTCAGATTGTGCATGAGATGACAATATTAACTATGGATTCTTGACCGGCAAACATTTCGGATTCAAATGGGGTATGAACAATGCATGAGACATGAAAATGGACACTCGTGACAATGAGTAAAGAGGACATGGCATGCACGACGACGTGAGGTGGTTGTGCAACGGCAGACTGCTTGAACGCTTATAACCAAGCTCGTTGTTTCAGTCAACAATCATCTAACGACCATCATTTGTGTTATCATTTCCACCAAACAGCGAACAGAGCTCACTTCTTAGCCGGTTTTTTTCGGTGGTGGCGGGAAATACGGCTGGGGTTGGGGCTGAAGGCCCGACAGCGACTCCGCTGAATCTTGTTGCATTGAGCGACGTGGATGCGGCGTACTGAAATGTTGGCGCAGGGGCAGATCTGAAGACGACCCTCCATCGCTCGGGGCGGTAGCAACGTGATGCAGGGGTGACTTGGGTGGCATCCCCAGAGGATGCATTGGGGTCATTGGGATCCCTGGAGATTTGATCACGAAGTCCTCGAACTCTTTCATGGCTCGCTCGTCCTCACGGCGCTCCTCGATCTCATTTCGCTCCTCGTCGGTGACAATGCAATTTCGCAGCGCAATGCACGTGATGGCCATGTAGTAAAGACTACCGCTCTTCTGTCAGCCCAACGAGGTCTTTCGAACCAATATCGAAAGATGTTAACTCACATGGTGATGATGGAAAATGCGAACAACGCTTTTGCTTGTTGGCAGTAATTGACGTTTGAGTTCACCTTGGCCACGGAGCATTTCTTGGTGATATACCACGGTGCACCGGGTTGAGGGTGGTCGGGGTCAGACATGTCGGGCCCTGCTTGATACCGCACAGAGTATATCCAAACTGCAACCAGGCCAGCGTGAACAAAGGCGCAGATGGGCGGGTATAGCATATGAAGAATATGAAGTGGGATTTTCGTGATCCACATGAAAACACTTAAGATACCGAGAACGAGGTTGTATCGGGTTATACTGTCAACAGTTGAGTCAGCTTGGACATTCCGTTATTGGAAGAATGTGACTGCAATGAATCAAGACATACATTGAACTCCACACCATTGGTGCTGTATAAGGGCGGTGATTAGCTGCAGCGTAGATTGCCTCATTGGGAGCACTGTTGAAACCGTTGTCGGCCCCATCCTGCCATAGTTTCGTGCGATAGAGGTCATGATTCGCAATGCCGGTCAATGTCAGGAGGATAACCACCAGCGGTAGCTCAACGCCCATAAGTATGTACAGAAGATTGTGATTCCGCCATCGTGTGGGGAAGTAAAACTTCTTCGAACCGAACATGGCGGGAGAGGACTATCAAATGTAATAATTATATCGTCTATTCAATGCCAAGATCCTCAGTGCTGGCAGACGGCAGAAGAAAGGAGCAGTCTCTGAAACCGAGTCCTGCGCTGTCTGACGCTTCGAGCTCGTATTTTCCCAAACAAAGCTGATGAGCCAGAGCCGGCTGGCTGGGCGTTCAGTTCAGGGACATCAAAGTAAAGCCTGACGAGCTGAAACGCGAAGGCAAGACAGAAAGAATATGTCCCTTTACAGAAGGGAAGGAATCAGAGAGCGTCTGTTGGGACGGGGGGCGCATAGATATGAAGGACGGGCGCCTCCCCAAGGATGACCCCAGGTCGAATCATTCTGGTTCCATGGGCACGATGCGGAGAGGGGAAACGATCACAGTATGGCGGAGAGAACGGTTGCATGTTTCTCACAGGTGCGTCTGGCCAATGCGTGCCGGTTAGGAAGCGCCCGCATCGGCGCCAGGCATAGGGCTTGTCACCAATGAGGCGCCGGAATGGGCGGTTTGGCTGCCGGCCGTCACACACTAAAGCTGTGTGATGGTGAAGGAGATCTGCATGCACGCAGACTCTCTGTAATCAGCACAGTAAGCCTTGCAAAGACCAGCCATTGGTATGGCTGTGAGAGAGTTTTGAAGCGCCCAAGTGGAGTAGCCAACCAGGACTTATGCTGCTGTTGTGACGGCTCATGCATGACTTGAGGTCGTTTATTAGCGTCTACTAAGGAAAGTGATTGTGCCATGAATTGTGCCTCCAGATACGTACCTTGAGAGCTATTGAAGATGAAGAGCGAATGCATCCACTTTTGATTCTATGGTCTTTGGTGATTGACGCTGTCAAAGATGGTGGAGAGGAACAGGCAGGAAGGAACAAACGAAGAGCGGCCGGGCACATGACATGGACGTCATCACCTTCTCGAATCACAGCTCAACTTTGATCGTGGACTCTTCTGTACAATAATAAAAACAACATTTCAACATAAAGCCTCTCAGTCGAATCAAGCGCTCGCGTAAAGTCTTGTCGAACCGCGGATATTCTCATCACCAACATTAGCCTCTGGATGCGCAGTCACACCCTGCTACGCGGCCAGTCACGCCATCTCCAATTATCAAGCTTCTCCAAGCGCCAGCTATTGAGTACAGCGCAACAGCGTTACCAGATGAGCGCTGCGACGAGCGGCAAGGGCTCATTGCCCCATCAGATGCGCACTGCCGCCGAGCCCCGACAGAACCGACTATACAACGTCCGGCTCTCGCATATCGAGCAGGCCAGTCCCTGTGTGCGACTGCTGCAGCTGACGCTTCCACCAGAAGTACAGAATCCGGAGGACAATTGTCAAGAAAGCGATCAAGAAGTAAGCAAGCTACTTGAAAACCCCTCCCGCTTTGTCGTACCGATTCATACAATACCAACCGTCCTCCACTTTCATGTCTTCATACTAACCACCCCGTACAGACCCAACCCCAACCATTAACTTTCCTCCCAGGCCAATGGCTAGATGTCCACATCCCCTCCATTTCCAACGCAGGAGGATTCAGCATCACATCCACGCCAGCAGACGCGCAAGTTCTTCCCCCTCTAATTGAGGCAGCCGTCGAAGCTATCGCCAACGATGAACCCGGTCTTCCCCCGCCCAACCCCGGCGGTCGACCACCCTACGTAGAACTTGCCGTGCGCGAGGCACCATCGAATCCCGCCAGCGCATGGCTTTGGAAGCCCGCAGACGAGATTCTAGGCTCCGAACTCAGCATCCGCGTCGGAGGTAGTTTTGTCTGGCCGCCTTCCGGGGTGCGACTGGATGCGATCCGGAATGTGGTTTTCGTTGCAGGGGGCGTGGGAATCAAGTAAGTTAGATATTGCTTTTGTGTTCAATATAGCATCAACTTCTGAGCCAGCCCCTGGTTTTCCTCTCCTACTGGTCGAATAAAGGGAGGGGTCGCACATGGACTGTTCCTCCAACTCAGTGCATTCTGCTCTGCTTTGCTTCTACAACCCCCCCAAGCTCCCGTGATAGCAACATGATGGGCATGGCTCTATCTAACCACTTCCAGCCCCCTCATCTCCATGCTATCCCACCTGAACAACGACGACGAGGCAACCACCACCCTCCGCCATCCATCCTTCAAAATCCACTTCCTCTATTCCACGAAACTGCCAGAAGGGGCGACCACAACGGCGGCGACCAGCACCGAGTCGCTTGAGAGCGTCCTGGGACAGATCCTTTTCCTGTCCCGACTCCGACAGATCGTAAGCATCCAGTCGCAGCTCCGTCGTCTCCGCATAACTCTAGACCTATTCATCACCAACCTGGATGATGATAAGTCCTCTCCGTTGCTGAAGCACCCATTCGATGACATGCGGATCCACGGTCGACGGATCAATCCCCAGGATCTGCGTGCTGCGACGAGCAAAGATGACGGCGAATCCGAGCCGAGTGAGACGGTATGTTACGTGTGTGGTCCACCGGGCATGACCGATGATATGGTCAAGGGTTTGGATGGACTACTAGGTAGTAGTGAAAGGGTGTTCTACGAAAAGTGGTGGTAGAAGAGCTACAGTCCGTCCAGTGAAGAGGAAACGAAAACAAAACGATAGTGCATTCAAATAGCAATCAATCTTTTGAAAGTACCCCTTGCAACGAAACCCACCGTCAAATCCCGCAAATGCCGATTCCGAGCTCACACATAGGTATAGGTATAGTACAAAGAATGGTTAGTGAAAAAAGAGCTTTGCCCCGGTGGGCGACCGAGGAAAATCACTCGAACCGAGGAGCCTGATGAGTCCTCCGTCCGAAAAGAAAGCAAAAAGAAATGAGCAAAAGAAGAAATGAACGCCGATGAAAGACGGGGTTCAAGCTTCTAGATCCGGCCCCTTGACCGTACCTCCGTCGATGATCATCATCTCGTCGAAGCGGGCTTCAGTTTCGCCATGCTCAAGCCGCTTGTAGGTCATCACACGGCCGGGGTTCATGTCGAAGTCATAGAAACGCACCCGTCGCACGTAGCCCCCATAGCCTCCGTACCCGCCGAATCCAACGCCTCCTCCATAGCACATCCAAAGAGATGGCTTCTCTTCGTGATCGCGATTCAGCATGCAGTAGTCGTTGACATGATCACTAAACGGATTAGCCGATGCGATACCGACACAGGACGAAGGGGGAAGGGGGGGCACTTACTGTCCACAGCTGACGAATAGAATTCCTTCTTCCTCCAGAGCGTCCTTGAAACCCGAGTTGAAGCCCGGAGCTGTTGGGACCTCGGACCAGTTGCCACGGTAGTAGTTGCCAGCATCACGGTACTCGGGCACGGGAATATGGATGAAAGCCATATTCATATGCATGTGGGTGTATTCGTGGTGCTTGTTGCGCAAGCCATGAGCCGTGTTCTTGAACCAGTGGATCTGAGTCGGTTTAATCCAGTCATAGCCACGGAACTGGCGCTCATCAGGCGAGTAAGAGTGGCTATCCAGCAGGTACAAAGTCAGTGCGGAGTGCTGAGTGCTTCCGCGTCCCAGGATCTCGACGTAGTAGTTTCCAACGCCGTCCACCTCCTCAGGTCCCGCCCTTGACAGCGAGTATGGTAGGTCCTCCAAGATGGCCATCAATTCAGGCCGCGTGAGGTCTCCCTCGTCGTCATGATTGCCAAAGATCGCCGCGTAAGGGATCTTGCGATCGACCAGCAACTTCACGGACTTGAAGAGCGCGCTCTGCGCATCCCTGGACGTCTCGCCGTTGACCTGATCTCCGCTCAAAACGACAAAGTCCGGCTGCTCTTCGTCCAGAAGCCGCTCCACGAACTCCAGAGTCCGGGGATCGGCTTCGCACTTCTGGCCCGGGATAAACTCCGCCGGGACCGGGTCTCGACAGACTCCAAGCCCTGTGCTCAGATGCATATCTGCCAGCTGCATGATCTTGAAGCGCCCGTTCTCATTGATGCGCGGAACCGGCTTCTTCGTCTTGGCGGGATCGCCTCTCCGCACGCTAATCCGGGCCTCCAGGGCCTCTGTCCGGCTATCCAGTAGCAGCGGGGTATCTTTCACCTCCCAGCCCACACGGGGATCGACTGCGTCCGCGCCGAACAAGACATCGACGGCTGTGATCGCTTTCTGCGAGTCACTGGCGTGGCGCTTGGCCGTCCGCTTCAGCCAGATGCCTCCGGGTCTTTGTTCCCACGTCTCCCCTTCGTCTTCAGGCTTATCTGAGTATTCGGGGACGAGTCGGCTGATCTTGAGATCGATGACCACTCGGTCGCCGGCGGAAAGTTCCTCCTCTTTCTTGCGCTCGAACCGGACGAAAGCGCTCGAGGTCCAGCCGGTGCGGAGGTAGAGATCCTTTTCCACCTGCGACCATGCCGTCTGGGGGGTTGGTTTGCAGCTGGAAAAGACATTCACTGATGAACATGTCACGACCGTCACATCGGTGACGACGAGGCCGTTGTAGTGGGACGGAAGGTGGCCATGAATGGAGGCAGGGAGGACACGGAATCGATTGTCCAAGACCAAAACGAGGAGGGTGACAAAGGACGCGAAGATGGCGAGCTGCACGCCCGCTCGGACCTGAAGGAAATAGTCAAGTTAGCTTCATGATTTCAGCAAAGACAATAAACAACCTCGAAGATGAACCGATGCTGAAACATACAAGTCGGCGTGTCATGCTAGGAAGTAGTATTAGTTGTTGGTGCCCCTGGCCGATGCTAAATGGATGTGTGAAGCGGCCGAGCACAGGAGCATGTTGGAACACAAACGCCACACAGAAGATTCAGGGGCTCGCCAAAGAGAAGGACCTGATCAACGGTCATCTCACAACGCCCTTGATGATTTCCTTTCAAATTCAGGAGGGGAAAGAAGGCGATCCGCTGTCTGGTCTGCCTGAGGCGGAGTCCGACCGCCCCAGCTATTCCTATGTAAGGAAAGCGGTGGAGAAATGGTCACATGGCTCTAGCCCGTCAAATCGGAAGCTGAACGGGAGCTAGCCTTATGAAGGTTAGCCGAAGGGGAACCCTGCACTAGCCTTGTTTGGATTGTTCAATCGATCTGCTCAGTCGGGCTGACTTGGAGTCACTTCAGATGGCACTCAGCTCATCCAGTTGATACCAGCTAGCCAGATTAGATTGTCATGTCTATCTTCATTATAGAGTCTAGCACCTGGCCTGACTAAATCTATGGCCCTGTAGTCTACATCTATTCCTGCAAAATAATGAGTCCGTTCAGGCCCTGTTGGCTCCCTGGTGAACGGCGTCCAATCCTTCTTGCGCCACCTTTTTAACAGAGACCTTGCCCGCCAGGATATCCTTGGTCGTTGCAAGAATCGACTCCCAGCTCTCGAACAGAGTGAAGGAGATGCCTTGGCGCTCGCAGAAAGTCACAAGGTCTAGAACTCGTCAGCCAAGCAACATCCAATAAACCATCCAGAAATGGGCCTACCTTTGCCCTTCTTGGCGAACAAGAGATCCGTCTCTGCGGCGGCAGAAAGATCAGAAACCCCATCGCCCGCGTACAGCAAGGTCGGTCGCTCACTGTCCGGCAGCGCGGCGTAGGGCTTGATTTCCAAGGACTTGTCGTGGCCGAAATGACTGGGGGTATGACGTCAGTTTGTCTTGGATAGTCCCAGTGATGAGGCGAGGAATTTATACCTGTCGTCGTGGTACTTAATTTTCCAGCCACCCTCGCTGTTGATGTCCTTGCCATCGCGGCTCTCAACCTCATTCGCAACGATGTGAAGATGGTCGTCCGGCTTGCCGCCTAGTAGGGCCTCGAACAAAGCACTGATAACGGGGATCATACCGGAAGACAAGACCACAATGGGCACATTGTTCTCCCGCGACCAATGATAAAACTCGACAAAGTACGGGTCGAGCTTCATGTTCTTCTTGAGGTACTCGATACACTCATTGTAGGGGGTCTTGATACTGTCTAGCATGTCGCGGAAAGAATCGCTGTTTCATCAAAGTTAGCCGACCGGCCAGAATCGGCTCTCGCTGAACTGACGTACCGAAAGCTCATTGTGCCTTCCAGGACTGCCAGGTTTCCTTCGCGGCGCTTGTCGCGCCCATAACCCAGGTTATCGATCTTGTGAGCAAGTACAGAGTCAGTGGAAGTCAGCGAAACATTGTATGCAGGTGGAATGACAAGGTACCATAGCATCGTTGCCTGCGGAACATCGTGAGCTAGTCTTCTAGATTTCGGCCACAGTCATATCAAAGCTTACTGTCTTCAAGAGTAATTGTGCCATCGAAGTCCGTGAAAAAGATTATTTTGGGGTTGGTTTTCATGTATGGAAGAGATGAGGCGGCCATGGTCGCTAATTGTGAAAGGCGTTTTTGACTAATGCTGCGGAGTTATCAGTAACTATACAGACTAACTGCACAATCAGATTGATACTGCGATCCCATATTCATACAAAAGGCGAACATGAAGGGGAGGAGACAGCTGGCGTTGCGAGGCGGGATCAACGAACCTGAGAGAGAAGCAGAGCTGGGTGGGCGAAAACCAAAACAAGCGAATGCTGAAGAGATAGTCAATTGGAGGACTTCCAAGAAAGAAACAGAGGAAGTTTGAAGAGATCAGCCCCGCGTTGGAGAGGGGGAAGAGAGAAGAGTAAAAGCAGCTAGACTCGATCAGTGAAAGAGTGGATAATGGCGAAACTGGCTGCGAATTATAGGTGCAATCCGCAGCCCACCCTCGAAAGTCGGCCTCGGATTGACCGTTATCTATCAAGCTATCATTTAGATCGGCGGAGTTTCCCCAGACCCCGATTCGACACTAGTTTATCAAGTTTTGTTCACCCTTTCGAGTATTTTGTTGCATGGAACCTGAACCGAACTCAGCGTACAGTTCTATGTTATGGCTGATTGTCCCCGATAAAGGTGCCGCCGCACTTACCCATGGAACGGGCACGTAAGCCAGGCGGCACTCTTCCGACCACACACTACGATCTCAACGAGCACGCACCGAGTGCTCAGCTCAGGCGGTGGCTGATTGTCTCCAACTCCGATGAGATGCGGATACAGTGACGCCCGGCCCCCGGGAACACGGGAACGGACCGTCAAGTTGCAGGGGGGAACTTTTACATAGTCCCCACTATCTATACCAGGTAGCATCACAATCCACTGTCTATTGTGATTCTCGTTTACAGAACAGCCTCTTCTTTACTCATCACTCTGGTTGTTGAGTGTCTAGATGACGGGAGATTCTAGGATACGGAAGAACGGAGGTTATAATCTGTCCAGACAACTCAGCCTCAAGTTTATATTGAGACATCCTTGGAGTGGTGATTCCGTCGTACAATCGGGTAGGGAGGCTATTGCGAGCGAGCAAGGTATCCATCTACCTTCGCTGCGGTTGATGGTGTTGCACCATATCCAAGACTCCTGACGAATGCCACCCGGCTCGCCTACATCGAGACTAGAGACAAACGCGCTTATCTGGAAAAGAACCAGCCGTCTCAGGCAGTCCAGATCGATGGTGGTCTCATCAAATGGCCGAAGCTCTTAATAGATCCACTGAAAGGTGCTGGTTGAAGGGGGGTCCGAAAATACGCATGCCTTATCACGGGCATTGAGCTCAGTGGATGTAGAGTTTCTCTGATAGCAGCTATAGGACGGCAGGCTCTGCGATAAGCTGCGTCCTACTATTCATTGGCCCCTTCAAGATCATGTGCAAAGCTTTGTTGTCATGTTAGCATTTGTCTCAAGTGCTATAGCGATTCTTGATGCCTGGACACAAGAGATTCAAGCACAGGCTGTCTTGTCTGCGCCGGTTCAGCCCACGCACTCGGGAGCTCATCCCCACGCTTCTGGCCGCTCGGGGAGCAAAAAGCGGCGCCAAGTCGGACCGAAACCGGACAGGCAAAAAAGTAACCGTACTATCCATCTCCACGGCAAAAGTTTCGAGACGATAGATTATTGTTTTGTCTTCTCATCGTGTACGCTTAACCCGTGGCCCTCAATGGCGCGTCTGCTGCAAGCGCTGCGCCGGATCCTGGGATCGACTCCCTCACCTTCGCCCACAATTCCAACTCCGTCTGTACCATCTCAATCTGTTGTTCCGCGTCGATTCCCATCCATTGATACCAATTTCACCTATTTCCGGGGTAAGTGGCTCCGCCCTGGCTGCGCTTGCCGCTCTTTGCATACTAACCTGTGGTCTTTCTCAGAGGGAGATAGAGTCTTCATCCCTGGCAGAACGCCTCTTCTGACAAAACCCCTGCGCAAAGGCGGCCGGACAGATGCTCGTCGCGGAGGACAGTTGGAGCACGACGATATCATCGGCCGGAGGGTGCGAGATCTGATCCCGGCGCGGAAGGGTGTGTTCAGTCTCGTTCGGCCCTAAGAGCTGCAAAAGAAGCAGGAGACTAAATATCGTGTTATAATATCAGGCCCGGCATACAGACTCTTCCTCCCCACGCTTGAAGACTACGTCGCACTGACGCCTCGCCTGGTGACACCGGTAGGCCACCCAACCAATTTTACCAGAAACCTCGACTGATGCAAGACGCGGCGCCATTCTAGATCTACTCCGCAGACGCCAACCTGATCGTCTCCCTCCTCGACATCCACGTGGCTCCGTCGTCCGATCCGGACCAACCGCCCCTGGAGATCCTCGAATCCGGCACCGGCCATGGCTCGTTAACCCTGCACCTCGCTCGCGCCATTCAAGGCGCCAACTCCGTCCCACCACCCTTCCCCGCCGCCTCCCAAGTCGTCAATCTCGTCCCGTCCCCCTCTTCCTCCTCTTCCTCCTCACCAACCGCAACACCCCGCTCGAACCCCGAAACAACCACCACAACCGAAACAGAGGCCACGGAAGCCACCACCACCCAAGAAAACTGGGACGCATGGCGCGCCCAACGCAAAGCAATAATCCACACCGTGGACATCACGCGCAAAACAGCGCGACACGCCGAGACCCTCGTGCGGGGATTCCGCCGCGGCATCTACGCCGGCAACGTGGACTTCTCCGCGGGGCCCGTGGAGACCTGGGTCGCGGCGCAGAAGCAACAACGCAGTCGTCGTCACCATAATACCCGTACCAGCTTCGTCGGTGAATCCGATAGCCAAACGGCTACACCGGCAGAAGCAGTCGAGGGAAAAGAAGGGGAGGTAGAGCCGTTCCTCTCGTACGCGATCCTCGACATGCCGTCAGCGCATCTGCGGATCCCGCACGTGGCCTCGATCCTGAAGCGCGACGGCCTCCTCGCTGTGTTCATGCCCAGCGTCACCCAGATCGGGGACTGTATGGAGGTGATCCGCCGGGAGCGGTTGCCGTTGGTACAGGAGAAGGTGGTGGAGCTGGGTCAGGGGATCAGTAGTGGGCGGTTGTGGGATGTGCGGTTCGCGTACCCGAAGGCTAAGGATCCGCTTGCGGTGGCGGCGGCGTCGGGAGCGGCTTCTGGCGTGGAAGAGGGGGTGGAGGCGCAAGAGGAGGCGGGCGAGGCGGTTGTGTCTGCTGGGGAGGAGGTTGCGGACGGTGGTGATGCGGCTACTACTGCTTCTTCTACAACTTCCAGCTCGGGAGTGACGGAGGAGAGTCAGGATCCCGTGCTAGTCTGTCGGCCTAAGGTGGGACTCCGGATTGTCGGAGGTGGGTTCGTGGGGATCTGGAGGAGGATTGAGGGTGCAGGGGAGAAGGTGAATGCGAATGCGAATGCGAATGTGGATACTGATGCTTGAAGTGGTGAACCTTGTATACCCTGTTCATAACAACCCCGTCACCACCCAATATACCCTTGTCTTCTGTATACTAGTATAGAAATGAACATAAATTGTCTACCCTTCTGGACCCCAACATCGTTTCACTCCGGAAATCACAAGCAAGCCCAAACACCGCCGATACATCCCATCATCAAGAAAAACCCACCCAGTCCACGCTTACCCTACGATATTCTACGACCACAGCAGCAGTGCAATCGAAGACATTAACCAGCAATCCGACATGAGAATGGCGAGAGAAGAACCAAATCTGCTTTCTGCATCTCCAAAGGTGAAAAACACAACGATAAATCGTTTCAGGGTTCAAGACTATGTAACCCACCCAACCCACAAGCCAACCATGCATACACACAACGGCAACAACTGCAACATGACCCCGTTCGCCTGCCTGAGTGCAAAGGATGAAACTGGATGATGAGATAAGGAAAAAGGTTGAAGAAAGGGAAGATCTGGACCAGAATGCGATCTACAGGTAGGTCAGGAAGCTGACGGAAGAGCGAGCGAGAGCGAGAGAGAGAGAGAGAGAGAGAGAGCGAGAGAGAAGAAAGAAAAAGTCGTCGTTAAGGAGAAAAGAGCATAAGACAGATCCTAAGACATACCAACGGCGAGAAGCAGAGGATAGAGAGAGAGAAAGAGAGCACACAAGGATAAGCTGCTGCTGCGCCATGGAAAACACTACTTTCCAAAGAATCCGGGGATGCAGGTTCGGCTGCATGAAAAAAGGCCCCCCCACCGGGCGACAGCAGAAACAAGAAAATAGACTCACAAGAAGAATGGTAAGCGAGGAAAAATGCAGCACAAGCGAGAAAATAACTGAAGAACACCACAGACACGCGAAAGGCCCCCAAAGATTCCGAGATAACAAGATAAACCGGCTACACAAACACCAGTCTCATAAGATTCAACATGCTCCGTTCCCTCAATTCCGTTGCGGTCCAAAATCCGCTTCCACAATCTTGCCCTTTTTCCCTTTAATGGTAAACTCCGCAAATAATGCGACATGATCACTAGGAAAATGAAAGTTGGGGAATCCGGGCACTTTCTGCAGATATTCCTTGTCCACCTCCCCGAGTAACGCCGACACATGAAGTGTATTCGATGAGAACCAGATATAGTCGAGGATATCCTTAAAGTCAGGCGTGTAGTTCGTAAAACTGAGCTCGCCAATGGCATTGTATGCAGACTTCAGCTTGAATGGATGCGTCATACCCACCCGGCTGAGGTTGCCGTAGAGTCGCTTCTCCAGATCCGGATGTGCCTCTGTAAGCCGGCCGTTGGCGACCAAGTTGTAGGCCGCCGATCCAGGCGCAGAGTTGAAATCTCCGCACATGAAAAGCGGAATCTGATCACCACTGCTGTACTCCATAGATGGCGCGCATTCCGGGGGACTTTGCGACTCATTGCCCCCTGCATCGGCATAACGGAACGCCGTCTTTTCAGTACATGCAGGCCACTTGGCGTATTTGTCCGAGAGCTTGGTAATTTCCTCCATCAAGATGGCCGTTTGAATCAATTTGACATCCTTGAAAGCCGGGTCCCAGTAAAGATGGGCATTGACAACGATGAAACGCGAGCCTGTCAACCTGTTCTCTAAGAAAACCACGACTGCAATGTGATCCTTCTGCCAAAGACGATTGTAGATATCGTCCTGGCCCTTGGCGTCAGGTCTCCGTACGGCCGTCTGGCCAAAGTTAATCAGTTGCTTGTCAAGAAGAATGAATTTGCTGTCCTTGAAAAAGGTTGCACACCCATCGACATTCTTGGCGTCCTCCTCTTGCATACCCATGGCCCTTCCTCGAGGCCAATACACACCCTTGTAATTGTTGTAGGCCAGTTGCTCTCGGAAGAATCCATTGTAGCTTCCCTGGTCGACTTCTTGAAGACAGACAATGTCCGAGTCGTGAGACCTCAACTCGCTCAGAATAAGCTCTCGTCTGAACTCCCAGGACAGCGCACGCGAGGGAGTATAGCCGAAATGGGATGCAGTAGCAGAAGATTCACATAGGGCGTTGTGGGAGAGAACGGTGATCTTCTCGGTAGGGGCATTGCGGGAATTTGCGGTCTCGTCCAGAATGACCCAGTCTCGATCGGGCGGGGGAAGTTGTACTATGGACCATGCGTTAGCGTGCCATCAAGATAAGCGGTCATGTTCGCAATGAGATACACACCTGGCATTTCCTCCCTTAAGTACTTGATGAGGGCCCTCGTGCCTTCCTTGATTATCAGAGACTTTAGAGAATCGGTCAACGGATTTCCTTCTATACCCAGCATTTCCAACCTGTACAAATAACCCATCTCGAAAGGAAGCGTGCGAATGCTGTTGTCAAAGAGCAGAAGTTGTTTCAGGCTTGTGAGCATGCCAATCTCCTCGGGAAGCTCGGTGAGGTCGTTGCTCGATAAATCCAGGTGAGTCAACTTCCGCAATTGTCCAATGGCCGGAGGGAGAGTTTTGAGCTTGTTGTGGTTCAAATACAATTTCTCCAGGAAGACGTAGTGAAACAAGGACGACGAGAGAGCCCGCAAGCCTTGTCCACCAAAATCGAGGGCATGCCAACCTTGCCGTGAGGTAGCTTTCGACTTGACAACGCCATTCCTATCGTCACCCCCATTTTCTTGTGGTTCGGGGTGACTGGGCACAATCTGGATGCCTTTGGTTTGCTGAGCGACAGTCCGGGCATAGTAGTGGGGTGAATTGGCCTGTCTCGACTCCGCCGCAAGTTGGAGCTGCTGCTGCCAGTGTTCGTTCATGGAATCGTCGAGATCTTCCTCTACATTGACATGAGCACCGTTCTGGAGAGGACCCGGAGTGAAGTGCGGAGTAGCGGCAGCCAATGCCCCGCTGGAGAAGTTGTGTTGGTGGCTAATGTTGTGAGACGCTTGGTTGTGGTGAGCATGGTGATGGGGTTGCTGAGCAGGATGTGGATGGTGAGTTTGCGACTGAAACTTGGGCATTTGCATGCCAAAGCGTTGGTGGGTCTGGCCGCCGTTCATCATGACATGCTGCCCTTGGTGGGTTTGACTGTACATCGTGAAAGGATTGAGAGCCGCGGCTTGGCTGAGCGGAGGAGAGCGGGATGGTGAGGGAGTCTCGTGGCTGAATTTCAGTCGTCCAGTTGGGGAGTTGGTCCCGTTCCGTGCAAGGTGACGTTGGTGAGAATGTTGTTGCGCTTGTGTTTGGAAGAAGAACTGCCCGGCCCCAGGCTGCTGGAACCTGTAGGTACCATCTGCCATTTAACGTGGCAGACGAGACCGTGAGTTGACTGATTGAGGAAGGATTCTAGGGCAAATTGAGGCTGGACGAGCCGAACTGGAGAGGGTAACGGCGGTGGCAGGAGAGAGAGGAGGAGTCGGGGATTGGATACGTTCTCTCCTTCTCTTCAACATGGGGTCCTAGGCGGAACCACCCCAATTCAAAGACACGCCGGGGGGGGTCACAACTGTAGCAGTTTCCACCACTTGTTGGTTGCTCTGGAAGCTTGAGCTGCAGAATCAGTCGTCGTGGAAAAGGGGATCGGAGGGGCGATGATCGAGGTGCCAACGATGGAGGGGGTGGTGGGAAGGCGGGTAAGTGGTCGGGGAGAGCGAGTCAGAGGACCGGGAGACAATAACTGGCCAGATTCCTGAATGGAAGTTGAACGGCGCTGTCAGACAGCAACAGATCTATCAAAGCGAGGAATGCGCGCGAACAATCGGGGAAGCGATGATGTAGCAGAGACGCCAGCGACTCGAAGAGATGGGAGACAGTTCGCCTTGACGCTCCGAAGTTGGTTTGCATTCGAAGGCGGGAGTGAGGTTGTCGGGGTCACGTGGTGTCACATCCAGGCGGGCGCAGTTCGCCGCCAATGGCAAAGCCAAGACCACTCTTCTTTTTCAGCTGATGCTTAGGTATGGGGTAATGAGCTGGAGCGGTGCGATAATTGTCTATATTATTGCCAATGGCTTGCGTCTTTTCACTATATTTCTTCCTCTGTTGTGTGTGTCTTGACGGCAAATCACTCTCCTTATTTCCCACTTGGTAGAGTGCGAGAGTCATGGCCTCATTCACTCTACCATCGAACACTGTGAATCTACTACTCACACCACCCTGGGATCCCAGGGATCCACGGGGAGGGGTCTACTATTGACAACGGCAAGGGCCTAGTAACATAGTCCCATACTAACTAAGGGATGTAGGGGGCTCCTGTCATCCTTCTTGCCAGATCTCCCAATTCTGTCTTTCTTTGCTCCATTGTCCATCAACAATCGGGCTTATTCATACTGCGGGTTTATCCGTGCCGCTCCTCCACTCATATTCTAGTTTCTGACCTTATCTGAGGCTTGGTGGTGTTCTGAACAGCTCAGAGTCCTACTTACCTACCTCTGCACTATCTTATCGAGATTAATTTAGAAAAAGCGCCAGGGCCTCTGTGCCGGTCTCTCTTGCTTCCTCACGAAGCGAACAAAGGTGCTGACTGCTGAGACAATTTCACTCTCCCCTTGGTAGACCAGGATCGACAGTGGTCAAGACAACTGGAGTAGGTAGAGTCAAAAGTGACTTGACCGTTTCCGGCAGCGCCATATAGAGTGTGTCTAAGCAGATACCTTAACTAACTACTAAAATTGTCCGACCACCTCGCATAACTAACCGATAGACTTCATTCACACCCGAGAAATGGAGACCAGGCGCCTAACTACCCAAGATCAACCAGCGATTGTCGCCCAGGAGCTCTCAGGGGGTGAGGTGTGTTCTCGTCAGTTCTAGGACATTCCCTAAGCCCAGAGCCTCCATCTTGACCATCTCAATTCATTATTTGCTCTTACAATATATGGTCCAAGCCGCCGACTATGACCCCTATATTGGGCAAATCCAGTCGCCGTTGACGGTGGCGAAGAGTAGCGGAACACGCTACACAATAGTTTAGAGGGGGACTAGGGCGTATCAGATGATCAATGTTCATGCCAAACGGTTCCCCACCACTGCCACCAGCGAGACCAGACAGTTTCGACTGGCGGGCCCAGGCCGGAGTCAGCTATAGGCAGTCACAAAGAGTTGACTGTCACTGATTTGAGTGGTACTGGAATACCTCTGATCTACTGATCCCACACACTCCGCGCACCTGCAGCGGAGTCATGTTATTGTCTACGTTCACCACTTTCAATCGCACCACTTGACTCTGTTCTTACCACTACTAGCTCAACCATCTCTATCATCATGCCCAACCTTGAAAGTCAACCAAATTGATGTGTTCCCATGGCTTTCCATGTCCTTACCTCTCGTCACTGACCGCTCCAGTGACTGATTCTCTTTACTTAAGCGTCGAGCTCACTGCTTACTGTTCTGTCAAGATAATATGGTTGCTGCGCTGAGGGAACTGTCTGTAGCAAGACTGTCACATCGGCCGTCTAGGTCTTACCATGTCGATAAATGGAAACCTATGCATAATCCGGTACTAATTCTCTACCCACTTTCGCGTTCTTTGCGCTCTGTGATCAGTCCTAGAGTCTCTCATCGCGCATACTTGGAACTCTTGATTCTGCGATACTGCCTTGGGAATAAAGTTGTAGATGCAGGCCAGGCCAGGCCACTATATAGCCGAAACCCTCGAGACGGATGATGGCTGAGGCGCTTGAAATCCCTGTAATATGTTCCAACCGCGCCTGGAGCCTCATTTCTTACTCATCCATATTTAACCCGGTCGCCATAATCATGGTCTAGCTACTACTACCTTCTACAACTAATAAGTATGAGCTCGCCCGTCCCTCGCTCGATTTACTATGACCTCATGAAGTCAGACCGCCCGAAAGGTTCGAGTGTTTACAGTAATCACATTGACAGCCTTACGCATCACACAAGAAGCTCTTCAGCATACAGGGTTACCTCGTCGCTCATCTAAGCGAACGTCACAACAACCTATGTCGTAGCTAACTACTCTCAAATCCAGCCCCATTTCCGCAGTCAGCCCAGCAGCCCTAAGCCATATACAACATACAAGGAAAACAGCCATCGAAAAGCACAAAGCACACACATGTGCACAGACATATGCATGCCACTCCAGTCCGGCCTAGACTAACTAACTCCCCCACCCACCACTTCTTCGGAGAAATAAATAAATGAATCAGGGGGGCCGAGAAAAACAAGAAAGACAGCCAGACAGCCAGACAGCCAAACGAAGCAGCAGCACAGAATCCAGGGTCGCCTTGAGCTGAAACATTAGTGATTACCGACAGCGGTCCCCGGCCGCCGTCCGGTCTCCGTCAGGGCATCAAGTGACCCGTGCCAGCACGTGTCAGTGGCCCCCCGTCCCCTCCCCGGGGTCCCATTTTTCCCATCCATTCTCCTCGGGGGCGCCGGCAAAATCGAACACAAGCCGGTCTGGCGGAGCGTTAGAGCTAGATGATTTTGGTGAGTAATGGGAAATCCTTCTGGCTAGAACTAGTCAATCAAATTGATTGTCTTTGCAGATCCCCTTAACTGTGTACGGAGAGCATTACACAAGGCTACTGATTGAGCCCAACCATTCTATACTCTCTTAATGTCATTGCTGCCAGTTGACGCTGAGGTACTCCGGGGATTTGCTACGCGATAACTACCCCCATCAATAGGAACCACGGTGCCGGGTTTGCGGCGAGCATCGATCAACTTTCATTTCCTAGCAATTCACGCCGTGCGTACCGCCCATGTCCGTCCCGACGGGTGCAGTCTGATCTCAATCGCATGATCCACACAAACACTCATCCCCTAAACCACTGTTGATGATGTCAGACTTAACGTTTGCCTCACAGTGGGTGTGGTGACATTATAATCATCGATGAAAACGCAGAAGTAAAGAAGCCTGACAGCAGCCCCATACTGTCTCTCCCTCGGCGTAAGTAACCTACCTGCACGGCGAAGGGGCGAAGACACCCAACGAACTGCCCCCATTATCTCTTAGTATACCGATAAACACAGCCAAGGCTGCAATATCAACATAATTGCATGAAAAGCACTCCCATCTCTCTTCCTTAGAGTATACCAGTCGAAAATTCGACAGGACAACGACGACCCGCGATCCTGAAAGAAAGAAACCTAATGGGAAAAAGAGCAAAAAGCAAAAAGCGAATCGCGGGCGGCACTGCGGCCGGAAAGGAACTAGAACGTAACATTCCAATACCGGAAAACCTACCCTACTAGCAGAAAGGAAGGAAAGAAAGCAGTTCGTCACGGAGGAACAACTCCGTGAGACATACATCCATCCATAACCACACAACCACAAATTTAGACTTTCTTGACCTCGCAAACCATAACCGCAAAAGAAAGTGGTAGGAAGAGTGTTAGTGTGTGACCCTTTCGTATTTGCTTTGAACCTTGATCAACCATCCCCCGGAAATACCGGTACCCGAATTCATGGTTCAAAGAGAAGAAGTAGTTGAGTTACCATAGTTTGAAGTAAACTTATTAAGGACCCCGTGCCCGGGATTGGACGGTGGGTTTTTCAAAGACTAACTAATTGGCAAGACTAGCACCCACACCCCCCTCCCCATCCCTCTCCCGAGATAACTCTGTCCGGGCAAGAATAACGACCCAGAGAAAAAGAGGGTCTCGCTTGAGTATGTTGCCTAGGGAGGTAGACGTAAGTACAGTACCTCTCTGTCATTGACTTCGCGGTGGGAATTCCGATCAGAGGGATCAGATGCCCGCTCAGGCTGGCAGCCTGCATTGCAGTCAAGCTATGCAATCAATCGGTCTGTCTTGATCTATCCAACGCGGGGAAACGATCCGGGAGCTTGGATGCCATGCTGGAAGTACTGGACGAGCGCATGGTTGGTTGATAGATGTCTCTTTTGGACAAGTATATAAAGATCGGCTGGCTTTCGATGTACTTTGTTCTCGTATCATCCTGGAATGTGTAATATGATCTGATTTCTTCTACATTGAGACGCTGCCGGGAGTGCAGCGGATTTGCCGCCACCACTCACACAATCATCCTTCGCTTCCCTCCGGTGTCCGAGGCCATTCGGGGAGTATTCGGTGCCAGAGACACCTACTATAAACGATGAATTATTCCAACGATGAGGGGAAGGGCAAGAAGTGCTCAATTTCATTCCACGCTCTAAGAAAAAAAAAAGCACTGGAGAGGGAAAGGAATTAATGTCAGGTCTGGACAAAAGAAATTAAAAAGGGACCATTCCAGAAACGTCGGCCTCCGGCACAGCCCTGAGTCGACGATAGTGAACTACTAAGTAACTAAAGTAACGACACTAAATTGCGTCGCAAGAAGTGGAGTGGCCCTAAGGGGGTCAGTCATCGAGCCGGGGCGATTCGATTTTCTTGTTACAATGTGGTTTTTTTCGCCCCCCCTCCACCCTTCCCTCTAGGCTTCTGACTGTTTTCGTTCCTTTCTCTCGCTTCTCCCCTCCCTTAATCGAACACCTCCTCCTTCCATGGGTCAGATTGACCTGGAACGGTGTCCGAATTGCGTAACATTCATCATCACTCACTGCCTCCTGGTCTTTCACCACTACCACCACCACCACAACAACAACATTTAATTCCGTCAGCCTCGCTGGTTTTGGCCCGTTTCTTATTCTTCTTTCGTCGCCATTACTGTACCATGTCCCTCTTAATTGAGACTCTGCCTCGTTCGTGACCGATCTGCGCTGCCATTGTTCGTATGCGGAAGAATGCACATCGCCCGCTCTTAGCAGGTCCCCTCAATTGACGAGCACCCACCACTTCACCTTATTCCGTCCGAAATGGATATCATGTCGAATGGGCCGGCAGCCCTTGCGCCTGCCGCGGCCTCGGGCTCCGACCTTCATTCCACCGTTAGTTCGACCGGTGTAACGCTGGCAGGGACGTCGACCTCCTCTCTCGCCTCCCTCAACGACTACTCCAACTTCCCTTTGATCCGTCATGGCGATCGCACATATCTTAGAGATCCGGACAACCAGTACCCTCTTCCCTGCGATCTTCCCGAGATACACCGACAGACCTTGCGCTCTCTCATGCTTATGCGCGTCTTTGGAGGACCCTTCTGCAATCCGCACTTGGCCGATCGCGCCCCGAAGCGAGTCTTGGATCTTGCCTGTGGTTCAGGGCTGTGGTCCAGCCTGTGCCATGACTATTTCGCCCGTCGCGGCCATCGCACCGTCTCTTTCAACGGTATCGACATCGTCTCCGTCGCACCCGATCTCCGCAAAAAGGGTGTGAACTGGCAATTCAAACGTCACGACCTACGCAAGCCTCGCCTGCCGTTCCCCGACGACTATTTCGATTTCGTTTTTATCAAGGATGCTGGTATGTGTCCTTCGAGCCCGGCCCAGCAGGCCTCCGGGTTAAGCGAGCCGTTGCGCGTCCTCAAGTCCGGGGGCATCTTAGAAGTCTGGGATTCCGATTGGGTATTCCGGTCCTTGCTGCCCAATCCTGCGCCTGCTCGCAAGTTGGCATCGAGAGAACAAGAGACCGCCGATGCGACCGCGACGTACACCTTCTCGTCTGCCACCCCCTTCACGCGGGCCCAAAACAAGTTTCTCCAAGACTACAACGCTTGGCTTGAGAAAGCATTCGACCATCGCAAACTGACTGCCCTACCATGCGCCACAATGGGATTGTCCTTCAATGCGGAGGTGGACGTCCTCGAGAAGGTCGATAGTCGTCGCATTGCCATTCCGTTGGGCGAACTACGCTGGGAACGAGAGGGATACGGGAAGGAAACAAGCGGTGGCACTCGAAGACAATTGACGGCCGATCAGTTGTCCATCCGGCGCACTGCGCTTCTGACGGTCATTCAAATGATCGAAGGCATGGAGCACATTCTTATGGAGGCCAGTGGGAAGAGCAAGGACGAATGGGATCGCTGGTGGGCAGCTATGATGACCGACTTGTTCCAAAAGGATGGCCTCGCGAATGGGGAGTGTCTGGAGGTAAGTGCTTGGTGGGGTCGAAAGAGATAGGCTCCTTTGCCGGCGGTCAAGATCGTGAACTCGACGTTTGGTGTTCAGGCGAATAAGAGGGAAGGAAAAAGAAAAAAGCCGTGACCATTGCTCTTCTCATATTGGTGATACCCCCACATTTCTCTTTTTTGGTTTCAATTTGCCATAATACTCATTTCATTTCTGTGTAATATCTTTTCTGGCGTGTGTTGGATGCGGGTTATCGTTCATATCTTGGTGGCGGAGATTATTTGTTTTCATAACGCTGTTTCAACGTGCGATACCGCTTGAGGTAGTACCTGTGTGCTTCCATCAGTATCGCTGTTGACGGTGCCCGCATATATGTATAAGTTTATGACATCACGATATATTGAAATTGGATATTGATAGGGAATATCAAGAAATTATGATCATAGTCGCGGCGAATCAAACGTATATCGGTAAATAGAGATAGTGTGGATACGTGCGCTTCGGCGAACTCTCAAAGCCGACTGGAAAATGGACAGTGCAGGATGACTTACAGGGCCTCAATTTCTAGACGGTGCGTGATAGGAGTCAGCCACTGTGTTGCCGCAGTCATGACAAACTCGTGAGAGGGTGAGGCAGGATAACGCACCCTTTTTGACAAATTCCGCTCGTGCTATACCCTTCCGGATTTGCTCTTCATTGTCCAGATGTGCCTGGCTGGTAAATGCCTTGTGTAGCCTGTTCCGAAAGTAATCATATCCCAGGGGATAATTGCGACCGAGAAAAAGCAGCTCTGTCAATCAATCAGTCAATACCCGTAGACTGACACTTCTGGCAGAATGCTCAGCACGCGGGGGCAGCCTGAGACGTTCATGTCAGAGGTTGGACACCAACCTTTGTAGATATTAATGACCTGATGGCGGAGTTCTGGATTCGTCATGACTGATCCATTTAGTTTGGAAGGTGAGTTGAATTCTTCGATGGGATAGTACGGGCGGGGGAGGGAGTTGAGGAAGATAGGAAGGCAAGTTGCCGCTGGTGGCTCCGGGGATGGAGGGATTGTTTGCTTCCGCCGGAACATACCCGGTGACGTCGTTACTCGGTCAGGCCTCTGCGTTTGTGTTCTTGCATTGAGAGAGTGGGAATGTATCAGTTTACTACATTGTCAGCTCTAGGGGTAGTACTCTTGGTCAAAAATACCAAGATTCCACGGCATGGGCTGTGAGATGCTCTAGAAGTCTCATGCGTACTCCTGCTTTGTATATAACCTTGGATGGCATCGACTGCACCACACGACTTTGCTTGGCTTTACATGGTCAGAATCAGATGGCTTTATGGAAATTACAATAAGATGAGGTCTCTTGAATACAATAGAGTCATATTTCCCACTGACAGTAGGTATTGTACAGCACAATTGACGTTGCTAAGCATGCCTCCGTCGCTGTCACCTACAAATAGCCAGCTTCGGTCCTTCAACGCCGCGGGGACGGAGTGAGTGAGTGGGGTTAGCCGAGCAGTCCCCGGACAACTGACCGACCAGCTTGCGCTTCAAGACCATCCAGCAACAGCTCCATCTTCTATACAGACTGACAACAAATCCGAGCACTACCATGATCCAGCTACAGGCATTGAGAAGGCAATGCCTCTTTTCCTCCTCTCGACCCTTATTACTGACTACCCGTCTTCTCTCAACCTCTCCTTCTCTGCAGAATGCCCCATCGTCGGCCGCGAATTCCCCGTCGGCAACAGTGCCTACCGCAAAGAAACCACACGGCATTGATCCCCGATGGCTTACCATGACCAAGCGCAGACTCGGTCGCTGCATGATGTTTGGCCTCAAACCGCCCCAGACCCAAGAGGCCGGAGACCTGCTGCGACAGATTGCGCGGGATTGGCGGGAGCTCATCGCAGGCAGCGAGGGATATCTGACCGATGCAACGAGGCGGGGATTGTTCAAGCAGGCTGTTGCATGGGGAGAGATGGTATGATGCACAATAATCTCCTGGGCGAGTCCCAACCCGGTCTAGCATGATGCAGTTGCGCTAATATCGAGATGTCATCCCCGCGCAACAGGATAGCATGGTAAGCCTGCCTCCCTTCCCACTGGCTTGGTTCTATGTTCTATTTCGGTCTTCTAACCATAACTATAGGGTACGCACCACACATACATCCCTTGTTAAACATCCATGCTCATCATCACACACTCTAACGGTCAACGCTAGGACATGTCAACAACGTCACCTACGCCCGGTACGCCGAAACCGCCCGTGTATATTTCACGCGGAACATGGCAATGCACATCGACCCGGCCCATAAGAAGGAATGGATGAACCTTATCAGCTCCAAAGGAATCGGACTGATCATGCGGAGCATCAAGATTGACTATAAATTCGTATGACCAGACCCTCCTGCCCTCCTCGCAAGCCATAGCAACTCTCCACACTGACACTTTCCGGGTGCTTCGCGCAGCCAATGACCTACCCCGACCAGGTCACAGTCTATCACAAACTGGTCCATGACCCTGCGGCGCCCGATGCATCGCCGTACGCATTCAACCTGCAGGCCATCATCCTCTCGGAAGCGCGCTTCCGGCCCGCCGCTCGCGTCCATGAGGACCTGGTCATGTATGACTACAAGCAGGGGAAGAAGACCGCGCTCCCGCCATTTTTGTACGAGCAGTTCAAGAAGACCTGGGAGCTTCAAGAGCAGACCAAGGAGCATTGGCGACAGCGCATTCTGGACATTGAAGCCAGGGTTCGGACGCTAGAGGTCGAGAGCTGGGACCGCGAGGATGCGGTTGAGGATACCGGGTCTTCCAAACAATGAGGGCTGATGTTTCCATCGAGGAGTGGGATGTAGCTCTGCGGGGTCAGACCATGCGATCGAGTGAATTCCGTGGGAAGGGAGCGAGTATACATATACATGCCGTATTTTTAGAGTTGCTAGTTTGAGGAGCTTGTATAAAGTTATCGGCGAGCGAGAAATACACTGCGCGGTCACATGTCAACACCGGTTTCTGACATCAAGGCTGTACATACTAGTGTGATACGCTCTCTCACGAATAAGCCCGCTTAGTGAAGTTCCTGTACATGATGTCTTGCCAGTATTGCAACTGATAGGTCCCAGCCAACGTGGCGGTGCTCTGCCATAGCCGACCAGAAGCTTGTCTCTGGTGTGTCTCAAGTTTCGACTGTCAAGACTTCTTTCTTCTGGACTGCTCGTACTCGTATAGAATCATACATCCAACGGTTCCTCGTCACTTTCACTACTTGCAGCCGGAAATGCCACGTCCGCGTTATGCATAGTGTCTACTGGTAAGCACACTGGCGCCTTAGTCAAGCAGGAAGTAGACACAGTACGTGGTTTCCACACTAGCATCGAACATCAGGCCACTCATCCCAGCTATACCAAAGACATGCATTACAAGCGCAGATCGAAGTCCGAGCGATTCGCATCCGCGTTATAGACCAGCTGAGTTCTCAGGTAGCATTCCCACTCGATAGGGTGGCTCCCAATTGTGGTACTTTGTGTCTATGTTTGGTGAGGGTCCCTCGGAAGAAAGCCGACGACATTGGAAACTCCATCCATCTAGAACAAAGAGGAGGATCCACCTCTACTCCTCCGAAAATGGTCTGGAATATTTATGATTGGGTCCTGCATCGCTGAAGAATTTTTGTCCGAGAGACAGCAGAATTTGTCGGTTGTCTACCGTGGGCAGACCAGCATGTTTGATTGACACTTGACGAATGGGTGCATATATCTTGGAAATCTCTTCGGCGGTCCAATCGGTCGCATGGAATGAGTGGGATAGCCTGGTCGGGTTTGAGGTGACACAGTCGAGGATTCTTTCTCCCTGTCTCTGTTTTGAGAGATTGATGAAGTGCGAAAGAGGGGTTCTTGTTGACGAGGAGAGGGGTTGCGCCCGATTGTAAATAGTGTGATTTTACCAGCCCAGCCAGGGATTCGCCGTCTGGATGTAGACTATCTAGTAGATGATCGCCCGTTCAAGTACGAGTAAAAAGTGGCGGGTTAGCGGCTTGGGCGAAAGGGCCGAATAATTTTCTTGGGTCCGGCCGGCGCCACAGGACGATGAAAGTCTCCACCGCATGAGCTAGCCAGCCTTAGACGCGCAAGTTCTCGCTGCTGTTGGCTCCAAATCCCTCCCCTAAAATAGATCGGCGGACCGAGGTTTGAATAAACCGGACACCGTATCAATCAGTTGCTATTGAAGTATACCTGCCGTTCCCGTCCGAAATCGAACGACCTTCCTGTCTGGCATTATCTGCAACATCAGCGACATTTGGATGAGATTCCTACTTAGACTCAGATGAGCCACAATCCTTGGTTAACTAGCCACGAGGATTGACCCGGATGCTCGGAGCGGATTTGCCGTTGAGTAAGTTACTGTGCCTCAATGCTTCGGCTACCGTGGCAATCGTAAAACCTCGATTGTTGCTAGGGTTCTTGTCATGCAGGTGTATGTAAAAAGTGGTTCGCTTGTTCAGAAGTTGGGCTCAAAGTGGTGTAACATTGAAGACAATCGAAAGCGTTTGATGGGTACTTGTCAGTGACAGTGGCAGGAAGCTTGAATATCTACCAAGAAAATCCGCGCCACGAAGACCTGCTTCCACCTAGGTATCTAGCCGAATTCAAACAGAGATCAAATATCTAGAGCGTGGTACAGAATGGCCAGACTGAGGGCTCGACTGCCCCCCTTGCATGTGGGAGGTTTCAACATGCACCGATTTCAATTGCAGGATGATGGCCCATATCATACGTACAGTAGGTTGGAATCTGAGTCTGGGGTACAGTACTTCCCCCCCGCAGGCAGCGGTAATCAACATGTCGAGCCGTACATAATCAAGCATGACCGGCGGAAATCTATCTTATCAGACCGAGACGCCCGTTTGTGATATTCAAGTTGCGCAGTCTGCCTCCAAACTGTGAAGACGGCCAGAACGACCAATGAAGACCGTAGCTTTCGGATCGCCAGATTGGCTTCTTCACGCTCGGGCCCCCGTTTTATCGACTCCATGGCCCGGAAGGGACCTTATATTAGTATATTAATTCCAGCACTGAACTTTACCCTTTCGAGACCTGGGTCATAACACTCTTTTGATCCTTGCTTGGGGGAGAGGGCGGGGGGAAGCATAACGTGAGTCCTGCGTTGCGGTACTACTGTACCAGTGGACATGCGCATCTGGGGAAGGTGAACCCTTAGATCGGCCCACATGCTGCCCATATTACCGTTTGTTCTGGCTCACTTCAGCAGTATTGGAATGTTCTCTAGCAAGACCGACAGGCATCCGGCATGATAGCCAAGGATAACCAAGCCTAACCATCATCTGACAAGACTTGCGGGGTTGCAATCGGCTGCTGGGCCAAGGCCCAAGTCAATGACCTCGGTGGACGCGATTGTCCCGTTCGGGGTCCATGGCCGGTCGATCCCCTCCGCAGGGATTGCATTGTCCCTGCCCACAAACAAAACCAACCCATTTACCCTGAGAAAGAGCATGTGCTTGCCGGGCCATCGACCGGTGCAGATTGGACAGCGATATCGCCTTTCGTGCCGACGGCCCTAGGCAGATGCAGAGGAGATCCATGATGAGGAAGATGATGATGTTATCTGGAAGGCGACCGTTGATAACGAAATACTGTATCTGCAGGTATCATACCGGTTTCGCTGACCCCCCCCCCCCCCCCGCCGTATTGAGCTCTCTCTACAGCTAGTCTTGCAAGGCCAACTTTAGGCTCCATAGGACTTATACAATTAATTGGCCGCAAGGAACATTTTCAGAACATTCCTCTTGTTCAATGTACACATCAGTTTCCTCTCTGTTTCAGAACGGACTCGCAGAGTAGTTTGTCATTGCCAATGCTGATGCACCGGTTGCGCGATCAAGCGAGTGTCAACTGACTTGTCACCTACTGTGGTCCGATAAGACCAGCACCGAAACTCAAAAGACGCTTATCTAGACCTGAAACACATAAGTCGTGTGTCTAAGCAGCGATTCCGTATCCTCCGCTGTCCGTTTGTTCCCTGGCGTTTGTCGACTGCAGATTGACGGAATGACCAAGGGATGCGAGGGGGGAGATTTCAAGTGCATATCCCTCAAGTCTGCTCACTCTGGGCGTTTATCTTCTTGTCATTCTCCCCAGGGAACACAGAGGAGAAAACCCCCCAAGTGACCTACGTGGGATAGGATCGCCAGATCGCCCAGCCTAGTTGTGCCCTAACGCTGGGCAAAGCGCATCCCCCGGTAATGTCAGAACCAAGAGCATAGGATGGAGGCAGATGGCCAATGCGCGTGAAGGAGGGGTAACAGTAAAGACTTCAGCAACAGTATCATTCGTAGGCCTATCAAGACAGCTTGATTGTAGCCTGGCCGGGGGTGAACACGTAGGCTCACGAGTCTGTCCCGTACTCTGGACAGTCTCACAGAGGCTGGGAGTCAAGATTTCGGCGATCGTAACCGACCAGCCCGACTGGGAGAAAACGGGGGGTTGATTGATATTCTGCCAGCATCATATCAGAGTCACCCAGTACCGTCACTGAACACTAGCGCGGTGGAAGTGATGCCATCATGCGGTTGTACTTGAGTGTTGTCGTATCGATGAAAGGAGGCAGCTTGTAGCTAGGATGTAGTAGGCGGGTGAGCGGCCCGTTGAAGATCGAAGTCGAGCGCTTGCTGTTTGTCCTAGAAACCGAGGAACCGACAAAGCCTGTTTCGGATAGAAGCAGGTCTAGTCTCAGCCTTGAATACCATGATGTTTTTGAAGTGGTACAGTAGTCGTGGGTATTTTGGGGGCGAAATTGTGGCTGAAGAGCCAGGTGTCAAATCGCTCCTGCATAGAGCCGTAAGATCCCCGATTACTCCTGATTATCTGGGTAATGTGTCAGTCAGCATGTATGGATCCTTCTCCAAGCTAAAATCAGACGAGGTACGGAGTAACGCTGAAGAAGAATCAGCCACACAGATGGATGTTTTAAGGTAGGTGAGTAATGGTTGTGGCTGGCCTCAAGCTTGAACATACACAGACTCAAAATTCAGACAAGTTGAATGCTTCTTTGCTGCATCAGCCCATTCATTCCCACCGGAATCCGGCGCTGCAAACATGTCACTGGTACTGTAATGTATGGTTCCGTACGGGTCTCAATACAAGCTGAAGGATATCAATACCTGAGGCATTAAGATGTTTCTGCCTGAGATGACCCTTCTTTTTTTTCATTCGGGCCTCTGACGATCCGTTCCAAGCTTTTGTCTGGTCTTTTTCCCGCCTCGTCTATCCAGAAACCCAAAAGTCTCTACTATTTGCCAAACCTCACCAAACGTTCATTTTTCCCTTCACTCTGTCTCTCACTCTCACTCTCACTCCCTCTTCTTCTTCTTCTCTTCTCTTACCTTCTTCCACTTCTTTTCCCCTCCAGCACTACCATCTTCTCCCCCCGCCACCTTTCTCTCTGTCTCTCTCTCTCTCTCTCTCTCTCTACTCGTTCTTCCTAACAAACCCACTTCTCACCCCCCCCCCTCTACCCAATTTCGATCCAATCCCATTTCTTCTTTCCTTTCCTTTCTCATCTTAGTTCTGGTTCCATCCCCATCCCGTCCATTTCCTCTCTTATCCTTTCCCTGTCTGTCATTCCTTTTTTTCCCTCCCGCACGCTTCCCTGTATTGAACCTCTTCTCTCCCTTTCTCTATCTCTCCATTAAAAAATAACATCGTCGCTATTCACCATTTTCCCGGTCTTCTTTCCTTTTTCCGAACCCACCCTCCCCTTTCCGTACCCTTTTCCAACGCTGTCTTCGTCGTCAATTCTCGCCTGGTCCAAGTCCTTGGCTCCCACTTGCCAAGCTGACTCGGACCTAGGTACTTAGGCTCCCTTGTCCATGCCACGTTCATCGGCTACGGCTAGGAAGAGTCATAGCAATCGGCAGGAGAATGGTCTTGTCGGTCCCGGAAAGAAAGTGAACAAGCAAAAGTCGAATGGAAATTTGAATGGGACCTCGACCAGCGCCTCGAATCCGACTTCCGGTCCTTCCACGCAGGTCGACTGGCAACCGTCCCGCTCGTCCAGTGACTCGGTCTTGACCTCCACGGCCGCAACGACAAGCAAGGCCAACGGAAACGTCGATTCTTCGAAGGCGGAGGGCAACGGACGCGGTCAACTGAATGGATACGCAAAAGGCAACGCGGATATGTCATATGGTCAGACGAATGGTGCCGCGCCGCCGAATGGCGGACTCGCAGCCCAGGCGTCGCGTCGGACGGACAAGTCGGTGACCGGTACGAAGAGGTCGGCCTCCAGTGCGTCGATCAATCCCCTGCAACTGGCGTCCACGATCCTCAAGTCCTGTCCGATGTACGACACGATCGCAATTCTGATCTTTCTTCTTCAACTTCCGCCTATGGTTCTCACTCTGGTTCAATTCTTGTTCGCCTCCCTAACTTTCATGCCTCCGGGCGGCGCGTCCTCCGGCTCCCTGACATCCAACTTTGACATCTTCCAGGGACCTGCCGGAACGCCGTCGCTGGGTACGATGATTGCGATGGATGGGTTTTGTCTGCTGTTTTGGGGTCTCTTCATGTGGACCTGGGCGCAGAATTTCGCTCTGGATTTAGCTCACGTGCAAGTCGCCATCACCCTTGGCGGAGGAGGCTCCGGGAAAAACGGAGGGGTCAATGCGCTCTGTGTTGGCATCGTTCTCGTATTACATCTTCTCCGCAGCAAAGGTATACAGGATTTCGTCATCGGTCATCTGCTCTCGGCAAAATTTGTCAGTCCCGATCTTCTCTCGCAATATTCTTATCTCATGCCCACCGAATTCCGGCGCACTGAACCGCAAAGTTCTCCGAGCTGGATTCGGAGTCTACTTGCGGTGCATATTCTGGCGCAAGCGGGTACTGCTATGGCGAGACGGTCGATGGCCAAGAACCGGTCTCCAGTCCCCCCCCGGAACGGCAAACGCGTGGACACCGAAGCGTCCGCCGGATCGCAAACCCAAATCGATTCTGCATTCGAGTCTGGGGCCAGTGTCTCGTCGTACATTGGTGCCGACGGTCAGATTGTCACGCCAGCCACTCACAAGGATGGTCGGGATAGACTGATATCAGCAAAGAAACGCAGGAGGCAGGCAAATCAGGTCCGGAACCGGCAGCCTTTCTGGGCCGCACTCGCAAGCACGAAAGTGACGGTCATGAGGGAATATGAGCATTCAAGGGCTTTATCGAAAACTGGCAGAGGTCTCGCGATGACGGAAGAGGATTTACAGGGAGTGTCTCTGGATGACGGTCTTGTTTGGATAACCGAGATCGATAGCTCCACCATCAAGTTCGCAGCGGGCGATCTTGCTTCGCCCGATGATTCTTCGGTTTCGGGAGCTTGTGAAGCGGGACGTCTTGGAAGTGAAGAAACGGAACCATTCTACGTCTGTGTCAATGGCGCACTGTGGGCGACTGCAGTGATCAACAAGGTGCAGGAATCGTCTAAGGGGTCGAACGCGGTGCACTGGCGGGGCGAAATCTCCGGTCTCGCCCCGAACTGTGCCTACACCTGTTCTTTCATGCGGAGCGATACGGACGAGGAGATTTGTGTCATGAGCGTCAAGACTCCTACCGCTGATGACACAGAACAAGGTAATACGAAGCAATATCCCTTTGTCACAAAGTCATATCGTACTAATGCAACCTTCAGTATCTTCGGTCTCAGCTCCTCCGCAGCCAACCTATCGCCCGTCTTCCCCGACCACCACACTTAAGAACTCGATCGTCAACGCCGAAGTCAAGTTGAATGAGAAGCGCTCTCGACTGAGAAAGGCCAAAAACGACCACAAGCTCGCAATCTCGAAGATCAGGAAAGAGTTGGACAACTATAATCATCGGCTTCAAAGCGGTACGGATGAGAACCGGCAGAAACAACGCTCGCTACAGCTCGAACGGAATATCAAGCAAACCGAAGAGGCCACCGCAGCACTTGAAAGCCAGCTGGACAGCTTGGAGAACGTTCCGGAGGAGGAGCTCGAGGAATGGACAAGCCAGAAGGCCAAATTTGACAAAGAGTTGGAACAGCTCAACTTGGCCAAGGAGGAACTCGTTGCTGCGCGAGCCGCGATTCATCGTGAGGAGTCATCTCTTGAGACCGAGCTGAATTCCGCTGTTCAACGGAAAGAACGTCTCCAAGGCCGCCGTACTCGCGTCAATGAACAGTACGAGCGCATCGTTTCTGCCAATGCACAGGGTCTCAATGAGAGGGAACGTCGTGCCGCTGAACAATTTGCGAGGGAACAGGATCAGGCGAAGTTGGAGGTCAGCTTTAACGAGCAATTTTCCAGCATCGGTCAGTCTGTGCAGGAGTATCAATTGCGCACCAATCAATTGTGGCAGCAAGCTGCTGCTATTGAACAAGCCATCCAACAGCAGCAACAGCAGCAGATGCTATTGGATCCTGCTCCACCTACTCCGGAGGGAAACCTGCCGGGCACGAACTCTCTCACTGAAGCACCCAGTCTGTCTCTGGCCGCTTTAACGGCTGCTCCCAGCACCCGATCGATCCTGGGACTCAGCTTCCCACCGTTAAAGTCTAGCCCACTCCAACAGACATCGTCCCCTGTGGGTGATTCGTCGTCTCATCCGACTAGCCCGATTCAAGCTCCGTCCTACCTTGCGCACTTCCCGACATCTCCACTCGGCCATAGCGGTACCTACTTCGATGCGGACTTTACCTCGCGGGACCGCTCATTCTCCAACCGATCCGCACGAAGCAGCCTGTATGGGTCTGACTTCTTGGACAACCACACTCGTCGACCTCCTTATCAGTTCGACCTGTCCGATTCGGTCGCCGACAAGCGGAGCAATTCTGGCTCAGACGGAAACGCTCAAAGTGCGGGTATCAGGTCCATCTCTAGTCCGTTCCAGCGGGCTGGTAGTCGGGGCAGCGGCAGCGGAAGCGGTGGCAGTGGCAGCAGCGGCAGCGGCAGTGGTAGTCCCAGCTCGACTGGCAAGGGCAATTAGGTCCTGAGTTTAAGGCCGGAGTTTCCTGCTCTGGATCTTGCCCTCCGGACTTGGCTAGCGCGGAGTTCCTGTTTCCATGTTTGTTGATCTTCAGACGTGATGCTCCAGGTTGAGTGGCGATCGCATGTCTTCGGTTTCAGTGGACCGACGGGTTAGTTGAGCCTGGAGCTGTGGTGGCTTGTTGATCTGGTTCTTATCACCGACCTATGAACAAATAAAACCGTGTCATTAAGTAGAGTCTCAACTTCCTTCCTACCTTGCGAAACAAAGAGACCTCGTTATAGACGAACGGGTTTATAGTAGATCAGACTAGAGAAGTACAAATGCAGAGCTTACTACTGTACCTGTACTAGCATGATGTTAGCGGAGCAATACAGTAACCACTTCCATGTAAAGTAGTCTAGAACAATGTACACTCGAGCCAACGATCATACATGTCTCTATTCTTTCTATGGATATATCCAAAATAACCCTCTATCTATAGATAGAGCAATCCACCATCTAATCAAAATGGGTATACCTACAATCCAATCCCACCACCCCCTCCCCAATCCCCGTCTCCTCTCGTATAACAAGCATAATATACAATGAATCTTTTTCTTCGACTTCAATGAATCATCCAGGGAGATCACCGCAAAACCTCAAATCTCCCGCCCCATCTCCCAAAACCGCGTATCCGCATACGTCAAACACAACCCCTTGGCTTCTTGTTGTTGCAGCGGCAGCGCATGTCCCTGCGCAGCAATCGCCCGCACCACCGTCCCAACAACAATAGTGTGATCCTGCACCTGCACCGACTGCGGAAGCACGCGGCACTCGAACACGAACGGGAAATCCTCCTCCGCCGCAGCTTCATCCGTGGCGTCGCGGTCTGCGGATGGGTTATGCGGCCGCTGTCGTCGTCGGCGGAGTAGCGGTAGTGGGAGTTCATCTGTTTTCGTAGGTGTCTTGCCTGCGGCGTCGCTCTCGCCGTTGGCGACAATGGGAGAAGGAGGGAGGGATGTGAATTCGTATTCATATTCATGTGCGTTCCCGCTGTCGTTGGCCACGTCTTGTTGTCCTCGCCCCGTTGCGTTTACGTTTACTTCGTGTGCTACAGCAGCAGCAGCAGCAGGTCTAACACGCCCATGACGCTGCCGATTCCCGCGGGAGAAATCCCGGGCTAGGGCTGCGGTGCGCGGGTTCGGGGCGAGGAGGTGCACGAGGAAGCGGCCGGAGGATTGGAGGGCGGAGAGCGTTTCCGAGGGTCGTCGGACGTTGAAGGAGATTATGGGGTTTGGGTGTAGGGTTACGGTGTTGAAGGAGGAGACGGTCATGCCGCGGAAGGAAGAGGAGATTTCGGAAGTGGTGCTGGTTTGGGAGGTATGGGCGTGGGCGTGCGGGTCTGTCGAAGTGATGATGGCGACTGGGTAGGGAACTTGGCGCATTAGGAGGCGGATTTGGGTGGATAGGTCTTCTGGTGCTGTGGGTGTTGAGGTGGTGGGATTTGAGGGGTGTCTGGCGTGTGGTTGGCTTTGTTGGTTTGGTGGTGAGGTGGTGAGGGTTCGTTTTCTAGTGGTTGTCGTTGGGTTATTATGGTGGATTGAGGAGTTGAGGATGGTAGTGGTGCCGGTGGTGAGGGCGGTGATGGTGGGAGGCGCGGAGGTTAGGCATGGTGAGATTGCCGGAGAGAGGACTGAGCATGAAGAGGTCAGTCAGAGTGATATTGCCCTCGGGGATTTGATGGTGTACCTCTGAGCAAGCTTGAGCTTGCTGCACTTCGACCTGCGACGAGCATGTGTCGAGAGTATGGAGGCATCTTCGGTATAGATCGAAGGGAGATGCCCCAATGGTGTTGGAGGAGGTAAGGAGATGAGATTTATGCCCGCCGATTGCAACGAGAAGGCTCAATGAATGCGTGTCTCCAAGATCTCCTCCGATATCATCGTCAATGTACCCAGTTTTCACATAGACATAGTCGAATGACCTCCGTTTCGTTCTCCGAAGCCGATAGAGAAAAAAGGCGGGCGGGCGTGTAGACCGCTTACCTAATCCCGCCAACCAAATTTCCCCAGTCTCGGGAAAAAGAAGAAAAGCAATTGAGACCGCATCGGATCGCATCGCCATCAAACAACCCAGTCCCGTCCAGTCAATTCTCCTTCAGCTGGAAGAAAAACACCAGACCAGCTTCCGCGGGATCAGACAATCCTTTCCCCGAATAAATCTGGTCGGAAAGCCTCGATACCGAAAATGTCCTTCGCTCTTCCCCTCCGCCGCAGCACCACTGCCACGACGGCCCGGATTCAACCCTCGACGACCTTCATCTGCTCGCAATGCCGCCATGCCACCCTCCTGCGCCGTCCTAAGCGGCCCTACCAGTTCACGCAGCTGATCGCCATGTCCGACGGCAGCACCTTCACGCACCGGACGTCCTCCCCGGCCCCCATCTACCGCTCCACCCGCGACACCCGCAACTCGCTCATGTGGAACCCCTCGTCCAGCAAGCTGGCCAGCATCGAGAAGGATGAGGCCGGTCGCATGGCGGCTTTCCGTGCCCGTTTCGGTCGCGGCTTCGACGCCAACAACATGAAATTCGTGGATCCCGAGGCGAAGAAGGCCGCCGAGCAGAAGGAGGCCGATGCGAAGGCCGCAGAGGCTGAGGCTGAGGAGGAGGATGATAACCTGCTGGATCTGATCAGTGCCTTTGGGCAGCAGGAAGCGCCTCCTCCGGAGAAGAAGAACAAGTGGTGATTTGTTTCTCAACGGGTTCCAGGGAAAGTGAGATGAAGGAGAGAAAGAGCGCCTGAGTTTTGTCCCTGCTCTGGTTTTATGTTTTTGGCTCGGTCGTCTTTGTACTATGTGATCAACACAGAGATCGGGATTTCTGGGTTGTTGTTGGATTATATGTCTTCCGGATTATTTTATGTACAGTATACACATCACCATACCACGCACCCATTTGAATGGAGTTTCTTCTTTTTTTTATTGTTCAATCTCAGATTTGGGAAGCGGATTAGGCTACATGTGTTGGGCAATGTAAGGCTGAGACGCGCTGCCGAACAGTTATCTCAATTGCGTACTTGTCAAAAAACTCGCCGAACGGGAACAACTGTGCGCCGCACCAAAGGATACTAATCGAGACACGAGGAGAAATTGACGACAATGACGGATGCGAGCATCAACAAGTCGTGGCGGATTGTTTTATACAGAAGCAACGGGGAATGGGATATCACTTTACGCCTCTTCAGATTCCGGGGCCGGGACTGTCTCCGGAACTCCTTCTGTTGACTCGGCCGGAGCAGCTCCCGCCCCGGGAGCTCCGTATAGCAGATTGCCATCTTCACCCGCATCGAGTTGAAACAAAAAGGTTTCCCAGAGTTCGATCAACTGCATCAGTCAGCTTATGGTATATTATAGACTCAGGCTGGAACATATACCTCCTTCTGAGCTTCGACAGCGCTCTCCAGAAATGTCTCGACGCCAGACTTGAAATCCTCAACCTTCTCCTTCTCAAAGCGCTGAAGTTCATTCCGCATCAAGCGGCCCATATCCTCGAACAACAACCTTGCCTGGTGAGACTTCCGTTCGGCATCCGCCACATCGGCATTGACCTGAGTCAGACGATCCTGTTGAGTTTTGCCTTGCCGGAGCAGTTTCTCTTGGGTGTGCTTGCGTTTCTGCAATTCGGCCTCGGCCGCATGCCAGCTGTGGAAGGCCTTCTGTCGTTGGGTGAATGCTGTCTTGACACTACCAATCAACCGCAAATATTCATCGATGGTGATACCCAGAGTGAGAACATCTTGTTGAGCCTGACGCTCGTATAATTCCCGGATACGCAGCTGAAGGTCGGAAAGACCCTCCAAGGGAGCCGAGAGGGCTGGAGAGAGCTCGACAGCAGCCAAGGCATGAAGTGAAGCAGAGAAATCTCCAGCTGCTTCGGCCAAGCCCTTCCGTTGAGCCACCACAATGTCGACAGACTTCAGCAAGGCCTTCAGCTGGTTCTCCAGGGCATCTAGGTAAATTTTGCGGTCATGGAACCACTGCACCTCCGTCAGTCATGGTTTCAGTCATGTTTCAGGGTGTCGCTTACATCGTCATGCTCAACGAATTTCCCACCCCCACCAACATTGATTCCGAAGGAACTAAACATGCCCTTGCTCTGTCCCAGATCTGGCTCCCGGTTCTCCTTGTTCTTCACATCAAGGTTGAACGTGTCGCTCTCGAGGAAGATCTTAAGGTCACCGTCATGCTGAAGGATAGGATGCGCCGCAATCTTGTTCAACATTCGCTCTAGGGCTGCTCTCCGAGACTCGACGAAATTCGTATCGAACCGGCCTACAGCTTGTTTCTCCGGAGGTGGAGGTACAACAACGCCGGGGTTGTTGTTGTGCATCGAGTTGTAGAGCCACAGAAAGTCGCGGTATCGCCGGCTAACCGTAAACTCCGGTTGGCGGTAGGCTTTCGAGGTCGTCTTGGATTTATCGTTAGTGTCCTTCTGGCCAAAGTAGCTAGTTCATAGCTCGATAGGAGACATCCATACCTTCGTCCTAACTTGATACACAATATGACTGCTCGTGAGATCTCCTACCTTGTGTGGGTCGCCCACGGTGATGTCAAAGGTCGGATTCGCGGCCTTCTCAACACTGATGCTGGGTTCGGACTGTCGCTTCGACCCCTCCGCGTCGATAGGGGGCTGAACCGGTGGAGGACCCCGGAGTCCCGCACCATCTTCTTCCAGGTTGACCGACTCTCCCAGAGCCGCGCTACTGGAGGCCTGCGATGCTGATGAAGTAGGACGTGCATTGCGCGTGGCGAATGCTTCCTTCTGCGGAGGAGTCGGAGCCTGTTCGTGGGGGCTGCTCTCAGCGGCCTTGTCTCCTAGCGGACCCAAGGGATCGAAGGAATCATCGACGGCTTCTAACTTGGTCGCCTGCGCATTAATCCGGCGGGTACCTCTGGGACCTCTTCGGACGGGGGAGCGGGGAGCGTTGGAGCTAGCTGGCTGTGTCGGTTGATCGGGAGCTGGGAAGATATCTGGTTAGATCGTGCGGAAAATAGGCGAGACTTGTTCAGTAATGGAGACGTACTTGGTTCTTCAGCGTCGGTTTTAGGAGCAGTATGAGTGGGGGGCGACTGAGATGGGACGTCTGCATGCCGTGCGTTAGAGGAGACACGAGTGCGATTGTATCCGCTACTGCCTGATGTCTGGCTTACCGCCCCACGGGGAGTCCCCTGCGTCAAGATCCATGGAATGGGATTGAATAAAAACGAAGGTGAGAGGGAGCTGTAAAGGCCGAGCGAGGAATTGATAAAGCAGCGTCTAATTTGCGAGCAGGCGAGGTACGAAGGGACCAAGATGAACGAGGAGGAGGTGAAGGAGGGATCGCGGGATGGAGGAGTGATTGGCGATGACGGGAGTAATTCAGTTGACTGGGCGGGCCGCCTTGACGAGCCTGAAGGTCCCGCGTTAACTCCGAACGGTTTAGGCGTCCTCCGCCAAGCCTCCCCCATACAAGCTCTTCTTAACCCATACATTCCATAGACTGGGCTGACTGCATGTACAAATTATCGAGTTCTCTTCGCACAATGCAATATGCTGTGCTGTGTGTACACTTTCGTCATTTTGCGAAAGTTGGCGGGGGAATTCTTTTCTAGGTTGGCTCATGCATTCATCTCATATATACTCCGTACGGTCATCAAAGCTATGCTACTAATAAGTGAGACTCCTATTTGACCCAGGGGAGACCAAGCTTATGCATCTCCACGGCCAGCTGGAACAAATAGTCCAAGCTCTCACACTGAGTCTTCGCCTTGGCGACATTATCACCCCAGACGTAGCTGAGCGCACCCCAGTCAGTCTTCGATCGACAAGGCATAGAACGCTGAAGGGCAGTAACTTACATTCCGTGTCTACGGACAAGAACGGCATAGGTGTCTGGATACGCATCCATTGCCTTCTCTAGGCTACCTGTCAGATCCTCCTCAAACGCCGTGTTGTCGATGATCGGGATGCGTAGGGTATCGAAGAAGCCCAGGTAGCCCTTGCCCTTGCCAGCAGGAATACCCTTGATTTGCTCGATGTTGCTAATCTCGAAGCAGGCGTTGGGGCCCTTCTCGCGCTCGACCAGAAGCGTTACCAGGACAGCCCACTGGGAGTGAGTGTGAATGCAGCATCCGGCACCACGTTCAAAAGCAGCCAGGAATAGGGGAGTGCAAGCGGAGGGGTTCAAGTTGAGAGGCTTGCGGATGTACTTGCGCTCGGACGGGGGGTACTTGGGCGTGGGGAATTGCAGGACGAAGATGTTCTCGGACTTCATCATCTCCTTCTGCACACCGGAAGGTGCGATGAAGATGTGTTCGCCCTGACGGATGGAAGTCTATACAGCTCGATTCAGATTAGCATACAGTTTGGGCCATCTTCGAGAATTGCGACAGCTCCATACCCCACCACCAGTACCGGTAACCCAACCCCAGTTGTAGAAGCGGCGACAGAGGTCGGGAATCAGGTTAGCTGGGTGCTCCGGATCCGAGGATTGGACCAGATGGTCATTGTTTTGATTCTCGTGTTCTTGGCACATGGCGATTATTGACGAGGTTGATCCTCCGCAAATTGACAGTGTAGATCTTGGTGGCCGGTGTTAGCGGGGGAAGCGATCGCAGCGCCTAACAGTCTATTATCTTCAAAGTACTGTGAAGTTCTCACACTTTATATGTCCTTGCGACACTTTGTATATCTCGAGTCACACGGCGACCACTTTTTTGGTATGACAGGAGCGAAGAGGGGAGGGCGAAAAAAATAGGACGTCGGGCGGGGAGGGGAAGAAGCATCGGCCATTAATTTCAATTAAGGTAGCGGGGAGAGAAACACTTGCGCCATCGGCTGCTTGTCATTGGTGGACAGGAGTATACTATGGCTGACGGATGGGATGCGAAGCCCCCAAAGCATATCCGTAGGAGATTGCCATGGCGTACACTTTGTGAAGAATAAGATGAGAGACCCATGTCATGATTAATCTCATCATCTCCAGAGTACAAATTCCTGAGCAGGTCATGCACCGCAGCCAAGGGTTGCACAACCAAAGCGAGTGCCTTCGAAGGGATTACCTTACACCAATGACAGTACCGAAACCGTGCGAATACGCGCTAGAACGGCGGAATTCTGTGGCAGGCAGACTAAACCACATCGGGCAGGCGGGACCTTACCCGCGGGCCCCAAAGAAGCAGCGGCCGCGGAAGAGTGAGGAAGAGGCCACCTGGAACTTCCCAGCTTCATGCAGCTTCTTATATAACCAACCTTCCAGCTGCTCCTCTTCCCTTCCATTTCCCCCATTCTTCTGTCTTTACATCCAACTTCGTCCCCCACCCCCCATCTTTACTTGTCGCCCTTTGTACCGCGACTTCTCTTGAGCTTGTCTCATCCACCCAGTCGGCCCATCGTGGTGTATTCGCGGGTGTGCTCGTGTTTGTTTTCTTCTTTCCCTACTCGATCTTCCCCGGTGTTCTAGCCTTCAGAGCACCAAATCTCATCCACAATGCGTTTCAACGCTGCCTTGACTTCCGCTCTGGTCTCCTCGGCCTCCATCATGGGCATGGCCCATGCGGAGGAGACCGAGAAGAAGCCTGAGACCACCTCCATTGCGGAAAAGCCGACTTTCACCGTATGTTGATCTCGCCCGGTGCTTTCTGACTCCCTTTGCATCCTGCTGACGACGCACCATCAGCCTACTACCCTCAAAGCTCCTTTCTTGGAACAGTTCACCGATGACTGGGATAGCCGGTGGACTCCTTCCCACGCCAAGAAGGAGGACTCCAAGTCTGAGGAGGACTGGGCCTACGTCGGTGAATGGGCTGTTGAGGAGCCGACTGTGCTAAAGGGTATCGAGGGAGACAAGGGTCTTGTCGTCAAGAACGTTGCTGCCCACCACGCTATCTCCTCCAAGTTCCCCAAGAAGATTGACAACAAGGACAAGACTCTCGTTGTCCAGTATGAAGTCAAGCCGCAGAGTATGTCGAATTCATCGCAGAAGTGCAAGTATATGGAAGTGTCGCTAAACATTTGCCGTTAGACTCCCTTGTTTGTGGTGGTGCCTACCTGAAGCTTCTCCAAGACAACAAGAAGCTCCAGTCCGAGGAGTTTTCCAACGCCTCCCCCTACGTTATCATGTTCGGTCCTGATAAGTGCGGTGCCACCAACAAGGTAAAGCTCGCCTTTAGCAGAAGATGGAGGGATATCACAGCAGCTAATTCGATTCCAGGTGCACTTCATCTTCCGTCACAAGAACCCCAAGACCGGAGAGTACGAGGAAAAGCACCTCAAGGCGCCTCCTGCCGCCCGTACCAACAAGGTCACCTCCTTGTACACCCTGATTGTCCGCCCTGATCAGACCTTCTCCATCTTGATCGACGGCGAGGAGGCCAAGAGCGGTAACTTGCTCGAGGATTTCAACCCTCCCGTCAACCCCGAGAAGGAGATTGATGACCCCAAGGACAAGAAGCCCGCCGACTGGGTCGACGAGTCCAAGATCCCTGACTCGGAGGCCACCAAGCCCGAGGACTGGGATGAGGAGGCTCCTTATGAGATTGTCGATGAGGATGCCGAGAAGCCCGAAGATTGGCTGGAGGACGAGCCCACCGCTATCCCCGACCCTGAGGCTGAGAAGCCCGAGGATTGGGATGATGAGGAGGATGGCGACTGGGTTCCTCCCACCGTCCCCAACCCCAAGTGCCAGGAAGCTTCTGGCTGCGGTCCCTGGACTGCTCCCATGATCAAGAACCCCGCTTACAAGGGCAAGTGGACTGCTCCTCTGGTCGACAACCCCGCCTACAAGGGACCCTGGGCCCCTCGCAAGATTGCCAACCCCGCTTACTTCGAGGACAAGACTCCTTCCAACCTTGAGCCCATGGGCGCTGTAAGCTCCTCTCTAATACCTTTTCTTTGGTGTGAACAGCCTGACTAATTCTTGACACAGATTGGTTTCGAGATCTGGACCATGCAGAACGACATCCTTTTTGACAACATCTACATTGGTCACTCCGAGGAGGATGCTGAGCAGCTCCGCAAGGAGACCTTCGATATTAAGCACCCCATCGAGTTGGCCGAGGAGGAGGCCAACCAGCCCAAGCCGGAGGAGAAGACTGCCGAGCCCAGCGTCAGCTTCAAGGAGAACCCTGTGGCACACATCCGTGAGAAGGTTGACCGTTTCGTCGGCTTGGCCAAGCAGGACCCCATCACCGCCGTGAAGCAGGTTCCCGATGTGGCCGGTGGTATTGCTGCCGTGCTTGTCACCATGCTGCTCCTGATTGTGGGCGCTGTCGGCGCCAGCAGCCCGGCCCCTGCTCCGGTGAAGAAGGGCAAGGAGGCTGCCAGTGCGGCTAAGGAGAAGGCCGCTGAGGCTGTCAGCTCTGCTACCAACACTGGCAAGAGCGGCGCCACCAAGCGCCAGACTCGCTCTTCTGCCGAGTAGATGGGCCTGCCTTGCTAAATCAGGCGCGTGGTTAGAAATGAAGCGGCCCAAAAGTGAGCATTTTGCGGGGAGGGACAGCTTCCGACCCAGTATTTTGTTTTCTTTCGATTTCCCATATTATACCTACCTGTTGCAGCGTTAAATCAATGATTTGTTCTTTTATTCTGATTATGTTGGGAGGCACGGCTAGAGAGCCGCTGCTGTTCTGTCTGTGATGCGATATGAAGGCCACACTTGAGGGACCTGCCTCGATTTGTTTTTGAAACCTGTAAAGTAGCCGATGGAAAGACATCAATCATATGGTCGATGATTGTCCCTAGCTTAGGTAATTGAGTCCATTGTTTTGTTCAGGTTGGTGTTGCGCAAAATCCCAGAATTGAGATTGGGTCTCCAATCATCACTGGTTTGCTGTCGACTCTTGTTGCATGTTGTCCGCGGAATGGAGATGATATGATCTTAACCACACCTGAAAGACCTTAGGCGATTGGGAATATCAACTCAAGAAAATTCCTGTTCGGAATGTCCTGCCGAGTTCGAAGCAACATTGAAAACTTGACTCGGATAATCGATCGAACGGCGATGAATAAATCGAAGCACCGGAAGTGAAGCCCGCCCAATATGGCAGGTAGTTCCGTGGGCACTGATGATTGGCGGTGCTCGCCGAGGACAGCCTGCGATAAACGCATCCCTATCAGTGACGGCCGATTGTGAGCCTCGGCGGTCAGGAACGGAGCCTGGAGGGCCAAGTCAACCCCAGTTCTGGGGAAGCCTAAGTTACTCCAACTAAGTTATTAAAGTATACCTCCCCTTCCTTGGTTTCAACCCTTCCCCTCCTCCTTCCCTCCTTCTCCTCACGCGCTGAGCTGTCATACCTCTGTGCTGTCAACTTCTTGAGATTGCTATAAATCAGCCTACCTTCCTGCACCTGCTCCGCCTTCTTTCCTCTCCATGATGGCTGCCCATCGCTCCCTTGCCCGTTCTCTCCCCGCTCTCCGCGCTGCTGCTCCCCGCACGGCCCTCACCGTCCCTAGATTGTCCGCCACCAGAACGCCTGCAGCTGTAGCTTCACTTTCCAGGCATCTTTCCACCGCTGCTATGGCTCCTTCATCTCTTCTAGCCTCGTCCTCCTCTTCTACCACCCGCAGTCTGCATGCCACGGCCCAGCGACGGACCCCCGCGGCCTCCACCGCTAGTGAATATCCTACCGATCACAGCCCCGTTGCAAACCCCATCGATACTACCAACTTTCTCGACAATGAGTTCGTCTCATCTAAAGCTACTACATGGATCGATTTGCACGACCCAGCCACCAACAATCTCATCACTCGCGTGCCCCAGAGTACCCATGAGGAGCTGAAGGCCGCCGTTGAGTCCGCCCAAAAGGCCTTTCCGGCCTGGCGCGCCACCAGTGTTATTGCCAAACAGCAGATCATGTTCAAGTTCGTTAGCCTGATTCGGGCCAACTGGGACCGCCTGGCTGCCTCTATCACCCTCGAGCAAGGTAAGACCTTTGCCGATGCCAAGGGCGACGTTCTCCGTGGTCTTCAGGTTGCTGAAACCGCCTGTGGCATCACTACTCAATTGACGGGCGAGGTACTCGAAGTCGCCAAGGATATGGAGACTCGAAGCTACCGTGAGCCTCTGGGTGTCGTGGCCGCCATCTGCCCCTTCAGTGAGTCTCATTCTCCGCTCGGATGCATTTGCCGAGGCTAACCGCGGTTTGCCAGACTTCCCCGCAATGATTCCCCTCTGGTCCATCCCTGTCGCCACCATAACCGGCAATTGCCTGATTCTCAAGCCCTCCGAGCGTGACCCCGGCGCAGCCATGATTCTGGCTGAGCTGGCTCGGGAAGCTGGCTTCCCGCCCGGCGTCGTCAACATCATCCACGGCTCCGCCAAGACCGTTGATTTCATCCTGGATGAACCCTCCATCAAAGCTATCAGCTTCGTTGGCAGTAACCGGGCGGGAGAGTACATCTACACCCGGGGGTCTGCTAACGGCAAGCGTGTGCAGGCCAACCTTGGTGCGAAGAACCACGCCGCTGTGTTGCCGGACTGCAACAAGAACCAGTCCCTCAACGCTATTGTTGGTGCAGCCTTTGGTGCCGCTGGCCAGCGATGCATGGCTTTGAGTACTGTGGTTATGGTCGGAGAAACCCAGGACTGGCTGCCAGAGATTGCTGAGCGGGCCAAGGCTTTGAATGTCAATGGTGGTTTCGAGGAGGGAGCTGATCTTGGCCCCGTCATTAGCCCTCAGAGCAAGAAACGGATTGAGGATTTGATTGCCAGTGCTGAAGAAGAGGGTGCCACTATCCTTCTGGATGGTCGCGGCTACAAGCCCGAGAAATACCCGAACGGCAACTTTGTAAGTGGTCGCTATTCCTATCACATAAACTTTTGCTCATGGACCCTTCTAGGTTGGTCCCACCATCATCACCAATGTGACCCCCCAAATGAAGTGCTATACCGAGGAGATCTTCGGCCCTGTCCTGATCTGCTTATCGGTGCCCACGCTCGACGATGCTATCGAGCTCATTAACAAGAATCCATACGGGAACGGCGCCGCTGTCTTCACCCGCTCCGGATCTACTGCCTCGCGCTTCCAGAAGGACATTGAGGCCGGCCAGGTCGGCATCAACGTGCCCATCCCTGTCCCGTTGCCCATGTTCTCTTTCACCGGTAACAAGAAGAGTATTGCGGGTGGTGGTGCGAACACGTTCTACGGCAAGCCTGGTCTGCAGTTCTACACTCAGCAGAAGACCGTGACTAGCTTGTGGCGTAGTGAGGACGCAATCAGCACCAAGGCTAATGTCGTGATGCCTACACACCACTAGGCTTGATGCATCCATGAAAACTGAGATAAAAATTATTTTCAACATATGTTATATCCGTATGCGGTGTTCTACTCATTGTGGGTTGCAAATTTAGCCAATCAATGTCATTATTGAAACACTTCGAAGAGCTTTGTGCTTGCATTTTGCTGTCCACTGTTGACAAAATTGCTTATGGTGCGGTAGTATGCATTCTGGCTTCTCTGCTGCTTAACAAGATGAAGTGTGGTATGAATAAAATTGAACCAGGTCTATACTGAACTGTTTCTAGAGAGGAGACTGGGACCCCAAGCTCGGACACTGACTGAGCGTGAAGCTAAAAATACTTCAAAGCAGACCCGCCATCGAAGAGATAATAGGGGACAGCGACTGCTACCGAGAAACCACCCGCCAACCCATGATAAGGCGCCCTTTGCTTTGAAGGATTAAATCACTCATTCCTCGGACCAGCATAGCTGTATACGAATCTGGCCAACTCGTACTTGGCCTCCTTTGCAACGACCACGCGGCGCGTGTAGTATCGTTGCCCATCGATCATCTCAAAGCCCCAGATCTACCATCGCCCGAGTTAGCCGACGCATCAACATCGAGACAATCGCACCGAACAATGCCGATCGAAGAATACGAACCTGTTCCGCGGTCCATCCATTATCCAGACTCTCCACAAAACTTCCAAACCACAAGCCCTCACCCTCACCAAGCTCCTCACCTAGGCCGTTCTCCACCACGAAACCCTCCGCGGGTTTGCCGTCTGCCAGGATCTCGCCGTTCAGGAACTGGGCCACTTTGGGGTCATCGCTCTTGGTTAGGAACGCGAAGTTGGGGCGGACTTTTCCGTCACTGCTGCTACTGCCGCGGAAATAGCGCGACTGGCCCTGAACATGGCCGAAGATGTGGTCGGTGTGTTCGCGCTTTTGGCCGTCGCTGATGCGGTGCTCGCTGGTGCCCTTAATGCCTCCGGTCAGGGTTTGGTCGATGTTGATGTGGGTGATGGTGGAATCCTCAGGGTCGGGGTAGGTGTCAATGTGTAGAGTGATCGTGGCGAGGTTGAGGGCTTTACGGGTGAGCCAGCTCATTCCTTGCTATTTCGGGGCTGTGAGTCTGGCGGGAATGAGCAATTGGGTGGGATAGGGTAATTACCAGGGCTAGAATCGCATCGGTGGGGTTGGACAAGGATTTGTTCTGCAGCAGGTATTAGTTAGTGACGGAGACTTAAAATCAGCTATCGTGATAAGACATATGGCATTACCATTGTCCATTCTCCGCTGAGGTTCTTGATAGTGACTTCTGCGGGGGCGGCCATTTTGGTGATGAGGGGTATATTTCACTTGATATGAGGGTGAGTTTGAAAGTTGCTACGAGGATAGGATAGGGAGTAAAGATATACAGGAGAATTTCTCGGTTCCCTCACAGCAGTACAGGTTCGAGGAATAAAAGCGCGAGGAAAAGTGTAGGATTGAAGGAGTAAGCGAGGTGGGACAAGACAGCTTTAAGAGTCCATCCCGCAATCAAGTTGGAGAAGGGCAGTTCGGCCCTTCATGTGATCGTGGCTTCCTTCCTGCCTCGATTCAATGCCATTCCTTTTTAATTTAGACGGGCAATTGCGGCCGAGGTTGGCTCGAAGAAGGAACTCCGCAATGCGTGAACATGTGGTCGAGTCATTGCTTCCTTTCTGCCTGAATGGAGAGATGCGGAGTAATTCCAGTCGCCGAAGACGCTATGATCGCCAGTGTCATTGACAATCGAAGAATGTTATGCTTATTGTGTTTGAGGAGGCATCGTCGTACCTGACCGTATGTATAAATTGCCGTATGGTATTTACCCGCCCCTGGCACGTGAACAAACATTCCCCTTTCATCTGCCTCTACTCCAACTCCAACCATTCCCCGACCGTGATTCCATCTTCGCGCTCAGTCATATCGCTGGACACCATGTCCTTTAATCGGAAATATGCCGGTCTTCCTGACCTGGTCAGCACATTGCCATCGTTTAGGTTTTGTATAAACCATAATTAACAACGACATATAGGACCTCGCTCCCGATATCTACGAAACCCCCGATTTGACTGATGGAGCTTCGACCATACCGGTTCGCTGTTATGCCCTTCGTCCGCACGGGCGTCCTTACAGTTCTAACAATACTCGGCAACCTTAGACTACCACTCTTCGCACCGCATCCAACGCAGATGATGATGCCGGTTCCAATTCCGATATCGACCGCCAGGGTATCAATGCCGACGAGGCGCGCGCCCACTTTCTCGGTACGGCCGTCGACGCCCGCGATGTCAACTTCTCCGACAGCATAGCCGCAAAACGAAAAGCATACAGAAGCAAAAGCCGTCGACGGCGGAGACATGAGCCTGGAGCCGAGGATGTCGACGACTTCAGCGATAGCGAGGACGAAAGTTGGGAGCGGAAGCTGGCCCGTCTGCGCCGCGAAGTCGAGGAGTTGAAAGACCAGCTGGCAACCCAGCAATCCAACGCCGAGTCTGCGGAGCCACCCGTCGTAAATGAGTCTGGCTCGGCTGGAACAGATGGGGTGTTGGAATTAAGTCGCGCATTGGACAACCTCTACTCATCCTCGCGCAGTGGCCCATCCGGCTCTCACTCGGCCGCAGCCGTCTTGTCTCAGAAACTCGCCTCCACATCCACCCCAGATTCCCCAGTCAGCAACTCGGCCCAGCTGGACGACCGAAAGCCCGCCAACAATCGGCCCCAAACGCCTCCTTCCCCATCCGCAGCAGGTGGTGGGGTTCTCGCCCATGCGGCCTCGTTTGATGGGCGACTAGCCCTCATTGAAGCCGCAATGGGAGTCTCCAGCTCCTCGAACCCCTTTGTCAATGACGGTATCTCCGAACCCGCCCTCCAACCTGTTCTCCCTGCTCTCGACCACCTCACTACTCGTCTCACCACCTTGATGAACCTCCTTGTCGGCCCGAACCCCGTCTCCGCCTTTCCAACCATGGGCACGGCCCCTCCAGCAACCACTGTCACCACTCCTCATCTTGAGTCCCTATCCACCCGCGTGCGCAAACTCACTGCCGACACGGAAGCCCTAGCAAAAGCCCGCAAGCGCGCTGTGGATGCCGCGAAAGCTGCGCAGAACGCGCGTATCTCCTCCACGGCTCTCGAGCCTTCTGATATGTCCGTATCCTCCTCGTCCGCCACGGAAGTCGACCCTGCCGCCACGCAGCGCGACGAGCAGGCCACCAAGATCCAGGCCCTCTACGCTACTCTTCCCACCATTCAATCCCTTCATCCAATCCTCCCGAGCGTCCTCGAACGACTCCGCTCTCTGCGCGCCATCCACGCGGGGGCCGCCCATGCCTCGGAGTCATTAGATGTTATGGAGAAGCGACAAGCTGACATGGCTCGGGAAATTGAGCAATGGCGCGAGGGACTGCGGGTAGTAGAGGAGAAGATGAAGCAGGGTGAGGCGGCGCTGAAGAACAATATCGAGACGGTAGAGCCATGGGTCAGGGATCTGGAAAGTCGACTTGACAGGTTAGGTGTTAGTGGGGTGTAAATACTGCACTCCATTTAATGCAGTACATAGTGTAGGATACGGATGAACATGAGTTGGAGAAGCAGGCACCCGGCAAGTGCAGGTCATGGGTTGTCGGACGTATTGTCCTGTTCATGTTGAGCAGAAACCTTATGCTTGAGCTATTACGAGAATGCACATATATTAATTTCAAAAACATGTATTCTGCTCTAGCCAGCGAAAGACCAATAGCTCATTGCTGTTTGTTCCAAAAGTAGATCTTTCTACTTCATCCGAGTGGGTTGTTGATCTAAAATGCCCGTGTGCTGATAGCTCCCAGCCGAGATATGCCTGCGATCCGTGCTTGGAGCCACAGCATTGTGAAGTGTTAATTAGTTTGATTTTCACAATTCTGTGAGCATATATGCACTAAGGCGAGATTGAGTCGTTCGGGAGCTTCCTAGCCACACTTGTCCGCGACCTATCACGTGTCGTCTGGACAAGATCCATAACTATGAGCTCCCCGATGGCCGCCTAATCGGAGCCTAGGCACGTGACCGCGCGCCGCCTTCCCCGCGTCGATCGACGCGCCTCTTTATTAAAGAAAAGCTTCCCCGGAGACGACAAGAAACCTCGATGACGGAAGAACGGTGCAATCTCCCGATGTACGCTGTGTCTTGTGCATGAAAGAAATCTGCACGTAGGCGGAGCGCAGACAATCAAAATGTGAGTTTCAGGGCCGTGGCACAAGATCTCGCAATTTCGGGGGGTTTAACTAATCCGCGTTTGCAGGTGTAAGTCTTGCCGCGGAGCTAGATATGGAGGATCTCCGTCTCCCGAGCCCAGTGACACTAATCTGATTTCTTTGCGACAAAAGCGAAGATAGACAAGCTTTCGATCTTGGGGTATGTGTGGCTTTTATTTTAATTAGTCTATTCGTTGGGCGAATACTTTGACTGACACAGTGGTTTGTCATTCTGCACAGTGTTCGCTCGTTCGACAATACCCGCAGCGAGACTATTCAGTTCCATACGCCTCTCACATTGATTGTTGGATATAATGGATCGGGCAAGACGGTGAGTATTGCGCTTCTATCTGGACTGTTGAGTATTTGGCTTGCTGAGGCGGTCTAGACGATTATCGAGTGTCTCAAGTATGCGACCACCGGCGATCTCCCACCTAATAGCAAGGGTGGTGCGTTTATTCACGACCCGAAGGTATGGCAGGCAATATACCTAAGTACGAGGATGTTTGCTGATGAGGGTGATTATGGTTGGTAGCTATGCGGCGAGAAGGAGGTCCTGGCCCAGGTTAAACTATCGTTCAAAGGAACGTCCGGGGCCAAGATGGTGGCGACGAGGAGTCTCCAGCTCACGGTGAAGAAAACCACGCGGCAGCAGAAGACGCTAGAAGGACAGCTTCTGATGATTAAAGACGGCGAGAGGACGGCCATCTCCTCCCGGGTGGCGGAGCTGGACCAGATCATGCCCCAGTACCTGGGCGTGTCGAAGGCCATTCTCGACTCCGTCATTTTCTGCCACCAGGACGAGAGCCTGTGGCCCATGAGCGAACCGTCAGTCCTGAAGAAGAAGTTCGATGAGATCTTCGAGGCGATGAAGTATACCAAAGCGATCGACAATATCAAGGCGCTCCGCAAGAAGCAGAATGAGGAACTGGCCAAGTACAAGATCATGGAGCAGCATGCCAAGGAAGATAAGGAAAAGGCAGATCGTGCAGAGAAGAGGTCGATCAAGCTGCAGGATGAAATCGAGGCATTGCGGACGGAGACGCAGCAACTCTCCCAGGAGATGAGGCGTGTGGCTGAATTAGCCGACAAAGCTTGGAAGGAGTCGGAGAGTTACTCCCAGATCTTGGGAGCCCTCGAAGGAAAGCGCATCGAGGCAAAGAGTATCCAGACGACTCTCGATAACTTGAAGCGACACTTGGTTGAGCTCGATGATTCAGATGAGTGGCTTGAATCGAACTTGGAACAGTTTGAGACCAAGCAACTGCAGTACCAGCAACAGGAGGAATCGCAGAAGGAGCATTACATGGAGATCAAAGAGCAAATCGAGAACTCCCGTCACAAGCTGGGTCTCAAGCAGGCCGAGTACGGAAAATTCGAAAATGATAAGGCAAACTTCGAGCGCCAGGTCGAGAGGCGGCAGCGCATGACGAAAGAGGTTGCGCGAAGTCACAGTATCCGTGGATTTGACAACGTTGTGGATCAGGCGGATGTCGACGAATTCATGCGGAGAGTAAGAAAGATTCTCAAAGAGCAAAACCAGGTATTGGAGCGAGTCAAGCGGGAAGCACAGAGCGAGCTGCGTGAGGCCCAGGACTCTCTCAACCAGATTGGGCAACGCAAGTCCGCGCTGCAAGAAAGTAAGATTGCGGCCAAGCGGCAAATAGCTTCTAATATCAGAGACGCGGCTACCTACCAAGCGAAACTCAATGAGATCAACGTCGATGAGGGTGTGCAGGCTGCACTGGAGACAAACATTGAAGACATCGTTTCTCGCTTGGACCAGGCGAAAGAGCGTTCGCGATCTGCCTCGTGGGAGAAAGAGATCCAGAGTGTCAATTCGGAGATTCGCAGTCTTGAAGACGAAAGCTCTCGCCTAAACACTGAACTGATCGAGGCGACTAAGAAGGCTGGTGATCTGGCTCGTCTAGATCACTTGAAGAAAGAACTCAAGGAAAGGGAGCGCAGCCTGGAAACGATGAAAGGAGCACATGGGGAACGGCTTTCTAAATTGGTCAAACTAAGCTGGAGCACCGAATCTCTAGAGCAAGATTTTCAACAGGTTCTAGAAGAAGGATCGAGGCAGGTCTCAAAGGCGGAGCGTGAACGCGATGGCGTCAGCCGAGAACTGGAACAGGTGGAGTTCAAGTTGAAAGAGGCCAAAAAGTCTCTGACTCAACGGCAAAAGGAGCTCAAAGGGAGTATTCAAGAGATCCGTGAGGCTGTTGGTGATGAGCCTGAGGAATATCCCGAAATTGTCAAGGAGCGACAGATCCAGCTCGATCTCGCTAGAAAGGATGCCGAGCAATACGCTGGCGTCGGCTCATACATGAGAGATTGTCTTGACACGGCGAAATCATCCAAAGTCTGTCGGTTGTGTCAGCGTGGTTTCGAAGCAGAGTCTAAATTACAAATCTTCATCAAGAAGCTTGAGGGCTTGGTCAAGAAAGCCCAACGGAATCTTGAAGACGAAGATATTCGGAACTTGGAGGAAGACCTCAATACTGCACGAGAGGCCATTACGGCCTACAACACATGGTCGAGACTGAAGGAAACAGAAATCCCTAGTCTCGAAAAGGAGGAAGAACAGTATGTCCTCCAACAGGACAAGCTGCTTAGCCAGCTGGAAGAGCATGACAAGATCGTTAGCGAGAAAATTGAGAAAAAGAAAGACGTCGAAGCGCTCTCGAAGACTGTCAACACTATCGTGAAATACGACAGCGAGATCAAGGCCATCCACTCTCAGATTCAAGAACTTTCTTCGAAGCAGGAGGACAATACTGGATCTCGCACTTTGGAGGACATTCAGGAAGAAATTGCTGGTATCGGCGAACGATCCCGAGCTCTGAAGAAGACCCTCGCAAAGCTCACGCATGAAAAGGAGCAGACGTTGGCGGAGACCAATAACCTGGAGCTGCAGCTCAGAGACGCTAAGAGTAACCTGGATAACGCCAAGTTCCAGCTGGAAAGGAAAGCAGACCTTTTGACCCGCCTCGGAGAATTCAAGACCCTCAACGATGAACAGCGTGCCGCGATCGCAAAGGCAGACAAAGACATTGAGGATCTTACTCCTGAACTCCTCAAATTTCAAGCGCAGTATGACGATATCAGTCAGCGCGCCGAAGCACGCGAAAGAGAATTGCAGCAAGGCATCTCCCAGCTCTACGACAGCGTACATCAGCTGGAGCTGGCGAACGAAGAGATCGATGCCTACAACGAGCGGGGTGGTCCTACCCAGCTCGAGCGAAGCAAGCGAGAACTCCAGGTCATTGAGAGCGAGATTAGTGAACTGGAATCCGAGCAGGCAGCCATCACCAAAGAGATCAACCGAATATCTGCTCAACTTAAGGACAGCGAGAACACCAAGCGCCAGTACGCAGACAATCTGACTTACCGCCAGGCGACCAGAGCCCTGGACAAAGTCAATGCGGAGATCGATCAACTTGCCGCTCAGAACGCGGAGGTCGACCGGAGTCGCTTCAAGGATGAATCCGAGCGTCGAACGCGCGAGCACAACGCCCTCGCCGCCAAGCAAGCGAGCAAGATGGGCGAGATGAAGTCCAAGGACGACCAGTTGATGCAGCTCCTCGCCGACTGGGACACAGACTACAAGAACGCCGCCAGCAAATACAAGGAAGCCCACATCAAGGTCGAAACCACCCGCGCGGCGGTCGACGACCTGGCTCGCTACGGCGGCGCGCTCGACAAAGCCATCATGAAATACCACGGTCTTAAGATGGAGGAAATAAACGCTATCATCGGCGAGCTCTGGCAGAAGACCTACCGAGGCACGGATGTCGACACCATCCTCATCCGATCCGACAACGAGAATGCCAAGGGCAACCGCTCGTACAACTACCGTGTCTGCATGGTCAAGCAAGGCGCCGAGATGGATATGCGCGGGCGCTGTAGTGCCGGTCAAAAGGTGCTGGCAAGCATCATCATCCGCTTGGCCCTGGCCGAATGCTTCGGGGTGAATTGCGGCTTGATTGCCCTTGATGAGCCGACGACCAACCTGGACCGGGACAATATCCGGTCTTTGGCTGAGTCGCTCCACGACATCATCCGGACGCGCCAGCAGCAGGCGAACTTCCAGCTTATAGTCATCACCCATGACGAAGAATTCCTGCGGCACATGCAGTGCGGTGACTTCAGTGATTACTATTACCGTGTTTCGCGGAACGAGCGACAGAAGTCCATCATTGAGAGACAATCAATCGCTGAGGTATGTATAACGCGGTTCAAGGTTTGGAAGAGCTGATACTAACGGGTGTAGGTTATGTGATGACGTCTTCAAGCCTCCAGGCATGAGGTAAATAGGTCTGCTCATCGACAGCGGGCCACAAGTGATACACATCACTTCTTGTATATTAGTGGAGACAAGCGGCATAGGCATGGGCCGGCGTTCAGAAAATGCAGTCATTCAAAAAGTAATAAGTCACATTATAATATCCAAGCGCGCTAGAACAAACAGCCAGAGCTACAATCAATCAAAAAATCAAGTTTCTCTACCTACAGCAGCTCCCCATCCCCCTCCCCGTCCAGCAACGGTACGAACCGAAAGTCCACAAAGCTCACCACCGGCGCCAAACCACCTCTGGCAGACAACTTAGCGGCACTGCCACCATTGACATCAAACTCGATCATGAACTGTAGACTCAGCACCCCCTGCCGATCACCCCGGATACTGACCTTGTTAGCGACCGCCATCGCGCGCGCCGCCTTCTGGATAGACGCGAACTTGTAATCCTGCCGGATTCTCGACCCCATCGACGAAGGCGGACTGACCAGAAACGTCTCGGTGACTGTCGGGGCGAGCCGCGCCCTTTTCGCCCTGGACGCACCCTCGTTCTCTCCTTCCGCACCGTTGTTCGATGCCCCACCATCACCACCACCACCGCCGGTCGTCTGATTCTCGACCGAGAACTCGACGGTCGACTCGCTGAACGAGCCGCCGGCGCCGGAGAGCGCGAAGAACGGTTCCCGCGTCGCGGAGGCGGAGACCTTGAGGGCAACCGGGTCGGTAGCTGCCAGCTCGGTGATGGCGTCGTGGAGCCAGGCGGACCGCATGATGATCTTCATGCAGATGGCGTCGCGCTGTAGCGGAATCTCGATCTCGCCGCCTTCGGGCTCGTACGTGGTCAGCTCGCAGGTGGTTTTGACACCGGTTTCGGTGAGAGTGATGCTGAGCGGGCTGCCTTCTGTGTCGTAGCGCAGGGTGCAGGAGCGGTCGAGGAGTAACGCGGGGGTGGTGAAGGCGCTGGGCCCCGGTTGGACGCTGCCGGCGCGGGAACTACTGCTCCCGCCGCCCGACGCGGAGGAGTCGTTGATGCCCAGGATCTTTAGGGTTTCGAGGAGGGCGGAGAGAGAAATTTCGAAGCACGGGTAATATGTTGTTGGTGTCGTTGTGTCGGTGTCGGTGTTTGTGGGTGGGGATTCGTGGTCCTCGTCGTGGTCATCGGTCGCAGTGGCGGGCGGGCGCGGTGCGTTGAAGATGTAGCTCGTGAAGAGGGCCTTGTCGAGGAAGGCGAGACCCTGTACTGTTCGTGCTTCTTCCACGGAGAAACGGATTCCGTCGGGCGTGAGCTGCACGGTGGCTTTGGGTGCGAAGCCGATGCATTGTAGGAGCGTGTAGAGGTGATGGGCGTTGCTGGAGACAGCTGTAAAAATGGGTTCCGAGTCCGTCATGGCTTTTGGATTGCTCGTCCCTGAGCACGGCGGTGCAATGTCCGGGATTAGGTTTTAAGAGAGGGTGCAATGAGAGAGACAAGTGGGTGTGGAAATATGCTTCGTTCTTTCAACTTTCCAGTATATGGTACATGGGTATCTGAGGAGATAACTGGAACTTTAAACGTAGACCCCAACGGCACAGATCATATAAACGGCTCCGAAGCTGTTCCGTGGATGTCAGTGACTACTATCATAGCAAATGGGGTGGTGTATGGTCTTACCCAAACGCCAGCGAAGCTGGGACGCCGAACAGTGCAATGCTGGTGAAAGACCGATCTGCTCAAATGGTAAGTATAAGGGAAGACACTATCGAGAACAAAATTGAAGCAATTGGCGACTGACTCAATCCGAAGAGACCGGTAAGTAAGAAGGCTAGTGGGTCAATGTTAGTAACCGTTCGACTGCAACAAGAGGCAGGCCGGACTCACCAGCAAGCAGAAGACTAAAGCCGACGAAGAACTGGCTATCTTTCGCGATAAGGGGAGAGTAAGGGCTCGCAGAAGCTGCCTCCCAGACTTGGTGCAGAGACATTGGGACGTGACGGACAAAGATGGTCAGCAATCAGGTGCTTCTAGAGGAACAGACACAACGCTTCAGGTTCAAAGATCAAAACAGAAGAGGAGATCGCTTGATATAGTCGTCGTAGCTGTTGTCGTAATCGAAATGGTTATCTGGCTTAACTGCGCCGGGTCAACCTAATTCCGGGCCGTTCCCCGTATCGGGACGTGGAGAGAGCGCCGCGCTCACGACCGGGTTCAGCTCCAGCCAGTCTGTCGGTCCCAGTTCAGATCTAGTGAATAAGTCCTACCTCACATTATGCCGGCAATCAGTTTTGAGGGTGAGTCGACACTTCGGAAAGATAATCGCGCCGCTGAATCGACATTACTGACCCCAAACTGCGGTCCAGGTACCACTAAGCGGAAAGCTTCAGAGGAGGCTCTTTCCCCAGATTCACAGCAACGGAGCAAAAAGGCGCGCACTGATTCCCCGGAAAAGGATCCCAAGGTGAATATTTGAGAAACTGGGCAGGTGGAATTACATGCAGCATCACACTAACCTTTCTGCGTGTCTAGACAGAAGATGAACCCCTCGATAAGCCGCCCATGAGGATTGTCCCGTTCCCGGAGAAGGTAAGCTCGCAGCTCCGCACGGGTATGGATGAGACTAACACGCCCACAATAGCCTGCAGTACTGGAAGAGCGTCGTGGCGAGATCGAATTTCGGGTGGTCAATAATGATGGGTCACGCGACAGCTTCGTCGTCCTCACAGGTCTCAAGTGCATCTTTCAAAAACAACTCCCCAAAATGCCCAAGGACTATATCGCGCGCTTAGTCTACGACCGGTCGCATCTTTCCATAGCAATCGTCAAGCATCCTTTGGAGGTTGTCGGGTACGTACATGTGTGGTGGGAGCATCAGTTGGGTGGGGGATTGTGCTGACGGGGAAGGCAGCGGCATTACGTACCGCCCATTCAATAGTCGCAGGTTCGCGGAGATCGTCTTCTGTGCTATCTCCTCTGACCAGCAAGTCAAAGGATATGGCGCGCATCTCATGTCGCACTTGAAGGTTTGTATGCATCTTCCTCGGTGGGAATGCCGCTGCTAACCTGTTGGCAGGACTATGTCAAAGCGACATCGGACATCATGCACTTTCTAACCTACGCCGACAACTACGCTATCGGATACTTCAAGAAGCAGGGCTTCACGAAAGAGATCACGCTTGACAAGTCTGTTTGGATGGGGTACATCAAGGATTACGAGGGAGGAACCATCATGCAGTGTACCATGCTGCCCACGATACGATACCTAGAGATTGGTCGCATGCTTCTGAAACAAAAGGAGGCGGTCCATGCGAAGATCCGGGCTTTCAGTCGGTCACATATTATCCATGCACCTCCCAAGGAATGGAAAAACGGAGCCTGCAAGATTGATCCTTTATTGATCCCAGCTATAAAAGAGTCCGGATGGTCGCCGGATATGGATGAATTGGCTCGCCAGCCTCGCCACGGGCCGAACTACAATCAACTATTGCACCTTCTCAACGACATGCAAAACCACAGCGCAGCATGGCCGTTCACGCAACCGGTCAACCGGGATGAAGTACCGGACTACTACGAGGTCATCAAAGAACCCATGGACCTGTCGACGATGGAAGAGAAACACGAGAAGGATATGTATCCCACGCCACAAGACTTCATCAAGGATGCTATGTTGATCTTCGATAATTGTCGAAGATACAACAATGAGAACACGCCGTATGCCAAGAGCGCCAACAAGCTGGAGAAGTTCATGTGGCAACAAATACGGAATATCCCCGAGTGGTCGGTAAGTAGTTCTTCCTGGATCTTGCATGAGCGATGAGCATCCAGTCACTGACGTGTCTCCAGCATTTGGCGGAGAATCATTGAACGAGCGATTCTCTAGTCTTTGGTGTATAGGCGTTGGTTGTTGGCGTTTAGTCTTGTGCGTGTGTGATGATGAACAAAATACCCATTTAATGAGAACATGGAGCGTTGCTTTCGCTTGCACTTATATTCCTGATCTTCCTGTCGAGTGTGGACATGCATGGTCCACGATATAGATAGTTCATTGATGATCATTAACGACGCTGTTATTGCATCTCTGGTGCCTTTGGTGTAGTGGTCATGGTCTTTCAATATGGTGGGAGCAACGAAAAGGCGGGCGAGCATAATGCTTACGAGCTTCCGAACATGGAATCAACTCCCTATCTTTGATTGCTAGCTAGCAAGAAGGTACCCTACGACTTCTTCCCCAAGACCCGCTTGGGATGCCGAGCGCCCGCTGATCCCGATCCCGCCGCTCTTCCCGACCCGGATCCTTCATCTATATCCATCCTCGAGCCGCCCGAAGCCTGCATTTCCATCTCATTGCCATGCTCCCAGAACCCATCATCATCGTCATACTCATCCGCACTGAACTCACGCTTGTTGCCCCCCAGCCCACCCCCTCTATTATAGACCGCCTGCTGCTGGCCCCAGTGCCTCCGGGCGGCCCCGCCCGCCGCGCTACTCTCGCCTCCACTTACCACGCCGGCAGCCTCAGTCTGATATGCCTCAAGCGCCCGTTCGAAGGCCACGTTCCGCGCATGCTCCTTAGCCCGGCGCTTCGCCGACTCGGATTTGATCTTGGCGATCTCGGCCTCGATGTCGCTGATGACGTCTCCACAGCGGGTCTCCCATTGCGTAAGGACGGTGATAATTTTGGATAGCGATTGGGGCTTTACGTCGCGGAGCGGGGCGATGGCGGTGACGTTGACGGTAGGAGGGGTCGAGGCGGGGGAGAGACGAGCCTTGATGAGAGACGAGTAGATGGCTGTTGTGACGAGCGATTCGAAATCGGAGGGGACGGTGATGGACAGGGCGCTCATCAGGGCGGTGTAAGTGAGGGGTTGGATGGTGGAGGAGAGCGTGAGGAGCGTGAGGAGGCGTAGTTTGAGCGTCTGGGCTTCGCTCAGAGCGGGCAGGTTGGGTGTTTCTGTTTTAGGATGGCGGCGTGTTTTAGTTGGGAGCTGCGGTTGCGGTGGGTTGGCTGGGAGGTGAGCGGGTGGGATAGGAGCTCACCTTGATACTCTTGCCATGTGCCCCAGGCAAAGATCTCGAGTAATGTTAGATAGCTCTGGTATTCCGCGGGAGTGCCCGGGGAGCGGAGGGCCTGGACGGCAGCCGTCTCTAGCAGCTCTGCAAAGACGAAGGTGTGTGGGTTTGAGGTCGCGTTTGTGATGATGTTGGCGACAAAGCGAGGGGAGCTGGCGCTGGTGGAGTTGGCGAGGGCGATGAACGGTTGGAGGGCCTCGATGGCCCGAGTATGTATTTGGTCCATGCTGGGTGAGAGATGGCTCGAAATAGCTGCTTGGCTGGGGCGGGCTGTTCGTGAAAGAGCCAGGCAGGTAATCTCGGTTCTGCTCTTCAGTATTTCCGGCTTGATTATATCGTAGTGGTGCTATGCACTTATAGTGTGCGAGAATACCAGCTCAGAATTATCCGTAATCCGAAGCGGTAGTTGGGATGATGGATGGATGGATGATGAGATGTTGTGGTGGTGTTTGTCTGAGATGCAAACCATGGTGGGAGTGACATCCGCCCATGTGATCTGCATTCTGGTGTCTTGCCTCTAGTCTACGTCCTGCAATCCACGCCCAAATTTTACTATCGATCTTGTCAGGACTGCATTGGAGCAGTTCGCTTCAATCAGCGTTTCGACCGAGGCTCGGGGTGACCTTCATTTACTGAGCACCACTGCAATCTCAGGTCTGGAACCATTCCGGGAGACACAGCTCTATAGTTGAAACGTCAGAACCATCGGGTGTTTCAACCCCAGAACCCTTTCAGAACCTTTTCTTGACAGCTAAGCATGACAGCTTGTCTGAATCCAACGTTCTTGAGGCTTGCAAGCATCGGCTTGGGCACAATATCATTGGAAGTGGTTCAGGTGTCTCAGCCAAGTCACGCTCAAACCGGATTGTGTCTCTTTCGATGATGTAGGTTTCCATGTCTTACACCTTACCAGGCGTGCGGAGTCCGACGGTCGACGGTCGACGAAATACAGTACAGCATATGCCTGCACGCGATGATAGTCGGTCAGTCGGCTACATGTCTGAGTGACCAGAATGTTCGGGTTCTGGGATGATTCTCAAGTCAAGTCTGCTTCTGAATTCAGTCTGAACCCAGTTATTGTGCCAAGTTAATGAAAACGGAGCCCTCCTTGCAGACTGGCATGCAGAGCAACAGGCAATACGAGTGTCAATCCGAACCATCCTTGTGTTCGGTGCTGAGACTTGTTTGCCTGAGTATTTGTCTCAATTGTTCCGATCAGTTATAGATCGAAAACAGACAGAAGGGAGAATCGCAAAATCAATCGAAATCAAGACTATGGTTCGTGACCTCTTGGACTTGTAGACTGTTAACAAGTCTAGACTGGAAGCAGCTCACACGATACCGTACGCGTAAAGTGTACCGGAGCTGGCAGTTCCCACACGTAACTGGGCGGGGCGGGACATTCCTCGAAAGTGGAGAGAATCGGACGTAATTTTCCTCGGCTGCTCCGTTCTCATTGTTCGGTGATTGATCATGAATAAGGAAAAAGAGATGGATCACGGGCCCGGGCCACTGTCCACTCTTTGTTCAATCCCTAACCGGCCTTGACTGCCTCCTCTGGCATTCCTTTGCGAGAAGGAGACTTGACTGACTGACTTACTTATTGAGGGATGAATACGGGTGGCAGCGTCCAGCGTCCAGCGTCCAGCGTCCAGCGTCCAGCGTCCACCAGCAAAACTGCCCTGTAGCGCCCGGCCCATCCAAACTGGAACTTTCTCCAGTCTCCATCACCTTCCGTTCCATCCGGGCCTTGCCGAGTCCATTATTGGTACTACTTTTAGTCCCAATATAAATGCTTTTTATTATTACATGATTAATAGGTCTCCAGCGATCCTTGCATGATTCCCTGCGGTTCCCTCCGCCACTATATTACCCTACCAGCGCCCCCGTCAGCTTTCCCCTCCCGTCTGAATCACGTTCCTATGCGATAACACCGCTACCCGGTCGACAATCCTCTTCGCCTGGTTGTCACCATCAAATCGGTGCGACATGGCGGCCTCATCAACCGCTTTGCTCCGCGCTGGAGACGACAGCTCTCTCAATGACCGATGCCCCGCTCATATGGCTACCACTACGGTCAGTGTGGAGGGCATGACGTGTGGCGCCTGCACCTCGGCCGTCGAAGGGGCCTTCAAGGGAGTGGAGGGCGCCGGAGAAGTCACCGTGAGCCTGATGATGAGTCGCGCAGTCGTACACCACGATCCGAGCTTGCTTTCACCGGAAAAGGTCGCCGAGATCATCGATGATTGCGGCTTTGACGCTAAGGTCGTCTCCACGGATAGCTCATCCTTACCAGCCGAAAGTACCGCGAAATCCTCTTTATCGACCACGACACTGGCAGTGGAGGGCATGACTTGCGGCGCTTGTACCTCCGCGGTCGAGGGAGGATTGAAAGAGGCAGCAGGTGTGCGATCGGTCAGCGTCTCTTTACTCTCGGAACGGGCAGTCGTCGAACACGACGCCTCGGTCATCACCCCGGATCAAATCGCGGAAATAATCGAAGATCGTGGCTTTGGCGCCAAGGTGCTGGAAACCTCAACGGCTCAGGATAGCTCTCACTCTACGCAGGACTCGACGGGATCGAAGTCCCATTTGATGGTCACCACAGTATCTATAGACGGCATGACATGTGGTGCATGCACATCAAGCATACAAAATGCTTTTAACGGAGTAGACGGACTGGTGCAGCTCAATATCAGTCTACTAGCTGAACGAGCGATCCTCGTTCACGACCCATCTGTACTGCCGCTCCAGAAGATCTTCAAAACAATTGACGATGCTGGTTTCGATACAGCTCTCGTGTCATCCGAACCGCAAACCCCTTCCTCTAAGGGCATCAGCCGCGTCACTCTAAGTCTTCACGGGGTGCGCGATGCCGCCTCAGCAGCTGGTCTGGAAGATGATCTTCTTCAGAAACCCGGTGTGTCCTCAGCGTCAGTAGACATGGCCACCTCTCGAATCAACGTATCCTTCGACTCTTCCGCAATTGGTGTCCGATCGATTGTGGAAGCTATTGAGGCCGCTGGATACAATGCCTTGGTGTCGCAGTCGGACGACACGAATGCTCAGCTTGACTCGCTCTCCAAGACTAAGGAGGTTCGGGAGTGGAAGCGGGCGTTCCTCTTCTCGTCAACATTCGCCGTCCCGGTCTTCCTGATCAATATGATTCTTCCCATGTACTTGCCGGCCCTTGACTTTGGCCGTGTCCAGCTCTTCCATGGTCTCTACCTGGGTGACGTTGCTTGCCTTCTCCTTACCATACCTGTCCAGTTTGGCATCGGGAAACGTTTCTATGTGGCCAGTTATAAATCTTTAAAACACCGTTCACCGACCATGGACGTTCTTGTCATGCTGGGTACATCAGCAGCATTCTTCTACAGTATCTTCACCATGGTGGTTGCATTTTGTTCGGCCAGTCACTCGAGGCCTAGCACAGTTTTCGACACAAGCACCATGCTCATCACCTTTATCACGCTGGGAAGATGGTTGGAAAACCGAGCCAAGGGTCAAACATCGGCTGCACTTTCGCGACTGATGTCCCTGGCGCCGTCAATGACCACAATTTACGATGACCCGATAGCGGCAGAGAAAATGGCTGAGGAGTGGGACACCAAGCCTGCCAAATCAGAAGAGCAACAGTCGATTCCGGCAGCACATGAAAGATCAGGGCTGGGACAAAAAGTGATTCCCACTGAACTCATTGAAGTTGGGGATATCGTGATGCTCCATCCCGGAGACAAGGTCTCGGCGGATGGTATTGTTATTCGCGGAGAAAGCTATGTCGACGAAAGTATGATCACTGGCGAGGCCCTTCCTATACACAAATCCAAGGGCAGCGTTGTTGTCGCCGGAACAGTCAATGGAACAAGCTCGATGGACTTCAAGGTCACCCGAGCAGGCAAAGATACTCAGCTCAGTCAAATCGTCAAACTGGTCCAGGACGCTCAAACGAGTCGAGCTCCTATTCAGCGCATGGCTGACGTCGTGGCTGGCTATTTCGTTCCAGCTATTATCAGTCTTGGCCTGGTCACTTTCTTTGGCTGGATGTTCATGAGCCATATATTGCCTCACCCGCCCAAGGTTTTCCTGGCAGAAAGCAACGGAGGCAAAGCCATGGTTTGTCTCAAGCTCTGCATTTCTGTCATTGTTTTTGCCTGTCCCTGCGCCTTGGGTTTAAGCACACCCACCGCTGTCATGGTTGGAACCGGCGTAGGTGCACAACAGGGTATTCTCGTCAAAGGCGGCGCCGTCCTTGAAGCCGCAACAAAGATCAATCATGTGGTGTTTGACAAAACTGGAACATTGACGACTGGAAAGATGAGTGTGGCAGACGCTAGAATTGAACCTCACTGGACTGTCAACGATTGGCGTCGTCGACTTTGGTGGCTCATTGTTGGCCTGGCAGAGATGAGCAGCGAACATCCTATTGGGAGAGCTATACATGCGGCCGCTAAAATTGAATCAGGCAACCCTGGAGATGGTGGTTTGCCAGGAAGCTTGGGTGACCTTGAAGCCTGCGTTGGAAAAGGTATCTCTGCATTGGTCGAGCCTACCTCGAGTGCTGAGCGCATTCGGTACCGCGTTTTGGTCGGCAATGCTGCTTTTCTCCGGTCAAGGGATGTTGCCGTCCCAGATGCTGCCGAGTCTCAGTCTTTTGAAGATATCGACAACCCTAATTCCAAAGCTCCTGCTGGTGTCACCCAGATTCATGTCGCCATTGATAACCAGTACGCCGGTACTATCTCACTTCAGGATACCGTGAAAAGCAGCGCTCCGGCCGCAGTTGCGGCCTTGCATCGTATGGGCATTATGACATCCCTCATCACTGGTGACACTCATTCCACTGCCGTTTCGATCGCTACGGCTGTTGGTATTCCGGTCGATGCGGTCCATGCCTCCGTGTCCCCTTCAGACAAGCAGTCTATCGTCGCTTCTCTGCAAGAAGCCGGTGATCGGGTTGCCATGGTTGGTGATGGAATCAACGATTCCCCCGCCCTGGCTACTGCATCTGTCGGTATCGCTCTTGCCTCTGGGACTGACGTTGCCATGGAGGCAGCGGACGTTGTCCTCATGCGGCCCGATGACTTGCTCTCTGTGCCCGCGAGTTTGTATCTATCGCGGTCCGTTTTCAAACGCATCAAGCTGAACTTGATGTGGGCTTGTCTCTACAATGTCATCGGACTGCCTTTTGCTATGGGCATTTTCCTACCGTTCGGGTTCATGCTACCCCCCATGGCTGCTGGTGCCGCCATGGCGGCTTCCAGCGTCTCTGTCGTCGTTAGCAGTCTGCTCCTGAAGCTGTGGCGCCGTCCGAAATGGATGGATGCTGACAAGCTCCTCAGGGAACTTTCTGAAACTGACACCGACTTCAAGTCCTCGCAAAAGAGCTGGTGGAAGGCTACTCTATCCGTCACGCGCTCCTCCGGCGGCAGACGCTCGTCCCATTGGATCCGCAACACCGGCGCAGAGGTTTGGTCTTTGGTCACGGGTAGGAGAGCCAGAGGCTCCGACTTGGACGAGGGCCGCTATGTTCCTCTCCAAACAGTGGAACCGGCTTGATTTGGTGTGGAAGCACATGTTCTTGGGTATATAATGATTGTCTTGTCACTGCTGTCCATGAACTCTGGCATTGGCCATAGATCGCATATCTGCATGTCACGACCCCTAATGATATACTACTAGTCTTTTGTTTCTTGGCTAGCGAATGGTGCAGTGCTATCTTGGAGTTGCTTGGTTTCGATGTCTGCTGTCTCAGGTACAATACCTTGTTGACAGTCTATAAATTACGACAACAATCGTTATGATTGAGGTGTGTATATTTGGAAGATCGTAATTGATTTGACTAATTTGCAAAGACTGGCTGGGCTTCCGTTGTAGTGAGCGATCCACAAACCTATTCAAGACTGTCGCAGGCTCTATATGTCAGAGGCTTAGCATATAGTAAGCACTGGGCCTATCGTTGATAGGTTGACAAACAGCGTACCTTCCAACTTTTGCTATTGAAGGGAATATGGAACGTACTCACAGTCTGTATATCTGCCTCTCAAGCAGTATGTCGTAACCGTGGAGACAGCTCCCCTCCTCACACACTTGCTTTTATACGACTATCAAGTACGGTGTCCTCATTTTACGATTAAGAAGTACAGCTATATTTTGTATTGATTTTAGATCTCGAGATAATAGACCTAAATACTTTTTCAATTATTAGAAGGGTCGCCGCAGTCAGAGTCATGAACACACGGGAACTTGTTAGATCAATTTCTGTTCGAATATCGTAATATTCTACTATGCAGGCGTGGCGTTGTCTATTTAAACCAAGCACACGAGTATATAGCCAATCTTGCCGGGTCACTCAACCGCAATAAAATAATAAAATACACTATCTCTGCATTCTCTGCGTCACTGTCCGACTTGCCCTTGCCTGCCATTTCACAGTGAGTTGAGCAGCCCTAGTTCGGGAGCAGGTGGGTTAATTACATGCTGGTCTCCGGGCCAGCGTTTGTCGGTCTAAGATGCAGCAGATGTTGTCTTTGGCCTTTATCTACTTTCACCGCAGCACAAGTCTCGATGCAAGAACGGCCGAATCACATTTGAGATCATCGCTCAGTGTTGATGTAAAATTATACACGCCTGCAATGCAGAATTCCATCTTTTGGATATTGCAGTTGCCTACATGACCCTCAGCCCTGCTTCTGCTGTTGTTCCTTCTCGGCCGTCGCAGGGCCTTCCTCTGCTTTCGCATCCTCCAACGCAATGTCTCCATCGCCGTCCGTAACGGGCTTTGAGGCACCTTCTTGAGCTTGATCCTCAGCTTGACCTGCCTGCTGCTCCTGCTGCTGCCCACCCTGCTGATCAGCGGACGACTCTTGGCCCGGCGCCTGGGTCTGCGACTGTTGTTGCTGCCGGCCATCATCATCATCCCCACTCGCTCCATCCAAGTTCATTTCTACCCCTTTGCCATCCTGTAACCCCATATCCTCGACCCCGACGACAGGCGGACCCCGCGCATGCGGGACATCTTCTACGGCCGACTCCGCAGGCACCGAGTCCATCCCGCCCATCACTTCGTTCTCCGTATCATTCTCCCCCGTCGCGGTCGGCGCGAGAACGTCACCCCCGGCACCGCTACCACCACTATCAATACCACCAGTTGGACCAACTGTTGTCTGCGCCGAGAACCCAGTCTCGCTCGCGCCGTCACCGGCAGCACCAATGTGGCCGCCCGCCGCCGCCTCTTGTTCCCCTTCTGCCTCGGGTGAGGACGCGGTGTTGTGCAACCACGGGATTGGGGTGAGAAGAGCCCCGCCGAGCGACTCGTCGCTGCCCAGGCCGTGATCAGAAAACATGAAGCTCGGCTCGACGGCTCCACCCCCGCCGGCGCTGCCGGCGCTGCCGCCGCCGTTGATGGTTCCGTTCGGCTGGTGGTGTTGGGGTTGGTGTGTGCCGGTGCTCGTCCGGAAGGGGAAGATATCCGCGGGACTGGTGACGGAGACGACGCGGTCGACGGCGCGGAGGTAGGCCGGGAGGGTGCGGTAGTGCGCTGTCGGGCGGAGGATGAGCTCTGCGAGGCGCTGGATCGTGTGAGGGGGCTTGGTGGCGAAGAGCGTGCGGATGTTGGCGGAGATTGCAGTGAGAAGATGGTCGAGGGGTCCCGGGAGGGTGGGTGAGTTGGTTGATGATGATGAGGCCGCTTGGGAGGAGAAGGGCTGGGAGTCCGGGATGCGTTCGCTGGATAGAGGCGTCGTGGTTGAGGAGGTGGCTGTTGGTCGAGGCGGGGTTTGGAGGTTCGGTGGAATGCTCGTTTCTGCGCTGTTGTTGGCGCTGCTGTCGCTTGTGGTGGTGCTTGGGGAGGGATTCTGTGCTAGGATGGTCGCTGCGGAAGGGAGAGGAGGTTGTTGCGCTGCTGCTGGAGGCACGCGCGGCATGGGGAACACGTTGTAGACGTTCTGGTTATGCCGGAAGACTAGTCAGTGGCTTGAGATTGGATGCGCGGCTGGTATCTTGAGGGGTGCGTACATGTTGTAGTCGCTCCAGGAGCGGTTCGACAAGGTTGGGCCATTTTGAGCTGGAAAGAGAATGTCAACGCCAGATGGACCAGCAAGCAGATAGCTCGACATACGGGTCTATCGCACCGCCATTAGCGGCGATCTCGAGGCTTTCTTCGTCTGATTTGCGCGGTCTGTTAGTAAAAAAAATAGTTCACATATTGTACTTCATGAGCAATGGGCGGAGTCAAGCTCAAGCTGGGATAGCTCGCGAAGGGGTAACTGCAGGAAATGAGGATCGGAGCCCGGCGCAGACACTCACCCAGTAACATGATCACGAGATTGTTCGCTGAACCTGCTCAGACTGCAGGAAAGTAAAGGTGCGAGGGGGTCAGGAAGAGCGAGATGCACAAGGAAAATTTCCCACGAGAAATACCATCAGCATTGATCAATCAATTGATCGTTTGCTCGTGATGCGCGCGGGGACAGCGGCTCCCCCGGCAACCACCGACCGTGATTGGGCCCGGCAGCCGCTTATCGGAGCCACACGTGACTGAGGGGTTCATTTTCTACTTTCCCCAGATCTTCTCCGTCTTCGGCGGTCGTTCGAACGTCCCCGTCACTTTTTTCCCCGTCGTCTTTTTCGTCGGTCTCAAAAGCAGCGCCCCCCCAGCTAACAACATGTGGAACTCTCCGAAGATTGGAATTCTTGGTGGAGGCCAATTGGGCCGTATGATGGTCGAAGCCGCCAACCGACTCAACATCCAATGCAATGTCCTCGATGCGGAGAACTCCCCGGCCAAGCAGATCAGCTCTCACGACGACCATGTCACCGGCTCTTTCAAGGAGCGCGAGGCCGTCCGCGAATTGGCCAAGTCATGCGACGTCGTGACCGCCGAAATCGAACATGTCGATACCTACGCTCTCGAGGAAATCGCTTCCCAGGTCAAGATCGAGCCCAGCTGGCAGGCGATCCGCACGATTCAGAACAAGTTCGACCAGAAGGAGCACCTGAGGAAATATGGAATCCCTATGGCTGATCACTGCGAGCTGAAGGAAAACACCCCGGAGGAATTAGCTAAGGTTGGCGAGCAGCTGGGATACCCTATGATGCTCAAGTCAAAGACCATGGCATATGATGGACGCGGTGAGTCATACCTCGGTGCCGGCCACCTCTGATGCATACATAGTGGCTGACCCTATTGATGGTGGTATAATTAGGAAACTTCCACGTGCGCACGAAAGAAGACATCCCAGAAGCTTTGGAGGCACTCAAGGGTCGACCCTTGTATGCCGAGAAATGGGCCTACTTCAAGATGGTTGGTCCTCCGGCCACTCCTACCGACCCCATAGACCTCACGCAAAGAACACGATCTAACAGCTACAATGGTATAGGAAATTGCCGTCATGGTCGTCAAGACGAAGGACGCCGTCCTATCCTACCCCACCGTCGAGACCGTTCAAGAAGACTCGGTCTGCAAGCTCGTCTACGTCCCCGCCCGCAACGTCTCCGACACTATCAACCAGAAGGCGCAAGAGCTGGCCCGCAAGGCCGTCGCCGCTTTCGATGGTAAAGGAGCCTTCGGTGTCGAGATGTTCCTCTTGGAGGATGACAGCCTTCTCCTTTGCGAGATTGCCAGCCGCGTCCACAACTCGGGCCACTACACCATCGAAGGCTGCGGCATGTCGCAATTCGAAGCGCACCTGCGCGCCATCTCCGACCTCCCCATCCCTCCCAAGAGCCTGGAGCTCCGCCAACCCTCCATCATGCTGAACATCATCGGCGGCGCCGCCCCTGACACCCACCTCACCGCCGCCGAGCACGCCCTCTCCATCCCCAACGCCAGCATCCACCTCTACAGCAAGGGCGCCGCCAAACCCGGCCGCAAGATGGGCCACATCACCGTGACCGCAGCCACCATGCACGAAGCTGAGACCTACATCCAGCCGCTCATCGAGGTCGTCGATAAGATCCGCTCGCAGCGCAGCGACGTCAAGACCAAGCCCATCTCCTCCGGGCCCTCGAAGCCCGCCCCCTCCGTCGCCGTCATCATGGGCTCCGACAGTGACCTCAAGACCCTGGTGCCTGGCCTCAAGCTCCTGAGAGACTACTTCGGCGTCGAACCCGCCGTGGACATCACCTCCGCCCACCGCACCCCCACCTTCATGGCCGAGTACTCCGCCGGCGCTGCGGCCCGCGGGATCAAGGTCATCATCGCCGCCGCCGGGGGCGCCGCCCACCTGCCCGGCATGGCCGCCGCGCACACTGTCCTTCCCGTCATCGGTGTCCCGGTCAAGGGTAGCTCTCTGGACGGTGTTGACAGTCTGTATAGCATTGTGCAGATGCCCCGGGGTACGTCCGTCCGTTCTATCGCTGACTACATTCCTTCCCTCCTTCTCCTATCCCCTCTATTTTCTTCTTTACCTCCTGCCGTCTTTCCACGTGATATGTATGAATTCGACTAACATCCAGCAGGCGTCCCCGTCGCCACCGTCGGCATCAACAACAGCATCAACGCCGCCCTGCTGGCCGCGCGCATCCTCGGTGCCTTTGACCCGACGATCCAGAAGAAGGTCGAAGCCTACGCCGAGAGTGCCCGCGCCGAGAACATGGAGTTGAAGGGTACAAAATTGCAGGAATTGGGCTGGGAAAAGTACTTTGAGCAAATGTAATCAACCGTAGTCTGATTTTTTCGTCTGTCATGTTTTTTTTTTTTCACGATCGATATGGTATGGGTATATAAAATAGAAGAGGGTTAAGGATATAGGGTTTCGATGTCCGCAGCGGGGGTGGTGGCTCATGATTTTCTGCCATCCTCTCGCTTGCTATTTCTAAGAGTGTCCTGTTCTAGGGTGCTCTACTGGGAGGAACGGAATAGCTGACATCAGATACAATGGATTAATCATTAACTGCTGAGATATCTCACAACATAGATAGAAACCATGGCAGGGAATCAACCAACAAAAGCAACCATAATACACGTGAGAAAGGGAAGTCAAAGAGAGTGACGTATCAAAACAAAAACCAGTAAACAGTACTAAGAACAGACCTCGGTATCAATAAACACAGATAGGAGATAAGAAATAGCTGATCGGCACAGTGAAACGGAATTCGTTATCTTGTTTTCTGGAACCTATCGACAGTCATTGCTATTCGACCTTTGGTTCAATTGATCAGACTTGGCTTATGCGGTCTGAGGGTTGAATGCGGTCTGGGCACCGGGGACAGTGGGACGACCGGCAGCAGTAACGTTAGCGTTGCCGTGGCCGAACGCCTGGTTTACCTCGTCGGAGAAACCGCGAGAGGCCGCCACATGGTCGTAGGGCTTGGAGTGGCCGTTGGCATAGCCGTAGGGCCCGGCAGTGTACCCATTAGTGTGGCCATTAGTGTGGCCGTTAGTGTGGCCGTTAGTGTGGCCGTTAGTGTGGCCATTGCTGTAGCCGTTGGTTCCGAGAGCATGAGAGCCGTTGACCGCCCGGCCATCAAGAGCTGCCACGCCTCCAGTGGTCGGCTTGCCGTCAGCAAGAGCCGTGGATCCGGTAGTGGCTGCCCCAGTGCTTGGTCCCTTCTCAAGAGGAGAAGTGCGCTTGCGGGAGATGCTGCCCGGCTTGGGGATGTCGGTGGACTCAGAAGCACTGCCGATGCTGAAGATCGGGGACTCCCAGCGTTCGCCCTTCATGGCCAACTCCTTGTACTCCGTAGCCTTGCTCGAAATACCACCAGGAAGCTTGATGTCGGGGAAGATGGAGTCGTGAAGAGTAGTAGCGGTCTGCACCTTGGTACCGCGCTGTGCAGCAGCCTGGGCCTGGGACTGGGCCTTGCGTGCCTTTTCTTCGCCGCGGGCACGGAAGGCGTCCAAGTACCGCGAGTAGATGTTGGGGGCGTTGGCAGGGTCCTGGCGGCTGGCTTCCTTAGCCTCGTTGACCCGGGATTGGATCTCGTATGCAAGACCGTCACCCTTCGCGAAGGCGTCCCGGATCTGCTGCTCAATGACCTTCTGCAGAGTCGGGCGGACGACACGGAACAGCAGAGGCTTGAAGATGGTGAAGAGAGCCTTGTGCTTCGACTTCTTCAGCTTCACGTTGAAAGAGTCGATCTTGACGGACACCTTATCTAGCTTGATGTAGTGCTGGCTATCCTCCTTCTGAGCAGTGGAGGCCGCGATCTTGAACCCGAAGCCTTCACCACCCAGGAAAATGTCCATGATACCCGTGTCGGTGATCGCCGGGAAGCCCTGTTTTCTGTTGATGTAGTAGCTCACATCTCTGAGATCAGCTTGGATTCCAGACACTGAGATCATGATCTTGTTGTCTCGCTTGCTGCTGATCTTCTTGCGTCCCCAGCGGAAGTAGTTGTCGCTACCGAACTCCACCACATTCGGCATCAAGTTGTCACTCTCAATAACAAGGTTCTCCACCACCACATCAGCTGTGGGGTCAGAGACCTCAATACGTGGGACGGGAACGTAACGCACGTTCTCAAAGACAGACGGGAGGATGACATCCCTGACATCCTTGAGAAGATGCTTTTTGAAGGCCACATTGCCATCTGAGTCCCGACCAAGGTCCTCGAACAGCTTCTCTAGGGAGTTCCTGAAAGCCAGGTTCTGAGGATCCTGGTTGAATTGGTCACCAATGAACTTGATCTCATCTAAGATGCGATCCGTGTGGTCCCTGTAGCGGTCACGCAGCAGGTATCGGCCATGGTCAGTCAACTGGTTCCATTGGCGGGTGCAGTCATCCTCCATGATATAGCCCTGCTCAGTTAGAGTTTTTCTGAATAACGTTAGCGAAACTGCTATTGTACTTGTTCATAGCTCTCTGTGTACGTACCTAATGAACGTGTCCATGTTGCGGAACCAACCCTTAAGTTCAGGGTCTCTGTCAGCATCGCGGTAGATGTTCTCGAGCGAGTCGAAGAGGTTGTCAAGAGAAGTGCTGTTCGCGAAGCGTTCGATGAGGGTCTATGAGTAGCGTTAGTTGGTGACTGTGGGTAAACCATCGACTTCGGACGACATACTCTCAAGTTGGTTTCCATTCTCTGGATCTTGTCACCGCTCCTGAAACCCTGGAGTGATCCAGTACCCTGCTGGGAAAGGTCTCGGGTGTGGCTGCCATATTTCTCAGCCATAGAAAGCAAAGTCCGGATAGCCTGTTGGTCTACGGGAGATCATAAATTAGCTCGCGGTCGAGACGCAATTTTGAGAATCACTTGGTGACTCACAGTCAGAATGTCCCTGGATTTCAATGACCATCTTCTTAAGCCGCCAGATAGCTTGTTCGCGGCGCTCTTGTGGCATCTTGTCTGACAGATAGCCCTTGGTGCGCTCACGGAGCTCACGAGCCTGAGTCTTCTGTTCCTCAGGAACATTTTCCGACACAAGTTCCTGGGCTCTTTGCGCCCCTGCAGTCGCACCAGCACGAGGATCGACATCTGAGGCGCGCTGGGGCTGCTGGCCACCCGTTGCAGCCTGAGCCGCCGTGTCCGTCACATCTTGCTTGCCCTACTAACGTGTGAGTTGTGATGAGCGAGTGGCAATTAGGAGAAAGAGAATCATACTTCTTCTTTGTTCTTCTTGAAGCGAGACTTGAACTGTTCCTTCTGCTGCGAAAAGTCTGGCTGCTCATGCCACACGTTCTCTTCGGCGGGCTCGTCGATCTGAGCGAGCTGGTCTTGAGATGGTCTAAGACGGTCGGAAGCCTTCTGGGTCGCATCGCCAGCCATATCCCGGGCCAAGGTCATAGCATCATTGACTGCAATCAATGGTTAGTCGAGGTATCATGTACGTTTCCCGGGCAGGTCCACGTACGAAGCTTTCTGAACTCTCCGTTGGTGATCAGGAGTCTTCCCAAGGTCTTGAGCCCCTCGACAGACTCCTGAGCGTCCTGCTGAGCCGACTCCTTGGTTACGGGCACCCCGGGCTTCTCGGTATTCTCTGCAGAGATATTCTGGGCCTCCCAGAGAAACTCTTGGAGCAGTTGGCCGTTATTCTTGCTCAACATGAGCTTCTTGGCGTTGTCGATAACATCACGAAGATCTTGGACGAGGCCTTGTCCCTCAGTGGAGAGCTCTTTCGACGGAGAAGCGAGAGCCTTGTGGCGGAGAGCGGTGTTCAGGGCAACATCGCATTGTTTGTTCTACCCAGGATGAAACGATTCAGCAGCCGTCATCACAAGGTGGTTTTGAAGCGGTACTCACCGATGGAAGCTTTCCATTCTTGAATGCTTGGTAGATGCCAAAGAGCTGCAGCTTCTGGTTGATGTCCTGGCATCACAGACTGGTTAGCATTGCGGGTACCCCAACAATGGCTTGGTGAACCTTACCTGCTCCTTCTGCTTTGTGTTCATGGGGTGGTTAACTGCGGCTTTGGAAGACATGATGAATGCTTTTCTGCGCTAGACAGCTAGACGATGCAGCGTGTGTGGATTAGAAGTCCGAAGAGGACCAATGGTTGCCTGAGAACTGGCGTCTGGCCAAGAAGCTCAAGCGAAGAGATAAACACAAAAGACGATCGATCGCAACGACAATAGAGTTGAAACCCCGGGGATGATAAGCAATTCCCGTGGAGACAAGGGCGAAGGAGTCAATCAATGTTGATAGCCAAGGGAGGAAAGGGCCGCGTCGCTGGGGTATCACCGGAATGAAGGACGCTGCTGTAAATTAGGATTGGGATCAGAATGTGTATAGCTGCACGGCTGTGAAATTGGGTATTGGGTATTGGGTATTGGGTATTGGGGTATCAAGTATTAATAGTATGAATATTCAGGGGAGTAGTGTATGCACAAGAATAGCGAAAAGAATAGTATCAGGTGAAGAAGCAGAAGATGGACTGGGACCGCGAAGAATAAATACCTACGCCGGATGCAGATCACCGCCAACGGAAGGGGGGCGCGGACAGAGGAAAGCGTGCAAATTGTGGCTGCATTGGGAGGGAGGGAGGGAAGGAGAAGGGTGGCTTTGACGTCACGGTGTCGTTGGTGACAGGTGCTGGACCGGTTCCTGAGCGCAAGAGAGAGGGAAAGAGAAGGGTGGTGCGACAAGGGCTAACATGAACCAACGACAACATCATCATCCATCATCATCATCATTATTCTCGTAGGCGTCGTCAACAGCAGTGGATGAGGTCATCACCAGGTGCTGGCTAGCCAGTTGGATGCATGAACTCTCAAGCAGGGACGGGGAAGAGAACCGGCAGACGGGAAAGCTTCAACCTATCCACGGCGGCGATCAACGCCAGCAAACCGTTGATACGTGGGCAATGAGCCATCATGATGCCAGGCGGGACAAACAATGCAGCACTGGGCACCGCCGTGAGGACTCTTTTCCTTTTCTTGCTCCTGCACCCTATGCAGAGTAGTAAGCACAATTTGAAGACCCCGGGAAGCTTGGCATAGTTCCTCCATCACATGCTCCTCCGCCCGCTGTGTCGTTCTTCCCTTTTCTCATTTACCTTGACTACAGTGTCTTTAGCTCAAAGACTATTTCTGACGAACCTTCGCGAGGATTCTAATAGCTTCTGCATCTACATACACGAGGAAGTCAATGCGAAGAGGAAGCCTGCTGCTTCACGCAGCTTTCACATCTCTTGTCCATTGAAGGGCGCCAAGAGAGACACAGAATCGGCATTGAGTCAGTTAAAGGTTATGGATCCTGGTGATTGTGTTAAGTAAGAGCTACTAGGTCGAGTGGAGAGAGCCATAAGGCTGAAAGAGCTCGACAAGTGCATGCATATCAATTGAAGAATGACAATTCCAGTTTATTATCAGATGGTGGGTTCCACCGCAGTTTCGGCGGTCCGCATCACCTTGACGTCACCCACTGCGGCCGCCCTCCAGGGAAGACATTGCATCTTTCTTCGAGTCGAGTCTGGAGTCTGGACCCATGGCCTGAAGATGACTTGTCGTACGCGCGTGGTCTGTTAGTCTATTCCAGGGCAATAATACTGAGATCATGGAAATAATAGTCTAGGTAGGGTAGAACCATCCCTAGGCATCAGCATATCCTGGACGCTCCCACCCAAAGCTAAAATGTACTATCACTCTCAGAGCTTCAGCAACAATCACGGTCGCCAGAACAAGTTCTACCGAGACAACTCATTTTTGCATTGATCGGAGTCAGGCGCAAAAGCATCGCCTGTCAGTGCCTTGGCCAGAATGGCCTGTTCCTGTATCGAGGGTCGAGTCGTATGAATGATTCAGCAATAGGTATAGCTTGTTGTCTGGCGCGGGTAGCTCCTCGAAGCGAGGATTATCAGGTCTTAAATTAATTTAATTTGCGCGGGATTCACTAGGGAGTTCGGCTGCATCAAGGGGAAAGCATTATATGAAATGGCGATCAGCGAAGGTCAGGTGTAGCTGTTCAGCTTTGGCAGATGCCTGCGACAAAATAAATGCACCGCGTTCGCCGTATGTGGATCTGTAGCTTTCGATATTGCTAGCCATCCTGTCTCTGAAGCTAAGACCCTATTCACGAAATATTCCGGCAGTGGCAGTCAGTCGCCAAAGTGCTCGGATAGAGGCTGCTACAAGAAGTACCGGTCGGACTAACCCAATAACACTAGTCAATTGGATCCATGAACAGAAGTTCCTAGGCTAGACGGAGTGAGGAATCAAGCCCGTCTAAAAGAGTACAGCAGGGACTTTTAGTGATGTCGTGATGGGATTGTTGGAGGGTTAGTCGAGGATTGATTGGCGGGCAAGCCATCTCTGGGCGAAATTGGCTCCTGCTCACGCCCCTCTTGGTCCAGTCGCAAACCCCACCTTCTCCCCCACGCGTCCAAACGCCTTCACCCCCTTTAATACGGCCGCACTTTTACTCACTACGCACTGTGGTGGACTGACCAGAGAAACGGTTCGGCTACTTAGTACTGGGTTGATTCTATTTCAGCTGCCTCCAAAACCGCCACAGCAATTTTCCTGCTAGTTGCATAACGGAGTCTCAACGGTCTTGAACCATGAATCTCGCATGACTTGGGAACCGAAAAGCTTCGGTTGTCTTACCATGAAGGAGTCGTCGTTACTCCTTAGGTGGGAACTAGTGATCTCCGCGATGCGACAGGACTCGGCACTTTGACCACTTGAGGGAAAGACAATCATCCACTGATCCCTGCTCCTTATGTCTTTATCCCGAAACATGATAGCCAGCCGAATCTGAAAGGAAGTGAAGGACGAAAAAAAAGTTTCTCGATGAGATCTCAAGCGGTGCAAAATGTCTAGACCTTAGGGGAAAGGCTGGCTCCAGAGGATTTTTTTGGTGCGGTGACTTTAGCCACAACTTGATCGCTACAACTCGATAGCGAGCTCTACCAAGGGAAAGCCTCCGATTACGGTTTGAAAGGGCTTTGTGGACATGGTGGAATTGTGGTCCCATCGGAGAAGCTAAGAACGGATCGTTGTGGTCTTTGACCATTCTAGGTTTCGCAAGATCCAGTGATGTTGCAAGTTGTGGGGTCCGACTCATCGAACTTCACCTATTTTCTTCCGTGCAAACGCCGAGGATAAGTGACAAGGTACAGTCTTGGGTCTTGACAGGGTCACCCTCTAGGGACAGCTTCTGCGTATGCTGAACGATGGTCGATAGAGCAAGTGAGGCGTGTCTCCAGAGTGATGTACCGCACAGTGGACTATGGTCTGCTGTATGACCTGCAAGGCTGGACTGGATGTTTTGGGCATCGGACTATTTTGCTACCTGGGCATGAAAAAAGATAAGCTGAAAGGCCCAGCTGGTGGGCGACTTGGCTCGGGTACTGGTCGATAACACGAATGTCTCTGCAATGATTTAGGGTATACTTCAGGTAGGATAGTGGGTGCAGACCCCCAATTTGAAGATGTTTTGGGCCTTAGGTTGGCCCCAGGCTCTCTCGATCTACTGGAGCCGAAACAGTCCAGTTCAAGATCTTGCGGATAGGGCTAAAATCTGTCTGCTGACTGCCGGTACCTAGCCACTAAAGTCCTAGAGGTCAGTAGGTTGTAAAGCATCACTAAGTTAAGTCAATTGTTTTAATGGTTCACTATTCATCACTGCAGATGTACTGACATCCTTGCACTGAATGCTTGAGCGTCAGGCCCCAACAATTGTCCGCAACCATCGGCATGAGCGGCCAGTGTGGCTCGCTGTAACAACCCTTGAAGTTGGAGAGAGCCTCTGAAAGCCTGAAGGGTAAAATTACGACAATTTGAGAGGGCGGGGGGCTCTTGCTTAGCGTGCCGTCGATCCAAGCGGGAGGTGGACCGACCGAGGCCTTCATTGACCTCAGTTCCGCCTCTATTCCACTTTCCCTTCTTCCCCCCCCCTCCTCCTCACTTCTCTTTTTGCTGCTTCTTTAGTGCATCCCACCCGTTCATGAAAACTTGTCTGCATAACATCCTATTACTTCTTATGATAGCCAAGATGAATTCCTTCATCGCCTTGTTGCGATAGTGGCTTACATAACATTCCACGTCCAGCACAACTCCCCCTTGCTTTTCCTTCTCATAACTACACCTTGACCAGGTACAGTACATCGCCGCCGTCTACCCTTTGCCGCTGGGTCCACGTCGGAACGAGCCCTGAACATGTCGAACGTGCTGTCTCGTCAGGTGTCCTATCAGTATCCCACAATCGCCTGTGCCTGACGGTCTTAACTTCCCTCTTGTCTCTTATCTAACTTCACTTCAAAACCCCCGATTCCAGGGTCACATGCAATTTTCATGGCATGTCCCGTTGACGATTTACCTTGGCTAGCACTGTGATCTCCGGATCAACCCATTCTTAGGGACAATCACCACCACCACCATGGCGGCGCAATCATCCTCGAATTCTCGCCCCCAATTCACTAATCCGTGGAAAGAAGCACCATCCACGGCTGCCGAGCCTTCCAACCAGACCCCCGATGGCCGCATCGCGCATACATTGACCGCTTGCACCCGGTGCAGACAGGTGCGTGTCTCTTCCCCCCTCGCCCGCCACCCATCCCCTGCGCAATCATTCTTGCCCTTTTGAGCAGTGGCATAAACATCTCTAACGTCCTAATAGCGAAAATCCAGGTGTGACCCCGGGATCCCACGATGCGCGCCCTGCGAACGCAGCAATGCCAAGTGCGTATATTACGATTCGGCCCGTAAATGTACCATATCGAGGACCTACATTGTCTCGCTCCGCGAAAAGGCCCGCAAGCTCGAGAAAGAGCTGGCCGAGCTCGAGAAAGAGTTTCAGCACGCAGCAGATGCAGAACTCATGGTGCGGGGAGCCGGTCGCATTCGATTCAAGGAAAACGATGAGTCGAAATACCTGGGGCCATCGAGTGGCATCGCAATGACGCGATTGGTAATGGAGATGGCCAAGCAGAACACAGACTCGAAAAGCATCAAGGATGTTGTTCCTGAGTTGACCGCACAGGAGATCAAGCATGCTTTCGCAGCCGAGAGCTCCAAGCCAACCTCCAAAGTATACCCCATAATCAGCTCCATCCCCCAGCCCAATCTGCCCCTCCAGCACATGACCTACCGCCTTATTGATGTCTTCTCTGTGAAGGGTATGGCCCTCATACGTAACCACTGTATGACATTCATTAACCTGCTTATTTAGCACAAGCGATGCTACCCACATTACACGAACCCACATTCCGCCGCGATGTTGAGGAGGTCTTCAATGGTTCTGACGATCCGTGTCAAAACTTTCAATTACGAATGGTGATCGCGATTAGCATGCAGAAAATGAGCCCTGCTTATGCAGGGCTGGCGGACAGTTATTATCTCGCCGCGTTGCCATTTCTTGAGGCATCCCTCAGACGAAGGGACCTTCGTTCTTTACAATGTCTGGCGCTAATAGCACAGTATTCAATGTTGACACCTACGAGGACCGCCGCCTACTGGGTCGTGGGAATGGCTGTAAAGCTATGTCAAGATCTCGGACTCACCGACGAAGCAACTATCACCAGGTCTTCAGATGGCAAGCTTCTGGATCCCCTGGAGATAGACATGCGAAGGAGGTTATTCTGGATTGTTATATCCATGGAGTATGGTCTTTCCCATAGTCTAGGTCGACCGAACTGTTACTCCGTCTGCCACGACCATATCAATGTCAAATTTTTTGAACCGGTAGAAGATCACAACATCACACGCGAAGGAATACGACCGGGAGCCAGGATAATCTTGCCCAAGTGTATAGCAATACACTTCCTCAAGATGCGACTCCTCCAAGCGGAGATCCGACGCACCCTATATCTCAATAAGCGCGATACACCAACCAACGACCAAGATCCATGGTTCACACAGATGATCAGGAAGATTGATGACTGGGTAGCGACTTGTCCCAAGAATGATGGCGGAAGTGGCCTCGGCGAGAAATGGTCAGCGAAGCCCCGTTATCATCTTACTTCCTTCAAGCTGACCTTGTCTCAGGTTCCATGGTCGGCGGAATACGATGATTGTATTTTTGTATCGGCCGTCACCTCAGGTGCCCGAGCCTTCAGTTGACGCCGCGCGCAAATGTTATGAAGCGTCCGTTTTCAATGTTGCGATGCATAAGGAACAGGTCGCCACTGGCTCTGTCGACTTGACCTGGATCTTCACTCAATCGCTTTTCATGGCCTTGAACACCATCCTCTGGTCCCTCTCGTACCCAGATATTCGGAAAGAACACCCGATCGACGAAGTGAAAAGCCATCTAAGCGTAGCACTGGAAGTCATCGTACATGCAGCGAAGCGGTGGCCAGGAGTTGAATCTGCATTGGTTTTATACAAGAGCCTAGTGGCGGCTTGTCTCAGGGCCTACGCTACTCAAGAATCTTTTGTGGTACACTCGCCGTCTAACCATGCGACCCCATCTTCCCAAGAAGTCGCGACACCGCCGTCTGTTGCTAGTCCGGCGAGTACCTCAACGTCGCTCCTGTCGCAAAATCTACGAGCCGGCAACTCGTCCATTCCTGACACCAGTACTTCTCCTGGCACATATTCTCGGGGGCCTTCGGCTGACCCATCCTTCCCTCATCCGCAAGTGCCGTCAACTTCTTCGTCCTCGATCATACCTATCGTGGAACCAATGAAAGCAACCCACATCTCATCCTGGGATAGTCAGCTTACTCCTTCTCTTGTTTCAACCTCCTCTCAGACCTCCTTCAGTCCGTTGTCGTACAGGACTGCCTCGTATGCAGATATGGCATTCGACCCATCCACTCCCTACAACCATATACCCTCTATTGTTCCTGGCTTGCCGGGGTGGGATCCTAATTTCAGCATGGCATCCACTAGTGCGGGCCATCTGGCCTACGTCGATGCCACCGTGAATCCGATGAATTGGGCTGACGACATTGGCGACCAATACTCCCAGTACTTCAATGGGGCGTACCCTGTCCCCTCCTGGCGAGAACGAACGCTCAGCCACCAAGAGCAGTTGGAACTCATGGAGACGTTAGAGGATAATATTCCCGACGTCTCTGCCCAGCGACTAGTGCAGGCGTCGGCCACATTCTACCAGTCGTGATCTAGCATGTTCTTTCTGTTCCTAAAGATGGCTCTACTTTTCTTTCACTTCTCATAAAGTCGGACAGGTAGCGGCCGTGGCAAGTCATTGTTCAAGTGTGGTTACTATTTTCATGTGGCATTTTCCTTATCTTTGTTTGTATCTCAATATACCCATGGGAAGCCAATGGGCTTCGTCTCTGGTGTTTGGAGCAGCTCTTTCGCTGAAAGTACATTTGGAAACAAAAAGGTTCTTGATATTGGAAATTGGCAATGCTCTAGATCGTTTGTATTGTTGTGTCGTGGGGAGGGACAATGGCGGTTCATGTATCTAGCGAACCAAATGCGGAGGGGAGGCACTTGCTTGTACTCTATAATCCTAATCAAAGAACAGTCTCCTCTGGGATTTTGCCACTGCAGGATAGGAGTGCCCCCTCTCGGTATTTTATTACGCTGACAGTAATATGAGATGTGTTTGCGGGGACCTAGATAGGTTGATGGAGGCAGGACACCAAAGCAGATCAATAGACGTATCTTTGAAAAGAGGTAGTAGCATTATGTTCCACCACCATTGTTGTTGTTGTCAATAGCAAGTCCGGTCCTCTACAATGCCCCGAGAGCGAGGGGGATGTTGTTCGGTCCGTATCATGGGTGAATGGTACCAGTACCAGAGCAATACGGGTATCGGGCGTATTGGAGTGTACTAACTTACTAGTGCCGCGGAAATAAGAATACACGCCCGAAAAGGATGAAAGTAGTTGCAGCCCGCCCGCCAGCCCGGCCCTGAGCAGTGGTAACTACAGCTACTATTAACCAGTCGCAGCAGCCGCAGCCGCCGCCGTCGAAGAATTGAGGGCGCAGATCACGTGTGCGCCGTCATCCAAGATCTCGCCGTCCCGTTTCCTCCTCCAGTTGCGGACCAAAGGGCTTCTTCCCATCCCATTACCTATTCTTCATTTCACCACCACCACCTCCGCCTCCCTCCCAGACTGTTTTCTTCGCCGCATATCGACGCAACCACCACAACCCCTCCCCACTCATACGCCTGGTGACCATCACCATTACTGGTTTTCGCTTTTCCCCGACCCCGTCACTACGGTTTCTGCTTCGACTTATTGGAATGCGTGACTACTAGACGGTCGTGGAACGTCTTGCTCGGCCCGCTTGAGCGAACCTCGACCGGCGTGATCTGCCAACCTCCCCCCTCTCCCCCTCCGTCGTCCTTCACCCTCGACGGTCGATCTTATCTCTACCGAAGTCAGTCCCTGAGCTGAAGAGCGTCAATATACACCCACCTTAAGTCGATTACGAGCCGCGGGCTGCTCGGGCTTTGGCCGACCTCCTCCTTCTCTCGCCCTTCTCTTCCCGCACTCCCATGTCGGATCGCGCCTCCTCGGCATCATTTCGAGTAGGACCTCCTTCACCGTCATCTCCCGCCGCTGAGTCTCTGAAAGAGACTCTACTTCCAACGATCTCCGATCAGATCCCTCAGACCCCGACATCACCTCCGTTGATGTCGGTAAGCGCTCATAACTATGCCACCCACTTCGTACCCTCGCAAACCTCACCGAGCCAGGCGACTTCACAACATACCAGTCTCTCATCCCCTCCTTCCTCTGCTCCGATGTCTACCCAACCCTCACAACAGCCGGTGGTAGGGGTCTCGGCAAACTCTTTCCCTACCCCCGCAAGCAGCGTGAGCGGGCATGTTCCGGGTACGACTTCGCTCGACGAGCCTGATGCTCAAACCAAGCCAATGGGCTCAGGGTCCTCAAACACAAGCGCATTTCCCGTTGGTACAGAGTCCGCGACCACGCACAGACGGACAGACCATGACCGGCAGCCCGGAGGCGATTCAGAGTCCGCAGTCCGCGATCATGCCGCGATGGGTGACGCCATGGATATTGACAAAGAGGCGCCGGGCTCTTCGCACGAAGGTTCGATGAGTCTTGAGTCGTTGCAGCAGGACTTCTCCTCGGCGTTCCATCTTTGCAAAAGCTGTAAGAGTCTCCCCCAGTTCAGTCCCTAGTATGGCTGTTGCCGCCACAGTTCATAATGCCATTTGCCCCTGCAATGCTTCTTTGTTGAGAGTTGAAATTTGTTAACACAAGTGGCTACCATGAATCTCACAGCCTACACTGCGACTGGTCCGGACCCATCACTGGACTTGATCTCTCTGTACGGACTAGGCCCCGTCGCAAAATCCGTCGCGAGAATGGATCCAGTGACAGGAGAAAAGATTAATCGGCTCCGGAAGTCTTACGAGGGCAAGCTAAAGGGGCTGGGCCTTGCGGGAAGGAATAAACCTGTGAAGCACGAGCCCGGCGCACCGGGGGGACTGTTGCAGATGACGATGTGGCCCGAAGAGGAATGGCAGAACCAGAAGGTGTTTGGCAAGGAGATGAAGGTGGCTGATATGGACTCTGCGTTGCATGCGCTCCAAATGAAGGCTATGAAAATGGAACCCGGAGCAGTACCAAATAGCGAACAGTGGGAAGATGTTCTGGGTCACGAAAAACCCTCGAAGCATGCTGGCGGCGGTAGCGATGCCAGCAAGAAAACCGTTGCACCTCTCAATGGAGCCCGAACGCAAGCGAGTGGGACCCCTGGGCCGGGCGGTTCAGAAACTCGACCCAGTCGGGGGCGCAAACGGCACTACGATGACAATAGCTTTGTGGGATACGGCGAAGGCTACGCAGATGACGACGATGACGGCGCATTCTACTCAAATAGCGAGGGCATGGGAAAGAAGAAACGGAAGAAGGTAGGGCATTCGGATGATGATGGTGTTTTGGGCTTCTGACATACTGATTGCTTTTTTTTCTCACTGCATTAAGGACCACGTTTCGAAGATATCTACCCCTCTGCCTGACCGCGGTGGAAGTTACGGGGTGGGTATGTTTGGGATCGGGGCCAGATAAGACGAGCAGCAGCAGCGAGCGGTACAGAAGCAAGTTTGTCGGGATGGCAGCAAAAAGCACAATTGCCCTGTTCGCTTTCTTTTCTTTTTCTCTGCTTCTCATGCATCGGTTCGAAATTCTTTTTTCAAAGACGAGGGATCGGAAAGGAGACGCTGACTGGGCCCGACATGCCAAATCCGATGTGTCTGACCGTCCCTCGAGACTATCTATCATTTCTCCGTACATTTTTGCATCACGGTGCTGGATATACCCGGCTTTAACAATGGGACGGCGTTGGAGGAGCCATTAATCTATCAATTGTGAAAATGGTTGTTTATCTACCTTGGCTTTCTTTTCTTCTCTGTTGCTATGCGCTTTCCTTTTTCTTACTTTTTTTTTCCTTTTTTACCTCTCAAATGGCCAGTGGCTCCCTATCCAAAGCTCTAATGACACCGTTGCACTCGCACTCGCACATGCACTTCGCACTCTTTGTCGTCGCATCAGTTGGATCGTTGGCCATCTCCGTTCGTGTGTTCTTTGGATCGTCTTTCTACACCATATTGGGGCTTTAAACCTTCTGAGCCGAAGAAATCGGTGGACAGCGAAAACAAGGCCCGCTTTGTATTTTCATCTTGCGTTATACTGTTCGAGAGGTGCCCTGCCCTCGCAACGGATTATCTATTGACTGGCCGTACAGGACGTGCGTTTTTTTTTTTTTTTTTCTTTTTTTTTCTCTTGCTCTTGCAGTCTGGTTGGGCATCAGCCATGAATGCCGTGATACATTATTACTACTAGATGGATAGGAACATGAATAGGGAAGGAATGAAATGGGATGATGCACATTTTCGATATTCGGGGGTTGCCTGATTGGAGTAGGTTGAAGTAGTGTAAACGGCATTTCAATTTGTTTGTATGCAAGATGTGCCTGCCATAAGCCGTGTATGCCTCTCAACCCGGACTTACATAGTAGTAGGTAGTAGTAAACAGTCTATCCCCTCCCCTCACCTCCCTCCCTCACTCAAGAAACTAAAGATTACTTGAACCAATACCCACACAACCCGCCCAAAGTCCGCTTCGCAACATCCTGATGACGATTCTCCTCCCAGACGGTGCCGCCCTCGCCGAACTGATTCGCCATATGGCCCAGGAAGAAATCCAGGTTCTCGCGGCACTGCGGGAACTCGTCGCGGAAGAAGTCGTACAGCTCCTGGACCTGCGGCTTCTCCGGCGCGTAGGTCACCCGCTCGGCGAACAGGTCCAGGTACCGCCGAGTGTGGGCCAGGTCCTCGGCGCAGTTGAGCTCCCAGCCGCGCTCCAGATGGCCCGGGATGAGCTTGGTCGGGTGGAGATGGGTGATGAGATCGAGGGTCTTGCGCCAGGCTTCGAGGAGGGCGGGGTTTTCGACTTCTTCGACCCTTTTTTTGTGAGTGGGGTTAGTATTAGTTGGACTGTATGGCTGGATCGTAGGGCGGTGAGGGAAGGTATTAGCAGCGGTAATTGCCAGGAAGCTGAAGGGAAGGGGGGTCCGGGGGTTCTCCCCCGGATACCTATAGTATGCCTGGAACTTCGGCGGCACTGCAGTGAAGCCAACCCTCCCACCCACCGGGGTAAGAAGCCTAGGCTCTCGGCAAGCTCTCTCGATCTCCCCGCGCCGCGCCCCTCCCCCGCACTACCAGCCCTGGGAACCAAGAAAAACGAAACAACTCACCAAACATGCGTACTCCGCCCATAAACCGTATCCCCACAAATCACCGTGCGCTCCCTCGGCAACCAAAACACCGTATGATCGATCGCATCGCCCTGCAACGGACCCAACAAGACGATCGGACTATTGGCGGGTTCGTCATCCCCCTCGTCTTCCAGCAGGAAGAAGCTGAATGGGAACGGCTCGGGCTTGCGCGGGGTCGCGGGCACGTTCTCGGCGCCCAGCACGGAGGGCCAGTAGGCGACCTTCTCGGCGTATTCGCGCTCAATGCCGGCCAGGACGTAGGGGGCGGCGTAGAACTTGGCGGCCGGGTAGGCGTCGAGGATGGGGTTGGCGGAGAAGAAGTGGTCTGGGTGGTGATGCGTGACGAAGATGGCTTTCAGGTCAGCATTGGGTGAGGTCGCGTGGATCCAGGCGATGACGGAGTGGGCGTCTGGGATCAGGAAGGGCGGGTCGATTAGGATCGCGGACTGGCTGTTTGCGCTCGTGATGAGCGTGGTGATGCTCGAGAGGCCTTTGATTGAGGAGATGTGGTGGTATGTTTTGAGCATTTTGGGCGGTTGTTGGTGGGTACGTATGGTGTTGTTGACGTGGAAGTGGAAGTAAGTTGGTTTGTGGTTTAGATGGTGTAGAAGGGAATGAATGGCGAAGGTGTATTGAGAATCGAGACAATTCCAAGTGCTTCAACTTCGACTCTTTTTAAAGTGTTTTCTTCTCTATTCGACTTATATCCGTAAAACCGACAGGACCACCCTAGTCATCAATTTGACTCCAATAATCCGTCAGCTTTCCTTCAGTTGCTCCTTGTGAATCCGTCAACCTGCAGCAGACTAAGTGGAATTTCTTCAGCTGCAGACTGGTTGAGATCTGATCGGGAAACACCCGCCCTGTCACATTGTGATTCGGGCCCTGTTTTCCCCCACTTATGACGGAGGAAACCATGGTAGTTGAGATCGTCACGTATACACTCGGACTTGGCATGGATTGCTCGCAGAGATAACCAGGGAACCTAAAATCGGATTGACGCAGATAAAGCCCGGCCGTGCCCATGCCCCTCCATGAGGACGACCCTCTCTCATCCGAGCGGTAAGTCATACAATGTCCCGGTATCACCCAAATCATCTCACAGCAGAATCGCTGCAGGATAAAGTGATTCTCATCACTGGCGAGTCTTTTATTCCAGTACCACTGAAGGATCGACCCATCCTCGCCAAGGCACACACTAACCCAATCCAAACCAGGAGGAGCGAATGGTATCGGCGCAAGTCTCGTCGAACTGATCTGTCAACACGGTGCCTATGCCTGCATCGGCGACGTCGCAGTTGCAGCCGGCGAGAAGCTCGTCCAGGACGTATGCGCCACGTCGTCGCCATCCCCTCCTTCCACACACCCCCGAGCGATATTCCAGAAGACCGACGTGACCAACTACCAGTCCATTCTTGATCTCTTCGACATCGCATACAAGACATACGGCCATATCGACCACGTGGTCGCTGCGGCCGGAATTTTGGAAGTTGGGAACTGGTTCGACCCCGCCCTAACATTGGAGACTGTACGAGAGGTGAGACAGACACAGAAGAGTCTATCCGCACTTCCTCAATCAGGCTTTACTGACGGGGAGACGCTCAGTCCCCTCCAACCGCCGTCCTCGAGGTCAACCTCCTGGGTAATCTCTACGTGGCTCGGATCGCCGCCGTGTATCTGCGCCAGAACCGAGCCCCGCACGCCGACCGCTCGCTCACGCTCATTTCCTCAGTCGCAGGCTTCAAGGAGACGCCCGGTGTACCCGTCTACCAGGCGACCAAGCATGGGATCCTGGGTCTGATGCGCTCCCTGCGGATGGATCTCCCCGCGCCGGCGCATCAGCTGCGCGTCAATGCGGTCTGTCCGTGGATGACGGAGACGAGGATGGTGGAGAAGCTGCGGGAGGGCTGGAAGCAGGCCCGGCTGCCCATAAACTCGCCGCTGGACGTGGCGGTCATCGTCGCTGGGTTAGTGGTCGATGCGACACTAAGTGGAAAGTCCATGTACGTCGAAGGTGGACGCGCGTGGGAAATTGAAGACAACCTCGATCGCCTGGAGCCGGAGTGGCTGGGCGAGGAGCCATCGCGATCGCTGGCGAAGGGACAGGAGTTCCTGGCGGAGGGCAGCAAGTTGTAAGAACTTGGTATACGAATTAAACAGCAATCATGTACAGATTGTAATATCTAGAAACACAGATTCTAGGAAGAGTTGGACAGTTATAATTGAAACCCGCGCCTCCCCGGCCCTCAGTGAAAATAGATCGTTATCGATAACGAAGTATCACTGTACGAAGCCCGTGTGGGTTATCGATAGCAGATAACACAAGCCCGAGATCGGCCCAATCCCGTCCGCGCGGCATTTGATTATCAGCTATCTAGTATGCACTAGATATGCACCCCTCCTCTGTCCCGCCTCCTCCCCAACCACAAGTAAACTCGAAGTTCCATACAACTGGCACTTTCTTCCAACCTCAATTGACCACGATTGACCCATCATCAATCAACCACTCACCCCCTCATTCAGCCCTCAACATCCAGTCTCAATCCTCCTCCACCCAACCCAAAAGAACTTACCCTCACCAACCTACTCCCTCAAAAAAGAAAAACCAAAAGACAACCGCCCAAAATGTCACCCCTGGATCAAGCCCTCCACCAAATCGACACCCTCCACAGCACCGACCCAACCAAAACCCCAACAGGAACACCATACGAACTGCACTACGCCCAGAGAATGACCGCCTGGCTGCACAAACACACGCCCGACCCCTCGCCGACCCTCCAACTCGCCATCCGTGCGCAACACCTAAAACGCTGGGAAGTGCCACGGGCAACCTACCCAGAGGGGAAAGCGGGGTACTACGCGTGGCGGACGGGGCTGGCGCGGCGGCAGGCGGAGATAGCGGAGGGGGTGTGCGTGGGGTGCGGGATGAGCGAGGCTCACGCACAGCGCGTGGGCGCGTTGATCCGGAAGGAAGGATTGCGGGGTGGGGAGGATGTCGAGGCGCAGATCCTGGAGGATGTGGCTTGTTTGGTGTTTTTGGAGGAGCAGCTGGAGGGGTTTGAGGTTGGTGTTGAGGAGGGGAAGGTGGTTGCTATTTTGCGGAAGACGTGGGGGAAGATGTCTGCGCGGGGCAGGGAGTTGGCGTTATCTGAGGTGGATTTGGGGGTTAGAGGACGGGAGTTGGTTCGGTTGGCTTTGGGGGAGTCTTAGATTTATTCTTATTGAAAAAATTGGGTGGTGGTATATTTATGGTTCTTTGTTATGGGTTGATTCAAAGATCTGAGTCCTTATTAAGAATAAACGCCCGTCTTTATCCGTGGTATCTATATGGTACATGTCATTATGGCGTGGGTGAACTTTTCGCAGTGGAAAGCGAGGCGCAAATATCGCAGCAGAGCAAAGAAAGCAAGAACCTGTGTCCGGGGTTCGTCTGGTTAAGCATCCCCCGCGTCGATCAGTCGCACCAGCGCGATCGCTGCGCCCGCCGCCACGCCACCCACGAACACCATTTGCACTCCGCCCTTGAGTCCGGCCATGATGTTGTCGCGTCCGGTCCAGCCGCGCACGACACACGTCTTGATATACCCAAAGGCCAGGAGCGTGACGGCCATGACTCCGATGCTCATGTACAGGGCGATGATGACTTGGTTGACGAAGAAGTACGGGATCAGCGGAATGAAGCCACCGACGAAGTAGCCCAGCGCAAGCGTGACGGCGGAGGTCCAGGCCTGGTTGCAGTCGGGCTGCGACTCTTTGTGGTGGAAGCTGATGAGGAATTCCTGGAGACGTTCCTCCGAGGCGTGCAGCGAGTTGCTGATCTCGGAGATCACTTCGGCGGGGAGACGGTAGGCGGAGAAGATGGAGTGGACGATCGCGGTGGTTTCGGCGGGCGAGGAGTCGATCAGCTCCTTGGTTTCGCGGACAGTGGCTTCGTATGACTCGCTGTGACATTGTTAGTATGCGTATGACGGTGACTGATGGAGGACATGGCGCAGGACTTACGCTTCACTCTTCGCTCCGACGTAGCCTCCCAGGCCCATGGAGATGGCACCAGCAGTCAACTCGGCCAATCCTCCCAGCACGACCACCTTAGTGTTTCCGAGGGCAGAGAGACCGGCGCTCAGCGCAAACGGCACCGTCAATCCATCCGACAGGCCCAGAATGGCATCGGAGATGATACGAGGGTTGATGCGTGACCGCGTGCTTGTGCTTGTGCTTGTGCTGTCGACATCGGAGATAGGGGAGGATGGGCGGAATGTGTCGTAGGAGCGCTGCGCTTCCAGGTCGCGGTTTTCATAGATACTATCGGTCTCAGGGTTGGACAATAGCGGCTTGCCTGAAAGTATGTATGTTAGTTTTTAGGGTTGATGCTAAATTTAGGATCGAGGCACGAACCGAAAGGATTGGCAGCTGCTTTCTGTTGAGTTCCGGGAAAGAGTTTTTGTTTGATGAAGAGAAGAGCCATTATGAAGACGGTGTTTGTGATCGGGAGATTGTTTGTATAGAAGGATTGCAGGGAGGTTGATGGCCTGAGGCCTGACGTCAGGAGGACCGGCGGAAAGGCGAGACCGAATAAGAATCTAGACCTTCTCTGCAATTCCGGTAAGGCTGGAGTAAAACAGCTGAAGTGAGGAGGTTGAGGGCGTCACGGAATTATTCTCGAAGGTTTTTTCGCTTGATCTTCTCTCTCTAGAAGGACTTACTCGTCTGAGAAGGAGTCCAACATTATTTATAAGGACCCCCTCTGAAAGCTCATGGAAAACAATTTTTCTCCTTTGCGTGCGAAGGCCCTTCCAGGCTGCCTCACTGTCCGCCAATGAGGCGGTGGGTAATGGTCAGCGGTTGAAGATCATCCGCGGACAGCGCTCAATTTCCATCGGTGTTAAGCCAATACCCCGAGACTGATTGGTGAAAGACCACTTATGATGACATTTACCGCTCTGCTGAGTGGTCAGTGCCAGCTGCTGCTGGAGACACAATCGGTCGGACTTACAGATGCTTCGACGAATTTCCCGAGAGGGGGTTAAGCACCATACACCGAACACACGGAGGAGCTCGAGGTTTCCGCATCCGACACGGCTCGCCGCCTCACTATGCTTCTTCCTGAGCGGGGTTCGTGTCATGTTGGTTGGCGTCATGGCCGCGTTACAGAGGACTTGCCCGACTCAGCCTTCATCTCGTCTTTCACCCAAACACCATGTAGATCAGCTCAAGCTTCAGTGAACATGACCGCTTCGTCAACAGCTTCCCTGTCACTATTTACATCGCGATTCAGGGTTGCGTCATCATAGCACAGCCGCAGCACAAGGCACCAGTGCATACTACGTTGTGAACTCGCAGGGGTCACCATATCGCAACTGCGCCCTCGACAACGGCCCAAATTTGGGATCTACATTCGGCGCAGGCTGCCCGTTTGGGGTTTTCGCATGCCCACTCTATTCCGTGAGAACTATGCGGATATTGGCCGGTGCCCGGAGACAGGCCGTAAACCCGCCCCAGAAGCCCCAATTAGCTACTGGAGACACGCTAGAACCGAAGCAAGGAATCAACCATCGTGTTTCTCTTTTACTCTTTCTCGTGCAGCATGGAGCACTGACTTTGCCAAGGGGTTTTAGTTTGGTATTCGAAGGAGCATATCCACTTGAACATCGCCGGGCTACGAGTCAAGAATGGGGCCTCGAATACGTAGCCAGGATTTTAGCTTAAGTCTTGGCTAGACGGTCTCTTCTGCTCTGGAAGAATCCTTCTATGCTAGACTAGACTTTAAGTCGGAGAATCTTCTGGACTTGGCATGGGTACTACCATGGGAACACGAGGCCACTATCGATTCCTTTCACGGTTGAGTGACTTATACCTCTATCGCAGCCTTTCTTGTTGATCTCACCGGACAAGAAGCTACGTTGTGTGGGGGAAAAGTTGGGTATGAGATTGATTGTTTGAGATCGCGAGACATACCATGCTGCGCTTCTCCAGATCTATCGTTCAGTCTCTCACCGAAGTGGACGACCGGTGCAACACACATGCGGCCATTCGCGAAATCGAGAACGGAGGTAATTCGGGCAGAGGCAGACAACGAAGCAGCCTGAAGCAGTCTACAACGCCATGGAAACATCGACCCCGCGCTACCTCGTAGACGTGATCTACAGAGCCTATTGCCTGTCCGCATACCACCCTGTCCGACCACGCAAAACAACCTCACAAAGCATTTATCACGCCCAGGACTGCAGCAACGCCCACAACCCCAGGTACAGGCCTGGTCGCCGCGGGTGCAGGCGCACCACCACGGGACGTCGCATGACACATCCCAGCGCCAACATGCGCCTTTGAGAAGAAGTGCTTGGCATCCGCAGGCAACTCGGTATACCACTCAGAGCGAAGACCCTCGCGAATCTCACTGATGAGGGATACCCGGGCCGTCGGATTGGCTAGCTGGGAGAGATACGAGGTTGGGAGGGCGGTCATGAGCACGGACTCGATGGACGTCGGAATGTGTATCTCGGGGATGGTGATGGTTTGCGTGGCTCTGTAGGTCGGGTTGGTATGTTCTCAGTCAACGGAGGATGTACGGTAGACACAACGTACAAGTTATGTCTGGGGTAGAGGGAACCTGGTTCTGGCGAAACATAGTCGCTGTTATCTGGTGTGGCGGTCGCTAACGTTCGTAGCGAGAGGGAGAGAAGAACAAGTCTAATATGGATATGCATGGGGTTCCGTAGAGGTACCTGTGGAGGTACGATTCTATGGCAGTGGTGTATTTACTAACTAGCAGATAATGGCGGTTGACATAGCTTAGATGTCATTCAGGCAGAGTAATATGATATGTAGTCCAGATATATCAATCCCAACGAGTACGTTTACGCAAAAACTCCGAGTAGAGAGCATATCTGTATGCAGGTTGCCGGCGCTCGAGTCACCTCTCGAGGAGATTGTCTTGCATGGGAATGTCGGTTTCCTATCAGTCACTCTAAATAGCAAAGCATCTGGCACCCAAGAGGCGGGGAACGATCTATGTTTGTGGAGTATACACTTTTGGAACACCATATAATGCTAAGAGTCAAATGCGCCGTCATAAAATATTAACTCCAGAATCTGCTGATCTCGTAGTCCGTGGCAGTCAGTAGGAGCAAGTTTCAAGAATATATAATTCAATATGAACTTCATGCGGCACTTAAACACTCCATGTAACAATCTCTTGCACAATTGCACACACTGAACCCAGCAAAGGAAAGTTGACGGAAGACTAAAGCTGGATGATGGTCGGGCAGAGGGGCTAGACCTATACTAGGTAGACCCGTCCCACCACAGAGGAGTATCTATTCTCCTTTCTGCTTCCTGCTGTACCCTGAAGGTCCCATCAGTTAGTTCCCCTCGTTACCAGGCCGCCTGCGGATGCCATTGAACTCGGTTCTCCTAACCTGATGGCCACGGTGCTGATGCGACATGCAACGATGGTATCCATAGCGAACCGCGTCAAAACTCCTGCTACCTGCGACATGCGCAGCAGACCGAGCTGAAGCGAGTCGAATTAATTCTCTCCACCAACAATGACTCCACGCGAGCAACAAACATCGACACCACATTTACCCCCAAACTCTCATCCGAATATCTCTCGACTAAGCCCATACCACTTACCCAGAAACAGTAGCAGCAAACGAATCCACAGAAAGAGCCCCTCAACCCTGAGCTCGTCCACCCCGCCCGCACCCATGCCATCGATTCTGACGTTCCGCACCGCCCTGGCCAACCAACCAACCAGAGACCTCAATATTATCCGTTCTTCCCCTATAACTCATTGTAATCTTTACCTACTGCCTTCGGGCATTTGGTCAATTTGAAACGATACAGAGAAGATTAGCATGGCCCCTGCACTAAGGATGACACGCTCAATCAAAGAGAAGCTACCAGTTTTTTTTTGTAACTTTCCCAGACCTCATTTGGAGGTAGGGTGTTTTGCTGCGTGCATCTGAGCGAAAGGAAACCCAAGGGTTCGAATCAGGGGGTTCGCTCATCTTGACGTCGTCTTTTCTGGGCGCGATCGCGCTGCACTCACTCTACGCCAGCGGGCGTCATCGGAGATCTGTCTACGCTAATCTACTCTGGACTGCGTTGGGAAAACAGCAAGGATGGAGAAGAGATTTATTAAACACCGTGTAGAGGATAGGTCACATGTAGATATACAACATATCTAATCACCGAGGTATCAAACACAACAAGTAAAGCACGTATTCAGGCAGTTTTAGATCAAGCACCTCCCTCGCGCTTCGCGTATTCCTCCTCCATTCTCTCTTCGTATAGGCGATCGGCCTCTTCCTTGCTCAGTGGCTTATCGGCTTCGGAGCGCGACGCATCGGTGTTTAATGAGGACGAGGAGCTTTGGCTTGTCGTCGTGGTGGTGTTGGGGTTCCCGGTGGCGGAAGAGGAGGACTGCGTGGCCTGGTCGCTGGTGGAGGGGATCGGGATAGGCATTTTGGATGTGTTTGCGTGTTCGCTCGCGTGTTAAAATAACCGGATATGTGATGGAATGAGGTTAGAATATGGTAGAGAAAATAGATGATTCAAGCAGTAGTCTTTTCGTCGGGAGGCGGTTGTGGCAGGACTGTTGTGATTATTATATCCTCGCGGCGGCGGGGTGGCGATTAACTTCAACGTCATAGGAGCCCACGGGGGAGATCTAGCTAAATTGAGCCCAGCGACCAAAGAGCTGTCTTTCCAAGGGGCAAAATGCGAGCCGAGCACCATGAAACCCGAGCGAGCTACATCCTGGTTGTCCGAAGCTCAGCTCTCTGCTATTATGCTTTATTTGCTACTAGATGACAAAGCTACAATCTCTTCTCCAACCTCGAGCCACTGGCCCAAGAACTGATGAAAAGAAAAGTGTTCTCTGTAAGAGAAGAGTGCCAAAGAATACGCCTGTCAATGACCCGAAGGCCGTTGAACAGACTGTTCCGCCGCGCTGTGCAATGCAGGGACCAATCTGTGGTGAACCGCCTTCTTGATCGCAGTCACCCAAACAAGGTAAGTATGAAGAAAAGAAAGAAGAAAAAAGTTAAAAGAGGTGCGGGCGTACGCTGCTTATATACCCTGCCTTGTGGGGACACAGCACGCGCTAAGAGTAAGCGAGATTATGGGACTCGGTATGATTGGCTCACACTCATAGTCATGTGACTACATGCTTCGGCCTTGTTTATGTGGGACTTGACTCCCTAGCTACTCGTATAAAGAAGGGATGGACTTGCGAGGGAGGAATTATGCTATTAGTAGGAGGATATGCGAAAATGTAGCGGACGAATATTTAATATATGTACTGATAGTAGCATGTCTACCGTTTCTCAAGCAGTCTTGAATCACTTCGACTGTTCTATAAGGCCATCCCCGACAGCATCGTCATATTATATGCAGTACCTCAAGCGATCATAACACATAGCTACGGCATGAGTCTTATGCATGACCACCGACACATCCAGGTACGTGCCTATTCTCCATCAACCATGAATGCCGTCCTTTCCATCACTCCGCACTAAGCGCAAGGCACGCATCAACGGCCAAGCCAACGCTACACGAAATGTCAGCTCGAGAACCGCATAATCAAGTCAGACATATAGCTTACCGTCCCTCCTTCATCTTGACGACATCATCGATCACATCACGATCAAGATTGGGGAACATGTTCGACAATGTCTCCACCACATTGTTGTGCTCAGCACGCTGGATCCTACGGGCTTCCGCATCCTCAGCGCTAGCCTGGCGAGCGGCAGCATCCTGAGAATCTAGTGCTCTGCTCAACTGCGGCGGGATAACATTGCGTGGCCTCTCAACTGACCGCCGTCCCTCACTACTGTTACGAGGCGGTTGGTATACATTCGGTGTAAGTCGCGCGGGTGACCCAGACCGCGCAGGTCGTTCCTGGGGAGATTCCGGCTCGTCGGAGAAGAGTCTACCGATGGTAGACAGTGGTTTCTGAATAGTGCGCAGCAGCCCAGCCACTGGCGCTTGGTCTTCCTCACTGGATTGGGGGGTGTCTCTCCGTCCAGGTGGGCGTGGGGCATCCACGGAGGCCCGTGGCGCTGATGCTGCCTGTGAGCTCTCGGCTAAACGCTCCAAGGATCTGCGCTCCGTGGACTTGCGTTCCATTGACTCGGATTCGCGATTTTGCTGAGCAATGGCCGAGACAGCAGCTTCGACGTTCCGCTCAAAGTCTTCATCACTCACTGTGAGACTTGTGCGGTCAAGAGTCTCGATAAACTGAATAGCTCCGGACTATATAACAAGTCAGAATGGTGACTGCAGCGCAGAAGAGTAAGGCAAGGTTGGCTAACCAAAGATGATAGATAGTATCCGGCTTCCCCTCCAAGCTTCTCTTGATTACGAAAGCGTAAAATGTATTGGATGTTAGATACCAGATGTGCAGGGTTGGCCTGCAATACCACATAGATTAGAAGTGGCACAAATGAATCCGCTGAAGTATCCGATCTTTTCGAGTTTCTCAACAGACCTGAGGTGACAATCAATATCCTCTATTCCCAATCCATGGAGACTGTTGACCTACCGAATATTACTTTGCAGCAGTTGAGAATGCAAATGACCTTATCGCGAGGCGCCCGGTAGCCGTTGATTTTTAAGAGTTCTGCAGCTTGTTAGTAATCCCCACAGAAGAGCAATCAAAGTGCACCAACCTTGCTGGGCCAAGTTCAAGAAGCGCCGACCATGTGCGCTCACGGGTGCTATGTCCAGGTGTGCTTCTCTCACCCAACTATAAATGCGCATCTTCTGGGCTAGAACTTCATCCCGCTCGATATCCTCTTGGTGTTGTCCTCGCCTCCACGGTCCATGCAGCCTTTCCAGTTCCCTCCGCTTGCTTCTACTTGCGCTTCTGGGGATGGTAGGCGGGCCGGGTATAGCAGGAGAGAATGTTTGAGAGTACAGTCGGTTCATAACCAGCTTCTCCATACCCTCTTTTGCGTTATCAAACTCACTGTCAGACACACCGCGCCAGACCTCACACTGAGCCATTTTGTTGGTGATGAAGATCAGGAAATCACTAATGATCTTTACCTGCTCGTGAACCATCCATTGCCTCTTGCCAAACTCATTAAGGAAAGAACGTAAGAACTTGGCTACCGGGTCTGCTGTACGATGCCGTAATTGTTCCAGGAAGCGATGGAAATCGAATGGCTGGTCATATTCAGGTTCAGGGGGTGGAGGAATGGTTGAGGTCGACGATCGTCGGCTCAACCTTGCTTCCTCCGTGATGGAACTCTCCCGCAGGGACTTGATGGACTGTTTCTCAGGCGACATGGTGGAGGTCCCTGGCAGCGAGATTTCTTCTGGACTCGCCTTGCTATGTTCAAGGCTCGACTGACGCGACGGGAAGTGACCCTGCCCACCGAAGAATTGTTCCGCCAGCTCCAGTCGAGGAGACATGATTAGCTCCTCCCCACCGGCATGCGTCGTATCCTGGAACTGGTCGATGATACTCTGAATTTCTGATTGAGAATCGCTGTCCTGACCCCCACCACCTCCCTCGGCTGCGTCTTTCTTTGCACTCTTTTCAGCATCCCCGGGAACCTCAGGCAATTCCTTATCGGTCTTCTCGGAGAAGGCAGTTGTAGGAGAGCGGGTGGGGCCGGCAGATTGGGTCTTCAAGGTGAAGTAGGATTCGTCTTTAGCGGGAGGCGTAGGAGGTATGTCGGTACCAGGGGTTGCGATAGGTTCGGGGGTCTTGGTGGTTACGATCGAAAGCCCCTGTATTTTCTCCGGAAGCGACTGCGGGTTCGCGGCCGGCGTAGAAGGCGGATGCGGGGAGTGCGTAGCGGCGCTCTGCGCTTCAGATTGCGACTCTTGGTTCATCTCGGCTGATTGTGGCTTTTCAGATAGGGAGGAACTATCATTCTGGCCTTCCGCCGTGGATTCGGGGCCGGTAGCAGTCACTTGAGCGTCACTGTTACTTCCCTCATCGAGGATGGGCTGTTTTTGCTCCCCTTGATTAGGGGAAGCCGGGGAATCTGAAGGATCTGTGGCAGACATAAGCTAGCCGCATGCACGTCGACGTCAAACAAGAGAATTAGAGAGAGCCCGTTAGGTAGCAACACGGATCATCCTGGAGTGGGGGCATTCGGGGACGGAGTGAGTGTCGGAGCTATCGCGCTGCAACTGACACCAGCCTCAGGCGCGGAAGCAGATCGAGAAGGAATTCCAGACTCAGGTCCAATCAGCCTCCCTCAAGGTTCACAGGATCAAATATTCGAGTTCGCAACGCAAGCGCCCGGTATGAGGGGAAGTTGAGCTTCAACAGCGCGGAGGATGTCAGCCCGCAATCAGCGGCGGGGGATCATCATTACCCCGACGTCCGCCGCGTTCTCTTGCTGTGGTTTCTGCCGGGTTGTCAATAACCATTCCCCCGCCGGCGATTTGTCCTCGTGGCCTGTGTCTTACCATGTGTGGTATCTTTTTCTCGCTCGCAGCCTCAAATTCCGTGCTTCCAAATGAGGAGACTTGCGCGCTGCTACGGGGCCGAGGCCCGGACAACTATCATGCTCACACTATCCAACGGAAGGTGATCGACACGCATTTAACTAGCGGAGCTTCCGCAACTATCTTCCTTAGCTTCGTCTCTACTCTTTTGTCGATGAGAGGCGATCATGTGGTTCCTCAGCCCCTGGTAGATGCCACTACTGGATCTGTGCTCTGCTTTAATGGTGACGCTTGGAAGATCGACGGTGAACCAATTGATGGCAACGATGCTGAGCTTATCTTTAGCCTCTTATTGAAAGCAGTGGACAGGCCAACTGCAGACTCACCTGAACAGCAGGACTCTACAGGTGCCACTCAAAGGGTTGTGGATGTTGTCAGTAGCATATCCGGTCCTTTCGCCTTCGTGTTCTATGATGCCATCAACTCGAGGATATTCTTCACCAGGGACTGCCTGGGCCGACGCTCTTTGCTGCAGGGTGTTGATGATAAGGGGAACTTCAAGATCTGCAGTCTGTGTGACAGCACATCTGCCAACCATTTCAGTGAGGTTGAGACAGATGGAATATACATGATCGATCTCGAGCATGCTTTTGATACCCCAGCTAGCGGCAGTGCCGCTAGTTTTGCTATAGACAGCATACACACCCTGCCCTGGGATCAGGACCAATCTCATCTCCGCCCAGTAAGTGCTCCCTTGGGCTCCCTGTAAAGACCGGAAACACTAACGAAGATCAAGAGAAACCCCATTCCTTCAATGAATAGATCTCTCCCTGATGGTTCGAGTGCCCCATCACTGACTACCGAAACGCCAGTCATCTCAGCCCTGGAGCAGAAGCTACACCAATCCCTTGCCCTACGGATTCAGAACGTGCGAGAACCTCCGACCTCGCCAACAGGTAGCCGAGTCAAAGTTGCCGTGTTATTCTCGGGAGGCCTCGACTGCTCCTTACTCGCCAGACTATCCCACGAAATTCTCCCTGAAGACGAAACAATTGACCTACTTAACGTCGCATTCGAAAACCCCCGCGTTGCCGCTGCAGCCGCCAAACAAGGCGGAGCTGTGGGCTCCGTATACGAAAGCTGCCCCGATCGAATGACAGGTCGGTCAGCATTCGCGGAGCTCCAGAAGGTCTGTCCTAGCCGAAATTGGCGGTTTGTCGCCATCAACATCCCCTACACTGAGACTCTCGCGCACCGAGACACCGTGAAACGGCTGATGAGGCCGCACAACACGGAGATGGATCTGTCCATCGCATGTGCATTGTACTTTGCCTCTCGGGGACAAGGTCAAGCGTACGATAGCCACCCGCAAGAAGGCTCCCATGAACCGACCCCGTACACCACGTCCGCCCGCGTCCTCCTTTCCGGCTTGGGGGCAGACGAGCTCTTCGCAGGCTACTCAAGACACGGGGTCGCATTCTCGCGTGACGGCTTCGCAGGCCTCATCGAGGAGATCAACCTCGATGTCAGCCGTCTAGGGAAACGCAACCTGGGACGTGACAACCGAGTCATCGCACACTGGGGTCGCGAAGCGCGCTTCCCGTTCCTGGACGAGGACTTCGTGTCCTGGGTCGTGCAATTACCCGTCTGGGAGAAATGTGGATTCGGAACCACCGCCACTGAACTCCCCTCAGAAGCGGGAATCGACTCGGAGAAGAAAGCGCTGCGCCTGGTCGCTCTCCGCCTAGGCATGACCAGCGTTGCCCGTGAGAAGAAACGCGCCATCCAGTTCGGATCCCGAACCGCCAAGATGGAAAAGGGTAGAGTGAAAGGCACCGACGCGCTCAGCTGAATGAACAATCTTCCTCATGCCACTCTCCCCTTCCCTTCCCCTTCCTTGGCCTAGCCCAGACAATAGACAACAGCACTACCCTTTAACCCCGTGTCCCCATCAACCTTATACCCTCAAGTATCCCCTCCCCGTGATCAGCAAAAAGACCAGCAATGATGACACAACCAAGAATCAGATACTTCCGAGACCAAGCTCCACCTAGCTAGTCCTACCTCCTCATCCAAGCCAACCTCATTTTTCAAACCTTCCCACCTATCTCAAATCCTCCAACAACGAGTCACCATTCATACATACCCCCTTTATCCACACCCATAAACACATGTCACTCATCCCCAACAGCATGGGACTGCAACCGCCCACTTTTTCCTTAAACCATGTCCAGGGATATCATCTCTGCACCACTCGGAGCGGGATGACTATAACCGGGACTTGGCAGGGGATTTAGGAGGGATAGGTACTTCCCAATTGCGTTACGTTGGAAATATCTTATTTAGGTTGATTTACCGTTGTGTATATTCGACCATGACTGTGTTTGGATAATGTGGGGTATGATGTGGGATTCGTTTGGATTTGTGGAATGTGTTTTGGAGGGGAGAGAAAAGTGGTTGGGTGGATGGAGGTGGGGAATGGGGAGGTTTTGTGTTGATGAGGTGTGTTAAAGGCAAGTCTGAGCTGTGTCTATTTCCTTGACGATAGGAGTGGTTGTAGACTAGTATAGGTACGGTCGGGAGAGGAAGCAGGAGGAAGCGACCTGAACCCTGAAAATGGGGGACGGGAAAAGAAGATCTCGTCGGGATGTGGCTTCGTAGGCACCACCATAGACCAGTACTTCTATAAGGCAGGTTGGGCAACAGAGGTTGACCACGCGAGACAATACTATGAGCATCATAACGCTGCGACCCATCCGAGCGGAGTCCCTAACCTCATGAAAGACACAAGCTTTAGCACTATGAATATGAATAGAGTTACTCTAAATCTACTGGGAGGTAATCACTAAGAGACGGACAGCTATCCAAAGAATGAAAATGTGTGGATTTGAGCGAAGCGACTCGCGTGGCAATTGACGACCACACGGAGACGACTTCAACATGCTATGAACATGACAATGCAGATAGTGTCTCCTTCGAGGCATCAAACCGGCGATGAGGTTGACCAGATTTGATCCAGGATAATTTGAGACAGATAAGGCAATGAGATGAACAACATGAAAAGAGGTTAATGCACGATAGCATTCGAGAGGAGCGAGAAAAACAATTCCGTGACCGGTCACAATCTGATACAAAGAGTCAGGCCTATGAGAAGACAACAAACAAGCTGATGGAAAATAATAATAAAAAGAATATTAGTGGCCACGAGTCAATCCGTACATGTAGGAGACATCAGAACCGGCCGTTTTAAGAAACGACATAGCCGAAATAAAGAACAAAGAAACTCACGTCGAATCAAAGTGAGTAAGCGAAACACAGAGGATAGGACCAGTATAACGTAGTCCACCCAGGAAGAAGTACAACACAAGGTCTGGCGGTGCAAAGACAAGCACGGTGACCGATCATGATCAAATAACAGGTGTAGAACTTTTATCCCGTCGACAGCAGATGGGACAATCGATTGCCTCATGCGGAAGATGATGCTATCGACGGGGGATTGACGAGAGGCTCGACGCCCCCGCCCACAGGACCCAAATAAACGACAAATGCAAAGCACAGCGCAAGACAAGACATCAAATCCCATTGATCCGGGTACAGCAAAACGAAAGAAAATGCCATGAACTTTTTATTCTTGAGCGCCCAGTGTGCGGGCCTTGGTCTTCCAATACTGCTCACGTTCCTGAGCCTCCAGAAGCTCCTCTTCGAGCTCGGCGATGCGAGACTCCAAATCCTTCACGTGCTCAAGCTTGCGTTCTCGTGATTTGCGAGCCGCCATAGTGTTGCGCGCCCGCTTGTAAGCATGAGGGTCTGCCGGGTCGTATTCGACAGGCTTCAGGGGCTTCTTCTGACGTTTGCTGACACCAGTAGAAGTGGAGGGTTTCCGCTTCGGCTGCTTGCGGGGAGTGGAAGGCGTCGCACAGCTGTCTGGAGAAAGGCTGCGCTTGGTTGAAGGAGTGGGGCTAATAGCCTGCTCAGGCTGAGTAACCGGCAAGGCAGGTGTTGTCTCGACACTTTCGACAGTGCTCTCAATCATGTTCGTGATAGTGTTCTCGACAGTAGTAGTAGGCATAGGCGGGACCTTCTCAACTGAGTCGATGTCCTGGAACATCTGGGACATGTCGACGGACTGTTCGAGGCTACCCATCTCCTGCGAGAGGGGAAACAACGCCTCCCAATCGTCATCAAAGTTCGTGAGCTGAGCGATCTCCACGTTCGGAGTGAACATGGCGCCAGGCGTATTCAAAGGAGGAGTGCTCAGGTCGGTGAAAGTGGAGGATGGGGGAGCCGAGGCATCAAGGAAGAGATCCTGGGGTGAGATAGTGGCCTCAGGAGCAGCCCCGACTCCCTGGCCGTAGCCCTTTTCAGAGAGCAGCTGGGAGAACATGCTGGGATCCATGCCGCCAGCGTTGAAATCGAAAAGTTCGGGGAAGTCTGCAACACGGATGTTAGCGAACCTGACACAATTGATCACGCTGTTCGCTTTCCACTGACCTTGGGGAATGCCGGAGGTAGACATGTTGCGGCGGTGGTTTTGTTTGTTCAGGTAGTTCTGATAATGTTTTGAGTAGTGTGCGTGCTGTTTCTTAAGGAGATAATTGTGAAGTTTTGCGGAGGAAGCGTTGTCGTTGAAGAGAGGAACTGGCGGACGATGGGAGTGGGATAAATGCGAAGTAGCAGGAGCTGCGTGGGTACGCAAAGTGTGCTTCGGCGCCGAAGGATGAGACCAAGAAGACGTAGTGGACAGAGGATACCCGGAAGAGTAGGCCGCTATTCTGGCAGATGGCACCTGACTCGGCAAAGCTTGATGTACAGCTGAGGAATGTCGTCGAGCGCGTGGTAGCCCAGGGGTGACCAGAGGGTTTGGATAGGCTGAAATCTTAAGGGTAGAATCCCGTGGTGCTGGGGGATGCGAGTCTCTGGTTCGAGGCTGCTGCGAGTCTGGAAAGAGGACAAAGTCTTCCGGTAGGGAGCAGAGTTTGTTGTTGTTGTTGTTGTTGTTGCTGCTGTTGTTGTTGTTGTTCGGAACTGAAGCCAGTGGCTGTTGAGACGGGGGCGTGGGGAGCCATGTTTGCTGAAAGTTATCCGTGTTGAACGACGTGACGTCGAACGGGGTAATCGTGCGAGAGGAAGAACTTGAGCTACGCGATGCGCTGCAGAAGTTCAGAGGTCCTGGGACAGGAAACTCTGAAGGGGGAAGTGACGAGGGAGAAAAAATTGACGAGGTCCTAGAAGGATCTATGATGTCTGTCTCGGTTGAGAAAGACGAGGCTGTCCGTGAACAGGCGTTTACAAAGCCATTTTGGCGAATTGAGTCAGAGAAAGTCGCGTTGTATGGTTGCTGTATGGTGACAGGAGAAGATATGAAACTCTATGTATAGAGTGGTGATAATGGCTATGGTGTTGTGGTGTTGATGGTCCTGGAAAAATCCAAATAAGATGTCAAAAGAAAAGAGAAGAGGGAGGGAGAAGAGAAGCGCCAGGCATCGAAGGGGAACCAGGCACTTCTTAAACCGAGTCGCAGTGCATGGGAACCAATCAGCGTGACCTTGTGCCCCACCTGTAGTTCTAGCCTGTTGAGGATAAGTGCACTTTTGCCGCGGTCAGCTGGTGTGAGTCATAGGGCCTTTGGCTGATTTGATTGGTGGTGGGATTCATTGCCGGTGGGGCCGGTCGGAGCCCCAGGCATTCCCGTGCCTGGAGCAGGCAGCCTGGAGTACAGCCTGCAACTCCGTCCTCCAGCAGTGCAGTGACGGTGGTGCATTTACTAAGGTACCTAGTAGACTAAACTAGTACGCTGGTGCATAATGTCACTGGCCAGTATTCCCCCCTCTTCACCTCCACCGCCAGAATGAAAAGCCATCCCGGAGTTCAGGCTGGTCAGTGATGAAACCGGTTCATCCACCGGCTCCATTGGCCAACCAGCGGTCTAGTTTCACACTCCCCTTCCTCGTCTGGTCGGGGTCTGCATTGGGAGCAGCACACCCGGGCTGTTCTTTGGGGGGCTGAGCAATGAGCCTCATGTCTCCCTGCAACATCATTTGCCAGGAGGAGACCACGACGTGTGCCCACGTGTGCCTGACTGCCTGTTGACTATGCACTACGTACTAGTTATAGAGCTTGTTAGCCAACAGACTACGTGGGTGGGAGACCGCGCGCAGTTATTCCTTCAGTCGGAGTCTCGGAGATCATTTACTTGATTAACTCCCCGCCCTGCAGACAGTAAGCCCCTCGTTAAAATCGCTCGAAGGGCGTGAGATTCCACCCGGTCAAACTCTATCAAGACACCGGGACGTTCCGGCCTGCTCGCTAGCCAGGAGTGCGTGGATTAATTGCAATTTAGCCCTCCAGGCCATTCCAAGTTTCGGGGGAAAAAAGCTCGCAAGGTCTGTCACTGCATGGCCGGTATCATTTATATTAGATAAATCCCTATCTTCCAACTGGAGGACTTGGTTGTTGAATCTCCCCCCTTTATCTGTTCTGTTTTGCGACGCAACAGCAAGGCCGGTATCGGAACCGGACCCGGAGTTCTGTTTCCATCTTTCAGGCTAACCCGGAAAGTCTCCGTACTAAAATCCGCCAAGGAATGGGCCCTCCGTATAGTTTATCGTAATTCCATCGCCTAAATTGAGTTGATACGGACTCTACCGGACAATGCATGGCAAAGGGGAAGGGGGAAAACTCTTCAGTTAACCAGAAAATCATGAAAGTCAATTTCCAATGCGACAGACTGGGGCATTTGGACTGACAGGTTCTGAATTATTTTTGAATCTCAAAGAGCAGCGGTAGGGTGGATGATCAATCAATTGTCTAGAATCAAAGTAAAGTATCGGCGCAGGCAGCAAAGTCGTCCAGGGTGATGACGACAACAAGAACAATCCCAATCAGCAGGGGCTGAAGGAGGTGTTCGAGACACTGCGTCTCACTGTCCTTCCAGGCATCATTCCCTTTTGTTGCATCCACCCCGGGGTGGAGACTAATCTAATCCTTGCGCATGGATACGCCGCCGATACGGACTGCGGCCGCGTGGCCCGCGGATCTGCTTCAGTCGCAGGCTCGCAGCCAGCTTTGCACGCACATGCAGATTTTCAACGGCTCCCTGCTGCTGGGCGCAAAAAGAAAAAGGCAACCACCAGTGATATGTCACAGTGTGCATTAATAACGAGGGGTTCACTGGCTGTTTAATTGATGGACAGTAATTCCGGAATCAAGTACGTGTCCTCTCTACCCCATCTTGTAGGTGGTCTTATCCTGGAGGCTGGGAGAGGAAGTAAGATACCGTGGGTATGTATACCTAAATATTCAGGCATCGTCAACTCGAGTTGTTGACGGTCGCCTAGAAGGTGAATCCATTGGCACCAACCAAAGGAGCTTCTTCCCCTCAGCCAGGCAACTCCCGACAGGAGCTGGAGGGTACATCGAGAAACTAAACTGACCCCGGGGCCGAAGTATATTCCAGCTCGAATGGCACGGAATTGCCCACATCTCATCCCGCAACATCGTTCGGAAGTTTGCAGACCAATCTATCATCGTCATTGGGGTATACTATGTCACATCATACTCCGTCGTCGCTAAGCCCACCCATACGTAATATTATGTACGCCCCAGATCTCAGTCTCTAAACCAAGGATCGTCCAGAAGCTCCTTCACTGATGCCCTGGCAGACGGCTCGAACCGTAACAACCTCTGAATAATCCGACCCAACTTTAAAGTATCATCCTTCGTCAAGTCCTCTTTCCGCTCGCCATCAAAGTACACCTCCAGCAGCCATTCCTGTAATCCAGGCCCCGGACTCTCCACATTGGCGCCATCGCGCATCGCCTCCCATTTACCCATCCACCTTGCAGGTACCGCTTCACCTATTATCTCGTGCATTTGCCCCACGAGAATCGACGGCGTCGTAAACAAGCTATCAAAGGGCGGTTGGCCGACGAATAGTTCGAACAGCTATTACGTTTGTCAGTCACGATGAAAGGAGCTCGCTGCTAGGTGCTAATGGCCTCTCCCTCTCTGCCTTACCATACAACCGAGCGTCCAGAGGTCTACACGATAATCCAGGCGGTCCTGGAATATGACTTCCGGTGCGCGGAGCGCCAGAGGTGTGTGCAGAGTCCGAGGGACATTCTGCTGCGAGAATGATTCGCCGAAATCGATGATCTTGATCGTCGCGTCGGAGATGGGCCATGTCCATTTCCATGTGCTTGCGGGCCTGACGATGTACTCGGGTATACCTGGCCCTAGACTCTTACTGTCGTTTCTGTGCACATGGCCGGTTTCTGGCTTACCTAGTAGATTCTTGATTTCTGACTCGGGCATGGGGGTTGGGTTCATTGGGGATATGGCGAAGGCTAGGTTTCCGGTGTGGAGGTCTATACTTTGTAGGGACTCTTCAAGGTATCCGTGGATGGATAACCTCACCTCCGTGTGCAATTCCCTGGTCATGCAGAAGGTCTAGCCCAAGCAGAGCCTGTTTGGCAGTAGCCCTGGCGAGAGGACCGGGAAGTCTGCCATCCGCAAAGCGGGCCTCTATCAGGTCAGGGACACTTGGGCCTAGTAGCTCCAGCACGAGGCAGCGATGCGTGCCGTTCGGTCCCTCGACGTCAAAGTGATCAAGCATGTGCATGACATGTCGAGAGCCGGGGTGTGTTGCTCTTAATTTCTTCAGAGTATCGAGCTCTCGCTGACTCCTACAGCTTTCCCCTTCAGACACGCAGATCTTGATAGCTACGTAGGTCTCTTCCCTAGGGTGGAGTTAGCTGCGTTTCGGTAACTTGGTCATTGCTCTTACCTTTGGTCTCTTGCCACCCAGACCGTTGAGTAACCGCCCCATCCTGCTTTATGCAGTATCTTGTATCTCCCGTTCGCTAGGACGCTTCCCAGTGTCATTGGGTGGTAACCACCTTTCTTATAGCGGTCCAGAGGCTCTGCGTCGACGGGGCTTGATAGGGTAGGTTGATTGACTTGCGGCAGGGTTGAGAAGGATGTGATGTGGTTCAATGCATTAGATATTGCATTGATGCGCCTTACAGAGACAAGCTTCCTTGTGATTGTTCGATGGAGGGCATAACGCGCATGAGACATCATTCTCGTGGCGACAGTGATGGCATCTCGTTAGGCTTTGGAGGCTTTCTTTGTGGCTGGTACCCATGGGGCTCAGTTCATTACGTGGCGACGCGTCGTGAATTCCAGAGGCGTTTGTGTTTTGGTGATTTCGACATATCAGTCAATATCAATGTATTGAGAGGAATTGATTGTGATGTCAGCCAGCGGCAGTGACAATATGATTACTAACCCGGTCTGGGCCACTGTTGATGCTGCATGTGATAGATTAAAAGCTTGCTCGTGTTGGGCTTGCTTACTCTTCCGTTCTATATAGGATCTAGACTGGCTTTGATATCGATGTGATCTCTTCGAGATGTCTCCGGTTCACGGACTGAGAAAAAGGACTATCCCAGTTGAAGGAGAGAATAGTTCGTATATTACAATTAGCTGACTGTCAACTGGAAATAGATGTAAGGATGACAACCAATTGTCCTTTGCTGTCTGCGCATTAGAATGTGGTGATAATGGTGTCTTTGGATTGAAAGAGGAATATGGTTCCCTTGTTCGAAACGGCTTGTAACATGATTTTAACATCGAATGCACCAGTATTTCCAGAAAAAGGCCTTCGCCAGTCAGCAGCGCGAGTATTTCAGGGACGAGGGACTGGGCAGGCGGGAAATTCTCGATGCCAACAAGCCAATTAGAGAGGACAATTAGAATAACTGCCCTCGATTTAGCCATGGGTACCGGACACAGCGTGCGGAGCCTGGAAGCGAGCTCTTGTTGTTCCTTTGATATCAGCTGCAGACATAATAGGCTAGGTATATCATGCATGCAAGGCATTGGAAGAGTTAAGTTTGGGAGTTACATGGGTCAGATAGAGCTCGCAGACAACCTTTTCCAGCTTATCGTATATCGACTGTTTTCCTGTCCTCGCGTTTCTCTCGGCCGTAAAATGTGGCATGATTGGCTCCGTTTGCAGTTTCAAGCCGTGATAGTACCGAACAAATGTGGTTCCATTGTCCGTTCCATTGTCCGTTCCATTGTCCGTTCCATTGTCCGTGAGACCGGACGATCAAACGCGCTTCCTATATTCTAACATAGTCACGACTCGAACACGTCGGTTGGAAGCACTGCAAGCACCAAGGATGGTGCCCAGGGATGTACCTCCGGTGAGTTTTTCGCGCATAGGAATAGTGTGCCAGCAGTTACTACTCGAATCGACTGATGTCATACTTGCCCCAATCGACTCCGTACACAACTTGTTTCTCCGGCATGAAAACCTCAAAAGTCTGCCGCCCCCGGCTCCGAAGATCTGACTGCGCGGCAAGTCTATTGAGCTCTGCTCTGGTGTCGTTTCCTGCGTCCAATATACTTTCCACGGGTCCGAGCGACGATTCTACCCAATGGGCGAGGAATCAATAGTCTGGAGGCGCGGGAAAATGGGGACGGAATTCAAATCCGTGTTGCTGACGTCGTTGCCCTTATGCCTGCTTGCTTGCTGTAAGATGTGTAGCAGTGCATCGATGATCAGATTCTAGAAGCTTAACCATGGCATTGATGGCTTGGAGCGAGGAAACATTCTGTGGGGACCACATCGTCAATTCTGGAGAGCCTCGGACATCATGCGGAGTGGGCGGGAATTGTCGTTGTGATCGTGCGTTCCACAAGAGACAGACTGTAGTGGGATTGTAGAGAAAGGGTTAAGGTATACTTGCTTGTCGTCGATTCCATGGGTGGTATGGCGAGCATGACTTTCTTATCTCCATGTTCTAATCTCCTTGGTGTTGTTCTGAGGACGATCCGTCAATCAAATTCTAGAAAGTATCCTCGGAGCTGACTGTCGTCTGTCCCGTGGTTGGGATGTCGAGCAATTGACTTCTTTTATCTCCAGTTTTTATCTCCATTTTCTACCTCCTTGGTGTTGTTCCGGGGAAGGTGAGTCAATTGAGTTAGGGTCGGGGCGGTTCATGGTTAGAGCAGGTGGGATATGATGTTGGAGAACTTTCTTTTGTCTTTCATTGAGTTCGCGAGAGGCTAGACAAAAGAATCTATGCCACAAGAAGGTACAGATTAGCATTGCTGATCAAAGGTTATGGGTTGTATTCTGCACCGTCAGTGCTGTTGATTGGGAGGCAAGAATTCATTCTATATCCAGTACTCTGGTAATGGTGGAAGTGAAGCGTAGTCGCTCAGCTTGCCCTCGGAAGACGAACAGCAAGCTGGCTTTTGAAACGGGTTTCCCTGCCGGCGGGCTCCGATGTTGGGCTGGCAAGTTCTGAAGCGCGTTCTTCATGGACAGGTCCTTGACGGTAAACTTGGATGCAAGTAGCTGAACTCGAGGCCCAAGCCAGAGAACAACCTTGAAGGTATCTACGCAACTGAGACCCGGCCTATCGAGGAGCCCACGCGGAGTGACTTCGGATCTAACCGCAAACAAATTAGCGTTGCTTACAGTCACCAAGAGCATCATAGCGAGAATCGATCACCACCACCATGACCACTGCGCCAGTGGGGTCAGGATAGCGTCTCATGGCACTGACCTCCAGGCCCCAGGGACTTCGGAGAATATCTCCATAGGCAAGTTACTGCTACGCAGAAGCCTCGCTATCCGATACACCACCAGTCGACAAGCAAATCGGAAGTCGGCGGAACTGTCTCCACCAGGGGCACCATGTGGAACAGACGCACGGAAGACTTTGACGCCTCATATAAAGACCTGGGGTAAACCCCCGAACCAATTGCAGAACAATGCGTGGATTCTATTAGCTATTACCTAATGATGCGGTGCCCAAGTATAATGATGCGACCAGCATTCTGTCCCACCATCGAGTCACCATAAGTGGGACAAGATGGGTGGTCAACGAGGAGCACCATACCCTTTCAACAAGCAAAGAGACCTTCCTTTCCTCCGACAAGGGTATCCAGTCAAATGCATCAAATGGCAGTCACAATCAAATCGCGGGAAGCACAAAGAAAAAGAGCAGCAGGTGGTATCAATCTAGTTTGGACGGTGCACAACATGATCACACAAGGCCCGATGGGTATCCTTGCGGAACGGATATCATAAACGAATGAAACGCAGCACAAGACGCCAGAAGAGACATCAAGGCTCGGAAATAACCGCCAAAGCAGCAGAGGGTATCATTGACACTCGACATGGCTCACCTTGCCGATAGATCGACCAAGGCGTACCATGAAGGAGTCAAGCGGTAGTATCAACGTTAAGCCAAAGTAGCAGATTTTTTTTTCTCGAAACTTTCTCCCCAAATGTCTGGGTCACAGGGCCGCAGACAAGTTACATGTTGCTCAAGCCAGCACACAGACCGTTTAGGCGGCAGCCTGAACAGGGGTGGAGGCAGGGACCTTGTTGACAGGAGCGGTCTCCTCAGTGGCAGCAGGAGCCTCAACAGCCTGGGCGCTCTCTTCAGCGGGCGACTCCTGGACGGGAGCCTCCTTAGGAGCAGCTTCGGTGGTGGTCTCCTTAACCTCGGTCTTCACAGCCTTGCTGGGCTTGCGGAAGATACCGCCCAGCTTGTTGCCCTTTGGCTTGGCCTCGCCGTCGGCGCCCTCGTTGTCAGAGTCGCCCTTCTTCTTGCCAAAGTTGCCGAAGAAGGAAGTACGGCGGCTGTTCTTGGGGGTCTCAGGAGCAGCGGGGGAAGCAGCAGGAGTGGCATCCTTGGCAGCCTCGGCGTCAGCAGCAGCAGTCACAGTCTCGGGCTCGATGGGCTTGACGTTGGCCTCCTCCACGGGGTTGTCGAGCTGGGGAGCAGTGCTGGCCACGGGAGACTCCACGGGAGCGGCAGCTTCCTTCTCAGACTTCTCGTGAGAGGGGCTGGTGACCTTCTGGAAGAAATTGCCGAAAAGGGAGGCGCGCTTGGACTTTTGAGCGACAGGAGCCTCGGCCTTCTTCTCCTCCTTATCCTCCTCCTTCTTGTCGCTGGTCTCAGCAGGGGCAGGGACAGCAGTGGCAGGAACTTTGCAAAGTTAGTTCAGAGATACAATATTAGGGAATTGCGGATGACATACCCTCAGGCTCCTCAACGGCAGCCGCAGGGGCCGCAACGGGGGCCTCAACAGGGGCCTCAGCGGGGGCTTCGGTGGCAGCCTCGGCAGGCTTGGCCTCTTCAGCCTTCTCCTCCTTCTGCTCTTCCTTCTTCTCCTCGGCCTCTTCCTTCTTACCCAAGAGGGTACCGAAGATGCTAGCGCGCTTGCGAGACTGCGAGCGGCTCTTGGCGGTAGCCTTCTCCTCTTTGTGGTCCTCAGCAGCAGCAGTCTCCTCCTTGGGTTCAGCAGCCTTCTTGGCGGGCTCGGCGACGGCAGGCTTGTCTAGGTAACGTTAGTCGATGGCTCTTTCTCGCCCAGTGGCGCAAAACTTACTCAGCTTCTCCAGCTCAGCCTTGTAACCCTCGCTGGCGACGATGGTCTCCTTCTCAGCCTTAGCCTCAGCAGCCTTGGTCTCGAGGGCAAGCACCCAGCTGTCACGCTCGGTGCCGCTAGTGGCCTGGAAGGTGTGCTTGTGACCGTTGACCTTGAAGTGGAACTCGCTGGCGCCCTCCTTGGCAATATCGGAAACCTCAGACTGTTTCTCAGTCAGCATTACCGCACAACTACCTCCAGATCACTTGTCTTGTCTCAAATACTGACCAAGTTGAAGATACCGGCTGGGGTAGCCTTGTCCTCGGCGCGCTTGGTGAAGTAAAGGAGACCCTTGCCGGTCTGGCTAGCCCATGCGGCGATAGGGTTGGCGACGACAGGCTTCTCGTTCTGGTGGAAGGCAGACAGCTGCTTGGCCTCGACGGCTTCATCGTGGAAGTAGAAGAAGCGCTTGGCGAAACGCAGACCCCTGTTGTGACACCCATGATTAGTCACTGTATCCGAACATCACATTGCGACAAGTGGCGCCTTACTTGACCAGACCAGGGGCCTTGTAACCGAGAACTCCCTCCGAAGCGGGGGTCACTTCCTCCTTCTTGGCCTCCTCCTTGGGCTCCTCAGCGGGAGCATCGGCCTTGGGCTCCTCAGCAGCAGCAGCGGCAGCAGCAGCAGCGGGGGTGGCCTCAGTAGCTTCAGCGGGGGTCTCCTTAGGAGCCTCCACCGCGACAGGTTCGGGGGCAGCGACCTCAGTGGCAGCGGGCGCTTCGATGACGGGAGCAGCGACAGGCGCAGGAGTCTCCTCGACGGGCTTCTGGACTTCAGACATGTTGATAGATTGGTTGATTAGGGGGATGTAATTATAATCGATAGTGATGGATTAGTTAAGAGATGAAGAAGCTGGAGTGGCTTCGTTGATTAGATTGCGCGTTGAGCTGGATGGGGGGGTATTATCGTTCAGAAAGGGGCGGGGGTATCTTGAAGGAAAAGAAACAAGAGAGAGCTCTTCCAGCGCAAAGCTAAAGAGCTCGGGGTATCACAATGAAAGGGTAGTTGGAAGAAGAGAAAGGCCTCTTGGATTGGGGATTAGAATGAGTATATGGGAGAGGAAGAGAAGAAGAAGAAGAAGAAGAAGAAAGAAGAAGGAAGAAAAGAAGAAGAAAAAGAAGAAAGAGAATTCAAAGCCGGGAAACGAGGAGAGGGTAAAAGAAAGGCAGGAGCAGCAGCAGGAAGCCTTGAGTCCTTGGAGCAAGACCAGGGGCGAGAAAGGAGGGCGAGGGCGGAAAATGAAAGGGTGATGGACGAGCAGCAGGCCTGGTCATTTCCTGATCAGGAAGGGAGCTGCAGGGCGGGCGGCCCTCGAGCCTAGACTGAAAGGAGAGTGGAGCAGTAGTTTTAGTAGTGAGTTAGTAGTTACTAAGTAGCAACTTACAACAACAACTTTTATGTTATTTTCTATATTTGATATTTTATTATCATGGACTGACTACTTCCTACTTACCTAGTTACTGACTCACTTCCTTCCAAGCCAAGTAACTAATTAACTAGCTAACTAGCTAACTAGCTAACTAGCTACATACCCAAATCAGGGGTTGTGTTGCCCCATCGCATCGACCCATCATCAGTCATCATCCATTATCAGCATCATCAGACCATCAACATTACTCAACCACAGACAATCACCCTCATACTACGGACTCCTGCATTTCTCTTCCTACATACATTTTCGATCTGAATCTCATCATGCAGCATGCCCAAATCCTGCAGACAGAAAGCCGCCTCCGACAGCCCAGCACGTCGTCCTGATGGACAGCCCACGCTCCGGTCAGGGAGCCCGGTCTCGCTGCCAATCGTCACGATGATAGACTGAGTCCAAGCTCCTGCTCCTCCCACCCACCCCCTCCCTCGCTCCCTGGCCATAGCCTGTTAATTAGGTCCGAAGTATAAAACCCGTCCTAACATAGTCCGTCCCCCTCATGGCTGAAGAAAAAAAATTTTTTCACGCGACGCAGGCCTCTTGCGCGCCGAACGAAAATTTATCGGCCCAATAATAGGTAATAGAATCAGGTCAGGCCCTTGAGGCCCCTCTTCGAACATCTTTCTCCCTCCCCCCCTCCTCCTATGAGGTAAAGGGTGGTTGAAACCGTGGTGAATCCGATTCCCAAGACCGACCGACCGACAGATTAGCCCCTAGTATACGGTACCATAGGGAACCGAGACCTCCTGATGACAGCCCTGGGAATGGAAGGTCTTGCCGTGGGACCGCCCTTTGGTGGTTCGTAGTGGTGGTGGTAGTCTTGGCCCTGCCTACCCGTAGGGATAGTTGTGTAGTTGATTGCCACCACTACCACCACCACCACCTGCTGTCAATCGTATCCTGGTGATGCCATTATCGTTCTCGATGGTATCTAGGGGGGCTACTTTTTTGTCTGATTCAGGTTCAGTTGGTGTCACCGGGTCACCGTGTTTGTGGGACCCAGCCACCATCCATTCGGTTTCCATCCATAACCTCCTTCTCCTCTTCCTTCTCCTCCTATTCAGAATTTCCAGATCATCCTGGGTGGGTTTGGCTTCCAAGGCTGGTCCGTTACACAACCATGGATGGATTCCAGCCAAGTGGCTTCTTGTTGTTTATTCTGTTAGTTTAGTCTAGTTAGACTTAGTCGATGACTCCTCCTTCGTTCCAGACAGAAACCTATCTCAGTAGTCTCCGTCTCAAATTTGGATGCTGCTGCTGCTGGTGTTGTTGTTAGAACTTGGTTGGCGCTGGGGTTAAATCCGTGCCGAAAAATTGCATCGCAACTATTGATGTTTCAGATATAGCAGAGACATCCCCTTTCGCTGCGCAGTGGTGACCTTTTTGCCTGCCCAACCGATCCACTTAGATCTCGATGTTCCCGTCGAAAAAACAAGCAGAACATCATCATCCATTCCAATTTAGTACACACTTGAATATGTTAAGCGCCGGGCTAGTTCGAGTCTAGTACGGCGTGTTTTAGTGCACTCAACGCTCGGTTACCCGCCCACTGCAGCACGGCTCTGGGCTTTGGGCTTTGGCGAGCAAATCTCTGTCTGCATCTTTGCTCCCGTCTTCAATCGTCGTCATCCTGTGCTACCAGTGTTCGAATGATGGTAAAGAAGGCTCTGATTGCTTGAGCCGGTGTCTTCAAACCACGGCAGTTCTCACCAGTCCCGTCCATGCGACCGGACTGAATGCCTCGTGACAGTGTCCAGCATTGTTCAGATTGTAGGACCAACCAGCGGGAAGGGAGCCCCTCCATCTTTAACTCCCACCTTGCCTGATCCCATCGCCGATATCAATTACCCTATCGGCGTCGCTGACTCGTCAGGACTTTCTTCACGTCTAGCTCGCGTGACTGGAGTCACTGGACCCGTATAGTATCTGTCGTTGCCAAACTACTCGGAGGAGAGTAATCCGCCCAAAAAAATCAAAGTTGAGGCTATTGATAGGCTCTCCAGGTGCGTTGATTCGATTTGGCGATACTAGGCGATAAGTAGATGAAACGAACTTAAGAAGGCATTCCCAAACTTCTCCCACCCTCCACTTGGCTCCGTGCTCAGCAACACAAACAAGGGTAAGGATTTGGGAAGGGAGGAAGAAGGGAAAGGGGAGGGGGGGGGGGAGACTTCTTGGGACCATGAGTTCGTACTTCTTACCTACTCAGGAGGGTAAAGTGGATTGGGGTAGTTAGTTATTGTTTGTGCCCCACTCTCATCATCCCCTGTCTCACGACTTCTTGTTGTTGCCGTTGCGACTTCTTCGACCTGACCTCCTTCTTGAAGGCGGCGGGAGAATATCCCTAACAAGATAGAGCTCGCTTCTCGATTTTGTGTCCGCATCTTCTCTTCGCCGATGGAACCAGATATTCGTAATGTTCCATGGAAGCATCCCGATCATGACATGACATTTGTCTAACATCGCATCTATACAATTCTGCGAGCATGGGATCCAGCTCACCGCAACAACTCACTTCTGTTAATACTGTACTTTTTCATCCCTCTCTTTTGTAACGCCTCCCAATCTGCCTCTATCCAATGGCCTCGCATATACCAACCCGTCTGCGGAATGAGATGACCTGCGCAACTCGTGGTGGGCCTTTCTTCGGCGGCTGCTTCTTCATCAGTAGTTGCCCCCTTTTTTCGTTCACTTTTTTTCTTCCGGTTTTCTCCTCCCGGCCGTTTCGACCAGCGCAACCTTGAGCGGAACCAACCAACTTTACCTGATGAGCTTCAATCCCGCCCGTCCACCAATCAGACCACCGTCGATCTGATGATCATGGCTTGGCCCGTGTTGATTGTCTGCCCGTCTGCTGCTGATCCAGACAATCTCACTGACTTACCTACGTACTGTAGTATGATGTTGTATAGCAACAATTAGCAACAATCAGCACAGTGGGCTACGAAGCCAACTTCAAGTCTGAAAATCTTCGACTCTTAATTTCGCTGCCCAGTGCCCAGTGCCCACAACACATCCATACTTCCAACTGCTAATACGACAAATGACAATCCAACAATCCCCTTTTCTCAATAAGCTGACAAAACACACCCGACAATCATCCCTAGTTTGCATCGTCATAGCCGACAGATCAACACCAAACTATCAAAAAGTTCCCCATAGAGATTACAGGTAGTCCGTCGAGCTAGCAGGCTTCCATTATCAATACTCAACAGCTGAGTCAAATTACCGCCCCAAAACGAAGGGAGGGGCTTGCGCTGACTTACGCCACCACCTGCAGCCCTCCCATCAACGGACATCGAACCGTGCCGGTAATCTATATCATGGCGGTTGGATTTCAGCCCCCGCCAGGTGCTAAATCGCACCACAGCGGATCTAATCTCCTTGCTTTTTCAGAGTCTTCGTCTCGAATGTACAGCTCTGGTAGGGGCGGCGACTCCGAATCGACTACGACTTTTAGCTTGGGGTGGACTTAATTCATTACTGACCTGGTAGTTAACCACCGTCTTTGATCAGCGGGCGCTTAAATGAGTACTTGTCTTTATTCTGTCGTCTCGAGCACGGGCTCATAGGTAGATAGTGGTAACGTGACCATATCTCCACAGCTCCCCTCAGCGCTTTGCCGGATGATCTCCGCATTGCTGCAAGTTTAGGAAATCATCCCATGCAACAATAATAACACTCGACAAACGACACTCTTAGCCTAAAATTACAGACCATAAATATGCAGAGACTAACTGCCTACCCACCAATCTACCAAGTAATACCCTGCACCATGCCAGCCAGGTACAATACACAGAAAGCACCAACCTCAACCCATTACCCTTCGAAACCAAGAGCAAGATATAATTCCAGCCAACCTATAACCTCGAACCTCCGCACCCCGCACATCTAAAGCAATTGAAAGACTACCCTTCAGATCATATGACCTCATACGCTCACAAAACGAAACGCAACTTCCAACCAACCCAACCCCCCCCCCCCACCCAAACCCCTCAAACAACCCATGCAAGTGGTGAAAGACGCGGCGGGGGAAGGGACCGAGCCTCAGTCAGCACACTGCAGTCGCAGACAAACTACAGTCGCATGACACCGCTCATCACGCCATTCCGCTTCCGATGTAGATCCCCCACCAACGCTCGTTCTCACACTTATACTATATTATACAGTAACGGATACATCTAGCGCAATAAACTCTAAGATGAGCTCACGGAGCAGCTGACAAGGTTTCCAATTCATCTCGCGTGAGATGGACCAATACTTGGATAAAGTGACGAGATAGTGGACGGTCATTGGCGTGACGTGAGGATCTACGCCATGGTACATGCTCGTGCACTGCAGATGAGTAGGGGTGTCATGCGCGTGGTGCTGGGGAGATAGAGTTCCCGGGAGAGTTAAGTTGGTTCGTTGGATTGGGATGTAGTTTACTGGTTTTGGCTAAGTTGGTTGTGTTGCTTTAATTGTATACTGTATTATCCTTTGGAGACTCGGGGAGGGAGGTACTGGTGCTTGGGTATGATACTTCGTCCGGGGTAGGGTTCATAGGTATCGTAGTCGTATACTTTATTGAAGAGAAGACTGGCGAATGAGTTTACGGTCTGGAAGTCATATCTTGCTATGGGTGTTCTATGTGTATAACTCCGGCGTCCAGCCTTGTGTTTGTTACTCCGAGCATTCTTCATCATCTGGAGTACATATCTTCTCATGCACTGCTATAAATAAGGATACTCTCACCTCTGTCTGCACATGCAGGCGTACTGACGAGCTGGGAGGGTTGTACATACATACTCTTAAGGACAGGCAACATGATTACACTGCAAAATGTCTACAACTCCTAGCTAACCCTCACTCAAGTCCGATATCTCACTATATCAAAAGGGAAAAAAAAAGAAAAAAAAAACCATCAATTAAGATTACCGCAATCTAGTACTAGAAAGCAAAATATACCTCAGAGACACGAAAGGAAAGAGGTTCGAGTTGGACCTGTGGAAACAGTTTCCTTCACTGGAGTGGAAGGATTATGGCGACGGAACTGAAAAATGAGGTAGGTGAAGATGAAGATGTGAAAGATGATGTTGAGAGCAGATCTAGCGCGCGAATGAATCTTCTTCAGCGTCTCTTGCTCAGCCTTCTCCTTCTCAGCCTTCTCCCTCTCCTCCTTCTCTTTCTTCTCTGTCTCAGCCTTCTCTTTCTCCTCTTTCTCCCTTTCGGCCTTCTCCCTCTCCCTCTCCTCCTCCTCCTCTCTCGCCCTTTCCGCCATCTTCCTCTCCTCCTCCGCGACCTCTCTCTCGTACTCCGCCATCTTCCTATCCTCCTCCTTGAAGAAATCATCCAAGTCCATGTCCAAGAACGAATTCGCCCTCGCCCCCATAGCCTCGATCCCCCTTTGCAGCGCCAACCCAGCAGAAACCCTGCGGTGCCACCATATTAGCAAGATCAAGATGCGCGACTCCCCATGCAGCGCATGGTACAGCATGGCCCTAGCCGCAAACTCCTGCTCCACCAACCCCATCGTCCCCTCCCCTCTAATCCCATCGCGAAGGAGACCCCCCTCCAGACTATCCAGCTGGGACCGCACGAGGCGGGCCTGGTTGCGGTCCCAGTGGTAGAACTGCATCGCGACGCCCACCAGCGTAGCCCCGAAGCAAGGCAGGTGCAGGGATTCGACAGCAGGGCGGTGCTCACCGAGGAAGCGCTCCAGCATGTCCAGCGAACGGTCCGGTGGCGGGGCTGCCGGCTGGGCTTCCTGCTGCTGGGCTTCCAACGGCAGGGCTTCCGGCTCGGCCGGTCGGTCGACAACGAGGGTGAATACCAGCATGCTCTCGGCGTCGGCGTAGAGGATGCTTTCCTCGTCGCCGCCGCCGTAGTGCACGCTGACCCGGTCGTAGTGCTCGTTCGCTGCCAGCGACACCGCCACGGAAATCACGATGTAGCCCTCCGAGGGCGGGAACATGGCCCTCAAGACGTCACACCAGTGGACGCTGCGGGTATCCTCTTCAATCATGGGGACCATGGGGATCATGGGGGTGCTGTGGGCGCTGGGGGTGCTGGGGGTGCTGGGGCCGACGACGAGGCTGTGCTCGACTATGGCGAAGTCGCGTTCGCTGTCGCTGTCCATTGTTGCTGTTGCTGCGAGGTTCGGGCTTGGTTACTGGTGCTTGGGTTGATGCAATAAGGTTAGTACTGTGTGTCCTATAGTTGGTCTGGTTAGCTCTAGCACTCTGTGCAAGGTTGAACGAGGCTCGTCTGGGCTCCCTCTGTGTGCATGGAGAGAGAGATTTCGAGCTATCATGGTGATGAGGTATCTAGTTATTTATATCTTCCGGTGCGAATGTCGTAGACTGCCGAAGCTGGGGCTGTCGCAATGGGGATCCTTGTACTATACTGGAAGTTATCCCCAAGTGCACATATAACAAGGACTTCATAGAGGCATTCTGCAGGATGAGTTAACTGGCTTTATGCACCACACCGATCGAGATATACCGAGAATGGCGCTGGATCCTTGAGAGAACTCCGAATGTCACGGAGATTATAATGACAACCTCCGCGATCCTCCACATTTCCCACCAAAGCTCCTCAATGTTTGTAAGTAGGGAGGTATCTTCCCGGAGGTCGTACCTCTTCGATCTTGCGACTGGACAGAAGGCAAAAGCAATTCACGAATCACGCTGCTGTGAATGCGAGCCGACTTGTGTCAAGCAGCAAGAAGCGGCAGCACAACCGCATTATGCTATCCTGCTCGGAAGCTCAGCCTTACAGAAACCTATTCCTCGTCAGTTATATGCAAGTAGTAATCGTCACACACATTGAGCGGGAAGCAGAAAGAAATTCAGTCAGGCGATGCGCCTGATCAGTCCACATTATCAACAACCGACGTAGGTACATGCATCCGCTCTCACAATCATTAAACAGTATTTAACAAGAACATCGACCACCAATATGCTATGCGAGACGAATATACCAAAACATGCCACTATAGGCAAACCCAGTCCAGACATCCAGGTCAGTCAAACAGCCATCACGCCGCTGTGGTGAGAACGTAACTAGTAGTATATCAGTATGAAAGTACAATCCAGTGTGAAAGACCGGCGAAATACTCACGAGGTAATACTATCCATCCGTTCCGTGGTCAATTTAAGACTAACCGTCAAAAGCTCTCTCGCAATTTCCGGCTCGTTCTCACGCAACTCATGCCACTTGTCCATGCTCAAGCACCAACTCACGCAGTCCTGTTCAGCCTTGACGGTCGCCGTCCGGCGAGTCTCACTGAAGAAGGGCAGCTCGCCGCACGGTCGACCAGCCACAATGATTTCGAAGTATCGACCTTGGGGTAGTTCATACTCAGCGCGAAGCATTCCAGACTCTAGAAGGTAGAAGCCCATCGGAACATCACCTTCGCGGAACAAGACAGTGCCTGCTGCGTAACTTTCTCGAACAAAGTAGGTGCAGACGGGGAACCAAAAGTCTTCATTCTGAGAGGTGATTCCTTGGAAGGTTTGAAGGAGCAGCGGAAGGGGCTGACGCATAGAAGACCATGCTGCGGGCGCAACTACAGCGACATCATCTTCGCGGAGAGTGGTTCTTGCGGCTTGCTGTAAGTATCGCTGGCGGGGAGAGCTGACCATCGCATCGCCGAGATGGGATGGGGTTTGCGCGGTGGGTACTTCTAGGAATGTCGTGGATGTTCCATGCTTTTTCCTCAGTAACGCTTCCCTGTGGCTGTAGAACACCTTCAGGTAGTCATTCTCGCAGAATTCCAGCGCCGAGTTCAAATCTTCAAAGATCTCCACACCTGTCACAGCCTCAAACAAGCCCACATTCTGGAGACTGCGTCCCACCTCCCCTCCCACGTCGAGACCCGAAATGATCATCTGGACGTTCCGTTTCCTGAGGATCCGGTTGATACGGGTGAACGCCTCGGCCGCAGAAAAGTCAATGCCATACACCCGCGAAAAGTCGAGGATCAGGAATCGGATGGGCCGTCGGTCAAATGCCTCTTCCTCAATCAATCCTCTCATAGTGTTCTCGACGCTCACGATGGTACCAAAGAAGAGGTATCCGCCAAGCTTAATGATAAGAGTTTGTTGGCCGGCTTCCTTCAGGAATCGTTGCTGGATAGGAGGACGTCTGACTGTAGACCCAGTGATCCCGCCCGAGAAAGTAGCACGGATAGCAGATTTGCGAGACGTCTGCACCACGAAACTTAAACAGGCAAGAATAATACCAACAAGAATGCCGACAACAAAATCCCAAGCGCCCATAGTCGCAACAATGATGACAACCTACACAATTAGCGGATGCTACCACACTGAATACAGGTTCGAGCTTACCGTCACGTATTCATGCCGATGCAATTTGCCCCATGTGTCAACCAAGGCCTCCTGCATGAGCTCAATTCCAAGCAGGAAAATGAGAGCACCAACGACCATGACCGGGATGAAGCCGACAATCGCCGGACCGACGACAAGAATTCCAGCAGTCGCAGCTGCGAGCATAATACCTGCTAAGCGGGAGTTACCACCACTATCGATGAACAACAGACTGTTAGTATACACCAGGTAGTTCTATGAAAGTTAGCGACAGCCCCCATAGTCTTCATCTGAGGATAGTACCTGGATGCTCCCGGAAAAGCCAGACAAGGCATTGGTGACACCATGGGCGATAAGCTCACGGTCAACATTAAGATTATCCTCGCCAGTAGATATGCCTAGGGCAGGCACATTGATGGGCACATGAAGTACACCGAAAAAAGTAAGCGCGAACATTGCTGGGATTGTGTCGACAAACGCGGCCCAATCAACAGCAGAAAAGTCTATAGTAGAGGCAGTTAGAGACACACCGAGATTAAAGTCATTGGCCACTCACCATAGAGGGTATAGAAATGATACCAGGGGTTCGAAGAAGACGGAGCATCAAAAACCCATCCTTTGTTGCGCAGAGTGCTCATGGAGATTCCGGCGCTGAGAACGATAATGTAGAATATGACGGCCACGCAAATGAAATAGCCACCGAGCAGGAAGTTTGAATGCAGAAAACGCTTCAGAACAAGCAAGCCTATCGCGAGAAACAAGGGTACCATCCAAAGAAAGACAGTGTCCAGTTGCACAAGCTTCTCCATCGTTGCCAAAGTGAACTCAAAAGACCCCGGTAGTCGAGCTGAGACTTCGACACCAGTCAACAAGAGGAAAAAGCCCACACCGCCAATGCACCCAATGAGAATATGTCTTGGAAAGAACCCGATTAGGGCCCCTAGCTTGCAGGTTCCCATAAGGAAGAATACCAAGCCTGTAAGGACCGAACTGACCGAGAACGCTAGGATAGTGGTGGCCAGAACAGACTGCGGGTTATCTGCCCCGACTCGATTCAGGATCGTGAATGCCATCTGGTGGAAGAAAGGTACAACCTCGATCATCTCACTCCCGATGCCGCCGCGAAAGATAGAGCCCCCACAAGAGAAAACAAGCTGGGCGATGATCGTGCTGACGTAGAACATGGAGATACCATCGGACCCGAGATCAGAGAATATCGGCTCACTCAATGGAAAGAGGATCATCCCGTAGGATAGAGCATCGAGTATGTTGAGCAACAAACCAAGGAACACCGATGGTAACAGACTGAGGGGATAAATGACCCCCTCTCGCCATACGGTCTGTTTGTCCCACGGCTTCGGGTTTGCTACGACCCGGAAACACGTAGTGAGACTTGAAAAAGCACTGAAAAAAGCGCTCGGTCCCTTTGTGCCCGCATATCCTTGGTTCTCAATATCACCTGCAGCGCCGTAGCCTTGATACGGCTTTGTCTGGGATGACTTGGGTAACAATGAGGTTTGCTCTGTGCTCACAGTTTCTCTACCGGTGATTATTGGTAGATCATCCTCGGAGACGGTACTATCGCTTGCCCTCTCCCACTCTTCGGGGTTGTATTGCTCGGTCTGGCTTGATTCCGAGGTGTCGGGATTCTGGATCAATTGTGTCAGTACCGAGGAGCCAGTGGTCGGAATGGACGAAGGGCCAGCCTCAAGCCGAGCCTTGGCTGCAGCTGTCGCGATCGGAGCTGGAGTCGAAGAAAGTGACGCTTCGCGAGGAGGGTGGAACACATCCAGCGACGGGGGAAGTGTGTTCGATTCTTGCGACAAGGCGAAGGATGCCAGTTCAGCGGTTTGTTCTCGCATACCATGGGACGAATAATGCGCCGGATCTGGCCCAAACAGTCAGCACTGCATTATTGTATTGTGACGACACTGCGGAGTATGGTTTGGGAAGGAGAGTCGATTACATGAGCGGCGTACCTGCAGAGTTATGAAATGACCGATGGAAGAAGGACCTGCTTGGAGTCCGATAACTGGTACCACCGGACACAGTAGAATCCAAAACCGAGGACCGTGGAGGACTGCCATTGTGGGCATGTTCGACTGGAATCTCCATTCCGGCTGGCTCTATATCGTCATTGAGGGCTGAATGATGCGAGGCCATCCCCGAGCCGCGGAGGTCGGAACCGCTGTCGCGCGATCGAAGGACTCCCATGGCGGAAGGTGTGGCAGAAGCTGATGCTACCACACAGTCCCAGCTGCCGGAGTCACGGTGCAGATCGCAAAATCAACCAAGTACTGATTCAGCCCGCAGGCTTCCACTCGTGGACGATATCTCAAGACAATGGCCGAGAGAGGGGAGATGATACCGGATGACGCAAGAACTTGAAAGAATCAACAACCATAGACATTGCTCCGCGATTGGCCGGCCGAATGGGGGGAAGAAGGAGAAGCAGAGGGAATGATATGGGAGGCGTCAGAGAAAGGTCTGGAGGAATCAGAAGAGCAGTTCAATCCGGTCCAGGCATGACAGGCCGTTGTTATCAGCTAGGTGGGCGCAAGTGACTAAAAAGTCTTATCACGGGCGGATTATCACCGATCCACTTCCCGGGCATGGAGACGTATGAAACGGGAACCTGGATAGCAAAAGCTGCTTGCTAGATGGCCACCGAGCATTGGCCTTCCTATCTAAGTGAATTGACGTGCAGGGATGAGGAACGCCGTCCTAGTAAGTGCGACAATAGCTGCAGTCATGGTGTGGACGACAAGAGCTTCGACCCTCGGTGAAGCTGCCTGGCCGCATCCAGGCCGATGATAGGACTGACGCCATTAGGTAATCTCCCGTTGCAACGGCCATGCGTCCGAAGGCGGATTCATTTCCAAGTTAACATTCCCACCCAACCTAAGATCTAAACGCTGGCTGGATCTCCTACACCGTATCCATGTGTCAGAGATTCGAGCCCATTGCTACGCTACTTCACTGGAACTCATCTTGGCGCGGTGGTGGCCCCCATGGCGCCTTCTTCGCACCATCAATCACTCAATCACTCTAAACAAATTAAATGGGTATCATGTAACACAAAAAGCAGCGGCAGCATCGGAGGATCATCGACATCATCACTGTCGTCCATAAAGGCACAGCAGTCTATCCCAACCGTTCCAGAAATCCCTGAGCGATTAATCGTTCCACATCCCCTTGTCGTACGTAGAGCTGACTATTCTTCGTCAAATTGATCACTCTGCGCAGCGTTAGCACCCGGCCATTGACAGGCGTGCGAAGAGCACAAAGGGATGGGGACCCATAGGCCTCTGACATACCCATATTCCGTCTGAATCTCCCCTGCATCCTTCAACACCCGCACATCAATGAACAGATCCTTAGGTGGTTCCAAGCTCCCCGTGAGGTCAATGTCCGTCCATTGACCCTTGTATGCGGCTAGCAAGTCACTGTATTTTCGGAAATACTCCTCCTCCTCCGGGCTCAGCGAGCTGTGGTTCATCCCCGCGCCAGCACCTTGGCCCAGTGCCGCCGCCGCCGCTCCTGCATTTACCTCCTCCGCCACAGGCAGCTGCTGTTCTAGCACGTCCACACCCGTCCAGCAGAGCTCTTCCAGCTTCTCCGCGCGGACGCGATGATAGGCGAGAAGACATCGCTTGTTGCGACGCATACAGAGGTGGTCGACGAGGAGGGCGCAAGCAACGGCAGGTTGCTGGGACGGGTTGAAGCTGCCTTCGAAGGGAGTCAGAAGGCGCGCGACGTCACGATCCAGATCGCGGACTTCGCGAGCGACGGCGCGGACGAGTTCGGTCTGATAGGGAGGAAGATGGGTTAAAGCTTGGGTGCGTTTGGCGTGTTGAACCTGCGGATAAACCCGTGAGACCTTGATATAGTAGGATCAGCAGAAAGAGAAAGACAAACCAACTTATTTCCGAGCTCTCCGTACATGTTCGACATGTCTAGCAATTATTAATGCTGTGGATTGAAGACAATCTGTCGAGCGATGCTAGTCCGAATATGCTCCTGCGCAGACTGCTGCTGAGACGCGAGTCAAAGAGCCAAGAGTGGATAAATCGAGAAAGTCGGAGACGGGCGGATAATCGTTGAGACGTTGAAGTCACCGAGAAGGGGGAACAATGACTAGTCGAGCTCGAAATAAGCTTTGCGATGGACATGCAGATGGACGGAGACGTGAATCTGACGCAGGATTAATTGCCTCTCGCCCGCGTCGCTCTGACCCTCCACCGATCGCATATCCGCACGTGACAAGGCGCGTATCTGCCACCACGCTGGATTAGAGTCGAGTCTTCCCGGCCTCCTCCGCCTGATGCTATGGACCAAAATTACGAATGGGAATGCGCAAGATTATTGGAGATTTCGATGATGAAAGCCGCATTGGACCAAAAGAAATCGAAGTACATCTTTCCATGTAAACTCCATACTATTCTAATACATTGAAGAACACCAGTGCACATATAGTGTCACACGATCATACTATCAAAACATTTTGAATATAAACAAAACAGCCACCCAAGAACAAAAGCCGATTAGGCCTGTATACACCTCCCAAGTGTGACCCGAAGCCTCGGCAGAGGACATCAACCGAAAATGACAATTATGACTGATACAAGTCAAGGAGTATCATGTCAAAATCATGTATGCTTGCGCCCGAAACTCCAAACATCCCCTCTTTGAAACCAATATTCGCCACGCTGAGAAAGAAAAGGGACCTGTATCTCACCCGCTAGAGGCATGGCATCGATAATTCTGCCTCGCCTCTGTCTGAGCAAAATGGGAAGCTCAGTATGAAATATCATTATGGTCGAGCCAGGTGTTGATGTCGCCGCCAGAACCTTCCAGCTTGGCATCGTTGGTTGGGTCCCATGTGCCACGGCTTTCTAGATGTTGCATCTCCGACGGGTAGGCTGGAGCCGCCGAATAAGAGACTGAACTTGCTGGCATCGGGGATGTCATTGAGACATAGCCGTTGACTGTAGACGCGTCTTGCCACATCGGTTGATGAACACCATAGAGCTGATTGGAACTGGGAAGCTCGTCTTGGATAGTCAATAGTTGGGGATCTAGCTGGCCGCCTCCTGGGGTAGAGGTTGAGCTGGCAGGTTGGAGGAGGTCATGGTGAGAGGCTCCGGGCAATCCTGCCAAAGAAGTCGATGTGTTGTAGGGAATGTTTGGGTAACTAGGCCTCCTGAAGCGGAGGCCGTCTGGGTTAGACATGCAGCCTGGTTGCGCCGACTGCATTAGATATGAAGATGGATCCGAGGAAGGTATGTAACCCGACATGGATCCCCTAGGCGGGTGCCAAGGCGAGGCAACGAAATAAGGGTCTGCTGCCAAACCGTGTTCCGCAAAGTCAAAAGGGCTTGAGTCCCGACTACCCCAGCCGCTGCTATCCACCTCTGAAGAGCTCATGCCATGACCTTGGAACAGAGCTGGGCTGGAATCGGGAGTATCTGCCAGGGGTCTCTCATCGTCGGCACCCGCCCGTTTCTTCTTATCTTTTGCTGGGGAGAACTTGTATCCGGGGTGTGCTTTCAAATGATTGTTCTTCTCCACGGTTGCCAGATGCTCATATTTAAGACGAACCTCTGCAGGTTCCAGCTTCCAGCTATCACCAGCGGCCTCAGACACCACCTGATGGTTGTTCTGCGCGAACCATTCTTTTGCTCGCTCCGCAAATGCAGACCGATAGAGCATAAAGGAGTTCATTGGACGGGCGATTTTCCCATTCTTCTTTGTGACTTCTTGACGGCGAATTTCCGCAGATCGGTGTACCCAACTGTCCATGTCCTTAATTGGAATATGCGTCAAGTGCTTGGTCAACTCGCTCAGCGGCTTGTCCACGTGAGGCCTGGAATCTTTGTCCTTCATCTTCCGACCCTTGCGCCGCATTCTAGGAGGTCTAGCGACCCTTGGTCTTGTGGACTGCCTCGGAGCCTGACGTGATGGCCACTGCGGTGCCGGATTCAGGCTCGCGGGGGCATGAGAGTCGTCTGCTGTGGATGGGGGAGTGTCGATCTCGAAGCTATTAGCGAACAATAGACGCGTTATGAGGTGTCAGAATACCTACAGGATGTTGCAATGATAAATTTCGCGGGTATTCGCCCGATATGAATTGTGAAGGGGCGGGCGAGATATATTCCTGAAACCTGGTTAGTGTTCGCTCCGTGGAGATAGGCTGGGAATTTGGAACTTACATATGATCCCGGTTCGTATTTCACCTCACCTGGCATAAGGTTTGCATGGAATTCTGCAGGTGAATAATGTTCATGCTGGCCGAAATTCGGCGAGAGTGTGCCGTAGGAGTTATGGTTAGCGTCAGCCACCGTGTTCTGATCCGTCGATTCGGGCGGCGACGGTGGCTGGCCCCGAAGGACTCTGGCAGCGCTAGCCATGCTATGTCTCAATGTAAGAAAGAGTATGGGCGTTTGATGCAGTAAAATAGGGTCTTAGCACAAAGTCCACCGGGGATTCACGCTGGATACTTGATTCAGAGGGATTTCGGGGGACGTGGAGGGAAGGGGGATACGACTGTGGACCGCTATTCCAGGCCTCAGAAAGGGTGGATCTGAGTTGCTATGGTGGAATGAATTGTGGGGATAGTGGCTGTTGGTGGTGCCTGGTAGGTGAACAGAAAGCGCAGTAAGGTGCAAGGGACGCCAGTCGATTGTTCACTCAGTGGGGACAGTCTGCATCTGAGAGCAGGTCTTGCACACATTCACAATGGAAAGGAAAAGTAAAGTGTCTTGAAAACTGACGGAATGAGTTCGGAGAAAGATGAAGGAGAAGAGAGAAGAATAGAGTCCAGATAAATAAAGCAAGTAGCCTGGTTCTGAATGGAATAAATAGTGGCCAGGGGGAGGGAAGGGAAGAAGAGTTGAATGAATAGTCAAAGACAACAATAGACTGTAGCAGAAAATAGGTTGAATGAAGGAAATATTCAAGGAAGTTCTTGCAAGGATGCAAGAAGAAAGAGATGAAGGCGGAAAGAGAAGAAGAAGGTCAAAAGAGGTCTTTAGTGATTATCAATGATGATCTTAGTTCACTATCAGGTGGTGAATCGGAGAGTTTGCTTCTTATACTAGCTGTCAGTGCAGATGGACCCTATACAAGTTGAGTGTTGAGGTCAGAGACACGACGTATGAGGGTAAGGAAGGCGGGGAGGGGGAGGGAGGAATGGGAGGGGGAAGTTGTGAGATGTGGATATCAAGAGGTTTAAAGCGGGATAGACATCGCAGGTGGAAGTTCTAGATGGGCACGACAACCATGGGATCCCCAGCGGCTGAAACCCTGAGAAGCTGCTTGGTGCCGGCGGCGACAGACCATGTTGGCACGGGGGTTGCTTCTGGGATAGTGCTGTCTTTGTTCCACTCTGCTGGGACTCTGAGAGACATGGATGCCATTTCTTTGGAATTTCTTTTCCTCCTGTTTTTTCCTCCATGGACATTTTTGGATGGCACGATTCTTGGTGCGCTGTCTTTCGCTGGATTGGGCTTATTTGATTTAAATTGAATTGGTTGTATTTTCTTTTCTACATTGATTATTCTGTTGTGATCATGTATTTTGATTGCTTAGAATGCTTGGTGTTCTATTTTCTCTTACTCTCGCGCGCCTTTCCCTTGTTTCCATTCTATCCTTTCTACCTTCTCCATGGGGGAGGGCCCAGATCTGCTAACTTTCTGGGGCAAGGCAGATGATTTTTTTTGGGATAGAAACCCATGTTGTTCCCATCTTCTTCACACCTTCGTTTCAGTCTTCTCTCGTATAGCTTCTTTAAGATATTTCTTTGTACCAAAACTAGGTCCCTTCTTCATCTGGATGGAGGGGAAGACGAGGGGAGGGAGGGGTTGAGAGTTTTGAGATCTTGCCCGAGACAGAGAGGTTACTAAATGCGGCCCTGCATCTGACAGGAACGGTTGGGGATTTACTATTGTTGCTTATTGCCGGCGGGCTACGGCTGCTGGATGGCAGTCAAAACCGGTCCACCAGGGCGAGTTGGCGTTGGTATTGTGAATACAGAGGGAAGAGGCAGAAGGTCATGACCTATTTCATAGCTTCACTTAGTAGCAGAGTAGGGCGGTAATCACATCAATGGGAAAGGAAATATTTTAGAATGAGAATCAAATCAAAATGAAATTAAAATTGGAGAACCGCAATGACGACGGTGACAGTCTAACGTCCAGGCAGGCCATTTGACCCACCCGTCATCTATTAGTACGATCTATTTGGTGGAGTCTGGTAGGTATCTATGGTCTGTGTCTGGGACCCCGAGAGTGCGACAGGCCGGTTTCATGGAATGGTACCTATGCACCCGAGTGTGTAGTCATCGTTGCTGTCCGCCTAATTGGGTAAAAGGTTCAGTTCGAGCCAAATCAGAGTAGACTCCGTAGATCAATCACTCTTCACAGCACTGAAGAATTATTCTGTCAATATGCAGCTGCATGAATCAGCAAGAATTTGACTGAAAAGAGGGGCCAAGAAAAAAACAATAAAGGACGTCAAGAATTTGATCCAGCCAAAAAGGGACCCATATCTGCCCTTCGTAACATGCTAGTAGTTATTAGGAGCGACCACGGAGACAGGTGGCGGAGTTAAGTTACCGATCCGAAATTGATAGACACTATACTAGTACTGTACCTTCACAAGCCGTCACAAACCGGTCTGGACCTTCTCTCAAACACACATACACACACTCTCTTCCTTCTTTTCTCTTTCTCTCTCTCACTCTCCCCGCCCTATCTGTTTCGCGTTTTTGATATCTTGCTGATCGACCTCCACGAAGAACCACCCGGAAGCGACGCGAGGTCATGGAAGGGGGCTCGGATTGTCCGATGTGGAGCTCCCAGAACTTAGGGAACTACCCCAGACACTGACCGACCCTCAGCGTCATCGTACCCTGTGCGAACGATAGCCCGCACCGATACTAGACCCCGATGCTAGAAAAGTAGCACCCATGGATCCCCTAATCCCCGGCTTCCCGGCCATCATCAGATCATCTACCGATTTGCACATATCACCAAAAGGAGCTTCCCACTGCGAGCTTCCTTATACGCAGTTCTGGCACATCGCGTCCACTGGGAGGGCTAGACGTATAGAAATGAGGTTACCTACGTGTCTTAGGGGTGTTCAACACGAATCAGTGCCCACACGATCGTTCAATTATGACCCCACATAATGGTGTCAGCTAGTCGATCATTCGTTTCTTGTGGCACTTTCAGGCCGTACCGGGAGAGCAGCCAAGCACCCAAAAAGCCTATGGGTGTAAGGCTGGCAAACCATCTACTGTGATGTTCATTGGGCCATTGCCAGCTGGAATTAGGTCGAGAGACCCGTTAGATTCAAATGTCACTCGCTATCTGCTTGCCTGCCTGCCTGCCTGCCTGCCTACCCGAGGGAGATCTATCAGTCGGTCAAGTGATAGGGAAGAGACCAGTGGGAAAGGTTGGCCGTATGTTGGGAATCAGGTGCGAGCAGCTCCCTCCCATACGGGGAGCGCCAAACCAAACAGAACGAAAATTACCCCCCCGTCTCCAGACGGAAAGCTTAGGTATACGATACCAACGCAATTCGGTTCTCCTGCCCCTTTATGAACCTTGTATGCGCCATTTATGAGTGTCGCGCCCAGAGAAACGGTCTCAGTACTAAGGGCTAGCCTGTGAGTAAAGCTCACAGCTGTGTATCGTCCGATTGACTGCTATCACCACGACCACGCACATGCACTCCGTTCCCTGTCATCCAGCTGATAACCCGATACTCACTGGATACCACCTCTCTTTCCAAAATGAAATCCAGACACATGCGACGTCTACGTCCCATGGATACACCTTACGCCACGAGATAACAATTGGTTGAGCCATTGGTGGGGCTGAATTAGCCGGTGACTAGATAGAGACCGCACTAGCGTCATGTACTGAAAGGGTCCAACCCCGTCTCGGCCGGGCAATGGTCTCCGCATTAAGGCTGCATCAGGCCTAACTCACCACCAGTACCACTCGCTTACCAACGAGGTAGACTTGCCTACCGTACATGCACTTGCGACTTCTTTGGTGCGAGTTCGTGTTGTAAAGTGCTTGCAACTGGCTCAGCCGATCGGATGGCGGTAGGGGTAAGTAGGAGTACCTAGTGACGATGATCCTGTACAATCAGCTCGTTCAGTGGCTATGTCTTGAAGTGCTGTGCAGCACCGCAGAGGATTTGGCGACCAAGCAACATGGAAACCTCAACCATACACTGTACAGTACTTGCCAAAAGAGCGAAATCCAAATGCAGGGGAGTAACGTAAACACAGTATTGTGTGGAAAGCTGCCTGCATATCATTAGTCTGATGATGGCTTGTCTGCCAGGACGACTGGGGGCTGAAGGCTGCATGAGTTACAGCTTGGCATTGGGAGGAATTATGGTGGGTGCTTATTCGTCTTACGGTTCCCGAGCCAGCTCACTATTGCCTTCGCTTGACCTGGGCCTCTCCTGCCAGTTGGATCCGGTTCGGTCACGTGTAGCTCCCATGGCCCGTCTGTTAGAACTCGGGACATGCCAATCAACATCGTAGCAGGCCATTCATTCGCCTCGAGTCCCTGTTCTAACATTGTTCTAGCGAAACTTGGAGCCCTCAGCCACTATGTTGTTATTGGTCTTCTGTGTCGTACTAACAATGACCTCAAAGAGAGTAACACGATCATGGAGATATCGGATGCTGGGCGCGCAGGTGGCTGCTGCTAGATCAACAGTGCCAGTGCGCTCAATTACAGCGAGAATCAAGCCTAGTCTCCAGGTCAGCTTGGTTGCGATTGAGAGAATCCATAGATCATCGATCCCATTTGGGCCGTCCCCGCTTTTCCGTCCGCGACAACAAGTACTCTCCTTGTCTCTCTCATATCGTGGTCGGAGATAACCTACGGTACTGCTTCAGTACAAGAGAGTGTTGATGCCGCCAAGCCATAATCTGCTAGCATGATCGACGACTAGGCCGCGCCGTGGGCGGAAAGTAGGTTCGGTGGCCCACTGGGGATGCCTCATGGCTTGCGCAGGAACCCAGACTCGCCCAGGTACCGAATTTGCTCCCAAGCGGGATTCTTTGTCTAAAACCTCACCTCGCGCACCGTAACCACTATCGGGCGCAGGAACATTGGCAGAGACGGGCCCTAGTGGAGAGAGTTTCCTCATTCCTTGTTCTCGGATAACGTGGGGAAAGCCTGAGCAGCAAACATCATCATCCCTCAACTGCAGCGCCTCATCCTTTCAACTATCATCAATTGAATCGGTAAATTGCATGCACCAATACTTTGTGAGAGCACGCGGGTAATAGTCAAATAAAGCTTCTGTCGAGACATCTTGTGAAAGGAACTACTGTCAACTATCACGTTGTGCGAGTTCAATGGCTAAAGTTCCGATATGCAGAGGTTTCAGCCAGCCGCTATGCTATGACTTCGTTCCCGGGCGTCCTTCATCTCTAGTTTTAGTTTAAATAGGGTCAC